TTTTATTTTGGTTGTCAATTCTCAAGAACAAAGAAAATGTATAAATTTGTGAATTATTTCTGAACATCTATGCCGATGATACAACAATATATGGATGCATCTCTAAATCTCTTGATGATCAGAGATTGGCATCTGATCTTGTATTAACTAAGGGAACCTGGCTGGTTATATACAATGGCTTCAAAACCGAACTAGTTACATTCCATCATCACTGATCAGGCACCAAACTACCACCAGTTATGATGAATGGATGTTCCCTTGGTGAGGTTTTGTGTCTTGAGAGACTACTGAGCTGTAAACTCACTCCTGACAACAAGTAGAACTTGTACATATGATCAATCGCAAAAGATGCAGGATAAATGGTCAGTAAGTACCTGATTCTACATGCTATTCTCTACCTTTACAAGAGCCAGATCAGGCCTAAAATGGAGTGCTATTGTCATATTTGGGTGGGAGCTGCGCAGTCCTCACTTTTCAGTCTCAATAGAATCTAAAAGCTTCTGAGTCCTTGTGGGTGACAAATCATTTTCCACCCTTCAACCTCTCTCTTACAGATGGGATGTGGCAAACCTCTCACTGCTCTGTCGTTACTTCCATGGAAAATGCTCACACAAACTAAATTCCTTGATTCCAGCAGTTGGTACCATCCCCATTCCCTTCGTATTCCATTGGTGAGAAGTAAGTTCCACTCAAATAGCTTCTTCCTGAAAACTAGTTCTCTGTGCAACTGACTCCAAAGAGGATGTTTCTCCTGATCACTACAATCTTAACCTGTTCAAGTCTAGAGTTAACTGTTATCTTCCTCTGCAATTTGCATAAACTGCCTCTTAATTTAACTCTTTATCTTGTGTCACCACCAGGCTATGTACAGGTTGAACCTTTTTGTAAAAAAAAAATTACTTTCATGTGTTTAGGTTTTATTAAAAATCCCGTCACCTTGCTTTTTTTTTTTTTTTTTTTTTTTTAGATTAAACATTGCCTAGTAGTGAAGGTAGTTAAAATAATAGCGGTGTCAAGTAGAAAACCATTTTTTTTTTTTTTTTTTTTGTGAGCACAAAGCTTTGCTTTATTTTTAATGTATTTCTTTTCATGTAATTATTTAGGACTAAAATTTCTAAATGTTCTTACATCGTTTTTACAAAAGTAAAAAAATAAGTGTTGTTTTTGATTCCCGTAAGCTATGTGTTCAATCCCCAGCTTAAGCCATGCAAAAGTACCTTGACTCAGCTCAGAAATTGGAATCAGAAAGAAAAAGATGACAATTCAAAATTTAAAATTCTTAGAAAGGATGCTTTTATGTCGGGTCCCTCTACAGGTGCAACCATGTAAACCAGTACTACTAGCTGTTTGGTTGTATCATACACGGTTAAACTGGTTGCCTTAACAGGCTTTTTTTTAGTGAGGAGGTTGGCTAGACACACAGCAGTCTTAAAAAGAAGACCTGTCGAAAGGTGGACAAACCTTCTTGTAGGGTTCAACAGCCATCTAGCACAAAAGGGTAGGTTGGGTTCCATAGCTATGGATGCAGCCTATGTGTTCATAATATGGCATCAATAGGTGGTGGGCTTCCTAGATTTCTAAAACAGAAGGTTCCAGTAATTGACTCAACAGCTATATGTCTGTAACCAAGGTGAGCTTTCAAGTTGGATATTGGCTGTGATTTGACATGGTGAGGGATGGGATCTACCAGGTCTACTTGCCTAAAATTTTCTATGCATGCATGAATACTTTGGCAAATGTGGACATTTGTGCCTGCAAAAAACAGTTTTTCAAATGGATGGTTTTTCCATTAATACTGCTGTTATTTTAATTATGTTAACTCCTGAAGCAATGTTTATTTACAAGGTTATAAAAAATTATTTACATTCTGGATTTATTATTTATCATTTTATAATGAAATATGAAAAATCTTTTTATTAAAGAAAAAAAAAATTTTATTTTTTTTATAAATGTGCTGTTTTTTTTAATTATGGATGCCCATACAGAAAATAAGTGATAACGAGTACATTTAAAGCAAAAGTGCCTAAAATTCAGTAAAACAGATTATAAAGAATATTTTCCTAAATTTTTAAGATTACTAGTTAGTTAAAAGTTATATAAAAAAAAAAAATGCTTGCATTATACAGATATAATAACCATAGGAAAAAATTAAATAAATTTGTCTGTCAAGCTCTGTCTATATTTCTGAGATGAGGTATTATGTACATTATTTACATTGTTCGGACTATTGTCCTCATCTTTGTCGCCATATTTATCACAATGTTTCGGTCGTTGTACGCTCCTGCCTTCTTCAGGTGATTGGCATGTTGAACTGACCCCTTTATTTCACTCACTGGGGTAGTAATAAGGAGTGCCAGAGAAAAGCAATGATAACAACAAAGTTGCAATATGAGCTCAGATAAAAACATGTAATGATAACAGAAAAATTGCAATATGAGCACTGGTAAAAATGGTTGCTGACGATATTAAGTTTATAATACCCAGAAATTCATACACAGATATCCTCAAGGACACATGGCACAGTGGATAAAGTCATTGGTTAGATCCAATGACAAGACCCAAAGAGTGAGTTCAATAAAAGAGGCAGTGGAGAACTTTCAAAGGGAAAATTAACAGGAGATAACTGATAGCTGACATCCATCAAACATGGCACGTGAAACTAGAACAGTCTACCTCAGTGAGCGAAATAAAGGGTTCAGTTCGACATTCCAACCACCTGAAGAAGGTGATAAATATGGCGACAAAGATGAGGACAATAGTCCGAATAATGTAAATAATGTCTGTCAAGCTGTCAACAACTTAAATAAACACCTACCACCATGTTCAAAAATGATGCATATCTGTGATATTTTAAACTTAAGTAATATTTGTTTCAAATCAGATTAATTAAACTTTAAATCAGCTAATATTCTTCAAATAAAGCTTCAGGAAAGTATATTTCATTTTTGAAAGATTTTTTTTTAATAAAGAGAATTACATTGTGCTGACAAATGGTGCTAAAATCAGCAATTTTAGTGATTTCAAAACGAAAACTCTTTTCAGACAATTTAAATAAGTTTTGAAATACAGCAAAGTATTTTGCTTATGGGAAATATTTAATTTATTAACTTGAAATTAAAACTAAAGTAAAAGCTTCAAGAAAGATTTTTTGTTTTTAAAAATTAATTTTAAACCTTAGGTATCACTGCATTTAAATAACTTAAAACTATGACCTAGTTTTAAGTAATTTAATTAAGTTATTAAATAATTTTGGTTATTGGTCTTGACCTGTCATCTCGTCTTCAGTCACTTTCCCATTGCCATAATGTAGCTTCACTGTGTCTTTTCTAAAATAACTTTCATGGTAATTGTTCTGATAAACTTTCCTCTATGGTACCTAGACTTTTATGAAGTACTAGATTGGCAGCAAGGTCTAAATTTACAGTTGAAATGGCTAGATGTAACCATAAGTTACTATATTGCTAATAGTATATATATAAAAAATATATAGTAATTATAAAAAAATAATCTGTAATTCTGAATATTATGATAATTTAAAATATTAGATATTTAAATTCTCAGATCATTGCAAAAGTTTGTACCTGATTTTCACTGCTAATATAAAATAACCAAAACTTGATACTGGTGTTTGTTTTTGTGTTGATTTCTGGTGTGTTCTAGATTGAATTTAAGCATAGTACCAGATTTGCAACAAGTTCCCCTCCTTTTACAGTTGAAGTGGCTAGATGTAGCCATAAGATGTGCTAAACAGTTTCTTCTCTCTCATTTCTCAATTGTGGAACTCTCAAGCTTCTTGCTTTTCAGTCAAGTTTGATCTTCAAAAATTTACATGCAATACCAGTTGTTATCTTCTTAATTCATGTTCCTTTATTGTTCTCTCCCCTTAATAATTTTTTTTTTTTTCATATTCTTTGACACTCAGTAACCCCTTGTATCTTAGTGGCTTTATTGCCTTGCTTGGGGTGAAATGATTAAAATGAAAACATGATTGCTCTTACCTACACTGTAATCATGCAACACCCTCCCTGGTCATCTGAGATGACATCCAGGAAAAAAAAAATAACACTCAAATAAGTTGAGCAAAAGTAATTACTGTTTTTATATCAGTCCTATGTACAATAATTGGTTTATATCAGAGTTTGCATGCAATTAATCATCAGTTCAACCCATATCTAAATTGGAAGTGATACTATTGTTGTTGGCAAAATTTGGTTTGCTGTTGTTGGTAAGGTTCAGCACAAGGCTGAAGTCAGAGGCTTTCGTTGGCAGATAATCATATGGACCTTTCTCCTGTCTTTGGTTTCATCTCCATCTCTTCTGCTCTCTTCTCTCTACTACTACGCATTTGTATTTTATGGACATTTGCCCAAACTGGCATGGGGGTATGGCGAGGTAGGAGCATTTTGGTGAATCCCATCCAGCTTATGTCATAACTTTTGGGAATTCCCTCTCTCCACCCTCGCTTTTATTATCCTCTCTCACCGACCTCTTCAGTGAGTGTGGGTGGTTCCTCCATCTTCCTTGATGTCTTATCTGTGCCTGCTACCTTGACCATTTTCCATCCAAGAAAATTCAGTTCCAGATTCAGTTGTTTACAAAAATCTACTTTTTCAGCCCACATTTGCAGCTGTGTGTCAATCAGCATTGTCCCCTAAGTCTGGGTCACTTTTCTGTTGTTCAAACTACTTGACATACAATTCAAGTCATTCATGTATGAATTAAATCCTCAATTCTTCCCATGGGTTTTTGGTATTAACCCTTGTTTCAATGTCTCATAGTACATAACACTTATGTTTTAACAAAACTTTCTTCTGTTTTACCATGGCAATGAGAGTATCACAACACAATAGTGTTATGATTCCTTTAAAATTAAATTATGGGCTTTCTCTTGAACAATACAATATTATTTAAAAATTGCTTTCTTTAACCTTTCCATTTTGTTGAATGTCTTTTTGTTCTGTTTATAACTGAAATTATAAAGATATCATTTTTTTTTCTAGATTTTTCTGGTGTACAAGAAAGATCTGTTCATGATGGCTTCAAATGAGTTTAAGGTGAAATGCATTAAATCTGGAAATGATCAAGTGTCAGTCAGATACACAGAAGCTTTTAATGTAAGTGCCTAATTTCTTTAATAAATTGATTTTTATAACTTCATTTTACATCAGGGGTCCCCAAACTGGTCAGCATCAACCCGTGGGTGTCAATAAATGCCTTGAGGGCCAAAAGGGGGTTGATAAATAAATTGTGATGACTTATGACTAAAATTCTCCAATTACCAACCAAATATCTATGCCCTTGTTTCTGTTCATCAAACACATCTTTCTCTTTAAAGCTTTAGCATGCAACACACTCAAAACCACTCTGTAAATATCGACTCTCATGTCTCACAGTTTGGGGTCTCTCATGTTTGCTCACAGTTTGGGGTCCAAATCTTTACTGTTTGCCCACCTCATTATTTCCTGTATTATTTGCAATGATATTGTCATATATTATGGCAGAGTATAAATCGGGTGGGTTACAGCTTTACTTTAACATTCAGCATGCTTGGATACACCCTGTAAATATTAGCTCACAAAGTCTCACCATTTGCATCACTTCCTGTGTTATTTGTGAGGAATTAGGGACCATTGTGAAAATGCAAGATAAATAACACAACTGTCCAACGAACAGAATAAAGTTTGCAATAAACATAAAAAAGGGTAAAAATGAAATAGTATCAAACTATATATGCAAAACAAATCAACAGCTTAAGAAGGCAAAACCGTACACAAACTATGAGTTGGTGTTTGCATATAAAAGCAATGTCGAACAAGCGAAAGCAGTGGGTCTGTCTAGTAGATAAGCTAAATCTGGACCGAGTCATGTCAAAATGCAAGTCCCATTTTATTGGCCAAGAAAAATATCTCAGCATGCATTTTGTGGACTTTTGCACCTAAAAGGGAAAAGGGAAAATGTTTTACAGTCATTCTCCTTTTATGTGATATTGACAATTTGTGATAATATCGTATATTACAGCAGTGTCCATGGGGCAGGTTGAACATTGAGAGCCAATATTAACAGAGCACAGTGAATGTGAACAAAGTTAATAATGTCAATCAATTTAATAAGAATGTATTATTTATTTTTAATGCGTTTATTGTTACCAATATTGTTTATGAAATTTTTCCCATAATAATAATTATCATTATTGTTATTCAAACAAACATATCTGGTATAGGAAGAGAAAATGAAAACTAAACAACAAAATATAAAGCCTAAATGAATCTTTAAAAAACAATAAATGAAAACAACAAAAATTTTTTTTACCTTTTTAAATAAAAAATAATTGTTTTTTTTTTTGTTTTGTTTTGGTTTTTTTTGTACATGTCTGGGGGGGGACTGATTATTCTATAGGTTAGTATAAGCTGCAGCCTCTCAAGCTTGGCTATAAAATATCTTTTACTATAGTTGAAGTATGAGCTGATTTGGTTTGCAAAATAGTATTAAAGAATATTTTTATTGGAAAACAAAAGATAGCTATTCTAGTTTATTTAAAGAATTTGTAATAAGTTTACTTCAAGCTGCTATGTATATGTTGCTAAAATATATCATGAGTAAAAAAATAAAAAAAATTATTTAAGACAGATGTGGGCAAGTTAGAGGGTGGCTCTGTCTGAGTGTGGGTGGCTTAATTTCATTAGTGTAGGAGCCCCAAAAGTTCATAATCTTGCCCTGCCTAGAGGGTGGAGTCAATGTTTGATCAAAGATTTCATGAAAGGGTTGATGGTTTGCATGTACACCATTTTGAATGCACTTTATGTTTTTTATGGGGGTTTAGTTTAAATTTTGACTGAAAAAGGACTTCAGAAACCATTTAAAATTTTTTGATGAATTTCATATAAAGGTTTAAGTTGCATGATTTACTTAAATTATGTGATCTGTATTCTGAGAGTTTAAATTTCTGAGATGAATCACTGTTGTTATTACACAATTTTAGCATCAAACCATATAATAATTATCAATGTGTATTTATTTTTATATTTCCTGTCTCCTCTGTAGTGAGAACGGAGGTAAATCAATTAAAGTTAATTTATGAGTGATTATTTCCTGTAATCATTTTAAGCTATACAAATAAAATATTTATCTGCATTTGGACAATATTACTTCCCAAGCAAAATGAAATATTTATGTAATCAGTGCCTTTTTACATTTTTTAGATTGCAGTCTTATTTGTTCAAGTCTTTCATGTGAGGCCTTTGTCTATTAAGTGTTCATCTTTTTTCAAGTTGATCTTGAATTAGACTTTGTTGTTCTGTTGCTAATCTTTTTCTTCCGCAAGATATTTCCATTTCACTGTTATATTAAACATTTTTAACGTGAAAAGATATTGAGCAAAAATGATTTACATAATACCAGGAGTAATCAATGAATCATAGATATCATTGAACGTTTGAAAAATATTAAAGTAATGGATTAATTAACTCCTTCAGAATCTCATATAAATTATGTACACATGCCTTATGATTTCCATTTTTATTTTCAACTAACACTCAGAAATTGATGTAAGAAAGATGGATCATGTGACTTAAAAGATACCAATCTTTTTTCTTTCTTTAGGCATTAAAAGTTCATGGATTCAAGCCGCAGTGGGTGGATGAAAACTCTTGTTTGGAAGTCAAGCAAAAGGAAAAACATACAATCTACTTGTTAGACTATTTTGAAGGAATTGCTTTTGAACATCTGAAATCTTTAGGATCACGGTAAATGGTTGAAAATATCTATTTTTAAATGTGCGGTGAATTTACTCTAACAACTAACAAGACTGAAAATTTCCCCCATTTTTTAACTTTTTTTTTTTTTTTTTTTTTTTTGTACCAAGAAATTCTGTTAATACTTTTATTATTACTATTATTATTATTATGGGCACATGGCCGTTTGCTTTCTGACCATTTGACACATGTTCGAATCCCATCATAGTCAAGGAATGTGACTTCTTGATGTTATTAATCCAAGCATATGGCATCTTTGGAAAGTACCTGAAAACTATATCACAGGTTGACCCAAGCTTTGTGAGTGAAACTAGGTATGCCGAACTATTTGAGAGCCGTCAATGGTCGTGATAGGGTGAAGTCACACACCTTCATGACCATGGGTTTGAGTGTGCTGGCCTTAATCAGGCCAGATAATGTGCTCTCCAAGAAACTGTAACTGTCCTCTCTGTATAGTTGCAGTATAAACCACAGGTAGGCTTTGTGGGTGTTAAAAAATGTGCCTGTGTATGCGTCTGCAACAGGGATTGCTAGCCACCTTAGTAGACAGGCAACCTTGGATATGAGTTGCCAGCCATAAGATTGTTGTTATTGTTATATCTATTTTTATTTTCAGTTTTTAGTGTGTTTATTTTGCCTACAAAAATTATTTCATTTTGAAAGGTTCTTAGAATATTTGTTCTGAAATGTCATACTACTACTACTAATAATAATAATAGTTGGATTTCTTTGTACAAGAATTGAAAAAGATGTCTACACCCAGTTTTTGCTAGCTTGACACTTTAGTTTAAAAACAATGATACCATGGATTTTAATTAAAAGAAATACTTGAGATTTTGGTTAATTCAAACAGTTAGTCTTTAGAATAAAGATTTTTTTTTTTTTTTTTTTAGAAAACAGAAGAAAAATTTTTGGATAAATAATGCCCTTGGATTTTGGGTGTCACTCTATGAATGAAGCTTAAAGACTTCGTTCATGTGGAATTCGTAATTTTTGTCCCATTAAATCAAATATATTTCTTGCTAAACCACAAAGCTGCAGTTATTGGCATATAGTTAAGGCAGTGGCTATTTGTGTTGAAAATCAAGCTGCCATAGCCTCTTATTTCATTCATGACAATGACCACTGTTTCAAATACATATAACATTGCAATCAAAGGAAAATATGTTCCTTAACTTGGTTCACTTATATTTTTTTCTGTTTTAAGCTAGAATTCATTTGCATAAATACCACCTTTAGTGATGTCCCCTACTTGATGTCAAAACACCTGTTTATAGTATTTAAAATTATTTACAAATCCTAATTAATAGTCTCTTGTATACCACTATGGATGACAGGTGAGTGCAGATGACACAAGCCCCCCCCCTAATTATTTTTATTGTTTTTTTAAGAACAAATGAAGCCACACTGTAATTAGTAGTTAATAGACCAGAAGTTATCTTCCTTGGACAAACTTTTTTTTCTGTCAGTTTATATTGAAAATTGTATACAGTTTATACTTAAAGATTACTCTATAACACAAAATGAATTTATTCTTCAAATTTAGTCATTTTAACAATATTGTTCTTCTATATATAATTTTTGGTGTGTTATCTTAACAGACATACAAAAATTGGGTCATTATTATATAGATATTGAAATTAAACATAATGTAAATGCATTACTAATTCTAGAGATTAAACTTATATTTTCCCTCATTTTTCAGAATTCTGGGCCCAATTTGTGTTTTGACGTGTTTAGAATTAAAAGTGGTAAGTAAATTCTATAAAATATTGAAGAATTATTTTTTTTTATGTGCTGTGTCTCTTCAAGATGTGACCCTCCACAACTTTCTATTCCTTGTATCTGTAAGCAACATCTAACACTTTACCATTACTCTTTATGCCTGCTCTGTCATCTGTTCATACAAACTCATTAGGCAGGTTACTTGATGCTTGCCTCTGTCTCTTTTCAATATATCATGTGAGTGTTAATTTCTCCAAGCCCTCTTTCCTCATGTCTCTCATAAATTTTAACAGTTTCTTTCTGATTGTAAGTATAAGTATCTTTTTAGTTCACATTTTTCCTAAACCTTCCTCATTGCTCACATGTTCAGTCCAATTCTCAGTATTTGTTCATAGAACCACACCTTTGTTGGGCTTATGGCCACTTCACATTCAAACACCGGTTCTCATACGATCATTGAAGATAAGCAATGTTGAGCCTAGTCAGTACCTAGATGGGTCACTGCTTGGGAATATCAGGTGTTGTAAGCTTGAATGTGTGGATAGTGTAATGGATAATGGCCTAGTTCCAATTTCATATGGGTTCATTATACTCACTTACATGCATTATACTCACTTACATGCAAATACCCTTGAGAAAGTTATGAATCCACATCTTTCCTCCAGCTATGGATTAATTAGTAAGATATGTTACTAAGTCATTATTATCTACCCACCAAAATAGTGTTTAATATTTTTGTTGTTAGTTCTCAAGAAGAAATAAAATGTATGAATTCACTTTCATATATTAAGGTTTTATTAAAATTCTAATCATCACTTTTTAAAAGAATAAGCATTGCTTAAGAGTGAAGGTACTTAAAATAATAGTGATGTCAAGGGAAAAGATGTCCTTTTGACACTCTTTTCTTTCTTTTTTAGGCAGAAAGGTCCAATATTAGCAAAATCTTTTTTTCTGTTTACTTTTTATTCTTGTACTGTGCAAAATATTTTGGTAGATTGTAGAAGAAATTATTATCCTATTAGATAATTATTGTTTTTTAAAATGTTCTTTGCTTCATGCAATTTAATTTTTCTTCATTAACAGGAAATTCCTCGTACCAAAGTACCCATTCACAATCTTGCCATGAAGGATACTATAATCAGTTGTACAAACATTGACAAAGAACTCCGGGTAAGATGAATGCTTAGTTCCCATTCACACCTCTTTTAATGTTCCTTAGCCCACACTATATGTCAGATCAATAAGTCTGTAGCCTGATACAAGCTAAACTTAGATCTGGAAATTTCACTTTGTAATATCAGCTCTGTATGATCTATCGAAGTGTTGGTTGACAAGGAAAGAGATTATTTTAAAAAATAAATATTTATTATGTAAAGTAAATACTTTTTTCTTCATTAGGCTACAGACTTATTGATGAATCTACACATTTTGAAATCTTTTCATAAATTTTATTCTCATGTAATGTGAATGTGATCTTGCTAATCGCTTATGCATTCACTTTGATTCCTTTATCAAGTGGGCAGTCATGTGGATGTCACATTTGACATCATTTGATTACTATATAACTTTCAGCATGCTAAATTCTTTCTAGGATTGTCCCCTCGTCACTGCATTTTTTTTTTTTTTTTTTTTTAGTTCACAAAAACATGAAAATTTACTGTTTTAAAGTTGTTAGAACTTTGTATTGTGTGTATAGACTTTATTTTTTGTATACTAATAAAAGAATAGATGAGTAATATTTTGATGGAATGCATTACATTTTGCATGCATGTTTTGACACTGAAAACAAAAAAAACTGAAACAAATAAAAAACAATACATTAGCAATTTAATATCTGTTAAATTTTATTACTCCTTGTTGAGTTCTGGGGTGCAATAAGAAGCAAAATGGCTAAGAAGGCTTTCATTTCATCATAAACGTGACATGCTTCCTCGTGTTTATATACGAGAAGATACCAGCATTTGTTTGGTCTTTCTTTTACCTAACTAGCATATTTATTTGTCTTGTTAACAAATAAAGATATTATTTTGTTGTTTATAAATAGACAAAATAATTCATCTTCAGAAAGGCTATCAGGTACATCGATGGTCACCAGTAGCTTCCATAAAATTAGTCAGCCATGGATATAGCCGCTAGTGGCCATCATCGATTTTCTCCACTTCACTAGTGTAGATCTTCAACCATTTCACCTTCAATATATAAACAAAATAGATTTACAAGTAGAATATTAAATACAATTATTTGACAAAACCTTTAATATTTCTTTATTCAAATATATCTTCTTTTAAATTTTACTTTGTTTTGATATTCATTTTTTTAAAGTTATGCTTTTATTTACTCTATATGTGAAAATAAATTCAAGAGAATAGAAATTCTCAAGTTTGAGCCTTATTTCATGCTCAAAATATAACCTTAACATGAGAAATTTCAGTTATTATTACTCAATCAACTTAGAAAAAAATTCTCTGGCATTATGAGAAAGTTATATAAAAAAGTCAATGTCACTTATTTAAGAGAGAGAAACTGCCACAAAACAAAAGGACATCAGTATTTCGTAACATTAATTTTTCTTAAAATATTATCTTTTCATTTCAGGAATCCATTCATGCTAAAGTTTTAATGATGGGTGGAGAAATTAGCCGAAATCTTACTGAACATGTGACCCATCTTGTAGCAGGGTCAGTTGGCAGCAGTAAATATCAGGTAACAATTGATTTATTTTTATCAATATCAATCAGTGTATTAAAGTTACTCAAAAAGATGTAAAGATACACTCACTCACAGGTTAATTTATCTGACTGGAGTAAAATTTATGTCACAGGTGATCTCATATTTTTAGCTTGCATATTTATTTTATGTATATATATTTTAGATTACTTTGTCCAAAACTAAGGTTTAGTCTTCCTACTCTACTGTATGTCAACCACCATCCCAAACATCCTACATTGCACTCATTACAAATTACTATATCTGGTATTAACAATGTTACACTGTTTTTATATATGTTTTATATAACATTGCCTTCTCATTACCATCACCTTCCCTCCCCACAACCAATCTAAAGTATCCATCTGGTGTATTTTCTCCATTTACAGAGGAGATTTCCATCTGAAGAGTTGAACATCTCACTGTTCACAAATTAAATTTATAATTGAAATGGATAATTAAAGTCTCCATCTTATCATTTTATATATATATATATATATATATATATATATATATATTATAAAAATTTTTTTTCTTCACCAAGTTCTTAGTAATGATTGACACATTCAAATGTACTTGAAGAAAAACAGAACAACTCAAACTTTGGACAGTTTTATCAACAATTATTATACTGATGTAGATAAAAAAAAAACATGTCAAGTTAGAACCTAAACCCTTCTCTCAATGGTTATAGATAAAATAGCGGGGCCACCAGTCCTCTAAAGCCTTGGTTGGGAGAAGGAACACTCCGAATTCAAGACCCTGTACGGGCAAAAATAGCAAAAAGTTGTGAGAGGGACCTTCAGTTCCACCCAGTAAAAAGCACAAGTTGAAGGAATAATTGGATCTCGGTCTAGGTTAATTTCAAGATGCATTTGTCCAAAATTATGGTTTAGTCTGATGTCAACTGTATGTCAACACTTCTGTCTTTCTCTCTTTCTCTCTCTCTCTCTCTCTCTCTTTCAATCATTTCACCCTAAGCAAGGCAAGAAAGATGCAAGGGGTTACTGGGATAATCTAAGAAAAATAACTTTTAAGGAAAGAGGACATTAAAAGTGCATAATTCAAGGAAAGAGAAAATACCGATTGACATTCCATTTAAATTTTTAAACATCAATGTTGAATGAAAATCAAAGAGTTCCACATCGAGAAGTGTAAGAGAAGAAATTCTTAACATAGAATTTATGGTTACATCTAGCAATTTCAACTGTAAAATGATGAGACCTAGCTGTCAGTCCTGGAATTTAAGTGCAGTACTAAAGTCAAGGTACCAAAGAGGAAAGTAATCAGAACAGTTACCATGAAAACATTTATAGAAAAGGTACGAGGAAGTGGTGAGAAAGTGACTGAATCCAAGATGCTAAGTCAGGACCAATAACATTGCAGATTTTTAATTGGATTCTCTAGATATATAGCAGAAGCCCCTGACAAGATGTGGCAGCAATAGTCAATATATGATCGAAGGGTAGACTTATAAATGTGTAAGGTAGATTGTAAGATTAATTGTTTGGCATGACATGGTGAACACGGCAGCAGACTTAGCAATTGATTCAATACCAGAAACTTAGTGCTATATATATAAATTTCTGTTTCCCAGGTTGCAAGCAGTTTAAAGAAACCGATAATGCTGCCAGAATGGGTAAATCGAGTGTGGGAAGCAGCTCAAGAAGGGTAAGTCTTTCTTGGATGATTTTGTTACATAGTAATTCATTGTCTTGTGTTGTTATTTGGGGAATCTGTCTGGCATTTTCACCTTTTTATTTAATGTAAACATTTTAACAGGTGAGCTCTTTCTCAGGGGTGTATTGTTGAACTTGGACATTTTTTATTTTTTATTTTTTTAAGACTACCATATTTTTCTGCTTATAAGATGCATTTTTCCCTATAAAAACAAAAACCCTACTTCCTATAAATCAAAGGTTGGTGACATGTTGAGTGGTGACCATGGTGGTACTGGTAACCAAATCATAAATCAAACCTAATATAGTGAGAACTTTCAGTAAATTTTACACTGTGAAGTTAGTATTTGTGATAAACTTGTCAAGGTTACTGCTGATGAGGATTTAAAGCTATAATACTAGTATTGATTCAGCAGTATGGTAAGCTCTGTCATATGTTTTAACCTATGCACAAATCAAATTTAACCTTTGTTGTAGAGTAGGGCTTGGCATACTTTCTGCTCTTCCCTACTACTGTGATAATGAACTGCTCCTATTTATAAATATGGCAAGTAGCCACATTAGAGGAGGATTTGAGTAGTATTTGATTAACTCAAGTTATTCTATTCTGTGTACAAGTATTTAATAAACCCTTTCATCTTTGTTTCCTCTACCGAGTCATCTGTTCCTTTGGTATTTTCCCTAACTATGGCCTTCCTAATTCTCAGCTATTTTGAACAAAGACAACATTACAACAATCTTTTACCTATTTATATTATTCGGACTATTGTCCTCATCTTTCTCGCTATATTTATTACAATGTTTCAGCCGTTGTACACTCCTGCCTTCTTCAGGTGGTTGGAATGTCAAATTGAACCCTTTATTTCGCTCATTGGGGTAGACTGTTCTAGTTCCACATGCCATGTTTAATGGATGTCAGTTATCAGTTACCTCCTGTTAATTTCCCTCACCAGGTATTGAACTCACACTCTTTGGGTCCTGTCACTGGATCTAACTAACACCTTTATCCACTGTACCTGTATCCAAATTCACACGTGTCTAATTCAAAATTAACCTTTAGCACGCACATTAAGTTCTTTCTAAAATTGTTCTCCCTGCCACTGCATTTTTTTTTTTTTTTTTTTTTTTTTTGAACATGTACTGTTTTAAAATTGTTATGACTTTGTATTGCAGTCATGTTTCGAAGCATATCAATGCATCTCGTGATTGTAAATTACTGGCAAGTGAACAGTTTATTTAGATTTAAAAGCAAAATACAACCTCTTTACAAAAAAAGACAGGTTTGTGGCTTTACTATGATCAACCAATCAAATATGACTTATAGATAAACTAAGCGAAGAAGTAAAAATTACAAAATTATTATGGCATTGTCTAGCTTGTATAATTTATGTATCCATTTACATCCACTCTGTTTATGCCTGGCTGCCAATCTAAGGGTCATGGCTCATTTATAAAAACTAATTTAATTTTTGCTTCTTTGCTTAGTTTAAATTTAATGTAGGTCATATTTGACTGGTTGATCAGAGTAAAGCCCACAAACCTTATACCCGGCTTTTTCTTTTTTTTTTTTTTTTCTTAAAAGGGTTTGTATTTTGATTTTAAATCTAAATAAATCATTCACTTGCCAGTAATTTACAATTGCCTGATGAGATGCATTGATACACATCGAAATACAACTGCAATTGTGTAGCGATTTTGACATGTTTTCAGTGTTGTATCCTAAAATAAAAAAAATGTTGCTCTACTTTGTATTGAGCCCTCTTTTGAATTAAATGTTACAAACGTTGGAATTGTACTCTATTTATTCTCATCTTACCTGGAGATTATATAATTGTTTCAAATTTGCTTATCAACAAAATAGGGCTCTTTTACAAATGCAGAAATGAAAACAAATTCCTACTACACTACCTATAACCACATCACAACTCAAAATACTAAATAATATCTCATAGCCTAAATGTAGTAAACTTTATTTTAAATAGCAAAATGTAGGACTAAAAGAATAAATGGGGAAAAAAATACATGGTCAGGACTATAAATTAAAAACGTTACTATTAAAAGCCAAAAAACTGGGCAGGGCTGGTTCATTCTTCTTCTTTCACTTTTCATAGATAGCCTCCAGTGACCTATATATGGAGCATGAATAATGAATAGTAACATATAGTCTGAAGATTGCTTGAGGCATGAAACTGACAGTTATGGAGCAGTGTTGATTTATTTGTCCACACTGTTGTGGATATGTTAGGGTTAAAATTTCTCAGCCCAGCTTACCTGCCAAAAACAATATTTTAAAAACCAAGCATTAGAATACTTATTTTGAGAAATGGGGGCTGTACTTGGAACTTTTCAACAACCTCTATCTGTTTGTTTAGTTAATGCTTTTCACAGAATGCACAGATACTGCACTCCCATTATAGGTATGCACACACAGTCCAATCCTAAATGGAAGTGTCACTCCATATATCAATAATCCTATTATTTTTTTAATGTGTTCTATGTTAGTTTCACATAGAAAATGTTTAAATTTTGTCTACAACACAAAATGCATCTTTCGTTATTTACCCGTGTTTATTGAATTAGACAAGTTTTTAATATTTATATTAAATTTTTATTTATTTATTTATTTTTTTTTTCAATTTCTTTATTGTTGAACTTTTTTTTATTTTTTTTTAGTTCTGTTTATTGCAATGATGAAAAATTCCAGAAGTACCAGTGTCCAGTATTCAAAGGACTTACAATTACTGTGTCTGGATTGGATCCAGCCGAAAGGAAAGAAGTAAAAAAATTGGCTGAAATGGAAGGTAAAAGAATCCAGATATCTACTTGTCAAACTTCAATTTCCTACCAGAAACATTTACAAGTTAAGCTTGTGATGAAGATAAGCAACCAGACCAACGAAAAAAGCGAGAAAATATTTTTTAAGATTATGAGAATTTTTTTTTTTTTTTTTTTTGAGATAATAATGGTTTAGTGATATGTTGGATTACTGGCCCCTGATGATAATCACAGGTGGCAAGATATTGAATTACATGTGACACAAGCAAGACATATTCAGGCCAGTAGACAAAAATAAACATACTGTTTAATAAATAAATGGAGCTTCTACTGTAATATGAGTATCCACTAAAGATAATGTTTAAGGTGATAAGATATATATATATATATATATATATTTGGGCAGCAACCTTTCTTTGAAACCTCTTTTGTTAAATATGATGAACCTGGAAAATTTTATAGATTTTTCTTTTTTTTTTTTTTATATTTACTTTTTCCAGTGTTCTTACAATGTTCCATTTGGTGGGCGTGAGGGAGTACAAAATTATCCCAGGCCTCACTTTCCAGCCTCTATAGAGTCCAAAAGTGTCTCAGAGTTTTTATGGAAGGACAAATTATTTTCAACCCTCCAGTTTCTCTCTCACAGGAAGGATGTGGCAAGCCTATCACTACTCTATCACTACTTACACGGAAAGTGCTCAGATGAACTGCATTCCTTGTTTCCGCCAGTTCTGTCACAACTAGGACCTGCCATACCAGTCACATTGTAACAAACAACCCTCATTCCCTCTGTATTCCATTTGTGTTGCCTTGATAAATCCAAATACTTTTTCTATTTTCTTATTTTTATTTTTTAAAATTTGTTTTTCAGGTGCTAAATATTCTGGAGAAATGAAAGTCGATGAATGCACACATTTGATTGTTAATGAACCAAAAGGCAAGTGAGAGATTCTCTTATTCTTGATATTAAACAGAAAGAAACTGTTTATGTAATTAATGTGTGGGCACAGATGTCAACACAGAGTGGTGATATTCATGTTGAATACAATTTTCAGCACCACTGGGTGTTGACATCAGTGTCCACATGTCTTATATTTGCAAACTCTCTTCCCTGGATATCGAGCACCTTTCAGTCAGTTATGTGCCATGCGTGATACATGCTTAGGTGATCATGTATCTTTTGGTACATGATTGACGAGGCAGATTTTTTCCCCACAGTAGGTTGCCATTTCTTTCTGCAGTAGACCAGTTGCCATGTAAGGCTAGAGAACCTGGTCTGTCCTGCTATTTAGCCATAGCTGGAGAGGGTGGGGAAGAGGATTCATACCTTTCCCAGGGGTATTAGTACGTAAGTGAATGCAATGGATTCAACAGGAATTTGAACTCGGCTCTCAATTCCTCAATCCGAGCCGCTATCCATTACTCCACTGTGCCTCCTTGAGCACCTTTACGCCATCAATACAGAATACCTTAAAATTATATTTTATCATTTTCTCAAATATTAATATAGTTATTTAGGATTGTTTAAATAGAGGGTGAAAAATGTATCACCAAAATCCAAAGGTACAATGGGATAGCGAAAGGTGCCTTCCAAAAGCTAAGCAAAGTATTAAGAGACTGGAAAATTTCATTAGTAACGAAGAAAAAGAGTACTTAGCTATTATTTAATATCAGTACTCCTATATAGCTGTAAATACTGGACAGTTTTGTAGATTAACCTTTAGCACTATGTAGAAAAGTAAAAAGTCCCGCCAATGTAAGTTAAATTTGAATTTCTTGGTTGTGTAGTCATATCCTTCTATGGCAACACCTAAGAGAATCCTGACTGAAATTGAGAGCCAGACTACTGCAATTTCAAATATATAGAACTAATATATAAAACACTATATTTTGTGGGGATTCCATATACAGTAAAAGGAGAAGTAACATCTATAAATGATGCAGACTGCTAAATGTTAAGACTTGAAGCAACAGAAATGTGGTTCTACAGAAGGTTGCTGAGGTTACCATGGACTGAACACATGAACAACAAATAAGATTTAGAAAAAATGGAGACAGAAAGAACACTTATACCTAGTCAAAAGAGGAAAGAGGGCTTAGAGAATTTGGCATTCACAGGAATGAAGGCCAGAGAGACAAAGGAAAGTGAAGCATAACCTACCTAACAAACTTGTGTAAATGGTTGACAGAATAGGGATTAGGAAAAATAGCAAAAAGACAAACTTTACTAAGAGCGACAAAGGACAGGAAAATGTGGAGAGCCATCATGTCCTGAAAGGCCTATTCAAGAATGGCAATTTCTCCCATAGACAAAGTTTGATGGTGGTCGGTCTGTCAAATTTTAAGTTGCCTGTCTGACTTTCCTTCTCTGATTGTTGAAGCCAATTTTCACTTTGAACTTGAAAAGGCTTTTATGCACTGCCTGCCTGCCTTGAGGATCATCATTCAAAGGCTACAGCTTCTCATGTGTCCATGGTGATATCTAGGATCCCCACATCTCTTTTACAGACATCTTTGTAACATTGTTCTGCATAAGAAGGCCTTTCTGAGTTGGCTCTTCTTACTGGAAGATCCAAAATGTTTCAACGTTAAATAACACACAAAGCGTTGATAAACCATAAAAAACAAATCAAACATGAGGTCTCTATGTAATCAACTGTTATCCATTTGCACATTACATATTTACATTGTTTGGACTGTTGTCCTCATCTTTATTCCCATATTCACAGCCGTTTCGTCCATTGTATACTCTAGCCTTCTTCTGGTGATATTTGTTGGAATTTCGAACTGAACCCTTTTAGTCCACGGAGATAGATTGGTCTAATTCCACATGCCATGCCTTTTTTAGATACCTCAGTTTCAGTTAACTCCCCTTGGTTTTTTGATGGGCATAATTACATATTATCAAACGTATATAAAAGTTTGGAATGTAATTTCATATTCTGGACAAAGGGAATTAAAAAAATCCATTTAACCATAAATTTGTTATGATGATGAGCATCATTACTTCTATTTTTTTTTATTTTTTTTTAATTAATTCACCCTAAGCAAGGTGATAATGCCACTAAGACGCAAGAGGATACTAGGAGTGAAAGAGAATGAGAAGACATTAGAAAGAACCAGAAACCCAATCCTAAACAGGAAACAAGGGATAAACCTCCATTCTTGTTCAAAAATCCTGGGAGGAGTGCAAACTGGATGATTTTTTGACAAAAGCTCACTGTAAACTAATTCTTTTCTTTGTTAAAAATATCTGATATTCTAGATTTAATAAAAACAAAATCTCTAACCCTGTATGGTTTTAGAGATCAGTTAGTGGAATATAGAAAGATTTCTTGATCACATTCTGTCAAGTCAAGTACTGACAGATCATTATCAAGTATGGCTGAAGATTAAAAACTGTACAAAAACATGTACTGATTTTGGTCATAGTGTGACACAAGTCCAAATACAGGAAGGAAGATTGTGTTGCATCTATCTTTCAAGTGAGGAACCTACCTTACTTGAAAATCAACATTAAAAAATTTGTCTTAGGCTTGAACATTGAACTCTTGTGGAAAATAGGCAAATATTTTAGCCACCAAATATAAGAAAAAAAATTGTTTTAAATTCTTTCACTTTTTCATTTACAGTATTCACTGCTAATATAAATACTTATACGGCTTAGTGTGGCACAAGGACACAGGAGTAGAGCACTTGTTGACTATCTACTGCAGGCACCATCTAGATATTTACTAAACTTTAATCTGACACAAGGCCACAGAATGAGGGGAGCAAACAAGAAAAAGATTGTATTGCATTGAATTCCTAAATGGATAGAATTTATTTGTCTTGAAAATCAGGATTCATAGTCTTGGCTTTTATTTGGGCTAGAAATAAGGAGTGGTATTAACAAAAATGTAAGGAATTTGATCATGAAAAAATATATTTACATCTATATAATAAATGCGAAGGTCAGTGTGTCACTGTGTCACACTTTTTCAACTTTACTCCTAGTAGCTGTAGCCAACATATCATACCATTTTGGAATCAGATTGACTCCACAAGCAAATTAAAAACATTCTGGGCCTTGGTCTGGAGCCACAATCCTGAAATTTTGGTTTCCCAGATTTTTTATAACTTAGAAATAAATTTGGGAATAATCAAAATTAATTGCCAAAAAAAAAAAAAAGTAAGCTAAAATATTAATGCAATACTTAAATACAGTGATCAATTTTAAATTCACGGATATTGTACAGTAATATAATAACTGTTGAAATATTACTGATATTTTTTTTTTTTTTTTTTATCTTTTCAGGACAGAAGTATGAGTTTGCACGTAAATGGAAAATTTGTATTGTCAAGCCCCAATGGTTATATGATTCCATTGAAGTACGTTCTTGCCTAAAAGAAAGTGAATATAGCGTGTCTTCTGAAATGTCAATTATGATGACCCCCAACAGCTTACGACAAATGAAAACATCAACACCAACTAAAAATACTAGCACAGGTTAGTATGCTCCAACATCACTAGTTTGACTTTAATTGTCAGTTCAAAATTAATTCTGAATCTTTACTGTGTTTGTAAGAGATTAGAACTGGATATCTTATCTATTTGGCAATATTAAAAAATATGCTCATAATGAAATAAGATGGCTGTGAGACAGCAAAGGACAGATTGGATTCATGTAGTTTTACATGTGATTGAATGAAGATGAAGCATGTCATCTAGTCAAGTGATTTAAGTATACATCAAAATTATGTGGCATTGACTATGAAAACATATAAACAATCAATTAAACACAGTGGTCAAGTGAAGTCAAGATTGTACGTCCTAGTTGATAAAAGTCAGTGTTAAATTATTTTTACCTTTTTGTGTGGTCAGCTGAAAGTGGTTTCTTGTTTGACAGAATAAAAAGAAAAAACTTAATCTCTTTTTCAGCTTCTTATTTTTTCTTAATGATATATTATTTTTCTAATATTTTGTTTATGTAAATTTTAATATTTTTTAGCTGACATGACTTTGTCAAACATATCAGCCATCACACATTTGAGTGACACTGTGTGTAACTCTGTTCTAACATCTAACCAGACAACATGTAATAATGGTTTTGAGAAAAGCAAAGCAGTCAGTGTCGACCAAATTGATATATCCCAAGTGTCATCAGATCCTTTTTTAGATGGATACAAGGTAAATCTAATTTTTATTTTCATAGATAGTTTCTTTCTTTGCTAAAAATTAGGATTTAAATGGTTTGAGAAAAATTTTTTGAAAAGTTAAGTTTTCTAGAGAAGTAAAGTCTCCGATCCTACAAGACACATTTTAATTCTGATAGAATAATGAAATTGGTAACAAAATGGAGTTTATTTATTTCTCTGCAGAATTACAAGAGTTGATTTATAAGTTTCTTTTTTTCTCAGTTGTACAAAACAAGTTTTCGACCAAATACAATAGAATGATAAAAATACTATTCAAACATTTTATCAACTTTTTCATTTCATCCCTGAAAGTTTCTGACACAGCAACTTCAACTTCAACCTCAGATGACATGTTGACCTTTCAATATGCCTTTCAATTTTGGGGAAAAACTATAAGTTTGATTGTCTAAATTAAAGCTGTACAGAGAGAGAGTTTACAAAAACTGAATTTCAGGCTTATTATTATTATTATTTTCACTGTTTGTTAACTGTAATGCCGTCTTGCACAATTGTCATGCAAGAAAGTTCTCCTTTGTTGTCTTATTCTTCACTTGGATGTTCTACAACTGACCAACAGATGGTGTTACTCAATAATGTCACACAGCATGTTTTACCCCAAGTGAGGCAATAAAGCCACTAAGACACAAGGAGTTACTGCGAGAGAATATGAGAAGAAAACCTTATTAAAGCACAAAAACAATAAAAGAAGAAGAATTAAGAAGACAGAAGATAACAATTGACATTGCATTTAAATTTTTGAAGATTAAAGTTGACTGGAAAGCAAGAAGCCAGAAGAGAGTTCCACAAACAAGAAGTAAGAGAAGAAACTCTCAGCATAGAACTTAATTACATCTCACCGTTTCAACTGTAAAATAATGAGACCTAGCCACCAATCTAGTACTGTGCTTAAATTCATAAAGGTACCAAAGAGAAAAGCTCATCAGAATAATTACCATGAAAATATTTATAGAAACAGCACAGAAAAGTGACTGAGGCTGAGATGCCAGGTCAGGACCAGTAACATTGCAGATTCTTTGTATTTTATAAGGAATCTCTAAATATATAGCAGAAGCACCAGGCCAGATGTGGCAGCAATATTCACTGCATGGATGAATAGTAGACTTATAAATATGTAAGAGATTCTGGCAAAAAAAATTATTTAGCATGACACAGTGAGCCAACTTTCATAGCAGCAGACTTAGCAATGGATTCAATATCTATTACCAAATATATGTTCAAATCTGTTTTTATCACTGCGATTAGATATGCTATTGGTTCAAAGACTAATTCTTGTTAATTAACCCTAATAGAAACAGGATTCAATTTTATTTATTTGCAACTTTTAATACAAATCCTTATTAAAGATTTGGCAATATCTCATAAAATTAATTTTATCCTCTCAGAAATTTTTCACTGTAAAATTTCTTGAGTAGAAATGAAAACGATAATTCATTTGAAAATAACACAAAATTAACCAGCTTTTGAGTTCAAACTTTTTTCTTTATTTACATTAGGTTTATGACTTTTTTGTAAAATAATTGATTTCCTGTATCAAAATTCAATTTTTTGTTAAAAAATAATAAATCAGTTTATTTTTTTTAAAAATGTCACCCACATGAAATTTCTAAAATTGTACATAAATATAGTACAGGGAGGTCTGAAAGTTTTGTCACCCGCTACCAAAAAGTAATGAGTGCAATAGAAAAACAAGTTAGTACAGTAATAGAAAGTACATGTACTGGATTCGGTTTATTCACTTTCATTGACTATCATGTGTCTATACACACTTGCAAGTAGCCTCTCTTTCAAACTGTAGGAGCTCGTGTCAGCCATCTTAAATAGAAGATTTATATTATGTAGGTGTGACAAGACTTTCGGACCACCTTGTAGTACTATGACTTTCTGAAGCCTTCTAGGACTTGTTTTGTTTATGCTATAGCTGTATGTTATGCTATAGCTATAAACTGTTAAATGCATTAAAACACACATAAGTACTATTTAGTTATACATGATTAGAAAATTGAAAAATAAAGCTTCTGAAATTTTTTTTTTATTTACCCTTGTGTATATGACAAAATCAAATTTTCGGTTTGGGGTGACCTTTTTCAAGAATTAAAACAGATTAATGCCTTTTACATTAGTTTGGAACGAGTTCATCAATTTATGACATAGGAAAGAGGGTTACAAAAAAGTCAGAACTAATATACATGTATGATGATATAGCTTCAAATTGGAAAATCATTTCTTAATTACATAAAATGCATCTTTATATACCGTTGTTACTATTTTTATTAGTATTTACTTAAATTTTTTTTGTAGCCACGGCAGTTTTTATATGTTTATATTCACAGAGACTAAATAAATTGATTGATTGATTGATTTGTTTTTGATGGTTTATCAACCCTTTTGCCGGTTATTAAAAACCAGGAAATATTTTCAGATTGTAAGAATTTTTGGGGAGATGATGATTTAGCGATACAAGTTTTACTAATTAATCCATAGCTGAGGAGAGAAAAAAGTGGATTCATACCTTTCCCAAGGGTTGAGCATCACTGAATATAACAAACCCGACTGAAATTGGAACGCTGGTCTCCAATTAACAATTCCTGGCTATTATCCATTACACCACCTGCACATCTAAACTAACCACACATGGCATTCCTAAACAGTTATCCATCCAGGTACTGACCAGGTTCAATGTTGCTTAACTTTGGTGTTTGTACAGGAACCAATGTTTCAACACTATATGGTTGTAAGCAGAAGATGGTTGGAGAATTGGCCAACCAAGATGCTCTAGGACTAGATAAACATAATAGTCTGAAGAAAGTCGTTGAGTAATAACAACTCATCTTAAAATTTGAGTCATAAATTCCTTATTTTCTTAACAAGGCTAAACCAAGTAAAGTCCGAGCAACTACATGAAAATTGCTTTTATTATTCTTTTTAATATTGCTTTTCTCAAACAGCCCCCCCTCTTAATGACAGAAATTCTGTCCCTTGTTTTGTTTTGAGAATTATTAAAATTTCCTAATTGTTTCACAGCATTCTTATGTAATTGTATTCTATTTTAATATCTGTTTTTAGATTTATGTCAGTGGGTTCCGTGGTGCTGATCTAGAAAAGCTGAGAAAAATCATTAACATTGGTGGTGGAACAAGGTAGGAATTTTTTTTTTTCCAGTGATGATTATGATTATTGTTGTTGTTGCAGCTGCAGTGCTTTTATTAGGTACCTCCAAAGATTCACTCAAAAATGAGCAGCCCATTATGAAAAAAATGCCCCAAACTTAATTAAACAAAGTTTTATCATCAAAATCTTTCCATCATTATTGAGAGCAAACACCAAAGGATTTTTTTATTATATTTTTTAATCTTTTTAAAACCTTTGAAATTTTGATTAAAAATGTTTTTTTTTTTCTTGTGTCAGTGGGTGACCATAAATTTGCATGGGAAATTTTAGTGTCTTTTTGTGATGAAAAACACATTGAATTTGGAATCAAATAATTGTCAGATTTTAATGAAACTTTCAGGACTTGTTCCCAATGTTGTTGTTTTTTTTTTTTTTTTTTTCATTTCACCCTTAGCAAGGCAATAACGCACTAAGATGCAAGGGGTTATTCAATATTAAAGAATATGAGAAAAATACTGTTAAGGAGATGGAACAATAAAAGATCAAGAATTAAGAAGATAGAAGATTGCATTTAAATTTTTGAACATCAAAGGTGACTTTGGAGCAAGAACCCAGAAGAGTTTCCACAAGCAAAAAGTGCAACAGAAGAAACTCTTTGCATAGAATTTATGGTTACATTTAGCCATTTCAACTGCAATTTTTTGCCACTCTAGTACTGTGCTTAAATTCATAGCCTCTAGGTACTGTAGAGGAAAGTTCATCAATGAAGGAAATTCTTTTAGAAGTTTTCCCGTTTTAGAAAATCTTGGGTTTTTTTTTTTTTTTTTTTTTTTTTTTTTTTTTTCTTACATCTGCTACACCACTCCCTTATTTAATCTTATGAAAATTCCAAGAAATTCATATTTGTTGGGCTTAATGTTTATATTAGTTATAAGCAAAAGTCCTTGAAGAATTTAAATCATCAATTTTTTTTCTTTTATTTTTGCATTTGTTACACCACCCCTTTTATTTAATTTTATGAAATTCCAAGAAATTAATTTTTGTTGGGTTTAATGTTGTAAACAGGAGTCTTGGAAGAATTTAAATCTTTTTTTTTTTTTTTTTTTTTTTGAAAAGTGACCAAAAATCTGCTCCGATTTGAAAAATAAAAAAAAAACTAAGCAAAAAAATTAAGGCATTTTTTAATTTGTAAAGCTTTTGAATGCTTTTATGGACACTATTGTCTTAAGAAAAACAAATTTTTCAATGGATAATAAATTTTTACAATAATTGTTTTCATTTTATTTTTTTTATTATTTTTTTTTTTTTTTTCCTAATTTTAATTAGAATAATTAATCAAATTTAAAAAAATTTTAATTTTGTATTTGTAATGGTTAGGTGATATTGTTACTAAGTAAGAATTATATTTTCTAACTAATGGAAAAGATTACTACAATTCAGCATCCCCCCACACACACATTTTAAAAAGAATTCTAATTTTTTGTTTTTGATTTTTTGTAAATATGGATGTCTTTATACAACATTATCACAAAATAAGAATGGTAACTATAAGGAATTAAAAACCAAAGAACTTAAAATTCAATAAAACATTAGAATACTTAAAATATTTCACTAAATTTTTAAGATTACTGGGTAATTAAAAAATTATATACAAAAGGTGCTCATGTTATATTTGTCAAGTAATTTTTATGGACATATCCCCCCATAAAAAAAAATTCCAAGCATAAATCTATTGAGATAGTTGTCAACACCTCATAAAAACACCCACTTCCATGTTAAAAAATTCATTTTTGTAATATTTTAAACTTAAAGTAATATTTGTTTCAAGTTCGATTAATTAAATGTCAAATCAGCAAATCTTCCTCAAATAAAGTTTCAGAAAAAGATTTTATTTTTGAAAGATTTTTTAATAAAGAGAATTGTAAATATGCTAAAATCACAGATTTTTAGTGACTTTTTTTTTTTTTTAATTAATTCCAATCAATTTAAATTAGTTTAAAGTATTCTGCTTATTGGAAACATTAAATTTAACCCATTAGCTTGAAATTAAAACTAAAATAAAAGCTTCAAGAAAGATTTTTCATTTTTCAAAATTCATCTTAAACCTTAGGTATCACTTTCTTTGAGTGATACCTAGTTTTAATCTCCTTCTTCCAGAAGGTCTCAAACTGATCTTTGGCACAGAGTAATGATCATGGATTTGAACTATAGATTTATTCACTTGTACCTTATCTGAAAAAAAACATCCAGAACTCTTGGGTTACATTGAATATAAATATCTGAAGGAATTTCATCAATGATTTCAAACATTTTTGTAATTTTTTTTTTTTTTACTATTATTTATTTATTTATTTTAAAATCTATTTTTTATTTTATTTTATTTATTTTTTTTAAATTTTTCTTTTAACTGGATTTTTATTGTAGCAATAAACACTCATATAATACTAAACTTTACTTGTGAAGACTTCTTGGTTAATATTTGAGAAGAAATACCATAATGAAAATAGTTGATTGGTTTTATGACTTAATCCTTGTTAGAAAAAGATTATCAAATGCAACATATACCCAACAAAGGTTGGAGATAACATTGGCTGAAGTAAAACAGCAAAGAGAAAAACATTATTCTGAATAATTTATAAAAAATTGTAAATATTTCAGTTTTTGTACATCTATTGCATCATTTATGTATGTTTGTTTATTGTTTTGGTATGAAGGAAAATTATTTTGGAAAGAAAGTAAAAAGGCTTTTATACTTAATGTTATTGTACAATAAACTAATGATTGTTAAGACCAATTGTTAACAAGTTGGTCTTATAAGCTAGTGAGTTTGATCCCCTCTAAGTGAACTAGCATTCTAATGGCTATGTGTCAAACTAAAACAATAGTAATTATCCACTGAATTTTAATAGAATCAATTTTGACTATTGCTTTTCTGTATGTTTTGCAGGTTCAATGTATTGAATGAACAGGTGACTCATGTTGTGATTGGAGAAATTGTAGCAGCCGATATTGAATATCTTCAAAAAGCAGCACCTCGGTATGTTTTGTTTGTTTTAATTTCTCTTATTCAGATATTTTCTTTATAAATAATTAATTCTAATTAAATAAAGTGTCTTTTTCAAGTGAAATGAAATCTATAAAAAGTGAGGAGAGCTGAGTTCCAATTCCAGTCGGGTTCATTATATTCACTTAACACAAATGCCCTTTGAAAGATATGAATCCACCTGCTATAGGTTAATTAGTAAAACTTGTATCACTATATCATCATTATCTAAAAAAAAAAAAAAAAAAAGAAAGAAAAAAACTTATAATCTAAAAATATTTTCTGGCTTTAAATAACCTTCAATGGGTTAAGCTGTAAAATAAAAAAAACGAATCAATCAATCAATGAAATACTGATTAGATACACAAGCATGTCTTTTAGATTTATTTACATTCTCTGGAATATAAATGCATAGAAACTACCATGGCCACAAAGTGAGGGATCAATTTATTTAGTGTAATGTAGAATTGATCCTCCACTTTATATCCAAATTATAATTCCTTGTTTGTTTATTGAATTCTGATTAGGTATATGTGGAGAATTGCCTCGTAGGTCCAAGAGGGCTAGAGTAGAGTAGCCTATATGTGCGAGCAAATTGCTAGTCAGGCAGACTGTCTGAGCATCGGCGCTGGAATGACGAGGTGCATGCGTCAGTGAGTCAGATTGAGGCTGGCAGCATGGCCAATATGCAAATTCTCTGGCTCAGCAAGAATGTATAAAAAAGGCAAGTTCTGGTTGAGTCAGCAGAATGAAATTGGGCATTCAGTATAGTTCATGTCAATGCATGCTAAACCAGAATTCGTTGTGGGGGTGTTTTCAGTGTCTGTGCTACAGAATTCCAGGTTTCCTGCTACAGTATGAATCAACCTCTTCTCCCCCCCCCATGGGTTAATTAGTAAAACTTGTATAATTAAATGATTATTATCTTGAAAAAAAATTTTTACAATCTAAAAATATTTTCTGGCTTTAAATAATACAGCTTTAATGCCATAGAAAATCAATCAATAAATTACTGATTAGCTACGTATGCATGTCTTTTAGATTTATTTACATTCTCTGGAATAGAAATGTCAGTGCAGGAAATACCATTTTCCCAAGTTAGTGTTTTACCATTACAAGTGATTCCTTTCAGCTATATCCTTTATTTTTTTCTAATTTCCAGCTGGTTAATGGTAGATAGAATTGTGTTGAGGCATATTTATAGATAATGGATCTGCTGACACTGATGAGTTTTGTTTGTTTAACCTTTACCACGCTAGAGGCAAAAATTGTTACCATAGAATTCTCTCCCTTTGCAGCTCTAGGCGTATTCTGTTGCGTTGAGATGGTTGCTATAAATAAACACTTGTCAACTGTTATTTCCACTATTTCAAGCTGGAAATTGCCTACTACTGCTTTGGAACGAGGCTAAACTTCCTTTTTCTGACACCATTTTGAATTCTTCTAGATTCTACACAAGGTGTAACATCAATTAAACCTATGTTAATTTTTTAAAATTACAGTGTACAATCTTCTGAGCTTTAGTTATAAAATTAGCCCAAAGGAAGCCTCACTTTTTTTTTTTTTTTTTTTTTTTTTAATCCCCACCACTTTCATTTTCTCTGCATGATTTTAATTTCATGCATGCACATTGTTTGTTTTTGATTTTGTCGACTGCACAGTAGAGTCAGTTTGGCACTGTCTATGAGAAAAAAAGCAACATGACAATTCACTCAAATATAATACCTCCTTTATAACATTTTCCTTCTTTATTTTTCTATTTCTTTATTTTCTAGGCCACATATTGTCACTGCCAATTGGCTAATTGATTGTGCCAAGCAAAGCAAAAGTGTCTTGGAAAAACCTTACTATGTGCAGAATATAACATTTGATAATGAACCAACACCAACTCCACAAAGGTATGCTTTTTAACCATTTTGTAAACAAATTGCAATTACATCTCAATGCTTCATCTTGTATACAGGATGTGATGGGTAAATTGTTGCCATTTTATATTTTAATTTCATGCCTGCACATTGTTTGTTTTTGATTTTGTCAACTGCATAGTAGAATCAGTTTGGCACTGTCTGTAGGGGAAAAAGAGCAACATGACAATTCACTCTGTCAGAAATTTGGAAACCACAGGCTGTACTGCTTGGCATTTGTGCTGGAAGCTCCAATAGGAACATTTCAGTTTATTTGGGTGTCAATTTGAGGACCGTGCAGAGGATTCAGAAAAAGTGTGATGAGTCTAATGGTGATTACAAAGGTGTTTGGCGTGATCACTAGTGATGGCGATGTTATTCCTCCATTCATCTTCCCACATGGCCTCAGACTAAACATGGAGGCCTACATCCAATGCCTTGAGGGGGTAGTGCTGCCCTGGGTGAAGAGGGTGGCTGCTGGAAGACTCTGTCTGGCAACAGGACTCTGCACCATACTACACAAGCAGGAGAACCGAGTCATAGCTGTCAGACAATTTCTGCAACCACATCACCCCTTACATCTGGCTACCTAACTCCTTAGACTGCAACCCCTTTGTGCGGGGCGCAATTGAGTGAAAGACCAACAAAAGTCCTTGTAAATACCAAAGATGAACTGAATCACATCCTGTATAAAGCTCAAATTTTTCTGCTTGAAATACTAAAAATTAAACATGTGTGTCTAAATATGTAAAATTGTGACATCAGATAAATGTTATTTTATCATTTATATCAACTAGCATGTGTCCTATATCTTACCCAACTTAGCAATTCTTGCTTAATGGAGATAACTAATTTGTATATTTAGCTTAAAAAATATTATATTTTTAAAATAACTGTTTTGTCATGATTGCAAATGAAATTACATTTGATGATCTTTGGTCCATTTTTCCCTTTAATTTTGCAGTGAAAAATCAGCAAAGAATGATCGATCACTGTCTTTGCAGAAAGACATAAGCAAAGTAGCAAGTGAGTTTACTGATAATTTCGATGAGGAAATAGCCTTGATGAGTCAGTATCTTCCAGAGGCAAACACTAAAGGTAACTTTTAACATTTGAACATACATCTCATAAAATTTAAATTTTTCATAATTTATTTAATTTTATGATGATGATCATCATCATAGTTCATGATCAGATGCAGCCATATGGTTATTGAGCACCTGACCAATTCCTTCCTCATATCTGGGTTGAAAGATGGAGAGGTACTCTTTTATGTGTAGCATATCTTGGGTAAGTAGACCTGGCGGATTCCATCCCTCTCCAGATAAAAACACAGATGTTTTTCAACTTTCTCATCTTGGTTACAGACACATGGTCATTTATTTTATCAGAGGAACCCTCCACCCTAGTTGTTAACTTCTGTCTGGAAGGCTCTCCAACTAGTGATTCCAAGTCATCACCACCCTGGCTGCATCCATAGCTATAGAGCCCCATGAACCCCATTATGCTAGATGGCCATTGACCTTACAAAAAGGTTAATCCACCCTTTGACATATCCTGTTTTTAATCCTGCTGAGTGTATGGTCACTCTCTATGCTTGAAAAAATTGGTAGAAAAATGGGTTTAGTCATGAATGACCCAACCATGTGGCAGGTAGCACTGAGTTACCTGATACCAATAACATGACCTGATGTAAAACTTATGGTAGTTTAAGCTTACAATGTTATGATGGTAGTATTTATTTATGCACATTATATTCTTTAAGTTTAAATAATAAAATTTAATTAAGAAATTTAAATAATTTAATTTTTTTTTATTTCTTCCTTACTGATCTGTGTTGAAATGTCTCATGAAAAAAAAAATGATTTTGTCTCTCTCCTGCTGTCATTGCGATGGGCATAGTCTCCACTTCTGAGACAAAACTGACCTCCTTCTCATTCCAGCCCTTTACATAGAGCTTGGTAACTCTCCTATGCAAAACACCAACAAGCCAGCTACCAATCACAGTTCCCGCGCCTGCCCACCTCCACTTGCTTTGGGGGTGTCAAGTTGACTGACCAACTCATTACATGATCATTCTTTTAACCAATTGTCTCTTCTACCCACACTGTCTCATTGGTCAGCCTTATTACCACATCATATTGAAACACTGGTTCCCATATGATCACTGAAGTTAAGCAACATTGAGCCTGGTCAGTATCTAGATAGGTGACTGCTTGGGGATGCCAGGTGTTGTAAGCTTAGATGTGCAGGTGGTGTAATGGAAAATGACTCAGAATTCAGAGCAGAGTTTCAATTCCCATTGTATTTAAGTTCACTTGTGTGCAAATACTCTTTTCTCCCCCAGCTATGGATTAATTAGTAAGAATAGTACCACTAGACCATTTTTATCTTTCTGGTTTTAAACCTGCAAAGGGTTGATACACTATAAAAAATGAATTGATCAAATGATGTTTCAGTGGTCAGTAGCTAGTATGTTGTCTCAATTGATTTTGACTCTAGCATCAGGTATGAATTAATACAATGTCAGAAGAGAATTGCCTTCATGAAAGGCTTGAACCTTCTATACATCATTAATGTTTGACCAAGAGAACTTAATTGCTGTCCTATGTACACTTAACTGCTATTTCAATGCTACCATGATCCTTGAGGGTTTTGGCTACCATGATCCTTGCTCTTTCTTTTTGCTTTTTGTGATTTTGATCACTAATACTTATTGAATTCTATTTAATAGAATCTCTAATTTTCTTTTTTCTTTTGTATTTGACTAATGCATCTATGGATATACACGTGATTTGCTCTGAATGTCCATTTATATTGCTTTCCATTCAAATCTTTATTTAAAGAAAACCAACAAACTAGCCATCATCTAGTAACTGACTCAGTGTTTGTTAACTTAATAACTTTGAACATTTAGCCATTTAGTTGTATTTATTAACTTAATGATCTACTTGTAATAACCAGATTTTGAGGCAACTTATGAGACAATAAGATCAATTGGACTTTGCAGAAATAAGTCATAAATAAAAATAATATCTTACTTATTATAAAATGCAGATTGTGTGTGTGTGTGTGTGTCTGTACGTTTATATATTGGATCGGATTTCCTACATTTTTCAACCGATTTCAACAAAACTTCACAGGACTACGTAAAATTACCTTGTGGTGGTTCTGACAGCACTCAAAATTGGAAAAACACAATTGTTTTTGCACAAAATCAATTTGAAAACACGATTAAGAGGCATCGCTGAATGAAAGTGGGACAACTCATATCGCGTTATACTTATTATAAAACCCAGGTTGTTTGTGTGTGTGTGTGTTCCTTTTATATATGGGATCGGATTTCCTACATTTTTCAACCGATTTCAACAAAACTTCACTTTTTTTTTTTTTTGCAGGTAGTGTTTCTTATTGTCTTGCACACTTTTTTCTTTATTTTTACATTCAGAATGCTTTAAAAATTCCATTTACAAGACAATTGTTTATAATAAAATTCTATTCAATCGGTAGACTCATTAACAATTGAAAACAATGTTTTGACCAATTCAGAAAAAAAAAACAATTAAAAAAAAAATTAAGGCATGCGTGTCTGTCAACCTTAAACAATAATCTTTGTCAATTTTATTTTTCAGTCTTTATGATGGTCGATACTTGATCTATCTTTTACTGTTACATCCCCGGGCAACGCCGGGCTCAACTGCTAGTTAATAATAAATAAGACTTAAGTGTAGATAAATATGTAGTTCTGAGTAAATCTGTTAAAATGTCAGTGTTTATTTTAAGCTGTAAAAATAAATGTGCTTTCTTTGTTTCTTAGATTCAAAATTATATTTTGATTGCATTTGTTAAAACTCATTATTTCAAGCTTTAAAGTGATGTTTTTTTTGTTTTTTCTGATGTTCCAAATCCATTTAAATAATTATACAACTTAAATTACTATTTTAAAATTGATAATTAATGTAAATTTTTTTTGTTTTCTTTAAACATTTTAGCCACAGATGATGAGTTTAAAAGTGTGATACCATCCAATTTGAACCTGGAGTCTTTCAGTACGACAATTCAACAGGAAGAAACGAGTAAGTAGTTTCCTTTCTAACTTCACTAATCTTTCTCTCTTTGTTAAACAATTTGCATACATCTAATTTTTTAGGAAAATCTGTCTCACTTGAAATTTTTGTTGACATTGTGTATTAGCTTTCCTATATTTGTTTTTACATGTTTTCTGTTCAGTTTAATTTCTATTATGATGCTATGCTCGCTCATTTAGAAAGAAAAGAGATGGTTTTACCTTCATCTCAAATGTTTCTGTTTTATGGAATAGTTTGGTCTTTTAAGGGGCATCCACTTTGACCAAAGATTTCTCGGATAGGCTTGTAGGAATAGAATATGTATTCTTTGAGAAATCAGTTTGTAGATCATGTTTCATTGATGTGTTTTTGTAGAGTCAAATGTATTACTGGTAATAATTTTTTCAAAAATGTATTTCTGATATTTTTACTATAAAAACCTATTTTTAAACCTTCATAGTGTTTGACCCCAGTTTGGGGGTTAACAATTTACCCATAGCTGGGACCCTAACAGGTGCTACCACAGGTGCAGGTGGACATGGGAACAACAGCAATTAAAAGGTGCTTTCAGGCTTCTCAAATCCTGCTGATCAGAGGCCTTACTGCCAGATGTAATTTATCATCATACCCAGGACGTTTGACCAAAGGGGAACGGGAAGTAAAGGAGTTGATGGGAGGTTTTGGGGATCAAATGACAACAAAACTGGAAATAAGGTATATCCGGGTGCTGGTCTGTATTAATGTACATACCAACTGAAATGAGCAGGAAAAACCTTGAATAAAACATTCATATATATAATATGGAAAACAGGATTCACATTATTTTTTCTCAACATGACATTTATCATCTTTTTTTTTTTTTTTTTTTTGTTCACCCCATGGAAGGCAGTAAAACTACAAAGTCACAAGTGGGGTACTGAGCATGGTGGAATTAGTTTTTTTGTTCTTGCTCATTAGCAATCATGAGGACAGTAGATAGTGATTGGCATTGCATTTAAATTTTTGAAGATTAAAGTTGGTGGGAAAGCATGGAGCTGGAAGGAAGTTCTATAAGCAAGAAGTGCTAGAAAAGAAACTGTTAGCATAGAATTTACAGTTACATCTAGCTGACTCAACTGTAAATTGATGATATCTCAATGACAGTCTAGTACTGTGCTTAAATAAAAAAAATCTAAGTACCATAGTGAAGAGCTCATCCAAACATTTACCATGAAATTATTTCATCTTGTTACCTTGTGAACATGCAGCAGGCCCTTTCCCAGCTTTTGGTGCGCACTGACAAGATCAAGAATCAAAATGAAATGTGGAGTAATCATTAGATGATTAGTGCAAAGCTTGACGAGAATCCTGTTAGGGTGAGTAGATGGGCAAGGAGCTTTTAGGGGGATGAGCTGAGATGTTAGACCAGAATCAGCACCTGGCTGAGCAGGCACACACCTGAAGGAAATATCTACATATAACATAGGAAACAGGGTTCATTGTGTATTTCTCATTGTGGTGTTTCTTTTATCTCCATTACCTTGTGAACATGCAGCAGGCCCTTTCCCAGCTTTTGGTGCACACTGACAAGATCAAGAATCAAAATGAAATATGGAGTAATCATTAGACAATTGGTGGAAAGCTTGATCAGAATCATGTTATATTTTTAACATATTATATTCCACAATACCATTTATTACCATGTTGTTTGCCATATTAAGAAAGTTTTCTACATCAAATTTCTTTTACTTCTCATTTTCAGATTCTGAAAGTACTATAAATCATGGCCTTTTCTCTCAAAAGAAATTTCTTTGCTGTAATTTGGGTGATGACACATCTGCTGTAGAGAGTGTGATTGTTGAAAATGGAGGTAAGAGCAGTTTGATACAATTTGGTTACTAATTATATATGTTCCCCAAAATTCTGAAATTGGGCAATAAATTAGAATTTTTTGAGAATTTGATTTCAATTTTTTTACCCTTTTCTAATATTGTCTATAGTCCCTAGATGTAGCATCATATTATAATTATGTTTCTTCCTTTGTTATCGCGTATGTTATGGCTTGTCAATATCTTATAATGGACTCGTCTGTTTTGATTATACGGTAAAACAGAAAAAGACATATCTGAGACACTGTTCGTTTCAGTGAGAAAAAGAAATTAAAATGGAAGAGATAACCCTCTCATATGTTCAATGTCTGCTTCAGTGAAATGGAAAAATTTATCAATTTTAAATCTGTTTGTACCTTCTTACTTCTTTAAATAATTACCTTTATTCATACTTAAGATTGTTAATGCAATATTTCATTAAAGTTGTTAAGCTCAAGTAATCAATGATTCAATTGGGAAATTTCCATGAGTATTTTATTCAGGTAACTTGCAACACGCTTATTCAATCATTTACTTAAGATTTAAAATTCATCAGTAAAACTAGATTTTTCATCAGTATTCTTGATTGATTTTCTATAAATGTCTGTTAGTGACATTTCATCTCAGTAGAAACTGCAGTTTTCTGAAGAGTCAAACTTATGTTAGAACTGCAATGTTTACACTGAAATCTTGATCCTTAATTGGTTAAAAATATAACAGAAGCATAAATGTCATGAGAAATGTGAATGTTTCAGAAACTGAATCAATAATTTTTAATTAAATATAAATTAACAACAAAAGAAAAAACCAAGGGAAATAACTCCATGTATATTTGTTATAGTGGAACACACCTATTCTATAGTTAATAGACTCTCCCACCTATAATAAGTAGGAGCAGTTGCAGTCGCTGAGTTGCTCAGGGAGTTGGTCAGTCAGTCAATGTCGGATGACTGTTAGTCGGATATTAAAGAATCAACCACCACAACTAGATTTCTCTGCGTCATTACCTATTATATCAAGTTCCTGATGTTTTGTACGTCGAACCTATTTTAGGACCGACTTAGTGAAATACAAGCCTCCACTGTGAAACTACTCTACAACAATATTAACTGCTAATTAGCCATCTCCCTGAGTTTCTTAACAAAATAAAAGGATCTGTCTATATTTTTGAGATGAGGTATTGTAATTATCTATATTGTTTGGACTGTCCTCATATTTGTTGCCATATTTATGACATTCACTGACAACAGTGACTTGTCCCAAAGAGTTGTGAATTCCTGTACCTGGCTACAGCTGAGGTGAACAAAAAATTTGGAGATTTGAGTTAAAGTTGATAATCAGAGATCCAGAACATGTGAAACTAGGACAATCTACTCCAGTGGATGAAGTAAAGGGTTCAATTTGAAATTCCAATCACCTGAAAAGGCCAGAGTGTACAACAGCCGAAACATTGTGAATATGGTAGCAAAAATAAAGACAACAGTCTGTATACTGTAAATAAAATAAGAGTAGTAAGCAAGGAAAAATCTTGGAATTGTATGCACTCTCTTTCATCAGCCATAGTGGCCATACTAATGACACCAATGTTTTACTGTCAACTAAAGTATATTACTTCAAACATAGCGGACATTGGAATAATATAAATGTCAGATTTAAATAAATCTATTAATTTATCTTTATAATTAAAAAATAAAAAACAGATTTCAACATTAAATGACATAACAACTTGTCAGCATATAAGTGACAAAACTTTATAATAATGATAATTAAGATAATGATAATTAACTGTTGTAATTATGATATAAATTTTATAAATCAAATGTTTTGACGTTGAGTAGATACCATCAATAGTTGTGATAGTTTTTATAAAAGAATTTTTTTTTAAGGAGAAAGATAAGGTATATTCATTCTGAGATGCAATAACTCCATTTCTTACCATGTCATTTTGAGGTACAAGAATAGCATTTCCTCTTAAATAAATCACTTATTTGATTTCAGCAATGCAAATGTTAATATTTTTAAATTAATATTTACTTAAAAGTTATGAGTACTTCCAGAATGAATGAACAGTTCTCATGTCGTTTGGACAATTATCTGAAAAAAAATCAATTTTTATTTGATTATGTTCATTTAATTAAATAAATTTAAAGAACCCCATCTGTTGAAGTGATGAAAAAAGCTCATTATTTGCTCATTCAGTGCCACATGATACATCCTCCATCTTTTAATCATTCATTTTTGGGCCACTACGCTCTCCATCCTTTTTAGTGTTATTTGAATTTCTAAAGTGAGATGCTGAAGAAAAAAGGACAAGCTATTGTAAGAAAAATAATGCATGGTTATCAGCAAAAGAGACGGCCCAAGTTGCGAACTATGTATTGGGAATATCAAAATCAATCAAGTGTAGAAATTTAACTTTCTGAGTAGAGTGTAGTAACAGAAATGCAAATTGAAATCGCAAAAAAAAGATGCCTTCCAGATAATAAGCAAAGTATTAAGAAATAGGAAACTTTTGTTAGAAACTAAGAAAAGTGTGTTGAACTGCTATGTAATTGCTAATCTCCTATACAACATCAAAAATATCAATAAGAGTGTATAGATTTACCGATGGCCCAATTTACACTCCTCCTAGAAAAAAATTACCCTAAAAGAAATTCCTGTCTGTGACACCAGAAATGACATTGTTAAATTATCTTTGACATGCAGAATGGAAAGAGAGAAAAAAAGAAGGAAAAGGAATAGGGAGAGAGTATGAGAAAATTATGAAAAAGAGAAATAACCACAACATTTGACACAGGTGCACATACACACATACATGCAAAGAAAAGAAAATCAACCTAACATGAATAAAAAGCACATAAGTTATTTTTTAACTTACTATAAAAATGAGAAAATCAGTAGCCCAATTGCTGATATCTCCTGATGAGTAGACTGAGTGAGTACAAATATTTATTTAGGAAACTCGGGGTGCTTTATATGACATCAATTAGCTAAGTGACAATTTTTATATTTGTATTAATTTCTCTCTCTCTCTCTCTCTCTCTATATATATATATATATATATATATATATATATATATATATATATATATATATATATATGTATATAAATAAAAGGAACAAATTAAAATCCGTTTCATAGTTTTACAAAACCACAAAATTTTAAAGTTGCACTATGAATGTAGGTATATGTATATTTATTAATATATATTTTTTGTAACTCTGTCTAGCCACATTGAGCACTGATTTGTTTTTTTTTTAAATTAAGTAAATATTTATTCGAACACGGGGTTCTTTTTCCTTACCTGTGTATATTTTGGTACATTAATGCACATATATACAGTTACTAATATCTAATTTGGTTTATTCACACACACACACAATATATATATGTGTGTGTGTGGAAACGGATTTTTTTATTTAAAACCCGGTCTAAAATTCGCTTGAAGATGAAAAAAACATGGTTGAACTTTTGTAGCTTAAAATAAGCATCAGAGCTTTTTATAAGAATATATATATATATATAATATGGCAAATTAAAGTTTCATAGTTTTACATTATTAATTAAATTTGTTTTCTAAAATTTGAGCACTGATTTGTTTACACCTTAAATTTCATTTTTATAACAGGTAAACAGTTACTTATCTAATTTGAAAAATATATATATGTGTGTGTGTGTGTTCTTTTGGTTTATTCCTGATTTTGGTGTTGTCCCATTCCTTTTTGGTGTTGTCCCACTTGGTGGATGTGATATAAAATTAACAGCTCATGAAATTGTGACCCAGGTCTGGCTGGTAAGTAACATATGAGGGTTGGTTGAAAAGTTCATAGGCTGACCAAGATACTCTAATGGAATGTAACCAAATGAGTTTTTTTTTTTTTTTTTTTCAACATAGTTCCTCTTGCGGTCTGCACACTTCTTCAATAGGTGTTGCATTGCTTGGCTCCCATTGGTGAAGAAGTTTTCATCCTATTTGTCCAAAAAGCCATCAACAATAGATATGGCATCATTATCACTGAGATAATGGTTCCCACCAAAGAATTTTTTCATGTTGGGGAACAGATGATAGTCAGATGGGCCCAAATTTGGAGAATAAGGAGGGGGGGTTCAAACCACAGTCACACACTGCAGCCATTGAAATCAAGTACTTGTGTTGGATCATTGTCCTAATAAAACAAGATCTCTTTTGTCAGTTTTCCTGAGCATTTGGTCTTGATAGCTTTTTCTAACTGCCTCAACAAGTTAGCATTGTACTCTCCATTGATGATGTGGCCCTTTTGAAGATAGTCAATAAACACAATGCCATTTTCATCCAAGAAATCTTTCCTGCAGATGAAACAACTTTGGCTTTCTTTAGAGTAGGTGAGGAGGGTTGTTTCTACAGCCTGGATTGTCTCTTTGTCTCTGGCTCAAAGTAATGAACCAAGACCTGAGTGAAGAAATGTTCAAGGAAACCAGTCAAATCTGCCTCGAACGATGTCACATTTTCTGTGATGTTCACTTTTGATCAGGTATCGGAGATGTGGCACATACTGTGCAGAAATCTTCATTATGCCAAGTCCATTGGGCAGAATATTCTCAACTCTCCCATGGAATACACTAATAGCATTGTCTGTTTGATTTATAGTCAATATCCTGTTATCCATCACCATGTAGGGAGCACAATCAATGTTTTCCTTGGTGGCAGTTGCAGGATGTCCAGACAGACCTTGGGTCATCCCCCCCGCCCCAAACAAAAAAAATTAGCTACCCACATTTGCACTGTTGATAAAGCTGGAGCAACATACCCTCAACGTAGCAACCATATCAGCATGAATGTCCTTGGTGGCTAAAACCCTTTTTCCACAAGTACTTGATAACACCACAATGTCAGATTTTGTCCTGAGTTGGTTGCCCAGCAACCGCCTACATTGACCAACTATGTAATAACACTGGATGCCACCCTTAATGATCTTCTGACCTTAATGCAGGACCATATTTGTTAACGTGATACACTCATGAATGTTCGAGCTAACTTGAAGAAGTTTATCTTTTGTTTCCTGTTTAGGATTGGGTTTTCACTTCCTTCTCATTCTCAGATGTTAGTGAAAGATGAAATCACTTCATGTTTGTAATCAAAATTTTCATTCATATTTTTTTCTTAATGTGCAAATGAATTTTATCATTTTACTCACACTTAATTTTTTTACAATTTATTTTATCTTTGTTTTTTTATTATCTGCAGGAATCATGTCTTGAACAGGCTTGTCTTCTTCCAGTTGATAGCAACATTTTATTTCAACCACTTGAAATAAATAAAACTGCAAAACCTCTTAAAGATTGTGTTATATCCTTCAGGTAAAAATAGTTCTTTTATTTTTACCAATTAACTCATGTTTTTCTTGTTGGCCCTATATAATTATAAGTCCACTGTAGGACTCATCCTGTCAAATTTTGTGAATTTTAGTACACAAAAAAAATGGAGGTGGTGAATGAGTATTAACATGCCATGCCTTGTTGGCAGAGGTTTCAATTCAGTTATCCATCTGGTTGCTCTGCCAAGGCTATAATGTACAGTCTGTTTTATTTTTTTACCTATAGCTGGCAAGATGACATAAATTCATGTGTTTTATTAGAGTGTACTCTTTTCACATTATAACCTATTATACAGAATCCTAATAATTTTCATAATGATTGGGGAGGAGTAATATCAGTGTGATAACATACATTGCACATTGTTCAATGCATATCCACCCAATTTGCTATGTTCACAGGTTTGTTCCCTTGTCTGTGATCGAATTCAACAAAGAATAATGCTTTTCAAGACACTGGTTGGGAAATAGCAACAATATGATTTCTCACTTAACCATGGTATTCAGCTTTGAGAAGTGGACTGCTATCTCACTAACTTCCGACCATGAAAAGACGACCTTTACATTCACTGACCATCTGGGTGACTGTTGATTTCTCACTGCTGGTCACCTACTCACTCCTGACTTCCTGCCTCTCTCTCTCTCTCCTTATATATGGATACTGGCTAGACCCCCCCCCTCCAATCCATCCACTTGTGTTCTGGAAAAGTAGACTACCCAAAAGCTGGATGGGTGGTCAGTTTTTCAAAGGACTCTAATTTTATGATTATCTAAATCGTTAACAAAATTTTGTTTGCCAATTCAAAGGCAGGCTGGAGACAGGAACCCTGAAATCTCTGGCAATTAAGTTGACTCAAAAACAAACTGGAGACAAAATTCATAAGAAATTCTTATAATTAAATTGAATTAAAAAAAAAAAGGAATCTAATTCTTTCCTCAGGATGTGTGAGAAATCATATTGTTACATAAGTAAATGAGCCAGTTATTTTAACCACTACTTTTTTACAAGCATAAGTCAATATTTTTTTGATTATGTGGCTTTAAAATCTGGTTTCTTTCTCACGTGGCCATGAAATCTGGTTTCTGATAGATAAAACTTGGAATCTCAAAAATCCACCTAATGTAAAACAATACTGTTTATGAATTCTCATGTCCAATACCAATAATCAGAAAACATTAAATTGTTACATTGGTCACACAAGCACCACACTCTCTCATAGGCTAACTAGTAACTTATCAGTGCAATTGATGCATGTATCATCATATCACAACCAATTGAAATGTGGTTATTAACCTATAACAAACATTGGTAGATAATATTAAAATACTATAGAGCACTTCTTTGGGACATTTGTCATTACACAGCTCTGATCCTCCCCTAGATCAAGTCATTGCCTACGTCTGAAGTAAAAGGATGAAATCTAATTTCTATGGATCCCCATATGATGACTTTTGAATAAAAAATATTGTACACTGTCTTATTTAATTAATAAAAATTATTGTCTGTCTATATTTCTGAGATGAGGTATTGTAACTATTTACACTATTTGGACTGTTGTCTTCATCGTTATTTGCCACATTCACAAAATTTTGACCGTTGTACACTCTGACCTTCAAGTGATATACATTAGTAGCTCAACTCTCCAATGATTTTATCCACTAGGCCCCAAGTACCCATGGCCCAATGGATAAAAGCGTTGGTTGAGTAATCAAGAAAGTCACTTAACCCAAAAAGTTGGGTGTTCAATACCTAACCACAGCAGAGGGAACAAAAACTTAGCGAGCTGAGTCACTAAAAGGAATTAACTGAAACTGACATATTCAAAGTTATGGCACGTGGAATTAGAATAATCTACCCCCCGTAGACTAAATGAATGGTTTGTTTCAAAATTCCAATGTATATCACCTGAAGAAGGTCAAAGCATACAATGTCCAAAACATTGTTAATATGGCAATAAAAATGAGGACAACACTCTGAACGATATAATTAGTGTAAAAATTATTATTTATTAATTCATTCAGACTGTTTACTCACCTGGGACTGTTTTTATAATCATATTTTGGTTGCAGTACTCTCTGGCCTTCAGATGCAGTTTCTGCTTGTTGAAGTATAAAATGTTTCTTTGGAGTTTCAAAAATGACATTAAAAAAATAATCTTATTCCTTTATACATGTTTGTTGGTAACACATAATAATTGTTTTTTTCTTCTTTTTTTCTTTCTGGTTAAATGGAATGATTCCATAATTTGTTTAATGATGTCATTTTCAAAACGCCTTGAAACTTTTTTAACCATTTTTTATTTTAAACTTTATTATAATTTTTGTGATATTGGATGGCTTCACTTGTCACTTTTGCTATGTCAAGCAAAAGGTTGTTATCACTTCCAAAAATGCTCGTTATATTTGAGACTTCGTAGATGCAGGTACTAATAGTAAAGCCTTCCAATAATATCCTTACTAGTAATATTTGTTCAAGTAGTAATTGCCAAATGGTATAATGATCAGAAGAAAATCATAATCCATATAGTAGTAGAGTAGATAGAGTGAACGTATAGCAAAAGTGGATAGACAAGAAAAGTGAACAGAGATCATATAGTTATCATGCTGCTTCCTATTTATTCACTTCCATTATGATCATGTGATCTACTTAATAATGGAATCGCCCATGTGACTCATTGGCAATCTAGTCTCAAACCAAACTGTCGGCAACGACACATAGTCTTATACAACAATATTACTAGCCAGGGGTCTCTGCTTATACCTGTGATGTCTCTATTCTTTCCGCTTTCTCTCTCTTCCCATATTTAATTGGTTGGAATGAGTAAGAACAGATATATCTGGAGAATAATGGCAAAAGAATGCATATGAAAAATGGTCAAGATGAGTGAAAACAACAATCTGTATAAATTAATATTTTTGTTTTTAATCATTTCGCCCCAGGCAAGGTGATAATGCCACTAAGACGCAAGGGATTACTGGAAGTAAAAGATAATGAGAACACTTTAGTGAGGAAAAAAGAATTCCTTATCCAAAAAATTGGAACAAAAATATGAATTAATTGCTTTTTTTTTTTTTTTTTTTTTTTTGTAGTGGATTTGGTGGAGTTGAAAAAACATGTTTAATGTACCTTGGAGATCTCCTTGGAGCCACGTAATATATTTTCTCATTCTTTTAAACTTTTATTCAGAAGATTAAAAGTTTGTTTTTTTCCTCTATTGTATTTTGTACTGGTAGATTGTTAAGTTCTCAGCCTGACCAAAAAGGGATTTCAAAATAAATTCTGTTTGGTCAGATTTCTTTATGTCTGCAGTCTGGTTTATGTCATGCATACAGTTTAAAATAAAAAAAATAAAAAAAAACAAACTTGAGTGTCTATTTCAAACACAGGTATCCACTAAAAATAGCATTTAAATAATAATATATGTATTCATAATTTAGAATATGACAAACTATACTAACATTAATTTAAAGTCAAATGCACATGAAACATGATTAACCAATGAAAATCAAATACAAAAGTAACAATACCAGAATTTCTTTCTTCATATTTTCCATATCTCATTCTCTGATGAAGATTTAATAAAAGTGTTAGATTGATAAACGTTTCCTATTTGCTCTTAATCTTATCATTGTCAGATTTTGATCCATATTTGATCCCAACTTATATTTACATATATATATATATATATATATATATATATATAGGTGCAATTTTAATTTATAATTACATGAATCATACAAAAAAACAAATATAGAGATTAATGATTTAAATGGCGAGAATACATCTTCGCAAACAATTTCAATAAGATACACCAACCCCGAACCTGTATATGAATGATATGATCCCTGTTTATAAATTCCAGTTGCATAAGGTCTTTTTAATTTTTTACAAGCTTTCGTCTGTTCCTACAGACATCCTCAGGTATGGAACACGTTCCAAAACAATAACACATTTCTCATAGCATTTTTTCGGATTACATCTATATTTTCATTGTCCTCTTATTACCGAGAAGTAAAAACAAGAACAAATCTATTTCCATACCTGTAGGTTTGTTTTTTTGTATGAATGATTCATGTAATATATATATATTATTATTGACAATTGGAAAAACGTTCATGAAAGTATGTTTTGAAAAAACATCCGACTATGCATTTCACCAAAGGTGAAAAATTTGAAACATATTTTCATGAACATTTTTCCACTTATCAATAATTTATAACTCCGCTGGGATCATATACCTAAACTTATAACATATATTGAATAATTCTCAAATTTAAAAGCCTTGATAAACCAATGATATCCTTGCTCTTGCATATAAACATGTCGAACAAAAAAAATCCTTACATTTACCTTGATAAAGTCCCTCAGTAGATGAAACACATTGGTCAGAATAGTTTCCCTCGTCTTTTTATTCATATATATATATATATATATATATATATATATATATATATATATATATATATATATATATATATATATATGACACAATGGTCCCCCCACATGATTGGCTTAGAACACACATAAAAAAAAATGTGGAGAGTAAATGATTGTATCAAGGCCAGGTTTTATGACCATGTAGAGAGTAAACTCTAGAAATATGTTAAGTACCCACTCACTGTTCATAAGTATACCAAGCAAGCTAAATAAATAGATAATTAAAAGATTTTGGTATCGAGTGCCACTTGGCTGGATGTTATGAAGTTCCTGTTGCTTGTTTATATTGGGCAAGGCACAGTTAGAATGGGCAGAGGAGTTCTGAACTGCCTGAGTAAGAAGTGATGTAAAGATGAGCAGAGGGGTGATATGAAAGTTAAAATTCTTACTGATCGAAGGTAAGAGCTGATCCATTAGTCCATCATGACAGGAGTTGTCCCAAGTGTCATTTATCTACCCCTCCCCTCTGGATCGTACAAATAGATACTTGAATAAACAACCAAATATATAGGAAAAAGGATTTGTGATTTTTTTGATTTTTTTTTTTTTTTTTCTCCTTTCATTTTCTTTTGTGCACACATCAACATTGACTGGAATTGAGACATGTGGGATTTGTCCAGTTGGTGAAAGATTGAGGGAGGTCTCTAAGTTATGTATACTATACATACATATATAAATAAATACGCAAATAGTACAACATTATCAAAGTATATATGGGGTAAAAAAGAAAATATACCTACTAAAATTAAATGGAAAATTCTAAAAAAAAGTAATCCCATATAATATTACTAATAGGAATTTTAGACTGTGTTTAGAAGAAAAATTATCAATATTAACTTTTAATAATCAAATCATTAAATAAGAAGAATGCGATAATTAGTCAAATGCCAACATATTAACAAATGTTTACTTTGTTACTTTAATAATAATATAACATAATCCATCAAATGCAGTGTAAAATATTTAATTAATAATACAAATTAATAAATACTACAACATTTAATAATATAATACACTGCAACAGCTTCAATATAAAACAAATAAAAAAAACAAGTTCTAATTTTGAAGAAAACTTTACAGCTGAGATAAAAATTCAACTAGAAAAAAATATGAGGATTACAAACAAAAGATGTAAGCAAAAGTAGAAATCCATGAATGTGCACATGTAAAAAAAATTAATAAATAAAAAAAAAAAACACAAAGTTCATGAGCATTTATAAAAAAAAAAAAAACTGTTTTTAAAAAATGTGGAAAATATCAAAAAAGAAAAAAAAAATGAAAATATACCCATTTAAATATAGAACCTCCTGTAGAATGTTTGGCACCAAGAAACTTTAGAGTCGGAGACACAATGATTTGATGTTTACAGTTTAGTAAATTTGAATTATATAATCTGTTATCATACATATAAGCACTGTTTTATTGCCACCAGCTTTCATTGTTTGGTACTTATATATAATATATATATATATATATATATATATATATATATATATATATATATATATATATATATATATATATATATGATGATATTGCACATCAATGTAAAATAATAGTGAAGAAAAGTGTGTGTATATGTAAGCATATATATGGATATAGATCTGACAGTATGAAGAAAAATATATGGAAAAACAAAAATCAGAATATGCAAATATGCTGTTTTAATGTTATTTCAATGTCGACATCAAACGTTTCGGTCTAGTAGACCTTCTTCAGGACATAGTTATTAAAACATAATTAACCTTAGACGATATTCAAGTCAACATGAAAAGACGATAGACATAAGAGTAAGACGAATCAAAACTGAATAACTGAAATTTTTAAGATCAGCGTTCCATTTCACAATATGATCACGTGGGCGATGTTGTGAAAGCGTATTCCTAAAATAGAGTATATTTTAAATGAAAAATGAAAAAGAATTTTATTTTAATCTAAAATTTATAAGTACATTTGTCGAAATCCAGATTTATGAGACAGGCATAATATCTATCTCACGCATGGTGAATACTAGACCCGGCTTCTTTAATATTTTCCCTTTTCTAACAAGATTAATGCTCAACAAACGTACTTATAAATTTTAGATTAAAATAAAATGGATATATAATTTGGTCATCACTGTAACCAGGGTCAGCTGTACATATACTAATTTTATACATTGTGTATGATGTGACCTCCTTAAAATTACCTTCAAAATCAGGTCTTCAAAAGTCTCATGATATGAGTATATATAGTAGTTATATTTATTTATGCTTCTTGTCACTGTAAAGCTTAATGAAATTGGACAGCAGTCCTCAACTGGCACTGACACACTCACACACGCACATCATCAAATAAATAAAAGTAATAATATTTAAAATATGTTGAAAATTGTCAGTGTGCAGCGGCATTTATAAAAGCTGTCTCTCAAACACATTGTCCTAATAGAGTTCTAGGACATATTCTAATACATTCATTATACTATATATATTGTTTTGTTTTTTTTCTTGAATGAAAGTTATTTTTTCTGCCATTATTACTGACAGTGTTTTGTTTTGTTTTAGTACACAACTGTTTTTTGTGAAAAAAGCCAGCAAAGGCATGTTGGCCAATACTCATTTGGTTAGCAAAGAGGCTGGAGGTTCGAAATATGAGGCTGCAATAAAATGGAATGTTCATGCTGTTAAAACTGAGTAAGTTATAAAAGTCATTTGGCAAGTAACTCTTCCTTTTTTTTTTCTTTTCTTTCCTTCTTTTTGTTTTTGTCTCGCAGTCTTCATGAAAGAATAACTTTAAATAATGCATTTCTTTGTATTGTCTTTCACTTTGAAAAGTCTTATTCCCTGTGATGTTGGATTCCTTCTTTGTGTTGCTTCTGTTGTTATGATGATGTTTCAGCTGGTCTTGTACTTTTTAAAAATTTTTATTTATTTTTTTTAACCATTTCATCTTAAGCAAGGAGTTAAAGCCACTAATGCACAAGGGGTTATTGAGTATTAAAACATCTGAGAAAAAAACTTTGAGAGGGGCCAATAAAAGAACCGGATTCAAGGAGAGAGGATGACAGTTGACATTGCATTTAAATTTTTGAAGATCAAAATTAACTAGAAATTAAGAAGCCAAAAGAGAGTCCTACAAGCAAGGTTCTTACAACATTTCACCATTCTTGGCAGATTTTATGTTATCAAAATGGTTGACTCCATCAACACAGCAATAAAAACAATATCTCCACACATGACAGTAATTGACGTAATTTCAGTTAACAGTATGAAAATAGTGTTCTCTAAATTCTTTCAGTTGCTAAGGGCATTTTAGTTTTGTTATTATTAGTTACTTTGTTTAATAAATTCATTTCGTTTCGCCTTGAAAAAGTCCACATTGGACGAAACATGTCAGCAACTATTAGTTTTCCTATTGTCTTTTACATTTTTATATATATATATATATATATATATATATATAAAAAACAATGTGGTAACTACCCTTTAAGAAAATAGTAATTATAACAAGACTTTGAAAAATAAGAATTCAACCAAAAGAATTGCATGTTTTCAATTGTCGTGTGTAGAACACTTGTGCAAATAAGAGTAGGATCTTTTGGTAAAGATGATTTCTGATCTTGGCTCGTCTTATGTCAATGTCAAAGACACAATACTTTAAATCACAAACTTCTTTATTGCAGCTGGTTATTTGCTTGTGCAAGAAGTGGTAAATTAGAACCAGAAGCCAAATACAAGCTAACACTGTCTGATGAAGCCGCCTCTAGTATTCCCACTGTCTCAGATAAGACAACTGTCAGTCATGAGGCTGACGTTGCTGTGTGTGCTGCCAAACCAGCAGAGATTGCAGCGCCATTGCAGCTTTCGACTGATGATTCCAAAGACAAAGAAACATCTTTTAGAAAGAGTTTGGGATCAGCAACTGATGCTGAGAATATGCTCACAAGTGAGCGATCAGACACTATGCTCCAAGAAACAAAAGCCTTATCAGATGGTATTGCAGAAACCAGAATTTCTAATGTATCAGAGAGCCAAAAGGAAAACATCAGTGCAGTGGCGACAACAGTCAAAAATCAAGAACATATTGGTACAACACCTTTACAACATTCAAGAGTTAAGGTGAGTAAAAAGAGGGAGAGAGAGAAACATTTTCCATATTACGTCTAGGATATTGTCCTGGGTATGATGATAAACTACATTCAGCAACAAGATCTCTGATTGAGAGATTTTGAGGTGTGGGGAACCACTTAATTGTTGTGGTTTGCAGATCCACCCTGACTTGGGGTGGTAGCACCTGTTATAGACCCAGTTATGGATAAATAGTGAACCCTGAACTTGGGTAAAAAAAACTGAAAGTATAGATTTAAAAAAAAAAAAAAAAAAAAATACCAGCAACAGATTTTTGCAAAAGGAAAAAAAAATTACCAGCAGTAGATTTCTGTAAAAAAAAAAAAAAATTAGTCAAGCTCCCAAGAAAATTAAATTTGCCATTAAATGACCCATAAGGAGTTAATATGCCGTTAAACAAACAAACAAGGATGGGTCTTTAAGGATCTGTTTCAATTTGTGAGTTGGTGGCAACACACATTTTTGGTTGCATATTTACAAAAATTTGCTACCCAGAAACAACAATAGTTTATTGTATTTGATGCTATGTAAGGTTACTTTTCTGTCTTCACCAAAGAACGGCTCAAAATTATCTCCAGGCTTTTATATGTGAAATTGATATATTTGGGAGGTTAATGTTTACCCAGATGTCATAGATTATAAACAACTCTTTGTAGTCTAACTTTATAATACTGCAATATTAAATGTATATAGGGGAACTTTATAAAAGTTGAGATATCTGGGAAGCTAATGTTAACTCAAATGCCATAAACAACCAGTACTTTGATGTAGCCTAACTTCATAATACTGAAATCATACTTATTATAAAACCCAGGTTGTGTGTGTGTATGTGTGTTTGTTCGTTTATATATTGGATTGGATTTCTTCATTTTTCAATTTTCAAACCAATTTCAACAAAACTTCACAGGACTACGTAAAATTACCTTGCGGTGGTTCTGACAGTGCCAAAAATTGGAAAAACACAATTGTTTTTGCACAAAATCAATTTGAAAACACAATTAAGAGGCATCGCGAAAATGAAAGGGGAACAACTCATATCGAGTTATACTTATTATAAAACCCAGGTTCTTTGTGTGTGTGTGTGTTTATATATGTGATCGGATTTCCTACATTTTTCAACCGATTTCAACAAAACTTCACTTTTTTTTTCTTTTTCTTTTTTTTTTTTTGGCAGGTAGTGTTTCTTATTGTCTTGCACACTTTTTTCTTTATACATTCAGAATGCTTTAAAAATTCCATTTACAAGACAATTGTTTATAATAAAATTCTATTCAATCGGTAGACTCATAACGATTGAAAACAATGTTTTTGTTTGAGTTTGGGTTTGACCAATTCATTAAAAAAAAAATCTAATTAAGACATGCATGTCCATCAACCTTAAACAATAATCTTTGTCAATTTTATTTTTCAGTCTTTATGATGGTCGATACTTGATCTATCTCTTACTGTTACATTCCCGGGCAACGCCGGGCTCTACTGCTAGTATTAAATGTAAAATAAAGGGGATGATTTTTCTATCATCAAATACAATATCAGTGTTTAATCCCTTTCAATTTTACAAAGGTTGACCATTAGCGATCAATAGTTAATTTGTTAGTCACACAAATGTAGGGTGTTCACTGTGCATCAAACGCTCAATTATTGTGACCTTGTGCTAGTCTAAAGTTAGTAAATTTTTACACAGGTATGCTGTAGTGTTAACAATTTAATTATGTAGACTGGCTGGTATACAGACTTCAATCCACAAACTGCTCATTTATTGTGTTCTTTGTAGTAGTAGTTACCTGCAGGCTAAGTTAAAAATTTTGACATGCTATTAAAATATAGTTTTCTCTCAATGTTAAGAATTAGCATATTGTGGCACAAGGCTATTGAGTATAAAGATTGTTTTGTGCCAATCTTTCAAATGGGAAGGACCAGCCTACCTTGTAAATCATTTGAAATCCTAACTGATTAATTGGACCCAAATGCTGACCATTGGTATTGCTGGAAATAATGCGACTCAATCATGAGATATATATATTTTTATGTAACTATGGTATTTCAAGATAAAAATAAGTGAAAACTTTATTCGGATTTTTTTATATTTCAGGAGTTGCAGAAGGACAAGAGTATGAAACTGTCACCAAGACAGAGTAACATCCAGCAAAATGTTGATAATGAAACACCGAGCAAATTTTTGGGTGCAGGTAGAGAATATCGACCTGCATTTGAACTTGATGTAGGTATTTATTTATATTATTGGGAAACCCTATAAAAACAGTACAGGAAATTTTCCCCCAAAATATGAGGGTAAATTGAAAAGTAAATCCAATTTTCATACAAGATTTTTGTTTCCACTGAAATCCCACTTGTCACATTCCATGCATTGCACTTAATGTCATGTGTCAGAGCCTCCCTGTTGTTTTTATCATATAATTTCAAAATCTTCTTTACTCTTTGATTTTGTGTTTACTTACATTCCCAACAAGATGGAAACAATGTAAAAATATAAGAAAATTCAAATGTAAATGAGAAAAAAAGAATAGATGGCTCAACGTCTGTTGTGATTTGAAGAGAAATCTTTATTTTAACAATTCACTATAAATTTAAAGTATAAAATATTTACAATGAAACAAAAAAAATATTAAAGTGCGCAAATTATTGTTGTTAAAAATGTTTTTCTTTCTCTCATACAGCAATCGCTATCACTTGACTTAAAATATTTTTGCCCTTCCTTGCCTTTAAAGGAGTGCCCTTTGCCGTGCTGATGTTGCTACATGCCTTTTTTCATTGATGCATGTTTCATTAAATAATATAGACAAGTGTTGTCTATTTATTTTATGTAAATTCTTTTCATATTGTCTGATATATATATATATATATATATATATAAACATTAAAAGAATTTACATAAAATAGACAACACTTGTCTATATTATTTAATGAAACATGCATCAATATATATATATATATATATATATATATATATATACATACACACACAGAAAACCTTCACCACTATAATCAAATGACATGTGCAGATGTCTGGCTGTCAGTTCCTAGGAACTGAATTGTTTAAACCTTCATGCGTCTATAAACGACATATATATATATATATATATATATATATATATATATATATATATAAATAATTATTATTTTTAAAAAATTATAGCATAAGTATGTTATAAAATCACTACAAAAATAGCCATTTTGTTTCAACACATTCTGTGTCTTATCAAGTGATGATGTTGAAAATAAAATAAATGGTTTTAAAAGTTTCAGATTAATTAACGATCCTACACTAGGTGGAAAACATTGTTACAAAAGCTAGAATAACCAATCAAAAACCAAGTATAGAAAGATTCAAAAGCTTGACAACGAAATCATGTTATAATAGCTATTCAGATCTTTAAAATACGTGTAATATTAAAAAAATTTATACTAACCAATAATTATAAAATTATATGATAAAATTTAATATTAAAATTAAAAACTGGCAATTTTAAAACCAAATTTAATCACTATTAAGTTTAAAAAACTACAAAATTATTGAGAAAAGAAAAAATATATATGTTTATTCAATTCATTTCTTCATTTTTATATATATATATATATATATATATATATATATATATATATATAGTGGCAGACAGACACTGTCTTTAGTTTGGCCATGGATTCAATAAGGTAACTTGATTTATGGTTCCCACTTATTCTCAGAGATTCCAAAACATTTTCCTTACATACTGTTTTGTCTTTCTTTTATTTTAACCTGATGAAGACAGAGAAAGCAGCCACTCTTTTGGAAATGTATCGTTTATAGATTTTTTCACTTCCTCATCATTTTCACAATTTTTTGTGTGTCTATTATTTACTTTTTTCTTTTTCCTTTCAGTCATTTACGACTGACCTTGAATCTCATGCTGATGGTTTGTCTAGTAGTCGTTCCAGAAGATCAAGCACGGTAAGGAAACTTCTCATGATTGTTATTCCTCGCACCCCCTTCCCCAAAGTGTTTCACACATACACGTATGCGCACACACACACACACACTTCCCAGGTTTAATTATTATGCAAATGTTTCAGTTTTTGTTAATATGCTTGTCTGTTTATTTAGACTTATGTATATTCTCCCATATGGATGTGAAACGTAGACACTATTGGCAGAAACAGAGAGAAGGATCCAAGCGGTTCAGGACAAATGCATGAGAAAACTCCTTGGCATCTTCTATTGGGAACATAAAACCAATGAGTTTGTGTGGAAAAGGGTTGAAAGTTTTGTGGGCCACCAGAAAACTCTTCTCACCATTGTCAAACAGAGAAAAATGTCATATTACAAGGCACAACAGTCTATGCAAGACCATCATGCAAGGCATATTTGAAAGTGGACATAGGAGAGGACATCAACATAAAAACTGGTTGGACAAACAATGGACAAGTATGACTGCACCAGAATTGCTGATTGCTACCATTGATAAACAGTTGTGGAGGATATTCAATATGGCTTCTGCATTTGGATCCCTCTACAATTGCAAAAATCAAGATGATGACAATGATGATATTAGGTATCAGTCATCATGATTTCAGACGGTTCTCGCAATAATTTTCTTGAAAAAATGTTCAATGCCATCAATTTTAGATAGATGTGTCATTATCAAGACTTTTATGTTAATGAGCCCTTTCCTTCAGGATGTGTGGCTGGTGTAATGGATATTGGCTCAGAATGAGAAATTGGAGAGTTGAGTTCAAATTATAGTCAAGTTCATTGTATTCACGTAGAAAGGTATAAATCTATTTCCTCCTCCTCTCATCTATGGGTTAAATAATAGGACTTGTATCTGGAAAAATCAATGTTACTCTAAAAAAATATGTTATTATATTCACTCAAAAAAAGAATTATTCTTACAATCCAAAATATGTTTCAGCTTTAAAAAACCCACAAAGGGTTGATAAGCCATAAAAAACCAACATGAATAAAGAAAAAATAATCCTTTTCTTTATTTATGTTTCTGTAATTTTTTATTTTTTTCTCCCATTTGTTTAATATATTTTTTCATTTAATGGTTACTAATGTGACTCTATAAAAAAAAAATGTCTAGTCATTTAATATATTTTGACAATATTTTCCATTGTTAAATGGAATTCCATTAGGAAGGTTTAAGTTGAATAACAACTTTAGGAGAGCAATCTTAAACAATAAGAAGAAAATATTATCACTTAATCACTCTTTATGACTTTTTAGGACATGAGCAATTATGGTTCTCCACAGCTTCCTGTCTCTTGTTTCAGTAACTTTTAACCCTTTACCATCTCTCTTTGTCTCTGTTCTGCCATCCATTTACACAAACTTGTTAAATAGTTTATATGCTATTCTCCATCTATTTCTTTTACCTTCACTATATCCTTTGAGTATTTAATTCTCTGGGCCTTCTTTCTTCACTATGTGTCCCAGAAATTTCAACTCTTTTTATTTTTTTTTAATTTATTTAATATTTTGTTTTATTTATATCATCATTTTTAAACGTTTTCATTAGTCAATAAAACACTTTGGGTACACAATTTTTTTTTTTTTTTTTTTTTTTTTTTTTTTATAAGCAGTTTAGAATTCTGACCAGTACTTACTTGAGTTGCTTAAATTTTCTATGCATAGATCTAATCAGTTATTTTGGTGCAACTAAACTAGTAGAATTTGTAGTATTCTTGAATACACTATAAACTACTAGTTTTAACCTAAGAAAATTTCACGGTTTTCCAATTTTAATATTCTGATGCATCTTAATTCTTAAGTTAATAATTGAACAAGCTCATGGCAAGCTCTACAGCAATAAAAATATCCGCAGAAATTCTCCTTTTGCATCGTTAAATATTTGAGGTTACCAACTTTAACAAAATATTGCAATAACAATTATAAATATGAATGTTGGTTGTTATTTTAAGAAGTAAGTGGGTACAAATGAAAAGATTTCAAATTGACAATTTTTTTTCCATTTTGCTGAAACTTCTCTCTCTCTTTCATTTTCTCTAGTGTCTTTTCCCTATTTTCCATGCAATCCAAACTAATAGTCCATTATTTATGAGGTATTGGCAAGGCGTAACGGACGGTCATGCAAATTGACAAAGGAAGGGACAAGCACAATGATTTTAGGAGTTTTGTTTAATTTTACATTTTTCTTTCTTTTCTGTTTTTTTTTTTTTTTTTTTTTTTTTTTTTTTAGTTGTTTAAACATCACTAATGTCAGTAGTGGAGTTGCTTATGATTTATTCATATTTGACTACATTTTCTTACAAACAAGTTGCTTATAATAAAAAAAAATATTATCTATAAGTATGTGTTTGAATATATATGTGGGTATGTGCATTTATTCTCATAGCATGCCTAATATAAAAAATTATATTTGGCTAAAATTGAACAATGCCACCTAATTAGCCTTTCGGGCCTAATTAGTCAGGTTCTATCACAGTTAGAGAGGCTTTCAATGGATCCGGGATTTAAATTTAAACCTTTCTAGATTCTTTGCTTTTGATCTGCACTGCTTAATTGAGAATTGTAGGATGAATAGCAACCTATGAATAAAAGAGAAATGAGTTGAAAGACATGCAAGTCAAATGTCTATAGCAGTAATTTTTCAACTGGTGTGCCATGACATACTATTGTGCTGTGAGCCATGAACATTTTTTTTAAATGTCATTAATTAAATTATTTTCAAAACAAGTCCAAAGCACAATAAGTGTATATATCAAAATTAAAACCCCTGTAGAGTAATTGGGCATAGTTAAAGGAAATTGCTAGAATTGTCCAACAAGCAAAATTGCCAAAGTTTGCAATGCACAATTAGGAAAGAAAGACAAGAACAGGGCTAAAATAATACCAAGAAAACATATATATATCTTCAACACTCACGGCCTGACAATTGGGTCTAGCATGAAACAGCCTGTCGCCTCTGAGTGATGACTTCAGTGTTCACTTTTATATTTATATTTACATACACTCTATCTCTGATATTGAGCACTTTATCCCATAGCACACTTTAAAGCTATATTTCTGCGCGCACACACACACACACACACACACACATATATATATATATATATATATATATATATATATATAGTGTATTGGAGCAGCAGATCATTATTTAAATATATATTTTTAAATATAACAGACAATGAATGTCTATTATATCTGATCATGAGCTGTTCTGATGTTCAATGTTTGCTTTAATTTCTGGTGAAAATAAAGACAAATTTTTCAACATTTGGATATTTTTTTTTTATTAAGTTGGTCCTAAGCTTTTGGCTCACATGAGCCATCCCTCAGAATGGGTTATACAGACATGAAACAAAGATATCCACCATCAAAGATGAAATTTTGTTATTTTGACATAGAAGATTGCTATGCAAGGTTAATGGTTGTGGAATATCATAAGTTCAAGATACGGTTCTATAACATCATATCACACGATAGACCAAAGTATTACAACAGAACCAATGTCTAGATGCAATATAATGTGTTGTGACTAGTTTTAAATGTAATTTTGTTGAGTGAGTTGCTTTGTTTTAATGTCTTCCAATATCTGAAGGTTCTTTTTACTATGTGTCTGTGTGAGTATTGTTGTGTTATCAACTAATATCTGTCTAATATTATGCATATGGCAATATTTTTCTAAGAAATGTTGCTTAATAGAATTAAGATCAGAAAGGTGACAGGTAAGTCTATGGGAGAGTGTGGTTGTAGTTGAAAGCTTAGGACCAACTTAATAAAAAATATCCAAATCTTAGACAGTTTTTGTCTTTATTTTCACCAGAAATTAAAGCAAACATTTGAATATGAGAATGGCTCATGATCAGACAAAATAGACATTCATTGTCTGTTATATTTAAACTGTAACTATGGTCTGCTGAGCATAGTTGCTGTATAAACCACAGGTTGGCTCTGTGGGTGTTGAACAAACACAAATGTTCCTGAGAGAGCATCTGTAATAGGGATTGGCTAGCCGCCCTAATAGACAGGTATCCTCAAATACGAGGGGCTAGCTATTATGTGTTTAAATATATATAATGTGTGTGTGTGTGTGTGTTGAGAAGACAAATGCAGGTATAAATTATCTGAAGCTTTATTCAACTTAGAATGGCGTGTCTGAGCTGGACTTATTTAAATACAGAATACGTATATAGGGAGATAATCTATACCACAAAGTGCAAGACAAAAGTATGCAAAGCACCAGTAATAAGGCAAAGAGTTCACAAAGTAAGAATCATGTTAACACACAAAAAGGATACAGACAAGTGATTGCAGAGTTTTGACTTCAAGACAAGAAAGAACAAAAATATGCCAGATGAGACCAAGATGTGGTCTTATTGGCTATGATGAAATCTCAGTATCCATCTGATGATGCAAAAAGCAACACACGATTGGCACTCTTGAATGCAACCTTAAAACATCAGTTGAGGGGTTTGATGTAGACAAACTGCATTTTGAGACGCCTTGTGAGTTGGGGTGGCAAGTACAAGTAGCTTCTGACCTGAAAACTATTGAAAATCTAATTAACAATAACCACAAATATTTAATGATAGGTCCAAAATGCGATCATTTATTTTGACAGAAAAAAAAAAAAAAATGACACCATAAAACTTAGACATGCTGGCACACCAAGTTATTAAATCCTCAAATATTTTTTTTTTTTCAAACATTACCCAGCTAATTATGGGATGAATCTTACCACTTGCAGCATCTTACAGGAAATACAGTATGTATTGCTGTCATTTATTGAAAGTACAGTTATGTTGAGTAATCATCTCAGAAAATTCTTGGTCCATCGATTGTTCTTTCAGCCATGGAGTGAACTGTTCAGTAAACACATTGAAGAAGGTGTCAGGATAAGTGCCAATGCCAAAACAGATGAAATCATCAATTCTCAACAAGTAGATCCAATTAATGATGTAAGTCAATTACTAATTACTTTTGAGTTAGCCTTTTTTCTTTTCTTTTTTACCTAGCCTCATACACTAGTCTACTTTTTTCTAAGTAGAAAATTCTAACTTTACAATATTTTTGGAATAATTGAAAACAGTTAAATAATGAACAAATACTTATTAAAGTACCAAAAAAAAAATAAAGGAATTTTCAGATTGTCTTCAGTACAGTTGTTGAGAATGATTGAGTGATTTGTTTTTTATGGTTTATCAACCCTTTGCGGGTTATTTAAAGCTGAAACATATTCTCGATTGTAAGGATAATTCTTTTTTATGCGTGAGTACAATATTAACATTTTTTAGAATAACAAAGATTTTGTTTTGTTTTTTTTTTTTCCCCCCAAGTACAAGTCCTGCCATTTAACCCATAATTCATACTTTTCCAAAGGCTATTTACATGTAAGTGAATATAACAAACTCAGCTAAAATTCAAACTCTGCTCTCTGATATTTCATTCAAAGTCACTATCCATTACACCACCTGCACATCCACTTGTTATTGAGAGACATATTTTAAAATATAAGATTAGTAAAATAATAAAGGATTAATCTGAACTGGTCTTAAATAATTGTCTTAGGTTTTATTAATAGCCGCCTGTTATTGTAGTTAAATTAATTTTCATTAAAGCAAAAAAGTTGTTTAGATGATGAAATGATTCAACAGCAAGAGAATTGTAAGCATTGAAATTTGATGATTAATTTTTTTGTATTTTTATCTCTGATTCACTGGATTGCATTGTTTTACTGTTGGAAGTTTTTCAGCTCAGTAATTGAGGGTGGGGGGAACATCTTCTTGGGAATCAGTTTCAGTGCTAACAATGCAAGGGGTACCGGCAGGGAATGGGGTCTACCAACAATGCTAACATTGGATAACTTTTTTTTTTTTATTTCAGCCAATATGGGGGAAGTGTAACAGTTATCAACATGGAAAGTAAAATTTGTGAGCAAATTCCAAATTCTGGTTCTTTGCTTTCATTTTCACACTAATTCTCTCAGAAAGACAGGAATCCATTTCCCTTTTCAGCTATGGGTTAAATAGCAGCACAGACTTGGATCTTTAGTCTTGGTGAAGACCAACCTAAGAGAATGAAATTCTAAATTCCAAATTGTGAAGAATGCAACAGGAAACCCTCCACTATCTTTCCCCAAAAGTCTTGACAATTCAGAAATAATAAAGGAAAGGAATCTTTGAAAAGGTCAAGTCTCAATTTGAAACTGAAGAAGGCAACGGGAAACCACTCTACTATCTTTCCCAAGAAGTTATGGCAATTCATAGATAATAAAACAAATAAATCTGTGAAGAAACTTGATTGCCACCATTTTCCTCAAAAGACATGTCATTTAAAAAAAAAAAATAATAATTTCTGTCAGTCTGTCAGTTACCATCAGGAGCATGTTGCATTTGGTCGAATGACTCAGAACTTTTTGAGAAAATGATAAAAGTCTGATACAATTTTTAATAAATGCCATATAACATAGGCCTTACAAAGAAGGCATTGGCTGAGGGATTTTCATCAAAATAACAAGGATGGGGATACTAAACCAAATAATTTGTTGTAACTTGTTACTATTATTTCTTTTGTTGTCTACAGGTAAATAGTGATCCTTTGAAGGACGTTGTGATCTCAGTAGCCAGAAAACTCAGTGCTCATCAGTCGACCTATAATGACATTGCTGTTTCTCTTGGGGCTGGTTACACTTGGACTTATGATAAAAAATGTACACACTTTATATTTCAGGTGAGGCAATTTCTTAAATATATATTTGTGCATGTATATTTTTGTCAGAATTTTGAAGATTTTTTCTTTTTTTTTTTTGCTTAATCATTTCACCCCAAGAAAGTCAATAAAGCCACTACAACGCAAGTGTGAAATAATATGAGAGAAGAATAAAATAACAGGAATTACAAAGACAGAAGATAACAACTGATGTTGCATTTACATTTTTAAAGATCAATATTGACTGGAAACAATCTAGAAGAGTTCAACAAATGAAAGTGTGAGATCAGAAACTATTAATATGACCTATAGTTTATATGGCCCAGTGGATAAAAATTGTTAGTTGAAGTAATCCAGTGACTTGACCCAAAGAGTTCTGAGTTCAATACCTGGCCACAGCAGAGTTGAACAAAAACTTGGAGAGTTGAGTTTACTAAAGGGAAATAATTGAAACTGAAATATCCAGAAAAGGCATGGCATGTGGAACTAGAACAATCTATCCCAGTGGGTTCAGTTCAGTTTGGTTCGAAATTTCTATGTATATCACCTGAAGAAGGCTGGAGTGTACAACGGCTGAAACTTGAATATGATGATAAAGATGAGAACAACAGTCTGAACAAAGTAAATAGTGTAAAAATAAACTATTAGCATAAAACTTATGCATATATTTAGCCATTTCATTCAAGCTATTATTAACATTTTTTGCAATCAGACTAATGTCCTAATCTTCTTTGTTATTTTCACATTTTGGCAATTGTGTCCTTTGGCCAACTTCAACTGTCTGTCAATCTGGGTAACCTTCAAGGCCAAAGAGCCACTCAAGATAGAGGGTTACTGTGTGGTGTTGTATGAGCATGAGAAAAGGCAAGAAGTGAAGTTCATGGGGTTATGTAGGAAAGATGATGGTTAACTCTAGACTTGATGAGGTCAAAATTGTAGTGACTGGAAAAACATCCTCTTGGGAAGAAGCTGTCCAAGTGAAACTTCCTTCTTGCTAATGGAATATGAAGGGTGATGAGGGTGATTCATCTGTGTGTATGTGGCATAGCAGGTCGCAGTTGTAAATCTACCAAAGTAGATTGTTCTACTGTCCATGGAGAAAGATATGTTTCAGCTAATGCAAGTCCTGTTTCCACTGGATCTGGGCCTGTACTACCTGGTACAAGGATTGAACCCATAATTGCAAGTCCAACACATTCATGAAGCAATGCTCTAGACCTCTGGTCTATTGTCTTGCATTTTATATGCTATTAAATGTGATGACTAGTTTTTCATTCGTTATTGGGTAGGTCTGACTGTCCCCTTGTCCAGGTTTCTGTCTGGACTCCTCATGTGTTCAGTTTTTCCTCCAATAGGAGTAAATACCCTGAGGAAAAAAAAATATTGATGACTTTCCTGCTTTCCGTTTTGCATTAATATTTTTTAGGAAAGACAAAATTCCACATTTTTTTTATCACTGTCATTTTGAGAAATTGTTTTTTACTGACCTACCTCAGGGATTAACACAAGAGTTGATGCATAATCATTTTCTTGCACTTTAATGAGGTAGTACCATTTACCTTGATAATCCAGTCATTTTTTTGGATGATATCTGGTATTAGTGATTGTCTATAAAATAATACAATCATTTGAGAAAAAAAAATCTGTTTTACATTCAAAAGCTTTTGAAGTTTGATAAAAAGAGTCCAATTGTTAAACCAATGTCTGTGTAATAGGCAAAGGATAGTTTTCATTAGAAATCATGTTTTAAATTCTGAAAATGGACTTCTTGAATCTATTTTTTTCTTTAACTACTTTTCATTAATTATTTTAGTTGAATTAATGGGTTTATTTATTTATTTTTTAATATTAGGTAAATATTTTTGAAGAGAGAAAAATTTAAATAAACTATTAATTCCAATATTATTAAATTAGACATTGAATCTGAGCCAGTTAATGAATTTAAATGGAAAACTTTGTGAAAAAGCAAAAATTTCATTTTTTTTTTTTCTTCAACCATACAATAAATCAACTGTCTTCTTAATCTCAGTTCTTTTATTGTCCTCTCTCCTTAATAATGTTTTCATTTTCTCATATTGTTTCACACTTGTATCTTAGTGGCTTTATTGACTTGCCTAGACTGAAATGATAAAAAAAATTCTTCCTTTGTGAAAAAGTTTTTTAAAAAATTGTAAACACTTTTCTTAATTTCTATAAAAATTTATGATCCTGACTATGTTTTTTTTTATATTTTCCAGGGAAAACTTAATGATATCAACCGAGAATTCCGTTTAGCCAGAGAACAGGGAAAGTTTATCGTCTCCCCTTATTGGCTCACGATGGTTAGTATATTAACTACAGCCATTTTTTTAAAAAAATCTTTATTTTTTTTTTTTTATTTTTTTTCAAATTCTTCACATTTTGATTTCATAGTTTACTTTTTATTAAAAAATCTTTACTAAAAATCATTGCTCCCAATTGAACAATGAGATTTGAGATATGTCTGCAGGGCAAGAGATGCACTCTGAAATGGCCTTTAGTAAAGAACACCACAGTTGATCAAAGCAGACTTGATCCTCCAGTGATTATAAATATAAACATCTAGTGCTGAGATATAAATAATAAGATCAAATACAGGTACTAATACCAATCATCATAATATGTGGGTTTGATATTTACTAGTATTACACAAGGGCAGCTTGGATGAGATAATGGTAGGAAGATTGTGTTGTTCCAGTCTTTCTGGGGTGCTGAAAAGTGCCTGACCTGACCGAAAAGGAATTCCAACATTCTGAGGCTTACAGCTGCTTCATGTTGAAACATTGGTTGCCATATGACTACTGAAGTTAAGCAACATCAAGCCTGGTCAGTATCTCAATGTGTAACTGCTTGGGAATACTAGGTGCTGTAAGCTTGGATGTGCACATAGTGTAATGGATAATGGCTTGGAATTGTTAATCAGATAGCTGAGTTCCAATTCCTGTTGGGTTCATTATATTCACTTGCATGCAAATTCCCTTGGGAATGGTAAGAATCCACCTCTTCTCCCCGCTCCCAGTTATTGATCCCACACTTCATATCTACATTATAACAATTTCTTGTTTGTTTATCAAATTTTGATTAGTTATGAATTTAGGGGTGAGATTTTTTTTTTTTTTGTTTCCTGTTAAGAAAATTATCTGAGAGAAAAGATGAAGAGCAATGATCAACAAGTTAGAGTAATTATTTTTCCATTTTGGCAGTTCAAAGTGTTTCTGGATCATTTAACAAAATTTCATAAGCAAAGAAATTTGTTTTAATTCCTTTCTTACACTGTTGTACAAAAACTTTAGGAGATTTATTAAAACAATTTTATTTTTCTAATGTTAGTAAAAAAAATAATTTAAAAAATTAGACTTAGAATATGAAATCAGTTAACAAAATAATTGAAGTGCAATTTTTCAACTTATTTCCAGTCACTTTCTCACAGACGTAATATGGCTTCATTCTGTCTTTTCTATAAATATTTTCATGGTAACTGCTCTGATGAGCTATTTTCACTGGTGCCCAAACTGCATGAATTTAAGCGTGCTACTAGGTTGGCATTTTGGTCAAAAACAGTTAAATGTAACCACCTCTTCTATTCCAAGAGCTTCTTCTCTCGCACTTCTTGACAGTGGAATTCCTTTCCTCTTACTTGCTTCCCTGATAACTATAATCAAATATTCAAATGTAATGTCAATCGACATTTTCTGATGCCTTGATCTTGATACCTGTCCTTCTCTCAAACACCCCTCTTTACTCTTACTTTCACTCTCTGTAACCCCTTGCATGCTAGTGGCACTCCCACCTTACTTGGAGTGATATACTTAAAATAAAAAATTTCGTTTTGCATATTATATAAGGAAATTCATTTTCTTAATTTTTTACTTTGATTTTTAAATTTTGAAAATGAATGGAAGACAGTTGGTTATCACAAATATTGAAGAATTTATTTTTTTTCTATTTCCTGTGAACTTCTCTAAAAACAATTTGAACTTAAAATTTTGCTGTCATTTATATTTTGTTTTTTGTTCTTCTGAATGATTTTTTTTTTTTTTTGTCTCTTTCTGTCAATTTCCAGTGTAAAGAACAAAATGCTAGAGTTGATGAAACCTTATTTCCACACACTTTTAATCCTAACCTCAGTCTGGTAAGTTTGTGTTTTACCAAAGTTATATATAAGCACGTACACACACACACAGGGTATGCCAGAAATACCTCTCATACAATATTAAGACATTAGTGGCAATGGTATCTTCATCTAGCTAATAATTTACTATTACATATTTTTACCACACTGTGTATGTATATATATATATATATGTATATATATATATATATATATATATATATATATATATATATATATATATATATATAAATGTCTTTCATTAAATATGATGAACAATGAAAATTTTATTACTTTTTATGTTTAGTTTATTGGGTGTAAGAACACTGGAAAAACTAAATAAATAAAAAAAAAAGTTAATAAAGTTTTCCTTGTCTGTTACTGCCCAAATATACATTAATATATATTATCACTTTAAACATTCTTTTTAGTGGATTCTCATATTTGAGTAGAAGTTTGATTTATTTATTAAACATTGTCCCAAGTACTTTCAGCCACTTCATTAACCATTTTCTTGTCCGTTATATTTAACAAAAGATGTTTAATAGAAGGTTTGCTGCCCAAATATGCATTAATATATATATATATATATATATATATATATATAATAACTACCTGTCAAAAGTTTTCATTTCATCTTTCGTTTCATTTTTTGGAAGTGTTATCTGATGATCCAGCGTCCCTTAAAAGAGCTCTGGTGAAATAAATTATTATAATGGAACCTTAAAGTGGTCTGTTTTTCTTTAAATTATTAGCTCTGGATTTACATTGAGCTCTCAGGATTTCATCCTCCTTGGGACTACCCATATGGATTACCAAGTTTTTCATAACTTATATATATATAGCCGAATGGGTAAATATAAGTAGGTATATGAACGAGCGATCATATAAAAATATTAGGTTGGTGCAAAAATAATGATGTAAGAATGTAGTTTTTTGATGTTAAAAAATACGTAAAAAAACGACATTATTACGTCTTATTTTTGCACCAACCTAATACAAATAAATACTCTGTAATGTAAGAGAAAACAGTGCTCAGTGTAAGTAACAGAGCTATTTAATATATATATATTAAGAAATATACATAGTATCTTACATTACATTACATTTTATATATATATGCGTGTGTGTGTATATATATATATATATATATATATATATATATATATATATATATATATATAATGTATGTGTTTGTGAATTTAAAAGTAGACACTGAAGTCAATAGCAAGTGGCAAGAGCCTGTTTCATGCTTGAACACAATCTTTAGATGACCTGAAGATTGTGTTAAAGCATGAATTCTATTAGCCATTATCAAGTACCTTATTATTTGTTTGATAATGACCAATAGCCAAAAGTGCTCAGACATATAAAACATTTGAACAGTTTTTACACAGTCTATGTCCAGAAAAGAAAACACTTATATCAACACAAGAAAAATTGTACAAAAAAGCTTAATCACAGTACCTTGTTAGTCATCTTTAATGAAACTTGTATAAAAGAAGGATTGCTGCCCAAATACACACTTTATATATATATATATATATATATAAAAGAGTGTGTGTGTATTGGTCTCTCAAGTTGTTTGCAAATTTGCTTCTTATAGTTTCAAGAAATTAACTAGTTTTATTTCATAATTGTCTGAAACTGCATGTGTGGTGATGCTGTAAAGTGGTTTCTTTAACCCTTTGAACCTATGTGACCTGTATACTGGCGGCTGTGTGAATATGTGTGTGTGTGTATATATATATGTGAAAATATATAGAAAATAGGAAGGAACTGGTTAGGTAAATAATCCAAAATCCCTTAGTATTTTAGTTATTATTTTTAAAAAATAGTGCTCGATACAAAAGTAGAGCATAAATATAATTATTTATTTAAAAATATGATTCCAAACCACTACATAAGAGGTCTCATGTTTCAAAACAAGAGCCGAAAACTTCAACATAATCCTTTAAATTAAATTGAGTTGAAAGTAAAATGGGCTCCGTTCCATCTTCAAGCGAAATTTTTGTTGGAATAACGTATATCTGAAATTTACTTGTTTTAAAATTGAAATCAAAATCCCCATAGTAACAGCTATAGTGAATTGTCTAAATTGGGTAGGCGAGTGTAGGGTGTTAATAATAAGTAGTGGTATAGAGATACTTTCAAGGTGTCAAGTCGGGGAAAGGTGGGGGTGTCAAAAATGAAACGGAAGATGTATTAGCCATCGTCTAGTTTGCTTGTCTATGGAGATTTATTTATTTATTTTATTTTATTATGAAAGGGAATTGTGCATATAAAAAAAGAAAAACTTTCGTAACGTTTGTTTTTTGACGACTTCATAAAGGGTTATCTTATATGTAAGGTATTTAAACTACTAATTTAGGCTATGGATTATGAAGTGTGTTATGTAGTATGCATGTATTGTGCTGGATTGATTATTTCACCCTAAAACTCGTTGAATTTCCTCCGTTGCTGAAATAAATAGATAGAGAAAAGACGGAAGGATAATGGAGACAATGGAGGGACTGTTTAGGACTGATTTTATTTCTTTCTATTGATTCAACGACCTCTTGTTGGGGAATTTCCTCCCAAAACAGTTGGTACGTATTCACCAGTCAATGGTCCAACAGAAAAAGCCCCAGCATTTTCTTCTTTTTAAGCGCCTGCTCTTTTTTAAGCGTCTCTTTTTAAAAAAACGTCTGCTCTTTTATTCTTTATTTTTGCACCTGCGTAATTTGTCTTTCCTGTCAGAGGACTCTTGGGAGATTTTAATGTTTATTTTATTATTTTTATACTTTTATTTAATTTTGTATTTTATTTTATTCCTACACATGTTTGTAGTTAATTATTCCTACTATGAATCTGAAGATTGGGCTATTTGTTAAACAAGTTATATAAAGTTTTTTTTTTTATCTAATAATTCAAACCAAAAATCTGATGATGCCTACAAAAAACCGTTAACTCTTGTCTATTATTTAATAGATTATTATTATTTAGAAGTTTAATGATGTGCAATTTTTCATGGAGGCACAAAGGGCATGGGTCATCCCAAGCTTTACATATTCTAGCCTTGTCAATAATTTTCCAAAATTATATATATATATAACTTATATTACACTCTATTGTTACATTTGTTCTATTTTATTATTATTTGTTATTGTTAATCTCTTAGGGTTAATATGATTTACAGTTTTATCTGTTACATAACTTTTATTACATATTGTTATAATTGTAACATTTTATTATTAACTAGTGTAAAAAAAAAATGAATGCAATTGTTAGTAAGTTTAAATAGTGCGATATAATAAAACAAAAGTCTTGAAACAATATATTGACATTCAATAAAGCGGAGAGAAAGAATTCACAACTAAAAAGAGAAGCCAATGAACCATTCCATTAATTCATTCCCTTTATATATTTTAGATGTTCAATGGTATCTTTGATTCATTGATTATGCCTGGTATTATATAAATCACTTTTTTGCCCAATATTTTTTCATTTTAAAAATGTGTGTTTAATATAACAGTGAAATGGAAATATATCTCTTGAAAGAAAAAGATTAGCAACAGAACAAAGAGAGCAACAATAAAGGCTATTTCAAGATCATGTTGAAGCAAGATGACCACTTAATAGACAAAAGTAACTGAGTACCTCACATGAAAGTCTTGAACAAATAAGACTGCAATCTAAAAAATGTTGGAGTAAAGTAACTGATTAATTAAATGGTTCATTTTGCTTGGGAACTAATTCTGTAGATAAATGTAGATAAATATTTTATTTGTATAAATTATTAAAATGACTAAGGAAAGTAACCACTCATAAACTTACTATCAGTTATTTACCTCCTTTTTGCACTGCAGATGGGAAAGGAAATATATAAATAAATACATATTGATAATTATTATATGGTTTGATGATTGTTGTTAATCACCTACCTATAAGTTTTATGATAAGTATATATGTATTTAGGGAAAAAATATACAGAAGTGGATTTAAAAAAACAAACATTTTTGGTCAAACCAAGAAGAGATCATCAAAATAAATCCTGATGTTTGGTTATTTGGTCAGATATTTGGAAGTGTATCGAGCTGAGAACATCCATCCTTACCCGTGTGTGTGTGTACACTCTCATTAAAAAAATAAAAAACAATTTCTTGCATAATAATTGTACTTTTTAAAACTAATTTCTTCTATTAGCAATCCATCGTGAATGGACCGAAGGAAACTCCCCGTCGTAGTAAACGCTCAACCAGATCCTTTGACAGTCCAGCTGTTGGCAGAACTCCTTCTGAACTGAAAAAGATTAATGTTGATATTGAAACTCATGACGAGGAGATGGATGTTGATGTTCCGGATGTGAACGACCAGACCAAAACTAATAAGTTGGGCATCCCAGAAAATGATGAGGAAAATGTGAGTTTTTGATTTTCGATTTATTAATTTTTTTAAATTTTTCTCTTTCTTTGTTGTTTAACCTCTTCCCCACCAATTATTTTGGGAAAAACCTTTCATTTTCAGAGAATTTTTTATTATTTGTTTTTAATATATTAACTAAGAAACTGAGGCACGTTTAAGTACCCAAGTGGTAGCTAACACCTCTACCAGACAAATGAGTTTACAATTAGACTTGTTTTAAGCTCAGAAGGGCATAAAAAGAATCATGATTGGTGTATAAACATGTCTGGAGCTGGTCTTTGAACATTATGTTTTGGACATGTTTATTCGTCCGTGTCTGAAAAAGCCAAATTTTGGTAAAAATGTGCACTCCAGTTGAAAAGTTTGAAGCTATCCCAGGAATTAGCGTGAGATGAACTTGACAGAAAAGTGAAAAAAAAAAAATGGAAAAGAGTTCTAAGAGTCATTGAAAAAAGAATTGAATCAATTATCAAACTTATACTTCAAGAAACTTTTGCAATGAATGCCAAAAATTTGTGCTACAGTAATCAAGGCTAAAGAAGGATATTTTGACAAGAGCAAAATTTAATCATAAAACGCTAAACATGTCTAATAATTTTCTCTTATTTAAATACAAAACAACTACTTTTGAGGCCAATTTAAAAAATTACCAGGGGTTCCTTCAAACTTATGAACTGTTGTGTATATACATGTCTATATCAAGGTAAGGGGGTTAATGCTTTTTCAGGGAAGTTCATGATGGAGGTTTTCTTTTAAAAAAAAATACAGTTAACATTTTCCTTTTAAGTAAAGATGGCAGCAACATTTGAAAACATAGTAAATTCATTGATCATTGTGGAAAAGTAAATATACAACGCAACCCTCACCCAAGATTTCCACTGACTGGCTAATGATTTCCCCATGTTGAATCTCTGTATGCTTATTCCATTTTTTGTGAAAATAACCAGTACACTACAATCACATACATTTTAAGTAAATATCCCAAGTCAATATATTCATGTTGGTTTTATTTTAAACCACACACACTTTTTTTTTTTTTTTTTTTTTTTTTTTCAAATTTCTTCAATTATTGGCAGTGACCATTTGTTGCGATATCGTTACCCTGTAGAGAAAAGCTTTATGACATTTCCTGTAAATTTTATTTTAGCAACATTTGGTTTCAAGAAAGTATAGATCAGGTTTTTTTGTTCACCATGAAGGAGCCTCTTAACCCATGAGTTACAATCTGACTTTTCTTTCTGTAAGAGCAGTTTTTTCAAACAGTAACATTTTGGTTTTTATTATGTCCATGTTTTACATGAAATTTTTTTATTTTCTGACTGCAGATAATCCAAACTTTTTGTGAAAATACAAATCCCCAAATTTGGGACTTTTTTGCAAACAATTGAGTCATGGATTTCTTCTGTATCCGGAATTATTTTGAACTTCAGAACATTTGCCCTAATCCCATTTATCTTAATGACTTTTGTTTTTTATAAAAGATAGAAATAGCTACTCTTCCCCAAATCCATGATGAAATCCCTGCTTCCTTTCGCCAAATTGGACGAAATCCCTGCTTCCTTTCGCCAAAAGTGGACTGTCTCAGCCTCATAAATAAAATAAAATAAAAAGTCTCATATATTAAAAGAAACAAACTTAACACTGAAAATTTATAGAATTTTAATTCATATTTTAATATCAAATTGTGGCAGTAATAATAGACAAGTGTAAAGTTTTTTTTTTTTTTTTTTTTTTTTTAGGTTATTGAAATGACGGATATTCAAGAAGCTTTGAATAAAGAACTGGAGAACATTAAAGCTTCAGGGTAAGTTTGAGCAGTAAAATCATATTTGATTTTTTTACTCACTTTTATGAATTTTTTGTTTTATTAATGCCAATGTCAATTGATCAGAAAAGAAAAGAGAATTAATAAAAAGATTGCTATTTTTATGCTTCATTTCCAAAGAGGTTGTGGGTTACCCGACTTGATTTTGCCAAACACCTGTCAGGTCGTGCTGATTCTGTCTTCAAAAAGACAGACATTTCCTTCCTCTCTCTTCCTCTTGCTCTGAGATGTAATAGGTGATGTATCCCCCACTTGGACACATTCGTTCCTCTTGTCGACTGACACCCGAACTCTCACATACACATATGTGGCATGCATACAAACGAGCACATTCTTAATAGCTAAGTTTTTAATATCTTTTCTTTTACTTCCTGTTGTGTACAAATTAATGTAATTTCTTTGGTTAATTGTCGCTTGTTTAAATTCCATGTTTTGTGTTACTTATTTTTGTATATATTCTTTTAACTTGCATGAGTTTGCTAAATATTATAAATGTACTCACATGAGTTTGCAAAATATTGTTTGCTAGATGAATGGACCAGGTGAAGAATTATATTTTATTTATTTTTGAACCTTTTCAGTTTCTTTAGTTGATGCAGAATTCAAGACATTTCTCAGTTCCTCCTCCATATTGAAATGTCATTGACCTAATTCTTCCTTCCACTTTCTTTCTGGTTCCTTTCCCCACTGGAAGCATGTAATGTGGGAGGAGAGAAAGCTCCATAACATATAACCACTCATAAAAAATGACCAGTTGTTGACTCTACATTTTTTGTCAAGTGTGGCACAAGGTCTCATGGCACACTCGATGAGCATCCATCTTGTTATCTTTTTATTACTATAATTCATCCTCTGTCACAACCACATATTGTTGTTAACTGTGAACTCCATGATCTCTTCAGTGGCTGTATAATATAGACCTCACTGTTGATTTTGAATTCAGAGTTGTCCTTCTAGGTTGGCTGCCAATCACAACTGTTGAACCCAGTCTGTTTTGCTATTTAACCCATAGCTCGAGTTAAGAGATTAATTTATACTTTTCTCAATGGTATTTGTGTGAAAGTGAATACAACGAACTCGGGTGGAATTTGAATGCAGTTTGCTGATTTATTTCTGAGCCACTATCGTTATGTGACCTGCTCATTGCTATCTATGGCTTGTGATACTAGCACTGCATTGCCACATTTGGTTTTGCAATTAAGCTCTTAACAATACATACAAGACAAAATTTTTTAATCAGTATTATGGTAAAAACACAAAACATTAAAATTCACTCACCTATAAAAGCATGAATGAAAGTTTGACAATTGTTCATTTGCTATTAATTTTTATTTATTTTTTTTTAATCAACAGATCAAAGCGTTCAAAGAAGAGGGCCAAGAAGAATGGTAAGTTAACTCTGATAAGTTAGTCCTTCTTTGTTGGTTGCTGCTCCCTCTGGTCTTCTGAAGAAATCAGTGTATCATCATAATTAGACTTTGTCTTAGAAATTCAGGCAAAAATAATCCCTAATACCTCTTTATTTGTCTGTCTCAGATAAAATGAGTTGGCGCTTCAGGAATTTGGCAACTTTGTCTTCAAAAACATGTTTGAAACTTAGATAATATTTTGTAGTGCCAGATTTTTCAAAAGCTTCTATTTCAGTATGGATATGCAAGTGGCAGCAGAAGTTCCAATTTCAGCTGCTGCTTTCACTTGTTCCCTTCTTGCTAATGCTGTAGGGGAAGGCATGAACCTATCTCCACTCACTACCCACCAGCTATAGATGAAAGTGTATGGCTGACTTTGCTTCACACAATAGCTCTTAATTCAAAAATAGAATGCTATAAGAAATCATTACCATTTCCAATGATAGCTAGGGTGATTCACAATTTACAGATATTAAACAAAAAGGAAGTTGTGGAGAGCCTTGATTGCTTACATTCTGAAAGTACATGGTTTTTCACAATACCTAATGATCCTTAACATTAACAATATATAGATATATATAGATTCTTTCATAATTTTTTTTTCTATCTGCATGTGGAGACTAAATGGCAAGGAATTGAACCCTCATCTTCAATGTGACTAGTTGATCTACTTATCCTCTAGACTACTAAAAGATTTAGCTGCAAAACCTGTTATTATAATATATAATTATCTATTCATGCTTACATTGTGTGTCGCACGTTTGTAGCTTATGGCCATATCACGTTGAAATACCAGTTCCCATACAATCAGCAAATTTAAGCAGCATTAAACTTATATGAGTGAGTATTTCGGGATATCAGGTATTGTAAGCTTGGATGTGCAGGTGGTGTAATGGATAATGGCTTGGAATTGTTAATTGGGGAGCCGAGTTCCAATTCTAGTTGGGTTCATCATATTCACTTATACACAAATACCTTTGGGAAAGGTATGAATCCACCTCTTCTCCCCCAACTATGAGTTAAATAGTAAAATTTGTATCACTAAATCATTATTATCGCCCCCAAAATAAATTCTTACAATGTAAAAATATTTTCTGGCTTTAAATAATCTGTGAATGGTTGATAAATCATAGAAAACAAATCAATCAAACACATTTGTTGACATTACTGTAAGTACCTGACTACTCCTACTCTGTTCATAATTTTGTTTCTCTGGAAAAATATGGCCACAAATGAGACTTTAAGCCCATATATTTTGATAGCTGCTTTAAGAATACACATGTTTAAATATGCACAATACAAAATTTCTTTGTTTTCAGTTAACAGTTCTGTCACAGATAGCAGCCACACAACACCAACATCATTATCAACCAGAAAATCTGATTCAGGTAAATAGAAATAACTTTTTTAAAATCATTTTTCACTTAAGGATTAACATTTGGAGCCTAAGATTGATGTTTATTTAACAGGACATATTAAGTCTGTTTCCCCTTTTGGCTTTTTACTTGCATTAATTTTTTCTTTATTTTCTCTTCATTTTCACCTTTTTTTTTTTTTTTTTCCACTGACTTCTCTTGACACTTTGAATAGTTTAATTTAATAATAAATTATTGTTGACATTAAAAAGATTTTTTTTTTTTTTCAATTTTGTCAATTTTTAGCTCAATCAAAAGATAAAAATAAAGGTTCTGGATCAGAGTCATCGCAGAGTGTTCAAGTCATGTGGGATGATCCAACTGAAAGGTGAGTAAAGAGTTTTTATTTCTCAGTCTTGCTTATTAACACTTCTGCTACTGTCGATATACATCTTTAAGAAACTTACTTTGCCTGCTGTTTACATATACACATTTTCAAGATATACATCTTCAAGAAACTTACATTGACTACTGTTGTCATATATATATATATATATACACACACACATACACACATATTCAAGACACTGAAAAATCAGTCCCTAGCTTTTCTGTTATAAACTAGTGCATATTGCTATTTCTAAACCAACATACAGATATAGTAGTATAATAAAATTTCTCAAATATTCAGTTTGGTACATGAAATAAAATACTGTTTAATAAATATAAAAAAAAGCATCTCCTTAAATATGGGTATCCACTAAAAATAATATTTAAAGTGATAAAAGTATGTCAGATTAATAAATAAAAATCCATTTTTTCTTTAAAAATTGCTTTGTTTAGGTCTCAGGTTATGAAACTGAGCAGTTATGAACTTTCTGGAATCTAAACAAGGGATGCTTAAAGGCAATATACAGCCTTACTTAATCATGATTTTCTTTATAGTGAAGATCATGGTCACCATCGCACCACAGCTTCTTCTTTTTTTATTATTCCTTCTTGGTCTTTTGGTTGTGATCAAAGTGTAGTAACTGCTCTTGGGTGGATAAACGACATTTCATCTCTCAGTTATGTCTCTGTCTTCAGATGGAGTGCTACTGAAAATGTTATTGAGAGGTGCCTGATCTCAGAAAACAGCTGCCCTTGGCAGTACCTCCCTCATTGCACTGAAAATTGGGGATTGGTTGCAAGGGTTGGGCTATTTTATGCGCTTGGGCTCCCTACATTAAATGGATTTGTGTCAGATTCTGTCAGCGTTGGTTGGCAAGAAAATACAATCGTTTCTCGGCCTTTTGGCCAAAATCAAAGTGTAGTATCTGTTCTTATCCACTTAATCTGATTCTCTCTCTCCACTTTCCCTTCTTTCTTTCTTTCTTTCATTTTCTCAGTGAAACCAAGTAGTGTCTTTTTCCTTCTTTTCATACAATCAAAACAGAATAGTTTATTGTGTATGAGGTATTGGCTGGGTTTAATGGTTGTGCGAACTAAGGAAGTTAGGGATAAGCCCAATTATAATAGAATGTACATTAGTGAGCACCCCCCCCCCCATTTTCTTTTTTTACAGAAAAAGGTGGCAAACAAGAGAAATAGTCACTAAAGTTTGTTCATTCATACTGGGCAATGAGACTTATAGATGATTCTATTCCTAGCCACCGGATCATAAAAACGATTCTCTATTTATACAAAAAAAGTTTAAGTTTTATGACAATGTAAAAGAAATACTCTCAGTCTTTAAATTGATTATTTTATTTATTTCTAATACTCCATGATTTTTCAGGGAGTAGCTGATCACGACTCCCCACAGATTCCTTTTCTTTATTATCTATGACTCGCCATAACTTCTTGGGAATGGTAGTGGAGTGATTCCTTGTTGCTTTCTCCACAGTTTTAAATTCAGAGTAGTCCTTTTAGAGGGACTGTTATAGCCATATCATGTTGAAACATTGGTTCCTGTATGATCACCAAAGTTAAGCAATGGTGAGCCTGGTGAGTATCTATATAGGTGACTGCTTGTGATAATGGCTCAGAATTATTAATTGGATAGCCAAGTTCCAATTCTCATTATATTACACACAAATACTCTTGGAAAATGTAGGAATCCACTTCTTCCCCTCCACCTATGGGTTAATTAGTAAGATTTTGTATCACTAAACCATTATTAGCTCAAAAAAAATTCTTACAATGTAAAAAAATATTTTCTATCTTTTGATAAATATGGTTGATAAACTATTAAAAAAACGAATCAATCGATCAATTCTAGAGGAGCTGCCACCCAAAACTAGAGTCATTTATAACATATTATTTAACCTATAGTTTGGAGAAATAGATAGACTCATGCCTTTCCCAAGGGCATTAGTGTGGAATTGAACCTAGTAAATTAGGCTGAGTTTTGTATTCTGTTCGTTAACATAACTTTCCATGCCAATCGTACATTAAAATAATTTTCTTTTTAAATGTTTCTTGACACAAATTATGCAACACTTATTCTGATTAACTACGTTACTTAGAATGATTACTTCATTACTTATGTAAATATAAACCATCTTAGTTGGTAATAATATAAGTGACAGATGGCTATAAAAAGGCACTTTTGATTATTTACAGCTTTTTCTTCTGTGTGCCATCTCCCTTTAGAATGTTGTTCTCCACAATTTCCCATCCATTGTAGTTCTTATTAAATTTTATCTTTTTGTTATCTTCTGTATATCTTGCTCCATCATCCGTTTACTGAAGTTCACTAGATAGGTTATATGTTGTTTTCCTCTTTCCTCATTATATGCCCTAGAAATTTCAACTCTCTCTTCCTGATGTTAACTAATATATATATAATCTCCTTTTTGTTTCCATTTTCTCTAAAACTTTGTCTCTGCTCACATGATCAGTCCATAGTAATCTCGGCATCCTTCTGTAGAACCACATTTCTGTTGCTTCAAGTCTCTTTTTCATCTGTGAGGAGATTGTCCAGCATTTACTGCCATATAGGAAGACTGATATTTCATAACAATTCAGTACATTTTCCTTTGTTTTGAACAAAATTTTTCTGTTTCTTAATACTTTGCTTAGCTTTTGGAAAGTACCTTTCGCTATCCCAATGCACCTTCAGATTTCAGTGTTGCACTTTCTGTCTTCTGATAAAACACTTCCTAGATATTTAAATTGTTTGATTTTGTTTAGTCCTTTCTGACTATTTTTAGAGTCATGTGGCAATAACTATAAGTAAAATGAGGTACTAAAATAAGTAAGCAAGTAACCGTTTTAAGTTCTCTGAACATCAGTGCTGTTTTTTCTTTCTTTTTTCCAGAATAGAGATGCAAAAAGTCGCCGCACAATTGGAAAAGGCTTGTTGCCCAACTCAGGATGCTCTTGATATACACACACCAATAAAACAAAATAGTAATTTGCAACAGCCTCTGGAGGTGTGTACCATTCCATTTTTTTTCTCTGGTTTTATACTTTAAAATACTGTCATACATTGGAGTGATCAGTTGGAAAGCAAAAAATGAGTGGGGAAATAAGTTCAGGCATGTAATCCAGTTATGTTATGAACTAGCCTTGAAAATGCACCTCTACAACCTTTGGTTATTCAGTCATATTCTCATTCTTACTGCTTTGTTGATACTGTATTCTTTTTTTTTTTTTTTTTTTTTCCCCCAATGGGATTTTCAGCTTTAGTGTTATCATTCCAGAGGCTGCAAAACACATCCAAAGATGGTGTGTTGCAAACATCAAGGATAGGGTTATTAGTCAAAATAACACTTGGAATAATGACAGACACAACTTAAAAATTTCAAAAAATAGGTTTTGCTCTATCAGTAGGCCTGGAACATGCCAAATGCGTCCCCTACAGAGAAGTAATAACCACTGTCAAAAAGAGGACACCTTAAAGATGGATGATGGCAGACCCAAGTACTAAGCCGAGTGGCGCGTGCCACTAGGCCCAAAACTGCAACCGAGGCCGCTAGGCCCATGTTCTAAGCGAAAAGCGTGGCCCATGTACTACCCATGCCGCTAGGCCCATGTACTAAGGCGCGTGCCGCTAGGCCCATGTATTAAGGCGCGTGCCGCTAGGCCCATGTATTAAGGCTTTTGCCGATAGGCTTTTTTTTTTTTTTTTTTTTTTTTATAACTATTGTCATTCCTCAGCAATGTTTATTGTTTTCAAAAGTGATAATTAGAATTGTAATAAAATCTAAACATGATGAAAGTGAATTTATACATTTTCTTTGTTCTTGAGAATTGACAACAAAAATATTAAACACTATTCATTAGATTGTTTATTTACAAAAATAATTTTATATTTACAGCATTCTAAAAACTAATGCAATATTTATCATTTACTAATTTATAAAGAAATAAATGTGCAAACAATTTTTTCATTCAGAAATTTATAAACATTTACTAAATTATTAAAATATGTGAATCGTCTATAAGGAAATCTTTATTATTTACCATTTTATAAAGTTTGAATCAATTGGCAATTAGCTGGTGTTTTGCCAACCATTCCAATAAACAATCTAATAAGTAAATAGTGTTTATTATTTTTGTTGTCAATTCTCAAGAACAAAGAAAATGTATAAATTCACTTTCATGTTTAGGTCTTTTGATTCTAATCATTGGTTTTTAAAACAATAAACATTACTGAGGAGTGAAAATAGTTAAAATAATAGCAGCGTGAAGGAAAAAAAAAACATCCTTTTGACAATCCATTTTCTTACAGGCACATTTGCCCATATTTGCTGAATTCTTTTGTAACTGCCTTCTTTTTTGTATAGCAACAAAGAAAGGCCAATAAAGCTGAAAGGCAGAGATAGAATTGATACTCTACCACTATTATAAACAGGCTCCCCTTAAATTGATAACAAATCAATATTTTTTGATTCTGATAAACTCCAATCGGTTAACTAATCTTTAAAGAATGATGATCTACAAAAATTATTCCCCAAATCCCCCCCCTTTTCTAAAAATAACTAAAACTTTCATTTCTTTGCAATGAGTCATAAGTGTTTGTGTAATAAAATTCTTAGGTTTTTATTTCATAATTTCAAAAATACAAGTCCTTTTTTTTTTTTTTTCATCAAAAACTTATCTTCTTTTTAATCTTCATCACTCCAGGTGCTTTTTTTTATCTTGCCTCTGTTGGCCATACAGATTCCATTTGAAAAAGTAAATTTATGTTGTCTTTTTGTATAGAATCCTGACCTCAGTGACAGTGCCAAGAAAAATTCTTCGAGGACATCAACTCCTGAACAACCATCAATTGGTAAATTGTGAATTCTCTCTTTTTCTCTCTCTCTGAATTGAACATGAAAGAATATTTTATTGATCAACTAAAAATCATTCACATGTTCATTCAGCTTTGGTCATTTAAAGTTAGACATTCACAATGAGGTGAGAAGATGGCCGCTAGGCTTGGATAGGCAAAGGCGCTTTTGTGTCAGGTGGCAAGCTGTTTTTTTAAAACAAAATTAAGTAAATAATAAATAATTGAATTTTTTAATCCTTTCTATCACATTCAAAATTTTGGTTAAAAATGAAATTATTTTTGAAATTTTCTTTTTAGAAAAATTTTTTTTTTTTTGGTTTTACTAAACAAGTTAATTATGTCTGTTTAACTGTTGTTCAGCTTTGGAGTAAAAAAAACTTTGGCCATGTTGTCTACTCAACCAATCAGTGTTCATTTTGTTCCATTCTATTGCAGTATTTCCATTATCAAAGAAACTGGAAACTGTGGAAGCTCCTCAGCCGATTGAATTACTCTCGGATGATGAACCACTTGATGCTCCCTCTGCAGTGGTCGACATGGAAAAGCCTCCATGTTTTCTTTTGTCTGGAATTATGCAGAATGTAAGTCCAATGTTTAGTATATCTCTGAAAGAATGGTCCCAATGGGTTTTTTTTTTTTTTTTTTTTGTCAAGGTCACAAAACTGATTGCAAAAGATGGTGGAAAGCAGGCAGAAAAAGAAATAAAAAGAAAACTTTTTCTTTTTCTTTTGTCTGATATTCTTGAATAATATACTGTTTTCATTGATTGATTGTAACTACTTAAACAACTGATCCATTCATATAATTAGAGAAAAATTGCGAAAGATATGAACCCATTTCTTTCCTCCAGCTATGGGTTAAATAGTAAGACTTGTCAAGTTGATAAGCTGTTAAAAAAGTAAATCAATGAATTCTCTTTCAAGTATAAACAACAAATATTTACCTATCCCTGAATTAAGTAAATGCTTATTAACTCAAATAAAAACAACGAATAATTACTTATTCCTGGAGCTGAGTTCAAATTCGAGTAGTTTGTTGCAGTCACTTATTTACAAATGCCCTTGGGAAAGGTATGAATCAATCTTCTCCCCTAAGCTATGGGTTAAATATATCTTATATCTGGAAAAAATATTGTTATTCTCCAAAAATTGTTAATGCTATATTCACTCAAAGTAAACAATATTCTTACACAATGCTTCAGCTTTAAATGACCTGCAATGAGTTGATGACCTTTGAAAAACAAATCTCAGTCTACTGTTTGGTTCTGGAAAGTTTCCTACTTATTATTAGAATGAAATAGTCTATTATTAAAAATATAGAGTTTATGCAGAGGATAAAATTTGTTTTAGATACATAAGTTTCAAAATTAAATTAACCAATAATATTAGTGTATGCCAATCTTTGAACTCATTTTAAATCCCTTGAGAACTTGTTGTGGGTCCTTGATTTAACTTGGCAACCAAACAGAGGAGATCTCACAGCAACTGCATGGACAGGCACTCTTCCATAGAGTTACTCATTTGGCAGTAAGATTTTATTGAGTGAGCTTGTTTGTGACCATTTCATTCACAATAAATAAGAGGCATCCAAGGTTGGCTTGAAACTTGGACGTTCATCAATGGAAAGCATTTGAATGATTAAGGAGGCTTTTGGGAATGATTCAATGTGTGAAACACGGATGAAATTCTGATGCCAATGTTTCAAAAGTGGCCAGTTGAAAGTGATCCTTGTTTTAGATTGCCTTTAACAAGCAGAACACCTGAAAATATTGAATGTAGGTTGGCTGCAATCAAAGAATCCTGCTGTTACCATTTTGAATATCTTTATTTTTCCCATTCTTCAAATCTGCCAATAGACTCCCCCACCTCAATTGTCCAGTCTTGGTGCCCTGGGACTTTTGGTTTTTCCCAAAGCTGAAATTGAAATGCCTTGGTCAAGAACAAGTAGGCAACAAAATAGCTGATTGCTATCTTGACTTGACAGACTGCTTTGATAAATGGAGAGGTAGCTGGGATATATGTGTAATGTCCTAATATTAAATGGATGGATCATTTCTAGACAAACTGCATACATTGTGTATTGATGAGTGGACCAAACGATTACAAAAAGTTTCATTTATGAAACTCTGGAGTCAGGGTGCTAAATATAACATCAATCAACCAAGTGACAAATTTTATATTTGTATTAATCACATTAATATTTAATATTATATTAATATTTTATTAATAATAATATTTTGCTCTACTTTGTATTGAGCACTTTTTAAAAAAAAAGTAAATGCTACAAACTGTAGATTTTTACTCCATCTGTACTTTCCCTTATTTGTGTGTGTGTGTGTGTATATATATATATATATATATATATATATATATATATATATATATATATATATATATATAAACACTAGCTTAAAAACTCTGTCGGGCAGCATTTAAGCTAGCTCCTGTGGAGGTCTCTTAATTGCGCCTTCCTCACACTAAGTAGGGGGGATAGGGAGGAGTAGATGCAATAGGCAACAATAATAAGGATTGATTGTGGCATTTAAGTATTGCATTAATGTCTAAGCTCACCTTCAACGATAATTCTGCTGCCACTTTATTTAAAGACAATTTGATGTATGTAAGTCCTTATTTTCCGTACAAACAATTATTTTTACTTGATGAGATTTTTTGCTGAATTTTGCAATTAATTTGAATTATTCTCAAATTTATTTCCAAGTTATAAAAATTGTGTTGACTAAAAAAACATTTGTCACAAAAAATCATGTAAAAAAAAAAAAAAAAAAAAAAAAAACGAAAACAATCACTAATAAAAACTTAGGAATCCCAAATTTCATGATTGCGGCTCTGGATCCGGCCTGGAATGTTTTTAATTTGCTCGCTGAGTTGGCCTTATTCCAAAATGGTATAATATGTTGGGCTACACCCTCTAGAAGTAAAGTTGAAAACACTGGCAATTTTATTTTGAAACACTGTCATTTGAGAACAGTAATTTTTTTCATTTGAACATGAGCTGTTGAAAGTTAGAGTTGTGTTCCTTTAATTATTTTTATCAGTAGAAGCCAAGATGGTGGAATCTGAAAACAATTGCAGTAATGAAAATTTGGGAATTCAAAATTTCAGGATTGTGGGTCCAGATCCTGCCCCGGAATGTTTTTAATTTGCTCATGGTGTCAGCTTCATTTTCAAAATGGTATATGTTGGGCTATGGCCTCTAGGAGTAAAGTTTGAAAAGCTGGGGGAAAAAAGATGGATTCATACCTTTCCAAAGAATATTTGCTTGTAAGTGAATGTAACAAATCCAACTGGAATTCCAACTCTTTTCTCCGATATCTCATTCCAAGTCGACATTCATTACACCACAATGCGTATCCATCATATATACAAATAAATTTACCCCTGAAGATGATCTTAGAGAAGGTTGAAAGTACTTGGGTTAAAAAAAAAATACTCTGGCACCTTCCTTGATGAATTTCATCTTGACATTAAGCAACTGATTAAATAACTGGGAAGAATACTTATAAAAATAAGTAGACACAATATGTCTATATTATTCTATGAAATATGTTTGAATGAAGATATGATGCCTATATATATATATATATATATATATATATATATATATATATATATATATATATATATATATATATATATAATAATGTGTGTCTTGGCCTTACACAATTTGAAAAACTGCTTTGACATCTTTTACTAATCAGCCAATGTTATCTGAAAAGGGATTTTATTTAACACATCAGTTCATTTGAAAAACATATCAAAGTTGATTTCCAAATTGTTTAATATATTTTCCATTCTGTTGGTTTTCTCATTCACTTTATACAGACTTGATGTCAAACACTAGACAGAAGGGGAAAAATTTGATAAAAAGACAATAGTTTCATTGATTTTCAATACAACTTGTGTGAAAAAAAAATTGTTTTATTTAGATTAATTATTTGACCTTTGTATACTTATACCAATACTGTTTGAATTTTGCTCTTTTTTTTTTTTTTTGTTATTTTCTAGGAACGAGTTGATTATGGAGCTCTTATAGAGGAGTTGGGTGGTATTGTTATGGAAGGCCAGAATTACCATGATTTATGTACACATCTTATTGTGGGTAAGTTCCAGGTGTTTTTCTCCTTTAAATAAGATCCTCTATTGTTGTTAGCAACAGTTGGCAGTGCGTAAAGAAGAATTCATTTAAATTTTCTGATAAAAATGGTTCTAAAACAAAACTGGTCTCTTTTAATCAAGGGGTTACTAGAGTGTGGGAGGGTACAAGAAAAAACATTAAAATAATTTTTTTTTTATAGAATAACAAAGATTTTTTTACAGATACAAATCCTACCATTTAATCCATAGTTTGGGTGGAGATGGATTCATACTTTTCCAAAGGCTATTTACGTGTAAGTGAATATAACAAACTCGGCTAAAATTCGAACTCTGCTCTCTGATATTTCATTCAAAGTCACTATCCATTACACCACCTGCACATCCACTTGTTATTGAGAGACATATTTTAAAATATAAGATTAGTAAAATAATAAAGGATTAATCTGAACTGGTCTTAAATAATTGTCTTAGGTTTTATTAATAGCCGCCTGTTATTGTAGTTAAATTAATTACTTTTCTGTTAATTTTCATTAAAACAAAAAAGTTGTTTAGATGATGAAATGATTCAACACAAAGAGAATTGTAAGCATCAAAATTTGATGATTAATTTTTTTTTGTATTTTTATCTCTGATTTACTGGATTGCATTGTTTTCCTGTTGGAAGTTTTTCAGCTCATATATATATATATATATATATATATATATATATATATATATATATAATCCGTGGGTTAGTAATACAAGTAGATCCTATTAATATAAATATTAAAACTGATCCACAAAAGAGCTCAATATAATTTTTATTATAGAGCATATAAGTGAATTACAATTAATGAGATCCAAACAGTTTATCTCATACGCCCCCCCCCGGCCTGGGAAGGAAGCTTTTCCCTGGACTTAGCAATGCAAATTCATTTACTAAAAATAAAAGTAAAAAAAATTTTCATTCTTTTGAGTAAATGCATTTGCATTGATAAGTCCAGGGAAAAACTTCCTTCCCAGGGGGGGCGTATAAGGTAAACTGTTTGGATCTCATTAATTGTAATTCACACACACACACACACACAATTGGATATTGAAAACAAACTGCTAAATAAACAACAAGAACTCTTCTCAAAATTTTTACTATGTTACATAAAATCTGTAAATGAACAAGAATAGATGAAAATAAATAAATAGAATAAAATAAATAAACAAAAACAAGTAAAATAAATGAACCCAAATAAATAAACAAATTAACAAAGCATATATGCACAAAGAGATAAAGAAAATGTAGTAATAACAACCAAAAATAAAATAATAAATAAAAAAATATTAACTAACAATAGTATAAAAAAAACCCCAAAACTGCATTCAGATCTATACTTATTCTTGCTCAGTAGCCTCTAGAATAATTCAGATCACAACCATTACCACCCACCAATACAACCATTAGAATAATATAATAGACTACCTACAATGCATCACTGACCTGTATATATAAATTGTCAGGCAAAAACACAAGGCACATAGCCTGATGATTGTGTTTAACATGAAACAGATTATCGCCTTTGGGTGTTGACTTCAATATTGTCCACTTTTATTGAGCACTTTAACCCATAAAACTATATTTTATCACACACACACACACATTTTAAATCAATTAATTTATAATATTAATGCTCTGTAAATTTACATTGAACACTATTTTGTAAAAATAAAAATATCTATAAGAACACCGGATTTTATATCTTACTGTTCTTTCTTTTTATTTATATACACATATATATATATATATATATATATATATATATATATATATATATATATATATATATATTTGTATGTATATCATTATTTGAGCTGTAACTCTTGTGAGTGCAGAAAAACTGAAGCACTTAATATATAAAGCAAGATTTGTTGAATAAATTGACTTTAAGCGAAATTCTAGGGAAAAAATAGAAAAAGTTGTTTCAAATATGGATCAAGACACTACATTACTAAAATTTGTAAAAAAAACCCAACAAAATAAAAAAAATTTGTTTCAAATTTTTTCTTTTTATCATTTCACCCTCAAAAAGACAATAAAGCTACTAAGATTCTAGTTAAATTAAATTATTTTATTTTATTTTTCATTGAAACAGAATTGTAATAATTAAAAAAAAATTTTTTGCAAGGAATATTACATTAACAATTTTAGGGGTGATAAGATTGATTTTTTTTCCAGATACAAGCATTACTATTTAACCCATATCTAGGAGGAGAAGAGGTATTGTCAGAAATTTAATTTCTGTATCTATCTTTCTATCTCTCTTACTTTCTTTCCTCCTCTCCTTTTCCCCCTGTGTGCAGTGTAAGAACTGCTGCTGCTGTGTCACGTGGCGAAATCGTGTCTAATGATTGGTCATACATGATTTTCCCGCTTGTTTTCAACTAGATTAGAGGAATCTAGTTAGTAGTAGCAGAAAGAGCGCCGCAGTGTGGAGATGAAAAGGAAACCTGCTTGAAAATAACCTGTTGTTGCTCTGACAAGGAAAACAGTCATAAAAGACCAGTCAAGAATATTTGTCTAAGAGAATTGAAGATAAAGAACAAGTGTGTTCACTGTGTGGAAAAAGCTTATTCTCTAGACAAGTGAAGTCAAGTCTGTTCAAGTAATCAAGTGGATTATTGTTCAGCAACCAAAGAACAAGTCAGTAAAGACTTATCTAAAAAATCAGTTAAAGAAATTATTGTAAAGAGAATTTACAATAGAACATTCTCAAGGAAGTCTTCTTTTAACAATCGGGTCAAAGAGAAAAAAGTCAAAATTAAGCGATTGAAAAGCTACCTTCCTTCGAGGAGTTATTTTGACCTATTGGTGGAAGAAATTCTAACGTGAAAAAAAAGTATGTGAAAAAAAGATCTTCTAAGTCGTCTCTAGAAGTTGAATTTGTGTCGCAGAGAAAGTTTGAAAAAACAAGTCTGCATTTATTTTTAACAGGAAGCTTGCTTATCTTCCAAGGAGAGCAACTCAAAAAAAAATATCTAAAAAACCTTTCTGCCCAGCTACTTAAAAAAAAAAAAAAAAAAATACTAAAGCAATTTTTTTTTTTTTTTTTTTTGAACAGTAAGTCTAATTTTTCCCCTCTTTCAGCTATCTCTCTACCTCTTTCACTCTCTCTGAACTGTTATTGGAGTCCTTTTTAAAGGCTCACCAAAGGGACGTTTTTGGCAGTTATTTTCAAGTTGTACCAGTGAACTTTAACATCAGACTATTCCCCCCCCCCCCCATTTTATTTTATTTTTCCCTCAATAAATTTTATAGCTATTTCAAGTGGTTTTTCCTTCTTTATCTCGCTTGTTATGGTTGCATATTGATGGTTTCAGGTCTCTGTTAACTGCGTTATGCGGGATTCCCGTCATTGGACGTAATGACAAAGTTTCCCAACCTTTTTTGCGCCGAGTTTGGCTGTTACTAAGCTAAATTTCGACAGTATGGTAGCCGAGGAACCAGTGCAGATGCACATTTGATGAAAAACAAATGAAAAGAAACAAATCAAAAATTGAATAATAGTGGTCATTCTTTATGGATTTAATTGCTTTTTTACTTTGTGTTTTTTGTTCTGCACTTTAGAATTAATTTCTCATTGGACGTTTTAAAAATATTCCATTTGTCATTTATGAATGAAAATAATTAAATATCCAGTCATCAAATTTTATAATTTAACTTTGTTCTTAAACCAAAATATTGGCTTCTAAATTTTGTAATGTCATCAAATACTCGTTGTCACTTTTGTAATGCAGATACCACTATAGTACACTATTGAACAATGCTGGTGTCAGACGCCTTTGAATAGCATTCATACTAATAGTATTTGCGTGATAATACTTGATTGAATAGTAATCTGTACAGAGAAATAGTATAGTGACTAGAGTAAAGAATAGCGGTCCATATAGTAATAGAGGATAGAATAGAAATGCAATCTGAATAGTAATAGACAAGAATAGCGATCAATTAGACATACGCTACCTCCACCATATATGCATTTCTTCTATAGTCACATGGTCTACTTAATTCAATAATGATATCACCTGTGTTTGCTCATTGGCAATCTATGTTCAAACTAAATTTTCAGCAGCGACAATTTATTCCTATATAACACTAAATTTGTGGGATTAATGCGGTTCTCATGAGAGATTCATTCATCTGCTTTTGTATTGTTGTGGGTTTTCTTTTTCTAGGCACACCAACAAGAAATGAAAAATTTCTGGCATGTGTTGCTTCGGGAAAATGGGTCCTGCATAAATCATATTTTGAGGATTGTCGGAAAGCTAAGAGATTTGTCAGGGTAAGTGAATCAGTTTTGAACTCAATCCGTGTTGCTTTGGAATTTGCTGAAGAAAGGAAAAGAAAATAAACAATTAGAAAAACTTTTTTCTTATTTATTTTCCATCTGTTGCATAATATTTGTTATATTTGCATACATATTTCATCTATTGAAAGTAAATCTATATCTGGAACAGAGGTAATAGTTATTTAGGATCTTGTTTTTCATAGAAGTACTACCTGTGTCCCAAAATGCAGGAATTGACCATTAACCAATGAGGGTTACTGAGGTGTGGTTAATGAATCTGTGCCTGTAAGTGGGGCTATGATTCTCTTCATTTCAAATAGGAGTTGCTCAGCGCCAGTGATTCCAAGCACCTTTCTCATCATACTAAAGAGGTTAGATCAGTATAATACTGATGCCATTTTGATAGTAGTCACAGGAGCTAGGCAAAAATCAATTTTTGTCCTTGGCCCATATGTGTAAGTATGTGTGTGGTGTTCCTGACGTTAAAACAATCTCTTGTCACATCCAGCCTTGGCAGGGTGGCCAGTTAAATGTGTCCTAAAATAATTGTTACATTTAATGTATGAAATGTGTATGCAAAAATAAGTCATTAGAGGTAGTAATATTTTTTCATCTTCAAAATTTTTCATATTGGTATTCATTAAGTTTAGTTTAGCACAAGGCCAGAAATGCGGAGGGCAATCACTACATTTTTTTTTTTTTTTTTTTTTTTTAAACACCTTGTCTAGCAGAGGTCAATTACAAGATCTGGCTTCAAACACGAATTATATAATAGCCAACTCTTAGGCAATAAAAAAATTTAATGAGTTGATGATTTATATCTTCAACTGAAGTCTTGACATTTGTTTTCACACTAAAAGTGTCACTGCTAATAAATCCGTTGTTGGTACGTGCAAATGAAAATGTATTGGAAAATACCAAACAAGAGATAACACGTAATCAACATCAGAATAAAAACTTGTGGTTGGCAGTCACTATGTTAATTTCTATTATTTATTTACACTATTTATTTATTATATTGTTTATTGGATTGGTTGGCAAATCATTCGAACTTTATAAAATGGTAGATAAGGATTTCGTTAGAGTTGGTTTACACGTTTTAATAATATAGTCAATGTTTATAAATTTATGAATAAAAAATTTTCATATTTATTTCATTATAAATTTGTAAATGATAAATATTTCATTGCATTAGTTTTAATTGTATTAGTTTTTAGAATGTCGTAAATATAAAATTATTCTTGTAAATAAGCAATCTAATACATAAATAGTTTTTAATATTTTTGTAATCAATTCTCAAGATCAAAGAAAATGTATAAATTCACTTTCATATGCTTAGGTTTTATTCCAATTCTAATCATTGCTTTTTAAAACAAACATTACCAAGAAGTGAAGATAGGTAAAATAATAGCTGTGTGAAGGGGAAAAAAACTCTCCTTTTGACATGCTGTTTTTTTTTTTTTTTTTTTGTGTGTGTGTGTGCACGGAGGTTCAAGATTACCTAAAAGAGTTTTCATTTTCCTTTCGGTTTGTCAAGTGGCAGCATAAATTTATCATGACTCCTTGAATCATTACTGAGTTTTTGATTAGAAATCACGTGACTTTTATAAACACATCTAACCATGCCATTTAACTGAAAATGACCTAAAAACACCATATAGAGGAACTTGATTACACTTTTAAATTATCTTTATCTAATGACAATGCTTCTTTTCTGCAAGTCAAATATATGTTATCATTGCAAAGTCTCTGCTATCATTTTCAATAACATTAACAGGAAATCTGAACTTAGACCTTTAAGATAAGTAAATTTTCAAGATTTAATTGCTGCAAATGTTGAGTGTTTTCCCTCCATTGATTGCCATTGAGAAATTGCAAATTGATAAAAATATAAATTGATCATGTTTTACCTTTTGTCTCTTATGTGATTGCTGATTCTGTCTTCTGTCTTTTCAGGAAGAAAAGCATGAATGGGGCAGTGAGTTGACGAAAAGTGTTCTTGTGGGAGCAAATTCTCAGACAAAGAGTCTGGCTGCAGCTGCACAAAGATGGAGATTAAAGATACTCGAATTGAAAAAAGTAAACTTTTTTTTTTTTTTTTTTTTTTTGATCCATTGTACCAGCTCAAGGAAAAATCCCTCACTCTCTCACTTCATCTCTATCACTCAATCCTCCGTCTCTCCTTTACTCATCCCCGTCCGTCTCCTCCGTCTCTCCCTTACTCAATCCCTCCGTCTCTCCCTTACTCAATCCCTCCGTCTCTCCCTTACTCAATCCCTCCCTCTACCACTCTTTATCACTCCCTCTACCACTCTAAATTAATCCATAATATAAATATCAAAGGATTTAATTTTGATGGACACACATGCATATTCTGATTTTCATGTTTTTGAGGTTAACAAGTACACTTATAAGTTTACATTATTTGCATTCACACAAACAAATGAGTATTTCAAACTGAACTCTATAGGGCATCTCAGAAAAAAAAATGTATACACACTAACTTTAACCCTGCAACAGTCATTCCAAGAATTAGAGAAGTTTTGGAAGATGAAGAATTTTATTTTCAGCAAGATGGAGCACCACTACACTACCATCATGATGTACAATCGTACCTGAATGAAATCTTGCCAAACAGATGGATCAGAAGATAAGATTCTGTAGAATATCCTCCTCGTTTCACTAGACCTCACCCCCTTTAAACCTTTTTTTTCTTAAAGTCTACAAAACCAGCAACAATCACTAAAACGAAAAATTTCCATAGAGGAAAGAACGCAGCCAAATACTCATTGAAATGTTGATTGCTGCTTGTGATTCCATTGTGTCAGATTGTTGGCAATGTCTGGATCATAACTGTTATAGTGCGAACACACCTATTCTATTGTTAATAGACTCTCCCACCTATAATAAGTAGGAGTAGTAATAATAATGAGTCAGTCGCTGAGTAAGTCGCTCAGTCAGTCGATGCCAGATGATCGTTAGTCAGATATTAAAGTATCAACCACCACAACTAGATTTCTCTGCGTTATACCTATTATATCAAGTTCCTAACGTTTTGTACATCAAACCTATTTTAGGATCGACTTAGTACAAATACAAGCCTCCACTGTGAAATTACTCCATAACAATAACGGACATCAATTTGAAAACATGTGATGATGAAATCTCAAGAGCATGCATTTATAATAAATACTGTCTTCGTATGCATTAATTAAATTACATAAGGTTGGTTTCAGTTGCTTGAATTATTTCTTGAGGAAGTTTCCAAATCTATACATTTTTTTTAAGACATCCTGTATTTATTTATAATCGATTGAATAAAGCATTCAGTTGGAAATTTCTTGAAAGTTATCCAGATTGGCCAACACCTGAAGAAGGCTGGCAAGAACAGTGGCTGAAACATTGTGATAATAATAATACTAAAAATAAAGACATGAGTCTGAATGTAAATAATTACTCTTTGTCATCCCAGACATTTAGGCAGAAATTACACTCGTTAGATATTTCCAATTAAAGTCTATGATTTGAATTTCTTTCAAGGTTATTGTGTATTACGAGGCATAGTTAAGTAACATATTAATTTTAATTATTATTTTTATTATATTATGGACTATTTGAACCTATATCCTCATTTTGCATATGTGGGCAGCATAGTGGTAACTGGCACAGAAAATGGAATCTGCAGACCAAGTTCAAATTTCAACTACGGCAATTACATTCATTTTGTCATTGATGCCTTTTGGATAAATAGTAGGCTGACTCCATAGCCTTGGTGACCCCACACACAAAATTGATAAGCACACATGTCAGCCCTAGATATAGATAAATAGTATGCCCAGTGAGACAAATTTGTAATAATGGTCTTCAAATTTGCTTCAGCATTTCCCTATATTGAAGCACCTATCTCGGACAAAGGAGAACTTTGAATTCAAAACTATAGAGAAGGTAACAAGAAAGCCCACCATTATTTTCCCCTCCCCTTACAACTTAGATATTGAAGAAAAGGAAACTTCATGGAGAGACATGATCACCTATTTCCTGAATGAACATAACATTTAAAAAAAAAAAAAATTCTTCATCTTTGTTGTTTTAATCCTGTGCAGGCAGAATTGCAACTGTTGTTTGGGTTCACATCATTAAGTCCATAACCTAATGATGACTAAAATAAATGCATTTATTTTATAAAACAAATATTTTTCAACATAATCTCCTTCAATATCAATGCACTTGATCAATGCAATAATAATAGAAATCCATTTAATTAACATATACATAGGTACATTAATAAATCTGTAGCCTAATGATGAAAAATTGTATTTATTTTTATATGAATCTGCAATATTATTTGTCCTGACCTGGCATCTCGCTTTCAGATACTTTCCCACAGACATAACATAGCTTCCCTTGACCTTTTCTATAAATATTTTCATGGTAGTTATTTTGATGAATTTTCCTCTTTAGTACCTAGACCTTTATGAATTTAAGCTAGGTATCTCCACTTTGCTGTTCAAAAAACAGCATAGGATAATGAAAAAAGGCCCCAAAATTAATAAAAACAAAGTGATAGAATTTTTTCAAATCAATTTAATTATGCTTTAAATCAACTAATATTCCTCAACTAAAGTTTCAGAAAACTGTTTTATTTTTGGAAGATTTTTTTAATACAGAAAATTTCATTGTGATGAAAGACGACTAAAAAGGTCACTAATCGGCTATTTTAGAAAAAATTTTAAAAAATCGATTCCAATCAATATAATTTCTATTAGAAATACACCAGAGTAATTTGCTTACTGGAAATAGTCAATTTAATCCTTTAGCTTTCAATTAAAGCTAAAATGAAAGCTTCAAGAAAGATTTTTCATATATAAAAATTGATTTTAAAGCAAGGTATCGAAAATTAGTGGAGGTACCTAATTTAAGCTGAGTACTAGATTGGCAGCAAGGTCTTGTCATTTGACAGTTGAAAAGGCAAGCTGTAACCGTAAGTTCTATGTTAACATTTTCTTCTGTCACACTTCTTGTTTGTAGAACTCTCTTCCAGCTTGATCTTCAAAAACCTAAATGCAATCTCAATTGTTATCTTCTATCTTCTTAAATTCCTGCTCTTTTATTGTTCTGGCACCTTAATAATGTTTTTCTTTTTCTTATATTCTTTCACATTCATTAACCTCCTTGTGTCTTAGTGGCTTTGTTGCCTTGCTTGAGATGAAATGATGAAAAAAAATGGTTTTTAACATAATTTCATTTGCCAATTCACTTGATCTTGATATTAATTTATATAACATACACATGGGTACATCAATAAGTCCATAGCTTAATGAAAAAAAATTAGTATTTATTTTAGACAATATTTTTTTTTTCAACATAATCTCCTTCCTTGATTGATTCTTAGTAGTGTTGTTGATTTCTGAATATATTTCTCATATAAACAGATGAATGATGATTATTATCTAAGTTCTATCTGTGTCTTTTAAAATAAAATAAGGAAGTTTCTGTGTTTTATGCAAACGTCTATTTTTGCTTCTTGTCAAAAACTCTGATGAAAAATTGCGACTACAGACATTTTGATTCTCATGCAAATGGTGACAAGAATGAAAGGGAGAAATTGGCTGTTTCCTGGATGCCAGACTCAATGGATATAAAACAGTCATATCTAGATAGGGTCTGTCATATCAGAATTTTCTATCTGGAGGCAGAAGGGTTCATATTAACCTCTTTAGGATGAGGTCCTTGAAAGAAGCAGAATATATATTATTGTCAGAGAAAAAACAAGCTAATGTGAATTTCTCTGCTTAGTGGAGAAACATCTGGGGTTTTTTTTCTCTTGCTATTTTGCATATCTGAGAAGGCTGCAGAATAAAACTGCCAAAACATTAGACTAATGACAAATGCATAAAGAATAAGTTTAAGGGTCTGAGCAAATCTTGTAATATGAAAGACTAATTTTAGAAATTAAAAAAAGAATTTTGCTTAAGAGAAAGTGAATGAAATAATGTTATATTTTTGTGTTGAGATTTTGTTTAATATTGTTTTTTCAGCAAAATCCTAAATGCTGTGGTGCATTTGACAAGTGGTCTGTTGTTTTGTGTACAGACAAGAAAAAAGAAAGTAATTTTGAACGTCTTTTGAAAGCTGGTGGTGCCAAGGTGCTGTCAGTAAGGCCGCCATTTAATTCTGATATTGAGGCAACCCATGCTTTCTTGGAACTTAACAAGGTTCCTTTGACAACAGTAAGTCCCTAAGGTTTTTTTTTTCTACTTTTAAAATCATTGAAAGTTGGGCATTGGAACACAGTATCTTAATTGCAGAGCAATAAGTCTTGTTGGAGTGATTGAAAAGAAAAATAGAAACATTTGTAATGATAAATATTTTAAAAATTTGGTGTATTTGGTGGTGACAAATGGTTTTGGGGGATATTTCTTTTTTTTTTTTTTTTTTACACATTTTTTTGCTTTTTTAATTTTTTTTACACTTTTTTTTTTTTTTAAGGCTTTTTGGTTTGTGCTTTGAGACTTTTTTTTGCTTTTACACTGTGTATTTACTTTGTACTTTAAAAAAAAGTTCTTTAAACTTTTGCACAGAATATTTTCTCTTTTGAAATTTTTCTATTTGGATTTAGGATTCATCTTTTGTATCTGTGTTGGCAATTTTTCAAAACCCATCATCTATAGTAAATAAATGCTTTATAATAAATAAAAAAAAAAAAAAAAAGCACACTTCTAAAAAAAAATTTTTATCTGTGGAGAAATTGACTGTTGGTCAGGCAGGAAAGAAGCAGTGTACTTACCTTGTGTTGTGTGTGATGCTTATTAAACAAAAGCTTGTTATTTTCAGTACTAACCATTTATAGTTAAAGTGGTCATGTGACAGGGTTACCATATGATTCCCAAAGTGGCATAAAATGAGAGGAAATTTATCTCTTTTTGTTATTAAATTTCTTCCATGTTATTAGATGGTTATAGGTTGCAGAAAAGTGGTAATATATTTCTCAACTTAAGATATGTTTTATTGCTTGTTTTTTTGTTTTTTTTTTTTTTTTTTCCCCTCTTCCTCAACCTGACCAGTCTGTGTTCGTTTTGGAGGATCAGGAGCATTTTCTCAAAATATCATTTACTTATTTTTTGTTAAATTTTTCCAAATCCATCATCTCTATATTTAAAAGAAATGACATAATAGGAGGTGAAAGATTAAGAATAATAAAAAAAAAAAAAAGTAGGTAATGATACTTCATTTTTTAATCTTTGAAATCCATCATTTTCTTTATCAAACCCATCTGATATGTAAAAAAGAAAAAAAAATAGTGGTTTGAAAGGATTCTTCCTTTCATTAATTTTTTTTTTTTTTTTTTACTTAGCAATTCACCTCTGACTATGATTTCAGATTATATTGAAAGTATTTGAGAAAATAAAAGGAAAGAAAAAAAACAGTACCTTCCATAATGAATGTTTTCCTATTGTCTTTTACCTATATATATATATATATATATATATATATATATAAATATATATATATATAAAAGGAGAAAAGTTTGGGAAGGTTTTTAAAAAGAAAAAAAGATGAGATTCAAAAGATATTTTTTGTTTGATCTTCAAAGAACTTCATCTCTCCCCCACCCTCCAGTTTCCAATATAAGAATGTTCTTCATTTTTCTCTCTCAAAATTGAGTATTGCCTGCCATCATTTTCCAAAATTCATATAATTTTTCTATTTTGACTTGTAGGAAGATTTGGAAGTCCTTTTGAAAAATAATATCTTATGTCTAAGGCCTGATTATATTGCTGCATATTTAACCAATGATGCCATTCAAACACCAGAAGAATTCTGTCCTCCTGAAGTGGTTGCTCTCAGAGCCAGGTCAGTGAATTTAAGTAAAAAAAAAAAAACAAACATTTTTTTGTTTTTTGTCTGTAATTAGAAATTGTAGGTTTTTTGATTTCATCTTTTTTATGTGCTATGTCCCTTCAGGACATAGGCGATCATGGCTCTCCGCAATTTCCTGTCCTTTGTAGCTTTTAATGAATTTTGTTATCTCTCCTAAACTCTGTTCTGCCATCCATTTACTCAAGTTCACCAAGTATGTTATGTGTTGTTTTTCTTTGCCCTGTGAGTATCAGATTTTCCAAACCCCTTTCCTCATTATGTGCCCTAGAAATTTCAACTGCCTCTTCCTGATGTTAAATATAAGTTTCTTTTTTGTTTTCATTTTCTCTAAAACTTTGTCATTGCCCACATGTTCAGTCCATGGTATCCTCAGCATGCTTCTGTACAACCACATTTCTGTTTCTTCAAGTCTCTTCATCTTTGAGGAAATTGTCCAACATTCACTGCTATAGTACTCTTTCTTTGTTTCTAACTAAAGTTTTTCTGTTTCTCAATACTCTGCTTAGCTTTTAGAAAACATCTTTGGTTGTCCCAATGCACCTTGCCTTCAGTCCCTTTCCCACCACTATAATGTAGCTTCCCTGTGCCTTTTTTTTTTTTATTTAAATAAATATTTTCACAGTAATTGTTTCATGGGAGTTGTCCCTTTTCATACCTCGACTACAGCGATTTAAATGCATTACTAGATTGGCAGCTAGGTTTCATCAATTTAATGTTGAAATTATTAATTGTAAGTTCTCTGCTAACAGTTTCATCTCTTGTACTTCTTGCTTGTAGAACTCTCTTCTAGCTTCTTGTTTTCCTGTCAACTGCAATCTTCCAAGATTTAAATGCAATGTTGTCATTTTCTGTTGCCTTAAATCCTATTCTTTTATTTTCCTCTCTCACTCCTTAATAACATTTTCTCAGTTTCTTTCACTCTCGGTAAGCATCTTAGTGGCTTTATTGCCTTGCTCGAAATGAAATGATTATTATAATAAAAAAAACTGTTAATCTTTTTCAATGTAAACTCTCATACAGACACACACACACACACACACACACACACATATATATATATAAAATAATTCTGAGAGATTCTTGATAAAATCCAAAGAATCCGCAGTGTTAGTGATCCTGACCTAGCATCTCAGCTTCAGTCCCTTTCCCACTAGTATAATATAGCTTCCCTGTGCCTTCTCTATAAATACTTTCATGGTAATTGTTCGAATGAGCTTCCTCTGATACCTAAACTTTATGAATTTAAGTGCAGTATGAGATTGGCAGCAAGGTCTCATCATTTTACACTTGAAATGTCAAGATGTGACTGAAAATTCTATGCTAACAGTTTCTTCTATCACACTTCTCACTTGTTGAACTCTTGTCCAGCTTCTTGCTTTCCTGCCAACTTTGATCTTTAAAAATTTAAATGCAACATGAGTCGTAATCTTCTGCCTTCTTGATCCTTCTGTTGTTCTGGTGACTTAATAATTTTTCTCTTTTTTTTTTTTTTTTTTTTCCTTATTCAAACTCAGGAATCCTTGTGACTTACTATCTTGATTGGAGTGAAATGATTTAATAAAAAATATCCTTTTAAGAAAAATCTGAGTTTTAAATTTAAATGTCATTTCATGAAAAGTATAGAATTGAAATGAAATTTTTTTTTTTTTTTTTTTTTTTTTTAGGTTGAATTTGTCTGATTCAATTGTGAGAAAAAGAAAAAGCACATTGGTCAACACTGATGTGAAAAGAAACAGAAATCTGTGATAATTCCATTTCAGTGTTTAAAAGGAAAAAAGAAAAACAAACAAAAACATGCTGACTTTTAATAAAAACTTGGACATGGAAAATAAATACCAACTGCCACCCCCACGCCTGCATTACACCCTCCCCAATTTTTTTTTTTTTTTTTTTTTTTGTTATAAAAATATTTGAATATTTTTTAGATCATACATTGTATTAATTTACATCAACATTTGTTTTTGAAGAATTTATTGAAAACAACAATTTCCCTGCATTTTTTCCAAAGATTTTAAACTTGTGACAAATTGTAAATGAAGAAATTTTATGATAAATCATAAATGTATGACATGACATTTTTCTGTGCTATTAAAAGAGAGTGTGTGTGTGTGTGTGTGTGTGTGTGTGTAAATGGGAGCTGGAAAGTTTTTGACCTGACCAAAAAGCCCTTCACCACCCCCTCATTCTGATATCTGGTTAAATTTTAGAAAATGTGGCAGGCTGAGATCTTTTTCAACCCCTCCCCCATGTGTATATGGGGTGGTATTAAGAAGTGCCTGCTAAATATCTTCACAGTTTGTATGAAACAAATTTGTAAATTGAAAGAGAAATGAAATCCTGTCATTAGTTGTCGTCATCTTGCCTCCTCAGTGTGAAGTGAATGAAGAAATTTTGCATTTCAATAAACTTCTTTTCCATATCATTTGCGTGGATATTTTCTCTTGATGAAAGCCATTATTGTTGTCTCCGGTGAAACTGTGGTTTACTTTTCTTTTTCTTTTTTTTTTTTTTTTTTTTTTTTTTCTTCTTCTTCTTCTTCTTTGAAAAGAGGTCTTGTTTTATCAGGTCAATTCTCCAGCGCATAAGTTCTTGGTTTCAATGACTACTGTGCATGACCGTTGTTTTGATCACCTTCCCTATTCTCCTGATTTGACTCCATGTGATTATCATCTGTTCCCCAACATGAAAAAACACTTGGTTGGGAATCACTATTATAATGATGATATCTTTTTTTTTTTTGACTAACAAGATGAAAGCTTCTTTACAAATGGGATCCAAGCACTGCAACCCCAATGGAAAAGGTGTATGAACCTTGTTGAAAAATAAAACTCACATTCCATGAGAATAACTTGGTGAACCTGTGAATTTTAACAGCTGACCCTCATGAGATAATTATTAATAATAGCAAAATTATATTTTCTGATCTTTTCTTTATATTTTAATGAAAAAACAAAAGTTCTTGATTATTTATTTTTTAATAATTGTTCAAAAAGCACTACATTCTGCAGAAACGTTTCTCCCAAACCAATTTTCCTTTAGAAGAGAACATGATTGAGAATTGCATTTATTCAATTCCATGCAGAAAATAAAAAAAAAAAAAACAAGCCAACTTCTTAAACCAAACTGGAGGAATGTCAGAAAACTAATTGGGAAGGTGGGGAGGATGAAATCAGCTGATCATTTGGAGTCACTAGTCTCTGTCAACTGGAAGACAGAAAAATAAGGTAATTGAAGAAATCTGTGCATGGGGTTGGCTTTAATAACCTCATCAGTTGGGTGACATTTATTTTTAAAAAAAAAAAGAACATTTGACTTGAGAATCAACGATTCCACTGCCTAATTAAAAAAAAAAAAATCATACTTTAGTTCAGTTGAGGAGGCAGCCAAGTAACGTTAGGTTCAAGACTCTGTCTTCACTGAAATGTTCTATGGCACAGAGTGGATAAAAACATTGGTTCAGCAAATCAAGTTATTTGGCAGTCTTCAGTTCAATCCCTATATTGAGCAGTGCAGAAAGTTATGTATAGTTTGGTTTAGTGGAAGAGACCAGCAATATCATAAAAATGCATTAATCGGTGTGAAATGTCTTCTAGCAGAGTAGAATGACAATCTATTACAGTGGATTGAATAAAAGGTTTAGTTTGAAATTCCTGGAAGGTGACCTATTGATATGCAACTGAAAGTGAAAGATGACAGCACTAACAAAGATGAAGCAAATTATTTTATGATTTAAAAAAATTGTGAAAATGTCTGCTTTGGTAAATTTTTTTTTTTTTTTTTTAAGTGGTCTTTGTTGGCAGAGTTAGTGATCAACCTCCAAATTCTCTAAAATCAAGAAAACTTAGGCATCAAAATTGAATATGTTTCAAAAATTGAATTTCTTGCCAATTTTTCACTGTGGTTCTGTGGTGGAAGCAATTCCATAGAAATTGTGTCTTTTATTGAAACATTTGTAAGAACAAAGTCTGGCATTAATAGGCATCAGATCTGTGGTTGACGATGTCTTAAAACCCTGAAAAGAAATTGGAATCCGGGGAATATAAAATCTTCAATTTTCAAACATGCATCAACCTATCAAATTTAAATTACTATCTGCTACCACAATCTATGAAAGACATATTTTTTTCAAATACCTTCTGGATGGATTTGAACCTAACTTGGCAAAAAGTTTAGTAACATTGACATGTGGAATCATGTCCATTAATCTGGTTCTATGCAACAAAAAAACAAATGGTAACCATTTTGGTGACAACAGTTCATTGGCACCGTTCCAATTTTTATGCAATATGAAACCTGATTTTAAAAACAAGAGACAGAGAGAAAAATGTCCAAATGTCTCATGATCATAAAAGAAATTGTTAAATTCTTTGCATGAGGTTAGCGTCAAGAAATTTGTTATAAACCCAGCTACATTCAGTGTGTAGCCAGAGAAATGGAAAATATGGAAATCTTTGACTTACACTTGACAAATGGGAACTCGGAGTTGAGAGTTGAAATGCAAAAGCACCTGGTGGGGGGTTGGGGATGGATGTCATCAGCTACTCAAATCTTGTAACTGAAGTCATCTCTCAGTTGCGTCTCTATCTTTGGGCAGAGTGCGTCTCTATCTGCAGACAGACACACAACTAAGATGCAGCCGGGTGGGGGCAAATCACCCCTCACAGCACTAGAGAGGAGGATTGGTAGTAATATCGATGTCAGTACAACTGACAAGTGTATGCACTCAGGTACCCCACATGAAACCAGGCCTTGTGTCATGTTGCCATGGAGATACTGGTAAATACCTATTCACTCTTATAACTGCTCAACTATATTGTATTCTGACAACTCTTTCCCTGGAATGATAATGGGCCCACGAATCTATAGGAACACATTTCTTTCAGAGCCCAAATGACAAGTTGATTTGCATATATGCATAATGACGGGGTCAAGACAAGTGATTTGGTGACCCCATTCTCCAATCACATACCAAAATTTTTTGACCTCATAGACAATCAAGTCAGAGTAGTATTAAAAAAATAACATTCCTTTAGTGAATTTTGGCCCAAATATCAAATATTTTCTAATGGGGGAGGGCATGTGATTTAATTTAACTCTCATTTATCTAGCAGCTGGTGGGGGTGGGTAATCCTTTTCTTATCCAATCCTAATGGCTTAAACTTGTTAAAATCCTGTTAAGTCACAATTCAGACTCTGAAAATTCTTGGTGCTAATTCAACTGACTATAATTAAATGCTTTCCACAAGAACATATGTAAATTCCAATTCCAGCTGTACACCAGGTATAAATTCATTTACTTGTAAAATCCACACTAGTAACTTTGTTGTATTCCTAACAGTAACTTTTATTCCAACCATTCCAACCAGGTATAGATTCATTTACTTGTAAAACCCACTTCAATAACTCTGTTACAATTATATATATCCTAATTAATGCAAATATAGTTTGTCGCTTAGCTGATTGGTGTTACTTTCAGCATCCCGACTCCAGAGTTTCGTAGACAGACCCTCCAGCAATCATTCCATCCATTTGTCAGGGGATATCAGCAATTGACTGTTTATATTTATTGGTTTTTTTTTTTCTTTTATATATGCACTTTTCATTGATTCCAATGTTGATTTATAGACAAAAGGGAAACTTATCTTAGCCAAGATGTTTCATCCTCTGATAGACATTTATCAAGTGAAATGTTAGGATTTTATTTTGCAACAAATATTTATAAACAAAAGGTAAAAATGTTAGTTTTTTTCCAGAATTTAAAATTTTAAGAATGCTCATAGATATTTGCATCCGGCTGTGACTAAAATGTCTCCGTAAATTACAAAAAGATGCTAAGTGACATCATTTAATGTCTAATAAACAAAAGTGTGCAATATTTTTTTGTTTAATGTAATTAATATTTCAATTATTTTAGTTTGGTATTAATTTATATAGTGTGTATTTTAAATAACAGGAGGTTTTGAATTTAATTTTTGCTTTTAATTATTTTAACATTTTTATAGTCATGTATGTTGGCTTCGGAAAAGAGTAATTCTTTCAGGAATAGAGATATTTGAAAAAATTCAGGATGCAAATTTATATTTTGATAAGATTTTATTTATATATATATATATATATATATATATATATATATATATATATATATATAAAAAAAAATATGTATTCATCATGACACACAAATTACCATGTTTTGAAACCAAAACCTAAATGAATAATATATACCAACCTTATAAAAAAAACTAATACTAATCCTTTACATATACACTTGAAGTCAAATCATCACCCATCTATAGTAAAGCATATACCTTTATCTATTGAAAAAAGAATATGTATAAATTCTGCTAATAAAAAAAAAAAATATTCTATGGACATAGTAAATTTTATAATAAAGCTTTAAAGAATAGTGGCAGAAATAGAAAAATCATTTGGTCCCCCCCCCATTCAACCAATTTGTTAGTAGTAACTTAGGATATAATTTTCTTGCTTCAATTGATAAACATTTTCTTAGAAATAATACTTAACAAAATTTTTAATGAAAATACCCTAAAATTAAGTTACAGTTTACTGAAAATTTAGAAAAAATTATAAAAAACAATGAAATTCTAGGAAATAGTTATCCAGAAATAAGAATAAACAATAGTAAAGAAAAATTATGTAACTGTAGAAATCCTAAAAATTGTCCTTTGAATAATAAATGTCTCACAGAATCTGTAGTTTACCAATGCACTATCTCATCTATTGAGAATCCAAATATTGTAAAATTTTATATTGGATCAACTAAAAATGAATTTAAATTAAGATGGAGTCAGCATCTGACTTCCTTTTAATAATATTAAGTATTGCAACCAAACATCCCTACCCAAATATTTTTGGCATATAAAAGAAACAAATAACAGTAAAATGGAAACTAATAAAAAAAACACGAACATGTAGATCTTTAAATGACCCATATCCTTTGTGCCTACATGAAAAGTTATATCTTATTAAGTTTCAGAAAGATAAAAATTTATTAAATCAAAGAAATGAAATTGCAGTTTTTTATAGGTATTGTCTCATATTTTCCTTAAAAAATCAATTATAAAAATAATTTGCATAATTATATATCTATTATTTGATCATAAATAAAATAGTTTACAAATGCTTAATTAAATTCCAATATTTTAATTCTGCAATACCATATATAGTTTATTAGTAAATGTAATAAATAAGTTATTTTAGATCTTTATAAATATAAATAATATGACTTAATCAAATTTGAAAACCATTTTAAGAAAATCTCAATGTAGGTTAAATAAAAAAAATGATTAAAAAATGCAAATTGTAGTGTAACCTAAAAACCAGGCTGTGATGACACTGACTTCCTTTTATGTAAACGTATCAACAAACAGACAATTTTAAAACCCCCCCTCCACCTAACCTTAACCAATTTTCATTTTGCCACTTAAAAATATATTTGTATCTTGATTCAGCAAAAAAACCAACACCTCCTTAATAAAAAAAATTTTGAATTCTCATTCCCCCACCAACTGAAGATATATAATACTGTTTGACTTATAAATAGAGTAAATCATTTTTTTTCAAAGGTTATTCTGCATCACATGAAAATGGAACTGAACGTTAAATTTTATGATTAATTTAGGTTTTAGTTTTGAAACATGGTAATTTCTGTGTTGCGATGAATACATATTTTTAAAAAAATAATTATAATATTATGCTCTACTGTGTATTGAGCACTGTTTTTAAAAAATAAACGTAAAAGAACACTGGATTTTAAATCTGACTTATTTATTTTTATTTTTTATATATATATATATATATATATATATATATACAAATTGGTAGTTTTGAACAGGATGGAAAGATAAACAAAAAAAATTGGAGAGAAGGAATTTCTTACTTTTTGGGGTGTTGCCACAAATTTGACACATTCTAACCATGTGTTGAGAAGAAAGTTTTTACAAACTGCACACTGACTGCCTTCATTCAGGATCGTTCTGCTTTCTGGATTTGTGATGATCATGTGCCAAAGATTTGGATAACTGACCAAAAAGAAAATAATAACAAGTAGATGAGAGATTTTTTTCAATGTAGTCTGGCACAAGGCACTCTGATGATCAAACATACATATAGCAAGACTTGTTAACCATCATTTTATTGTAAACAGACATTGTAAAAATGCTTTAGGTTAATTTGTTTAATAATTCTGTTAATATATTTTTAGGCAAAAGTCTTAGACTACTTTTCTTGTAACTCAAACTCATTTACCCCTGGGGGTGTTTCAACCTGCTTCACCTAAGACTTCCTCAGATCAAAAATTTAAACACAAGTGGAGTAGACTGAGAAGACAAGGAGGAGGTTCATTTATATTAAGAATGTGAACCAAATCAATTATTTGCACCCCACCCCTGCACACACACACACACACACACACTTTGTAGCCAAATCCCCATTCTTAATTGTGTCAGTTATGCTAAACAGTATATGAAAACAGATTTCTAGAAAGTGCCAGTCCCTGCCAAGCATAAGGTGACACTGGATTGCCCTGATACTTGGTGAAATGTTTAGTGCCTGAAGAAGGAACCGAAACCTGTTTGGTTGATTTATTAACAATTCAGTTGAGGAGTTGTTATTTTTTTTAGGCAAAATTGTTAGACTAAAAAATTTTTAGGTCATACAAGAGATGGAAAACAATTGACAAAATGGAAAAACTCTTTAGTGACACATATGGAAAGAACTTCAGCCTGAATTGCCAATAAATTTTAAATTTACTAGAGTTGTCGCTCTTATTTTCTGATAATATTGTGTATAGATGTCCATATTTCCAAAACTCAACATGTTTATACATACACAAATAAAATTTTTAATTCTCTTTAAAATACTGGGGTTCACTGAATTGTAATCTTTCCATTGGTTAGTAAATATAGTTTTTATCCATTGATTAGTAAATATAGTTTTTATTTCATAACAAAATCACTTAACCACGACAAATTAAGACAGAATTTTAAAACATTTAAAATTTTGTAAATTATTATAATTAAAATGAAAAACAAAAAACAATTCTTGGAAAAATTCATTATTCATCAAAAAAGTTGTTTTTTTAAGACAATAGTGTCCTTAATGTTTTATTTATAAAAGCAATTAAAAGCTTTTCTAATTAAATAATGTCTTAGTTTTATTTCATTTTTTATTTTACGATTCAGAGCAGACTTTTGTAAGGGCACATTTTTGTTTTGTCCTTATAACTAATATAAACATTAAGTGCTACAAAAAATGAATTTCTTGAAATTTCATAAAAATTAAATGAGTAAGAGTTTGTGTGACATGTAAAAATAAATAAATAAATAAAAATGTTTTTACTAAAATTTTCTAAAAAAAGAAAAATTTCAAAAATAATTTCATTCATTTCTGAATAAGTCCTGAAAGTTTCATTAAAATGCAACAATTATCTGATTTTTGCAAGAATTTTCAATCAATGTTTTCCGCACAAAAAGGCACTCAAATTTCCCATAATAATTCAAGGTCACGTTAACACAAGAAAAACAAAATTTTGAAGGTTGAAAAAAAAAAAAGGATTAAAAAATAGAATTTAATAATGAAAAAAACCGTTTCATCTTTCCTCTTAATAAATATTTTAACAATAAAACGAGCATGCACAGAAGCGTCCTTGAACTGCGTGTGTGTGTTGTCACCGGGCACCCCTTGGAGTACCATAATGGACTCGACCGAGGACTACAAGAAGAAGATGCGCGAGTTGTTTGCCGTCTTTTCTTGGGCGACAAAAGCCGTTGCGGTCGGTCGTCTGTCAACAGCAGTCTTGGGTGCCGTTTTGCTCGTTTGCTGTAAATAAAGTGTTAGTTCGGAAGAGAAGGCGTTCATTTCAGGTTCACAAGAAGGCATTTGTTTTTGTGTCGCAAGAAGTTGGTTTTTTGGGGTTTTTTTCCCCCCGTTTTCTCACAAAACTTATTCAGTTTGGGTTTTTTTTTTTCCTCATGTAGGTTCATTTTTTGGGGTACCTAGATTTAGGATATAATGGTAAGTCTGATAAGAAAGTTAATGTGTTTTGGGATGGAGGAGGACAAGAACACTGAAAGAATGAAACACGTGGAAAGAAAAGTATAAACAAAGATATTAATATAAAGATTATTATCATATCTGAGCAGTGTATTATTAGATTGGTTGAAAGTTACTGTGAATGTGAAAAATTCTCTTACAACACTTACTTATTTTTCATCTGATTCATAATGTATCTGGCAACAGTTTCCTGAAAAGCAAAAAAACACACATTATTTTAATTGAACAGAATGTGGAAAGTTTAATCTTCAGCCAAGCAGTTAAGCATGCCAGGTCAAATGATGGTTACTCCTACAAAAAGGTTTGTTTCCTGCTGGCGAGTACATTTTCTTTATTACAATTTCTAAAATATGCAGTCCAATAGATGTAATACACACTTTATAAAATGAAAATAAGAATGAGGGTGTCTATTTCAAATATGAGTATCCATATAATTTTTCAGTTTGGCATTTGTTTTCATTTTTCGTTGCCTCGTGAATGTGCTGCAGGCATTTCCCAGATTTTGGGGCATGCTGACATGATTAGGAATGGAGACACAACAGAGTAGTCAATGGCTGGAAAGCTTGACTGAAGGTCCCATTGTATGCCGACATTGTCACATGTAAGAAAGAATTTTGTTTTTAGACAAAAGTAAAAATATCCAAAGAAAGCTAACAGGAAACAAAAATTTTTGATTGATTGGATTTTCACGACTTATCAACTGCACTTGATTTAAAGCCAGAAAATGGTTTAGTAATTGATTATTGATTAACCCATAGCTTGGGGGTAAAAGAGGTGGATTCATACCTCATCAGAATTTGATGAAGAAATTATAATATGCATATAAAATGGGGGAAACTAATCCCTCATTTTGTGGCCACGGTAGTTTCTCTACATTTCTATTCCAGAGAATGTAAATAAATCTAAAAGACATGCCTGTGTAGCTAATCAGGATTTCATTGATGGATTCATTTTCTATGGCTTATCAACACTTATCAGGTTATTTAAAGCCAGCAAATATTTTTAGATTATAAGATTTTTTTTAAGATAATAATGGTTTAGTAATTAATCCATAGCTGGCCAGATTCATACGTTTCCCAAGGGTATTTGTGTGTAAGTGAATATAACGATCCCAACAAGAATTGTAACTTTGCTCTCTATTTTAACAATTCCAAGCCATTTTCCATTACAACATCCACCATCCAAGCGGTCACCCATGTAGGTACTGACCAGGCTTGAGGTTGCTTAAGTTTGATGTCCATATGAAACCATTGTTCATGATGCAGTTGTAAGCCCAAAAGAAATTAAAAGCAGTCTGATTACTGCTAATGAATCCACCTCTTCTCCCCCAGCAATGGATTAATTAGTAAAACTTGTTTAACTAAAACCATTATTATCTAAAAAAAAAAAAGGGACATAAAATATTTAGATTTTGACAATAAATAACCCACAGTGGTTGATATACGGCTAAAGAAGACAACAAACCAATAATTACAGAAAATGAACAATAAATACACAGCCAATGGTTTTTAAACCAAAAAATAAATGAACACAAGTTTTTAAACCATTATAACGCAAAGAAAGTAATTGTGAAAACAATAACATATATTTTGAGACAAATGGCTATGAAATGGGGTTCATGAAATTACCAACAAATTTTCAGTTATTCCACCATTTTGTTGTATAGGCAAGGTTACACATTTCATCAAATTATTGACAGACTATCTAGAAGTTAAGGTGTGCACTTTGGTTCTAAGGAATGTCTCCCACTTGAAGGAATATCATACTGTGTCTTTATGATTTCAAACTTTTCTATCAGGCGATAGAATTGTTGATAGAGTAAAAGGATCCTGTTTTAAATTGTTCCTTGTTTTATAAACTCTCAGTGTTGCTGTTGTACTCTTATGATTAATATAATATAGCATCATAAGCTCCAGTTGACAGTCTAAACTCAGCCTCTGACATATTTTCCAAAGAATGATTTGTTAAAACAAACACCAGCTTATATACATTTAATGTGTTATAAATAAATAACATCATTACCTGATTGGTCAATTTAAAAAAAAAAAAAAACATTAAAATTTGCATATTTATTTTTCACCCTGTACATTCTGAAATTGTAAAGTTAAATCCTAAACAGCCAAATATCAAAATGTTTTACAAGATTTGTTTCTCTGAAAGATTGACTTACTTTCAGGGCGAAAACTTCCTCTTCTTGTACAGAAGAAACTGGTCTTAGTTGCAGAAGTGGGTTGCATTCATAATAGAATTGCTTCAAAGGTAAAGTTTCAAACTGCAAAACAGAAAAACAATCAGCCTTTTACACACCATTTTGTTATCAAAACAAGCCACGAATTTATCTATCATATTTATCCCTCTTTGTTTTTTAATCAGACTATCAAAATTTTGGTGACTTGACTGAAAGACTCAGTCATTTGTGTGCCATGAATGATACATCCTTAGACGATTATGTATCTTTCGATACATGACTGACGAGGCAGGTTTTTTCCTGTAGTAAGTTGCCATTTCTTTCTGCGGTAGACCAGTTGCCATCCAAGGCTATAGAACCCGGTCTGTCCTGCTATTTACTGATAGCTGGGGGGAGAAGAAGAGAATTCATACCTTTCCCAAAGGTATTAGTACGTAAGTGAATGCAATGGATTTGAATGGAATTCGAACTCAGCTCTCTGTTTCCTCAATCCAAGCCGCTATCCATTACTCCACCGAAGGGAGATAAATATGACAGATAAACTTGTGGCTCATTTAGATATCAAATCCCTGTACACCAATGCACATATGGGGTGCATTCCAGAAGTTTTAAAACTTTTTCAGGAGAGACATTTATTAATTTCAACAAAGTAAAAAACTCTAATCTCCATTAATGTAGGATTCTCTGACTTGATTGCACTTATAGGACTCCAGCCACACTGTGAAGGCTCATCCATGTAAATCATCTAAAGCAGGGGCCATTAATGAAAAATTAAGGAAAATTACATATGTAGACCCCTGTCAACCTAAATATTTAAAACCATAATGAAAATAAACATTGAGAAATCAGAAAAACAAAAGAAAATCTAAAATTAAAAAACACCTAAAAAAATTACTTTTCCTCAAGGAACATCAAAATACTTCAAAGTGAAAAAAATCAACCGAAGTGAAATGGATGAAATTATGACGTATAGGTTTGAAACTGTTATTGAAAATTGTTCCACAAACGAACCACACACACACACACACACACACACACATCAAACAAAAACGAAGCATATATACCAATACATACGAGCACAAATAGTTGCAAACATATACACTTACGTACATACACATGCGGTATCATCCACACATTCATGAGGCATGTATGTATAATGCGCGTATGTTTAACTGTCTTTAGATTTCTGCTACCTCGCATGTCCTTCCTGGCCTCTTTCACTTTATCGTTCCTTTCGCTTCTGTTATCTTTTAATATAGCCAAGGGTCATAACAAATATGTATCCATTATTTGACATTAAACGTAGGCAACGCAACTTGGTAAAATGTCTCATGAAAGATAACTGGCAGATAGTCTAATTTGAAAGCCTTGTCTCTCATGTTAAAAATAGAGTCATTGGTAATCAGGCTCGTGGGCCGGTCAAAATGCCTTCACGAGCCAGAACTGGCCCGCAGACCATAGGTTGCCGACCCTTGATCTAAGGCAAAGGTGTCCAGGACCTTTGCACAACCTCCTTCATCTTCTCAATATCTTCAAAACAACTGCCTCTGAGGTTAGCAAACAATCAAAAGTCACAAGGTGCAAGGTCTGGACTGTCGGAAGGGTGAGGGACAGTTTGGTTGCCCATCTCTGTCAACACAAAACTTCATGATATAGCAAGCTTCCAAATTGTCTTCATGCCTGACTGCATTCTGCAGACTAGTCAGATGTGACAAGCGGTGTTTAGTGGGGTGTGATGTTTAAAGAGCTGTTACAGCTATCTTCTTCAGTCTGGAATAACAAAAGTTGGCAGGTCAGATTACTAGATGTATAGCAATGATATACTAAAATTATGATAATCTAGAAAAGTTATTTTGTTCCTAAAAATAAATCTCAAAATTCTGAAATGCACCTCGTAACAAAGGCTTGAAAATACATAATCTTTTTACAGAGTCTGATTTTAAAATTAAAACAAAATATATAAGCAGCAAAAGTGATGCACTAAAACAAAAATTCCCCAAGTTTTACATAAACAAAGGCATTTCACTTAACATTTTGACATAAGACTGAAATGGTTTCATGACGATAAAGCCCCAAGGAGGCTTGACAGCAATCTATGAACAGAGATAAAAAAATGACCTGGTTTTAGGACAGATTGTAAAAAAAAAAACTCATGAGAAGACATTGCATTTAAATATTACTAAAATTAAATGCAGAAAAAACTACTTAATACTATTTACATTTGGACTATTATCCTCATCTTTGCTGTTATTATCACAACATTTTGGCTGTTGTGCACTCCAGCCTTCCCCAGGTGTATTTTGATCTGGGTAACCTAAAGGGAATTCTGAACTAAACCATTGATTTAATCTCTAGGGGAAGCCTGTTCTTGTCCTACTTCCCATGTCTAGGGATATCATCTAGTTCTATTTTTATATATTCAGTTATTGCTTACGTGTTTCCAATGAGTTTAAATACACACTGCCTGACCCAAGGATTGAACTCACAATCATTATTATCAAATTCACAAACTAATGCTTTAATCCATTTTAATCCCTGGGTTGAGCAGCATGTATTTGCACTCAGTGGAAAACAGGCAAGCAATAATTGAACAGTGCGAAATAAACGGTATCTTAAAACATGGGCAGTGGAATGAGAACAGTCTGTGTAGATAAAATAAAGGGTTCAGTTCAGAATTCATTGTAGGTTAACCAGATCTATATACACCTGAGGAAGGCCAGAGAGCACAATGGTTGAAACATTGTGATAACAACAACAAAGATAAGGACAATAGTCTGAATATAAATAGTGTAAATAATGATAATTCTTCATCCCAGAAATTCAGGCAGAAATTACTAATTAAAAAATCAGTTAGATTGGTTGAGGACTTTTTAAGGAATAGAAACGTAATATTAACACAGAGATAGTCCTTTTTCTTTCCACGTGATCAAAATGGAATAGTCCATTATTTATGTGGTATTGGCAGGGCATAACAGTCGTGTGAACTAACAAAGTGAGGTGCAGACACAATTATAATAGAATAGTAACAGGTGTTAAGCTTGAATAGGCATCAGAGTCATCTTTGTTTGTGTATGGGATTTAAAGAAATACCATTTTGGTTGACAATCCAGGGATTCAAAAGAATCTGAATATAATATGACAAAATCCACAAACACATGACCCACAAGACGACCCAAATGCTTTTTGATCCAGTAGCAGTAACGGCTTGTGAGTGATGTCAAGAGTGAGAGTGATGAAGAGTAGTTGTGATGTAAAGCCCAGAGAAGAAAGATGCCCCTATCCCACACTGATAGGTCTTACAGGAAAAACCAAATGGTCTTACCAGGTTCATAAAGAAACCACTGTATCTTCAGGAAATATTACAAGTAAGACTCTCTCTTTTCAAACTGCTTGTTGTTATAGACATGTCTTATAGTTTCTCTGCATGAGACGTGTGTAAATATGTATATATCATTTTGTGTATGACTTAGCAGCATAAAACTCTCTGAGAACAAAGCATTTTTGTGATTCCTTTTCTTTCAGCTATTCTGTTCTGTCCGTGAAATAAGATGTTATTTTATCATGGATATAATAATGCACATAATAGGGGAAATACAAATGAAAGGATATTCACTTTCTTCCATTGTGCACCTATTATCTGATAATGAATTGGAAAAAGATTTATTTGAAATAATTACAAAACAAGTGACACTCAAAATTATAACAGAGTCAGCATCAGTCTGTTAGTTTTATAACTGGATTATGCATGTTTCATTCCATATGTTCTGCAGAGGAAGGCCAGGTAAATCAAGTGTCTGGGTCACTTCCTGGCAAGTTGAGGTCCACCTTAAACAAATTCACTCCATTGGCATTTTCTTCTACTCTGATTTTCTTTTGCCTCCAACCAACTTTTGTAAAGCCAAATGGCAATAGAGAATGGATGACGAGAGCAGGATTGGGTGAAAAAGGAAGCTTCTAGTGCTGAACCTGCACATTGGTAGTGAATTTAGTCATCAATACCATCATCATAAAGGAATTAAATTCTTGGATATGAGATAAAGCCGACAATGAGTTAGAAAAACAGAAAGACAACAAGGTGAATTTGACTTGGATAGTTTAAATCAAAAATGTATTTATCATAGTCTCAATTTTTCATTCTGTAACTTTTATTTAGAAACTTAGAAATGTTAGATTATATATTTGATGATTATGATAACCATGTATATATGTAGCTATGTAAAAATTTCAGAAAGACTATATCTGTAAAAGGACTATATGAATAAAAAACAAAAGGAAAACTTAGTTGACTTGATAAAGTTCCTCAGAGCATGAAAAGCAACAGGTAAGAAAAATTTTCTTTTTGTTTTTATTCAAATGTATTTATGTAAATAAATTCAATTTTTTGTGCCAGAATCCACAATACATTTATAAATCCACCATTCGTGTGTGCATTGAATATTGCTGCCATATGTAGTCTGATGCTCTGGCTATATATCTCAAGATTCTCAACAAAATCCAAAGAAGGGTTTGTAATGTTATCAGTCCTGACCTGGCATCTCAACTTTCCAACCACCATGACATGGCTTCCTTCTGTCTTTTCTAGAAATATTTTCATGGCAGTTGTTCTGATGAACTTTCCTCATTGGTACCTCAACAAATTAAATTTAAACAAGCTACTAGAAGACCCCAAAGGCGGGATAAGCAAAGATCTACATGATCTCAATGGCCAAAACCGCAGAAGAAAGTGGACCTTGACAGACCAAGCATCCAACAGCTCGATGCAACCAGGTTTGCCAGATCTTACCTGTCTTAAAGCCCTTTGATCTGCAAGGGAGGGGGTACTTCTGGCCAAGTGGGTGGGCTTCTCTGTTGCCCAGAGTTGTCCACTAAAATCAAATTCAAGCGAAAGGCCTTGTTAAACTCTTTGACTCACAGCCATCACCGCCACTAGGAGAGAGAAAGGAATTAAGGAGAGAGGAAAGACAATCCTGATGATCCAATGCGAGTGAGTGCCGACAACTAGATTGGCAAATAGGTCTCATTATTTTATTGTTGAAATAGCTAGATGTGACTGTCTGTTCTATTTTAATAGTTTCTTTTCTCACACTTCTGACCTGTGGAACTCCCTTCTGATTTCTTCCTTCACTGTTACCTACAATCTTTAAAAACTTAAATGCAACATCAATCACCATCTTCTGTCTCCCTGTATCCTATTCCTTTATTCTTCTCATCACTAAAGTCTTTTCATTCTCTTCCACTCCCAGTAACCCCCCATGCATCTTAGGGGCATTATTGCCTTGCTTGGTATGGAATAATTTTTAAAAAATGATAATTTTCTATTTTTCCCAAACTGGCCAGTACAGCCAGGCAACAATGCTATATTAATGCAGCAGTGAAAGGGTTCAAAAATTAACTTTAGTTTAAACACAACAAAATTCAAAACAAAGCCTAAAGATCTTACTTCGGGTGGGAATGTTCGCAATTCATTTGAGGCAACATCCAGGACAGTTAAATTGCCACAATTGGTTATACTCTGAAAACAGAAAAAAATTAACCGAAATAAATATTTTTTTCTTTTCAGATATAAATATTAGTTTGATTTTCTTTTTTGAACTGCTTCCATATTTGTAATAAAAATGAAAAATAGATGTATGTTTTTCCGAGTAATAGATATGGTCTGGGTGAACTTTCTAGTTATTCAGTTGGTTCCTTAATTGGGTGGAAAATGCCATAGATATCATATGTACAGACAAACCTCTTATCAATGGAATAATAGGGGGGATAGGTGGTCTGTTAAAGCCAATTGTCCGTAGATAGGAAGGGATTATTTTTGAGTTATAAAACCACTATGATATCTACCAGCATTTACAATCATCATATAAATGCTATAAACATGTATATATGGCATAAATAAATATATACTTAATATAGATATATTAAGCAAAATAACAAAAAAAAATTTCTCAGTTATTTTCTCATGCACATGCTAATGTATTGTACTTTATATAGTGTACACCTGTCTTTGTTTACAATTGAAAGGGTTGCCATTGCTCTCAAGCAGTTACTTTGTGTTGTGGATTCTGGGGATGGAATCCTGCACAAATAAATAAACAACGCCAGTAATTGAAATAGAAAAATATGTGTATTAAACATAAGAATACAAACTTGAAATGAAGATTTGTAGTCCAGGAATGTGGGGTTAGTAGAAAAGTATATGTACAAGTCTCTGTAAGTGAAGCCATAATTATCTCTCTTTCTGGACTCTCGTATAATTCTGGGTGAACACTCTGTCTCAATGTTTTTCTCACGCTATCTCTCTGTAGTATAAGTATACTTTGGACGAGTCCATCTTGTGTACAATGGGCGAGCCCCACAATACTTTGAGAATTAATACAACTTGTTCTGCTAAGCCTACAAATTTTGAAATACATCACTGACAATTTGGAAGTTTTTTTTCCTACAGATTCTTTTTTATTTTTCCTGCAGATTTTGTCTGTAGCATCCAAAGTCTGTTGATGCAGGGTGTCCATAGATGAGAGGTTTGTCTGTACTTGTGGTATCGAGTGACCAGCATTAATAAAAATAAGTCACAAGTGGGGCATGTAATGTTTGTTAGTTTCTCAATGTGCTTTTGGATCTATTACAACTCTGTTTCTAATTACCACTGATGTATACAATGTGATACTATCTTAGCTTATCATACATTGGCAAGAAGTCACTGCACTGACAGTTGTAGTGTTGTAGTTTTTTTGCTTGAGCTTGGGAAACACATCTTTAGTCTTGATGGCCATGATTTTTATAATTTTAGTAAATTAAATTTCTCTCTTGAAAGATATTTAATTTATTAAATATAGTAATCAATACTGCATGGTGACTTTCAATTTCACACTGCCCAGTGGATAAAAACATTGGCTAGATCCAGTGACTAGACCCAAAGAGTTGTGAGTTCAATACTAGGCTACAGCAGTGGTGAACCAAAAACTTGGAGAGTTGAGTTAAAGAGAAATAACTGAGACATCTAAAAGAGGTATGGCACATGGAACTAGAACAATCTACCCTGGTGGATGAAATAAAGGGTTTGGTTCGAAATTCCAATTACCTGAAGAAGGCTGGAGCATACAAGTGCCGAAACGTTGTGAATATGGCAATAAAGATGAGGATAATAGTTTGAATAATGTAAATAATGCAAGTAAAAAAATTGTGTAATCCAGCAGAGTTCGAACCTGTGTCCCCCGTTACATTAGGGAAACCATTGTTAACACTTTAGCATTCAACATGCTTGAACTTGCCGCATAAATATCGGCTCTCAAAGTCTTACTATTTGCATGACTTGCTGCGTTATTTGCAATGATATCATCATATACCATGGCAGAATATAAATGGGACAGGTTACAGTTGGTTGAACATAGTAAGTCAATACTTACTTCAACACTTTAACATTCAGCATGCTCGAACCAGCCCTGTAAATATTGGCTCTCAAAGTTTCACTGTTTGCGGGACATCCTGTGTTATTTGCAGTGATGTTGTCATATATTATGGCAGAGTGAACAATGAGAGTCAATATTTACAGGACAGGTTTGGATGGGTTGAATGCTAAAGGGTTAAGCTAAGTTTGCTTCAGACAACAGTTACAAGAGACCCCACAGCAAAACAAAGTTTAATTACACACTATTGAAGAAAGGCACATATTGGGATCTTTTGAAGTCCAGATCTGATAACTTTATCTTTATATCCAAAACATAAATAAAGTAATTTCTAAAGAATGAATGGATTTTTATTTATAATCTGACATTATTTAAGATCTGTTTAAATGTTATTTAATGGATCCACGTGTTTTGAGTTGACATCTCTGTTGTTGTTTTTTTAAACAGTGTAATAAACATTTGTTGGCCAGGACATTGTAGGGACATTATTATTATAAATAAATAAAAATAAAATAATAATAATAATAATGAATATTATGAATAAAATAAAATGAAATAAGTAACATGTAAATGTTGTTTAAAATAATCAAATAAAAAATAATAAAAAGTTCTCCCAGCATGCAACAGAAACTGTTCCTGCTAGAAAACGGATATCCCACCAAAAGATGTTGAATTCAATCTCTTCACTACTGACCTTTTGACAATCCACACATCCCACCTTCTCTCTTCAGGGCATTACTTTTAATGAGACAAAAGACTTCTTTCTTTCATTACATGCAACCTTAAAAACACTTGTAACCAAAAATATATACTCCATTACACAAGAAGTAAATAGAATGTATGATATTAATATACAATTTAACATACCTTTAATGTTATCTCCATGTATATTTTATTCCTGTGAAGTATGTTTTTATTTCCTGTGAACATGAAGCTATTTCTGCTGCTATGATGTGAGTGACCCCAACAGCATTCAAGAATCCTAATAAAGAAACTGTGCCTTTTGGCAGGGTTCGAACCTCTGTCACACTTATGCTGGAAAAACTACCTATCGTCTAGTTGTGGTTTTCATGTCTGTCAGTCGAGACATTCCAGGGTTGGAATAAACAAGTCTTTCTTTCTGCTGAGTAAAAAAATCACTTCATTACTGCAACTATCATACTTACTGCTGGTAATTCTTGAAGGCAATTTTTATGAAGAATTAGTCGCTTCAGTCTCCAAAGCTGTCCCAGGTCTTCAGGAAGAGAGATCAAATGGTTATAACCCAAATGTAAATTTTCCAGCCGTTCTAAATAACAAAGTTCAAAAGGAAGTTCTTCAAGTTGGTTGTGGTCAACACTAAAATTTTGAAGATTTTTAAGTCTGAAAAAAAAAGAAAGGTTCTTTAAGATTTTCCTTGTTGGGGAAATATTTAAAATGTTTTGTGGTAAATTTAAAGAGGCATTTTTGGAATTATTTAAGACAATATTTTTATTTTTTTAGGTCATGTAAAAAACATTTAACAGATCATATTGTTTCAGATATAAAGTGTTCTGAAATCAAGGAGAGATAATATATATATATATATATATATATATATATATATATATATATATGTATTATAAATTACTTGATTTAAAATATGGTTTTTCAGCTACACAGTTCTAACTTATAATATTAATGCTCTGTAAATTTACATTGAGCACTATTTTGTAAAAATAAAAATATCTATAAGAACACCGGATTATATATCTTACTGTTCTTTCTTTTTATTTATAAATACATATATAAATATATATATATATATATATATATATATAATCTAGCCAATTTCATTAAGAGTCTTTTGCTTTTTCTTTCCATCCCTTTTGTTATTAGGTGTCGCACACTGTGATAATAGAAGATCTGTCAGGAAGGGTGAAATGTAAGAGCCATTAATAAATATGGTGACAAAGATGAGGACAATAGTCCGAATAATGTAAATAGTGTATATAATACCTCATCTCAGAAATATAGACAGATACTGAAAGGCTGAAATGTTGTGATAAATATGACAACAAAGATGAGGACAATAGTCCGAATAATGTAAATAGTGTACATAATACCTCATCTCAGAAATAAGACAGATACTGAAAGGCCGAAATGTTGTGATAAATATGACAACAAAGATGAGGACAATAGTCCGAATAATGTAAATAGTGTACATAATACCTCATCTCAGAAGTATAGACAGATACTGAAGGGCCAAAACGTTGTGATAAATATGGCGACAAAGATGAGAATAATAGTTCGAATAATGTAAATAGTGTACATAATACCTCATCTCAGAAATATCGACAGATATGTAAGAGCCAAGACACAAATTTACTGAAGATGATATTGTGATCAAGGTACTATGTAGACATTTATGTTATAGCAAATTGCTTTCATTTTTAATCAGGGTAGCATTTTTTATGTGGTCAGTCTTGTTACGGTGGGCAACTCAGAATTTCTTAAATATGGTCAATTCTGAAATATTTTACTCAAACAATCAACATTCTTTCGTTATATTGATGATGCTCTACTTATATATCCACATGATACTGATTTACCTGACCTAGTAGATCAACTCAACAAAGTCAAACACACAACAGAATTTATACTGTTGCCATATATGGGCTGGTGCTCCTGCTGTTCATCTCAAGGTTCTTGACAAAATCCAAAGGCAGTTATGCAATATGATAGATCCTGACCTGCCATTACTCAATACTAGTAAATGTGGACACTTAGTCTAGCGACCTTTATAGTACAACTATTTTTAATTTTAGACAATAATGCATTTAACATTTTTGTCATTCCATTTTATCCATTATCTTATTACTACCATTTTTAGTATATGACTATTATTTTTATATTTTGCTTTCTTTGTTGTCTCTTTCTTTTACCTTTAGTCTTTCTTTCAGAAATGTGTTTATTTATTCATCTATGTGTATTCATTATTTTTATTCAATTACTCATTTACTTATTTGCATATTTACAAGTTCCTATATATGGCTTTCATTTCATTTTATTTTAACTTGTCTTCCTTTATCATGTCATATTTCATTATTATTGATATCACTATTAGTTTTTTTTTTTAAGAATATTAATATTGATAATATTATTATTAATTATTCTATTGATTCCTTGAAAAAAAAATAGAGTTATCCCCTTAATGAATTTTGATAACTCATAAGATAGGGGTTGGGATCTGGGAAATGAAAGAGCTACAAACATGAAAGTCTGTTGAAAAAAATCGCACAGATACAGGTTTGAAGCCCAAAGAAAAAACCTTGATACGAGTGAAACCTGGGTAGGTTTGTCTGGCTCACTAGGTTTATCTCTCTCTCTCTCTCTCTATATATATATATATATATGTTTTAAAGAGAACTGAAATATGTTGATGAAACCAACAGAGAACTTGACAAAAAAACAAACACCTCAATCAAGAGAAAATCTCAAACATGGAAAGAAAAAAGAAAAAGGCAAACAAACACCTACTCAGTAAAAAAAAAATGTTCAATACCTAGATTGCTTAGACAGAACAACAAATGCTTTACAATGTACTCCTTTCAAAGGACAGCCCGAGTTGTTACTAGAGTTTCCTGTTCACATGATCTTCAGATGAGTAGAATGTTCTAGTCATCTAAAGATTGTGGGAGCATAAAACTTGATTAATGAAATGAGCTATATATATATATATATATATATAATTATTTTTATAAAAAAATTTATAACATAAGTATGTTATAAAATCACTACAAAAATAGCCATTTTGTTTCAACACACTCTGTGTCTTATCAAGTGATGGTGTTGAAAAGAAAATAAATGGTTTTAAAAGTTTCAGATTAATTAACGATCCTACACTAGGGGGAGCATTGTATATATATATATATATATATATATATATATATATATATATATATATATATATAATAAATATAAATATATATATATATATATATATATATATATATATATATATATAAAACAAATATATATGTATATATATATATATATATAAAAAAACTAAAATCCTTGAAGCATTATACATCAAACAGTTGAAACCCAACCTAAACAAAATCAATTATGGAATCTCTACAAATATTCTTAAATGTCTATAATTGGTAACAGAAGCCATTGGTTTATACCAATGGCATCCCATACTTCATACTTCTCCAACTCACTCTCGTGTGGTCATGTGTGACATCATAAGATGCGGTGCGATTTTCGCTTCTAGCGTCTTATAAGCGTGTGTTTATCGTTGTTTAGAAATCATCTATGAAAACAATGACAGACTATCATCACTGTCTTATCCGTATATTGCTTAATATGTTGTAATTGACATCTTTGATAATTGCTTAAGTAAGCCGAAAGCTTAGATTGGATTAAAATTATGTATCAATATTGTAAATTTCTTTCTTTGTTCAACGATAATGTTATTAAACTTATCAGATGTTACGAAAAAAATTTACATAAAATAAATAGACAACACTTTTCTATATTATTTAATGAAACGTGTATGAATATATATATATATATATATATATATATATATATATATATAATAAAAAAGGCTCAAACACTAATATTCCATGGTTATAATTTACTACATTGGAATCGTAATCACAATCCAAGACCTACAAATTCAAATATATATGTATAGAAAAGAAAATCAGATTAAACTTTTGATTTGATTACATACCGTCCTATTTCAGCTGGAATCTGTTTCAAGTTGTTATTATTTAAATTTAGGAGCGTCACATTTTTCAAGCTGTCTGTAAAAGAATTGTTTATAAAAATTCATAAAAACATTCCAAAAAGGCGACTTACAGCCACATCGCATTGAAACACTGATTCCTGTACAATCACAAAAGTTAAGCAACTCTGAACCTAGTAAGTATCTCATTAGGTAACTGCTTAGGAATACTAGGTGATGTAAGCTTGGATATGTGGGTGATCCTTACACGTCATATTTTATACAAATGCAAATTACAAACATTAGGTTGGTTGTTTTTGTTGTTGTACTCTATGCCAGCCTCTATGGCTTATCTAATGCTGAAATCTGAATATTTTGTACACAATTTTATTTTATTTTTTCTAGAGAATAATTGTTTTAGTGATACAAATTTACTTATTAACCCATAGCTGGGGGAGAAGAGGTAGATTCATGCCTTTCCCCAAAGTTATTTCAGTGTAAGTGAATATAACGAATCTAACTCTAATTGACAATTCCAAGCCATTATCCATTACACCACTTGACCAAGCTTGACATTGCTTAAGTTCAGTGATCGTACAGGAACTGGTGACAGAAAAGTCCCTTGGCAGACAAAGTGGGTTAAGCTAACACTATGTTTTACTCATTCTGTTGGTTGCAATCCAATTAGGAATAACTGCAAAACACTTGCACCTCCCTAATTTATAGTCAGAAGCAGACAAATGCATGCTGGGATGTTTTCCTAGCTAATAAAATAAGCTGGTTCTCATTTTCATCTGACTCATTCCCAGTCTGTCTTGTCTTGAAGTCAGAATACTATATTCGCTTGTCTGAACTTGCTTTCGTGTGTCAACCCCAATTCTTAGTTTGTGAACTTTTTGCCATATTATTGTTGCTTTGCCTTATTGCAGTTAATTTGCCTTGTATATATTGTTTAATTGCTTTATATTATATTTTGCCTTCTTCATTTCTTTTTCCCATAATTGTTTATTGCAAGCTTTGTCAAATTTGTTTGTTATGCAGTGCTGCTATTATTTTACATTTAACCATAGCCACTCACTCTACACATTCATTACCATATTAAATAATAATTTCTGTTATGAATAAAAAGAAACTGTAACAGAGTTCTTTCAAAGTGAAAGATGAAGAGGTTTGTATTGTAGAACAAAGTGTTGAAACCCAATTAATGACTTACTTAAAACAATTGGAGGCAGAATCTCGATTCTGTTGTTGTAAGCAATTAATGACCTGAGATTTGTAAAATGTTGAAGATTGATGGGAAGAACAGCAAATTTATTGCCACCAATATTTAACAGTTGTAACTGAAAGAAAAAAAACAAATTAAAAAAGGCTTTTATAGTCTTCAGATAAAAAAATATCAAATTCTGGATTTTATTTGGATGAGAACAAAATAGAAATGGAGAGCATGGATTGCCACAAAAGAAAATCTTGAGTTATTTGCATTCAATTTAATAATAAAATTTTTACTGATTTACCTTGAGACAGGGGAAAAAAATGTGAATATGGATGTAGTGTTTGTGAAGAAAACTTTAAAAAATTATATAAATTAAGAGTTGGTGAAATGAACAAATTAGATTGAATTTATAGTTGACAGTGGCGGAAAGGGTCTAAAAAATTTTCTTTGCCAGAAGTCAAAGGGTCCGACCCACAATTACAATGTGATCATTTAATTTTCATAACAAATAAATAAAATTTTTAAAAATTATACATTGAAAAAAGGGTAAAATTAAAATTCTTGTGGAAAAAATTTCTTAGTAATTAAAGTGTATATGTACTGTACATATTACCAGCAGTAGATAGCAAATGGAAAATACACAATGTTATAATTAAATCTGTTTTATTTAAAGTAATTGGTTGATATTTTAAAATAGTTTATTACACAATTTACACATTAGCACAATTGTGCATTGCATGCAGTTCACTATATTAAGAGAAATCGTTTGTATTCTCTAGATGATTGTTTGAATCTGCCAATAATTCTTTCTGCATCCAATTCATCTAACAATTCCTTTTCATGTGAATCACAAAATGTATGATTCCAAATTCTCTCCAGACAGCAAATTTCTTAACCTTGTCTTTATGATCTTTATCTTTCAAAATGTCCTCTCACATTGGATGTGAAGAACTGATTGCATTCAGATGACTTTATAAAGTTCTTATTCTTCTTTTATTACGAAAACAGTTTTCTGTGTTTATATTTTTTTTATCCTTTTTAGAATGTTCGAAATGTTGGTTAAAAATGTTTTTCTTGCATCAGCAGGGTGGGTGGGAGAACCAAAGATTATTATTAGAAATTTTAGCATCTTTTTTGTGATGAAAAACACACCAATTTAGAAATTCTTGCAAAAATCAAATAATTATCAGATTTTAATGAAACGTTCGGGACATACTCACAAATGAATGAAATTATTTTAGAAATATTTCCTTTTCAGAAAATCTTGGTAAAATATTTCTTTTACATTGGTTACTCTCTATTCATTTAATTTTCTGAAATTTCAAGAAATTAAATTTTGTAGCATTTAATGTTTATATTAGTTATATGCAGAACTCCTTGGAGAATTTAAATCATCAATTTTTTTTTTTTTTTGTAAAACATGAACCCCAGTTACAGAAAATGTGCTTTGAATCATAAAATAAAAAATGCAATAAAACTAAGACATTCTTTAATTAGAAAAGCTTTTAATTGATTTCATGAATAATATATGGACACTATTGTCTTAAGAATTTTTTTTGTTTTTTGCTGAACAATGAATTTTTACAAAAATTATTTTCATTTTTGAAAAAAATTAAGTATAAGGATTTATAAAGTTTTAAATCTTTTAAAATTATGTTTAATTTGTAGGGGTTAGGTGATATTGTTATTAAGTAAAAACTATAATTACTAATCATAAATGGAAAAGCTTAGTACAATTCAGCGAACCCCAATATTTTAAAAAGAATTTTGAATTCTTTTTTGTGCGTATAAACGTGTTGATTTTTGTAAATACGGACATCCATACACGACATTATCAAATAATTATAGTAAGTATAAATTAATTTGAAAAGCCAAAACTTTATGATGCTAAAACAAAAACTAAACAAAAAAGACGGAAATAAACTCCACAAACATTGTTTTTTTTAAATTTTAAGAAGTTCTTACCTTATTTAAGAGACACATTTCTTTGGGTAGATCAGTCAGTCGATTATTCGTTAATTTAATCTCTTCGATTTTGGTCAACTGTCCGATCAATGACGGACATTGATCCAAATCCTTTCGTGACAAATCAAGGGATTTATTTTGCCGATTGGCTGCACGAATTATAGCAGCCAGCGCCATGTTTTTCTCGTCAGAGTCGTTTTAGTTTCCATGACAACGCCAAATTAAGTCAGCACATTTATTTCTGCATAAATAATAAAATGGATTAGAAACAAAATGTTTTTCATTCTCTCAATTAAATCTAAAAGTATTTTATTCTTTTTTCCCGTTGCGTTTTATTTTTTTGAACAAGAAAAAGTAAGTAAAAAAATAAAATGACAAAGAAAGCGTAGTTTCGTATAAATTTTGTTTACTTCCTTTAAACGGAGAAGAGCGCTTTCAATTCAACCCGGAGAAATTTAGTGTGTAAATATTTCCACGTGAGAATTGATTTGGTACAGTTTAAAGAAAAATGTAGATTTACTTATAATTAGTTAAGCATGATTTCATTTCAATAGATCAAGAAAGAAAGTAATTTATAGCAGTTTTGGTTTGACACAAGCCACAATTGTAAGTACAAAGGATTTTTAAAAATGTGAAATAACAATTTCGAAATCATTGACTTTTGACATCGTTTGTTTAATTGTAAATATTTTCTATTTATATCAGTTTAACAAAGCTAATAGATTTGTGTAGCTTCTAAATTTATTTATAAATGTTATAATTAACTAGAATTTAACTGTTGTTATTTTTAAATTTATTTTGTGTTTTTTACGTTTTTAGTTTATTATTCGAAGTCTGACGTTTTAATACGTTTCTAGTTGTGATTTTTAAAACCTTTGCAAGCAAAGAACTGTGAAAAGAACTTTTGCCGATATGACACTTTTATGAAGCATGTGAAAAAATTTAAATCTCTGTTATGAGGAAATTTAAAGTTTTTTTGTTTTTTATTTGTGAATAGCAGATGGCGAATCTTAGTTTTGTGGACAGTGAAAGTATTCATCGGTTGGAAGGTTCAAGCGGAGAAGAGAGTAAAGGTGGTTTGATTTTAATGAAAAAAAGATGCACCCCCGATGATGATAGCAATTCGCTAACGTTTAAAAAACCCAAAACTTCGTTGTTGGGTTTGGACAGACTGGCTGCGATAAAAAATAAAATCCGTGAAGAAGAAGAAGTCGATAAGGACAAAAAATGGAAAGAAAAGAAAAGAAGTTCTTTCCATAAAGATGATGATGATGATGATGATGATGTTGACGACGATTATGATCGGCGCGATTATCGTGGCCGCGACGAGGACACCAGACACAAGAAACGCAAATCTCATAAAGATCTGAAAGAGAGGTAAGCATCTTCTCTGTCATAAATTCGCGTGAAAGTCGAAGTATAGCTTCTATTTTAGCATTCGAAACGGTTTTCGCACACCAAATAGTTAATTTAGGCACGTCTGATTTTCGCTAAGAAAACATCATTAGCTATATAGCAGGATGAAAAAAGGCCCCCCAAAATGAATAAAAACAGTTTTATCGTCAAAATGTTATTATTAAGAGGAAAGACCAAAGTATTTTTTCATTATTTTTTTTATATATATATATTTTTTTAACTTTTCTAACACGCTCGAAATTTTAGTTCCCCCCTTTTTTTTTTTGTTACGTCTGCGACATAAGTAATTTTTACAATGAAGCGGGTTTGTTTGTTGTTGTTGTTTTTTTTTTTTTTTTTTTTTTTTGCTCATTTTATCGGTGAAAAACACGTTGATTTGGAAATTCTTGCATAAATCAAATAATAGTCGGATTTTAATTAAACTTCAGAGCTTATTCACAAATGAATGATTTTGAAATGAAATTATTTGAAATTTTTATTTTAGAAGAGCTTGGTAAAAAAATTTTTTTTTTTACATATGTTACACCCCACTTACTTAAATTTCATCTAATTTCGAGAAATTAAATCATATATTTAAACTTTTTTTTATCAAAAGTGGGCCTCCTTGGAGAATGTGAATCATCTAATTTTTTTTTTTTTTAAACTTTTGCTCATTTTCTTAAAATCTGCTCCAAATGGTAAACTAAAAAAATGTAATAAAACTATATTATTAGAAAACTTTTTAACTACTTTTGTAAATGAGTTACATTTTGGACATTATTGCTTTAAGAAAAAAAAAATTTTGATGAATAATGAATTTTTACAAGAATATTTTTTTTTTTTTTTTTTTTTTTTTTTTTAATTAATAATTTGTCATAATTTAAAAATTGTTTAAAAATCTCCCTCATCATATTTCTTTTAGGTGATATTGTAATTAAGTAGAAACAATATTTACAAATCAAAAATTGAAAAGCTTAATATAAGTAGTTTTGTGCCTATATTTTTAAAATAATTTAACATTTTTTTCTTTTTACTTTAAGCATTCCCATTTTTTATCTATGGTAGTCTAACATTATTATGAAAAGGGTCATGGGTTTAAGAGTTGTCCTCTTTTTACAGAGAAATTTGCTTGTCTCCAATTTGTTATTCATTGCTTACATTTCAACATGTTTTGAACATCATCAATTCAGTTTTAAAACTTTAAAATTTAAAGTAAGTTTTATTTTTTTTTAATTTCCATTTCATGACATATTTTTATTTTATGTATTTATCTTAGTGTGGGTCATTGAGTTACTTCTATCATGGTATTTCATCTCAGTTATTAAATTTTAAAATTAATCTAAGAGAATTTTATAGTATTTTAAATTTTATTATTTTTTCATAAAGCATCATTGAACATAACTAAAAGTCAATAAAATATTAGATAATTGCTGAAAATATGTTCATTTGTAAAAATTACTAGGTAGTTAAAAAACAAAAAAAAAAAATATGTTCACTTAGATTTCGGAAATTTATGTCTGTTCTGGTCATCAATACTAGCTGTTAACACCTTGGAGCTTATCGATAATGTCAATAATAAAGACATGAGAAAAACAGGACCTGTCATCAAGAATGCTTCTATACTATTTTTTTATGCTATAAGTAATATTTATTTCAAATCAGATTTAATTTAATTTTAAATTTGCTAATGTTACTTAAATAACATGTCACAAATATATATTTTATTTTTTGGAAGATTTTTAAAACTGATAATTAAATTTTATTTTAAAACTTGTTAAAATGTAAGAAATGGCCTCCAGTAAACAGATTTTTTGAAATCAAGCAAATATTTAACATTCCAATCTATATAATTTCTGTTTGAAATCCACCAAAGTATTTTACCTACTGGAAATAATAAATTTAATCCTTTAGCTTTCAATTAACGCTAAAAAAAGAAATGCATTTTCATTTTTAAAAATTCATCTTAAACCTTAGGTATTGAAAATTTATACCAAATTAGTGGAGGTACCTAATTAATTACCTATCCTACACTATACCTTCTAGCCTCATATTCTGAATGCATATCATGTATTTATAATTTATTTTATAAAAAAAAGAGAAATTCAATTTGAATTTTGTGACAAGAACTAGTAAAATAAAAATACTTAAAAAAAGAAAAAAATTTAAATATGGTTCTCCAACTTTCTTGAGATATAAAAATAGATGAAATAAATTTCCTTTAATTATTTTCAAATATTGTTTTCATCTTGATTGTACCTTCTGCAGTGGTGTACCTAGGGTCAGGGCACTTTTGTGTCTGCTGTAGGCTATAAGCCTGTCTTTATTGAAATAAAAATGGTCTTAATGTTGGTACAGAACTCGCAGTTGAAGAACCGTTTTGATATTGAGTAGGTTAAACTATAGCATATATATATTGATCTATCTACTGTCTATAGAGCAACATGTGACAAATGAAGAATTTGCCAACAAAAAAGCAAAAGTTATTTTGTAGAAAGTTGTAATTTTCCTTTCAGAAATAAAGATGGTCCTTTTTACACTTTTTCCCTAAATGTCATTTTTTGCTTTTTAACTGTTACTGATAAAGTTTAAGTATGTTTGGTGTGTATTTAAAGCACGTTATATAAGTATGTGAAAGTAATATTATAATGGTACACAAACTAGTTTTATAATTTTAACAGTGATTCACTGTGCAAAATGTATTTTTTTGTCTGGGCAGCTAGGTTACAAGATCTGCTCTGATTTTCATTCTTTTACTGATATAAAATAATGAAACAAATTATATTGCATTCTCAATGTGAATTTTTTTTTAAATTGTTTAACCCCAAGCAAAACCATAAAGCCAGTAAAATTTGAGGGTTTAGTGAGTGTAAAAGAAAAAGAGAGAACAATAAAAGAACAGGAATTAAGACAAAAGATAACAATTAACATTGTATTTAAATTTTTGAAGATCAAAGTTGACTGGAAAGCAAAAAGCCGGAAGAGAGTTCTACAAGCAAGCAAGAAGTGCGAGAGAAGAAACTAGATAAATTCTGGTGAGAAAAATTGTCTTGCATGACACAGCAACCACCTTTTGTAGTAGCACACCTAGCAATTGATTCAATAGAATCTTTTCACTTCAGTGGAAAATATTAGGTTGAGAAGGTGCAGAGAGTCATTCTGTTGGAGGTTAGCATCAGCTATGCTAATGGAAACCAAAGGTTCTATAAGATGATTAAAAGAGAGCAGTTTAATTTTGGAGGCATTCAAATTTACAAGTCATTTCTTGCCCCTGTTAACAATAGATTGGAGATCGTTTTTTGAGATCAATTGTCTATTAGACCTTACCATTATGATAAGAGTAAGTCTTTGTCATCAGCATTGATACAGAGTTGAGAACTGATGACATTGAGAAAGTCATTGATAAAAAATTAGGAACAACATGGGTACAAAGATAGAACCCTGGGGGACACTCACATTAATGCAGAATATTGAGAAGTGTGGCCGTTCAAGTCAACTTTTGTTTCGTGATTTGATAAGTTGATTTGTTTCGTGAATTAGTTCAAAAATTTATCCAGAAATGACATAACATTTATTCCATTTTATTTCTGACTTTTCATATTCATAGAAGGAAAAAAAAAAACCAATTTAAATTATATTTCATTGTAATACAATGATTGGTGCTACTAAAGTATATCAACTGAGGCATTTATGACCTACCATAAATGATGATGCACTCATTATTGCTGGAAAATGCTCAGGAAAAACGAGGACCTGTTTACTGTTTTCTTAAATTACATCAAAATCATTTTACAAACATTAAAACACTATTTGATGATTTTTAAAAAAAAAAATATTTTTGTATAAAAAAATTGTTAATGATTTTTTAAATATATAACCAGTTCACTATTCATTGCTTTTAACCCTAACATATTTCATACTTCCAACAGTTGGTAAATATCATGCCATAGTAGAAAATGGAAAGTAGATATTATACTATAGTAGCAACCAATTATTGGCTGGGTTCAGTAATAAGAAAAAAATGGCAGTACATTAATAAACTTACTTTGCATGCATTGACTCCCAACAAAATTTTTCAAAATTATTTAAATAAAAACCAAATGATCAAAGAATAAAAATTTTAGTTTGGGCCATATTATTGGCATGATTATGATTTTCTCACATTCCTTCCTTAAATGCCATGTGTGATGCATACTTGGACAATCATGTCACTTTGATTCAGATTTGCCTTGAAGAATTCTGACAGGAAGTTGTCAGTACTTTCACATTTTAAAACATGAAAATTTGTGGGTTAAATAATTAAAAAAAAAACTTTTGTTAAAGTTTAACAAATGTGCCGATAAAATAGCAAAATATATTAAGAGAATGGTTTTTCTCTTGACACTGCGAACTCCATTTGCAAAATTTTATTGTTTTAAAAAGATTTTTTTTTTTTTTTTTTTCCAAGTACTGACAATGAAAATTTAAATAAAATTATTTGCCCATTTTGCAATGAATGTACAAAGTGTGGCAAAAATACCTTGTACTAATGTCTTTTTTAAATCAATTCACCCCAAGCAAGGTGATAATGTCACTAAGATGCAAGGGGCGACTGGGAGAGAAAGAAAACTTTAGAAAGAACTGGAAACCTAATCCTAAACAGGAAACAAGGGATAGACTGCTACTCCTGTTCAAAAGACTGGGTAGGAGTGTCAACCTATCGACACCTATTGAGGAAAATTAAAAAAAATAGTAAATAAAATTTCAGAGTTTAGGCAGAGACGTTAGAAGTATGGAATTGAAGTAGACTTTAGGAGGAACCTGAAACAGAAAACAAGGGATAAACATCTACTCCTGTTCAAAAAACCAAGGAGGAGTGTAACCTATTTACTCCTACCTATGTATTATCCTTATGTGGGGAAATATTTCTGCTACACCCTATATAATAGCTAGGTGAATCATGCACCCCCCCCTCCCCGAAAATTAAAAACTAATCTGAGATATGAGGAGAAATGTACAACATCCAGAAAATACATTTTTACAAAATTTATAATTACTTGTCACTACTTATTTAAATTTTCTAGTTCAAGAGTTCACTTTTTTATAAATTCATGAATAAAAAAAATTTATTTTCATAATGTGACACCATTTGTGGCAGAATTGTGACAATGTTCTTTGATCATTTGTCGCTCACTACACCTTTGATGTCATTCAAGGTTGAATGTACTTGCATATACACCCAACTAGCTATGTGCATAGGCTTGTTTTCTTGGTTTTGATCACTTTCAATAAAAAAAAAAAATGAAGACACTTGTTTTTCAAGATTCTCTGGTAGGGAAGTAGCAACAATACAATTTCTTAGTTAAGCATGAGATCCTTCCTTCAGCTTCGAGAGGTGGGCTGCTAACTTCCTAACTTCACTGGCCTCGATGACTCCTGATTTCTCACTACCGGTCCTTCTGTCACTGACCGCTGGGCAGCTCCAAATCTTCTGGTCACCTACTTCTGTTACAGCTGGACCCACTTTCCTCCCAACTTTCTGACTCTCTCTGCTTATATGGATAATCCTGGGGTCCCACCTACTCCATTCACTTGTCTTTCTGTAAGATTTAAAACCACTCCAAAGTCATATGACTGGTCAATCTTCAAAGGACTACTTTTATGACTATCTGAAATCATTTATAAAATTTTTATGTTTCCCAATTGAAAGTCAAACTGGAGAATGAATCCTGAAACACTAAGTTCACTCAAGATGAACTGAAGACAAAATTCCTACAAAACTTCAATATCTGGGTGGACTTAAAAGGAAAGAATTTATCTTTTAAAGATGTGTGAGAAATCAGATTCTTACAATAGTTATTTTTTTTGTGATATAGTAAATAATAAATATTGCATTGTAGTTTGTCATATTTTTATAAACTTGTAAATATAAAATTATTGTAAATAAACAAGCTGATAAATAAATCGTCAAAGCTGCTGATAGGTATGCATCCTGTGTTCTTGAAGCATAAAAATTTTCAAAGAAACACTCGGTAACTTTTCCATTTGATTGGGGGCCCAAATTTCTGATTGTTTCACCCATTAAGACTTCTTGGGGGTGATCAGCACTAAAACTGGATTCAGTACTCAAAATTAAAAAAAAGAATAGAGGTCTAGATCAAGCATGATCAACCTTTTCTGAGCAGTGGGCTGCATCTGACATGGCTCATCATAAGGCGGATGGCACTACTAAAAAGATTCAAGGTAATTTTTCATTGAAGCTGTCAGCCATTTTCATCACAGAAGATCATATATGTAAGCATCTGGCATAGAAATGGTGAAAGGTTGTTTTTGGAGAAAAGATTTCTCAATAATTAAAAAAAAATAAAATCCTGTTATAATTTTATCACAGATGACAGTGGTTGACACACACTGTTGCATGTGATTTGTTTCTTATTTATTCATTTGAAAATACAAAAAATAATTTTTAAATTAAAAAAAATATTTCTTCTTTTGAGAAAAAAATCTTTCTTCTCCAGAAAATATATTTCTTTTCCAGATAAAAAAATTATTATGAATATCCTGTTTTTAAAGCAAATGATATTTACATGCATAGTCTTCCTTAGTGAAAATCACCAATCATTTAAAATGATGCAAACTTGCTTAATCATTGTTTATGTATGTGGTTATGCATGAGAAAATAATGAACAAATATATAATGCCAAAAGTGGGTTATGATCTATTTAACATATGAAAGGAACTGAATATTGCTTTCAGTCTTTCGGATTAAAATTATTTTAATAAATATCAACTGAGAGTAGTACTGGCTGCTGCTCAGTCAATGAATGCCAAATGTTTCCTTATAAGGAGACAGCTAATATTACCATTAATATTATTTATACTTAAGAGGAAGATTAAAACAAAACTTTCACATTTTTATAAATTAAAAAAAATAGTAATTTAGGTGTAGGAAATCTAATTTGCAATGAAAAGCCCAAATTACTGAAAAGAGATTAAATTTTCCATTTAAACTGGGGAGGGGGGATTTTCAGTGCTAGATTCAGCACTCAAAATAAAAAATAACAAAAACAGGAATAGAGGTTTAAAATCATGATTTTCTGATGAATATAAAGAAACTTATGTTGAAAACTGATATTTGGTAGCTGACATACGGTGCCAAAAGCATGTAATGATCTATTTAACATGAAAGGAACTGAAGATGTTTTAAATATCTTCCCAAGGACAGTTTTCTTATATTTTTCAGATTTAAATTGTTTTAATATTCTAGAAGTTACACTAAAAAGTGGGAAAAGTTTTGTCTTAGGCATTCTTTGTTAGCATTATTCAATGTTGGAGGAGTCAGAGACAAAAAAAAACCAGGCTAAACAGCAAAAATAGTGGATGACGAGGATGACCATTTGACTGATGGTGACTCTCATCAACCGAGCAGAGATGATGGTCAAGAGGATCCGCAGGTCGTAGCAGAAACTGTTGAAGAGTTGAGTGAGCCTGTTTTACCAACATTTCGGAGAAGCACCAGACATAAGAGGCCTCCCTCCTCCAATTGCTGTCTATGTAATCCTGAGATCAAGGGCGAATACAATGGACATGGCCTCCCTCCTAGCAGAAAGAGGCACAGAATTGCCCATGACATACACAGTCATGTAAATTACCTAGTGTTTGTAAAAATGAAAAAAAATCTGCATAACAGACTGAGGCACACATAAAAGCCAGCAGACTTTGTCTTTTGGGGGGGGGGAGAAGGATTATTGATGAAGGAATATGTTTGAATAAGCTTGCTGTGCGGTTAAAAGGACAAAGACAATCCAGTAAGGAATGTAAAACAGATTATTACAATTTATATTAAAAATATATATTGCTACAGCTAATTTGACTGAACTTTGTGTTGTAAGGGCCAAAAGTCAACAAGATATATGCCATTTTTTTAACCATATCCACTCTGTATGGGACTTCTTTTGTGGTACAAAAAGTTTATCCTGCCACTGAAGGTGACTCTGAACCTTGAACAATAGTGTTTGAATTTCATAGTTGTGTTGTCATATCCTGCTATGACAACATAAAACACTGTTGAGTGAAATTAACAATAAGGATACTGCAATTGAGAAGCCTTGAAAAAGAATGCAATGGAAAGAGAAATAATATTAATAATGCAGAGTGTGCTAAAGGTTAAAGAGTATCAGCTTAAATTTTTCTACCACTTAAAAAATTAATTTCAACAAGATTTGAATGACTTTCCAAGTAAGAAAAAAAAAATCTATTCGGGAGAAATTTTTAAAAAATAAATGATTTAAACCTGTGTGAGTTTTGATTAATTTCAAATGATCATAACTTAACAAAGAATTAGTTAGGAGAAAGTTACACCAGTTTTGAAATCCTGTGACTGTCTATTTTCAGACTAGATATAGCATGTATCATTTGGGAAATATTTAAAAAATATCAAATGTCTCCTTGTATTTGTGCATAAATGAATATAATGAACTCAACAGGAATTAGAAGTTGGCCCTCCAATTAACAATTTTGAGCCATTATCCATTATGTCACCTGCACATACAAGCATAGAACGCATGCTATTCTTAAACAGTCATTATGTACATGATAGCTGATAGTATTTTTTTTTTATATGTAGTTTTTTTTTTTTTTTTTAAGTTTTTCTCTTCTACCTATTTTATTTTTATTCATAAATTTGACTTTATTATTTTGGGGGAGAAGTGCAAACAGATAAGTGGGTACAAAGTACAATTGGTTTTACTAGGGTGCATAGCTTAGTACAATAGATTTTCATTAATTTTTTTAGAAAAATTAAGTTTTATTATTTAACATACAAAATACTCCCACTATTTTAATAACAATTTAATGATTAACAAATACTTATTAAATAAAAATGCAATATTGCTTTTTGCATATCTTTAAGTTTTTATGCAAGAATCCAGTTCCCAGTTCACCCTGCGTTTGTGAGAACTATAAACAAATCACAAGGCAAAACGCTTCAAAAAGTTGGAATTTGGCTCCAGAAAGAGATATTTATGCATAGGCAGTTGTATGTTGCATGCTCAAGAGTAAGAAATCCTAAGAATTTATTCTTTGTTATTAAAAAGGAAAAAAAAGAAATTTTAAAGTCCAATGAAATTAAAGAAATTATTAAATATCAAAGTAGGGTTTTTATCAAAGTATTTTTCCTAACAATTCAGCTTATTTAAATTTCATCGATTGGTTTGCGAAATTGAATGAAACGTAGTTTGTAAATCTTGACAAAAAATGTTAGAGATAACTTTGACAATACTAAATGTTGCGAGGATTTCAACATGCATCAGCATATTGCCAAAAAATTCTAGTGTCGGTAAAAACTAGAAATATTTTTATAATTTGAATTGAAGTCGACATAATGTGAAACCACAAATTAGTTTAAAAACAACAAATGTTGGGACATAATATAATTATCTTGAATTGACAGCACACAATTAGGGGTTAACCCATGTTTTTGCATTCTTGATGACCCTGGAATTATCCTGTGTGTTTCTTGTTTCCTTTGCAGGCATTATCGTGTTCCTCAGGAGGAAACCCCATCACATCCAGGTGGAGTGAGCACAGCTGCAAAGGAGAAAATCCAGAGTCGACATAACCGAGAGAAAGAACGAGGCGTCTATGCTTCCTCAAAAGATCCTAATCGGTCAAGGAGTGGCAAAAGTGGTGATGACGGTTTGAAAAGTCAGTACCACCGAAGAGAAGAACGTGACGGATATAAGGATCGTGATTATAAATCTCACCACAGAGACAGAGAAAGGGACAGAGGTCGTGTCAAAGAACATGGAAGCTCAGGTGAATATTATTTCTTTTTAAATAGGATTATACTCATGATAATGATCTGTTGTTGGCAATTTGTGTCAGGCTGCTATATCCATTTACATTGTCTTGTGTTTAAGATTGAAGCAAGTAGTAAGACAGGTTTAAAAACTTAAGAATGATTATTCCCAGCTGGTACATTGGCTCAAAAAGAATTTTTCTTTCAGAAGATATCAGTTTGTTACAAGATATTTGTGGAGAGAGCCTATTCGTCTAGGTCATTCCATCTCAAATCAACCACTCTTTCTCTGTGAAAAATCTAAAAAATTCACAGGTGTTCTTGGATCAAATTCATTGATAAATCCCAAATATTAGATGTGTATTTTTTTAACAATTTTAAAATCGGAGCATCTTGAAACTTCCCAGCAATTTTTGTGTTTGCCAAATAAGGCCTTCAAAATTTGGACATTGATAACTCCAAGGATATTTCATTTACAGATTTGAAACTAGGTGACAATAGTTAATGTTTATTGTAGATTACAAAAATATAAACACCTTAGGTGTGTTTTACTTTTATTTTTATAACAACCTGAAAGTGGATGAAATACCAAAAGACACTGTCCACTGTGAGCATCACATTTACAAAATACTAGCAGTAGAGCCCGGCGTTGCCCGGGGATGTAACAGTAAGAGATAGATCAAGTATCGACCATCATAAAGACTAAAAAATAAAATTGACAAAGATTATTGTTTAAGGTTGACGGACATGCATGTCTTAATTCGTTTTTTTTTTTGTTTTGTTTTGTTTTGTTTTTTTTTACGAATTGGTCAATCCAAACTCAAATAAAAACATTGTTTTCAATCGTTATGAGTCTACCGATAGAATAGAATTTTATTATAAATAATTGTCTTGTAAATGGAATTTTTAAAGCATTCTGAATGTAAAAATAAAGAAAAAAGTGTGTAAGACAATAAGAAACACTACCTGGCAAAAAAAAAGTGAAGTTTTGTTGAAATCGGTTGGAAAATGTAGGAAATCCGATCCCATATATAAATGAACACACACACACACACACACACACACAAACAACCAGGGTTTTATAATAAGTATAACTTGATATGAGTTGTCCCCCCTTCATTCTGGCGATGACTCTTAATCGTGTTTTCAAATTGATTTTGTGCAAAAACAATTGTGTTTTTCCAATTTTTCGCACTGTCAGAACCACTGCAAGGTAATTTTACGTAGTCCTGTGAAGTTTTGTTGAAATCGGTTGAAAAATGTAGGAAATCCAATCCAATATATAAACGTACAGACACACACACACACACACACACACACACAACCTGGGTTTTATAATAAGTATGATGTCCGATAAAGTATCCAAATTAGTTTTCCTGTTATTTATGACTTAATAGATTATTTCTATGCAGTAATTATATTCACCCCAGTTAAAGGAATGTCAGTAATTGTGTTTGAAAATTGTTTGATTTTTTTTTTTTAATTTATAATATATATATATATATATATATATATATATATATATATATATATATATATATATATATAAATATATATATATATAAATATATATATATATATTTTTTTAATCTATAAAATCACCTATTTTCATGACATCAGCAGACCAGTTAGGTAGTTTCATAAAATTTTTATATTTTTACCACATATCCAAAAGTGATGTGACAGAAGTTTCATTTTGTGAACAAACATCTATGTTGGGTAAAAACATATTTTTCTGCAAGAATTTGTCATACTTTTTTTTTTTCAAATTGTCTACAAATTTTTTAACAACAAAGAAACTAAACCAAAGACAATAAAATAAGGATTCTACCAGATTATTTTAATTTTAAATATAGTCCTGAGTATGATGGTAAGCTACATTTGGAAGCAAAGCCTCTGATTGGTAGATTGGAGGTTTTGAGGAGCACCTTTTAATTACTGTTGTTCCCAGATCCACCCTAATCTGGGATGGTAGCATCTGTTAGGGTCCCAGCTATGGGCAAATAGTGAACCTCCCAAACAAAAACAAAGCACTATCAAAGTATAAAAATACATTTTTATATAAAATAATTAACAATAAATAGTAGAATTAACAACAATTTTATAACAAACATACATTTTATAACAAAATGACCAACAATACATTTTATCTGTAGTTGTGTTCAAAATATGTTTCGTGAAAGGCATAAAATTGTGTTTAAAATATTTACATTTCGGCATTAAATAACCCATAGAGATGTTGGTATGCCGCTAAACAAAAAAAATTTGTTAAAATACATCAAGTCAAAATTGTAAAAATGTATCAGAATTTGTTCATGTTAAGCAATTTTATTGATACTGGAAATAATTTAACATCCAGAGTGTATCAAAAAAACATTCAGAAACCACTCTAGTCTCACTGAGCACATGAAAAGCCACTTTACAAAACAGGCCAGGCCCTGTACAAAAAAGTTAGTTTGCCACATCTGCAACAAGAGCACTTGTTGTAATCATGAGAACCAAAATCATTGATCAAATTTGGCCAGCAATGCTTATACATGTTTAACATGTTGACAAACTAGAAATTAACCGATTTGGAAACAAAAATATCAGTTAAACCAAAGAAGTGAATTAACTGTTAATTGCGAACACTGTTTATCTTTTATCTTACAATATAGTTAAATTTTAAAAATTAGGTAGTACCATTTTTATGGCCATAATTTATAAGTAAATAATGGTCCATCCTCTATGAGTAATTCTCTTTTTTGTTTCTTCTGATTTATTATTGCTGTGTATTGTTGTCCAGTTAGCATTGTTAATATCTTGTATAGATGTTCCATATTTTTAATTTTATCTACAGGTTCCTTTAAGCTTCCTGAATCTGAAATTTAAAAAAAAAAATTTTTCTGTTGGAATTAACTTCATGTCTGATTATCCTTCTACCCCTTCTCTCAGCGTCCTTTGAAAAATTGAACATGTCGTCATATTTGTCTACAATCATGATACATTTGTTGTTTACATGTTTTCCGCAAATGTCAATGTTGACCTGTCTAAGTTCCAGTTTATCATGCCATGAAAAAATAACTCCCCTACCTCCACCCTCTGAGCTCAATTTTCTATTTAGCATAGATCTGAATTGGCTGATCAAGATAGACCCATAAGTTTATTTTTAATTTTGACTTTGTGTTTTCTCACCCCACTCCCTTTATCTTTTGGAAAAGAGATAACACTGCTTTTGAAATTTCCTTAAAAATCATTTAATCACCAAATTACTTACCATTGCCTGAAGAGGCAAAAAGTTGCTGAAACATGAAAACTATTGTGTAGCAATTTCAACATGCTTTTTTTTATAATCTTTTATAATAAAAATAATTATATATATATATATATATATATATATATATATATATATATATATATGTGTGTGTGTGTGTGTAAATAGATAGGTTAGTTAAGAAAACAAGGACAAACAAAAGGGTACCAATATAATCAGTTGGAAAAATATTTATTAAATATTAATTATTAACCATATGGCAGAAATGAAGCATGGAAAGAAAGGTTTTGAGTCTAGAATTTTCAGACATGCCTGTATCCTTCATCAATGGAGCAAGAAATAAAAGGGAGAAATTTGAATTATTCACTGATAGATGTTTTTGTAGACTGTGTATTTTCTGGTGGAAATCATATTATTAGAAAAAAATCCAATCTCCGATTCTTCGCTGTGTGAAACTTTTTATGAAAATAAACTTAAATTTAAAATTTTGATTGGTGTAAAAGCGTTAGACTGGTCTATTAGTAGTAGTAGGGGGAGTGGGGGAGTAAGATTGTAAACATAGATGAAGAGAGTTACAGGTTGTGGAGAGGAAAATACGTCTTGTGTGTAGCCAGATGAAGCCAAAAATTGTTTGACCAAATTGTCAATTTCAGAAAAACTGACTGTAGTTGGAATAACGTGATGAGAAAAAAAGTGAGGAGGAAAAATGGAATTAAATGAAATAAAATGAAAAGAAAAAAGGGAAGGAACAATGAAATGGATGCAAATTTGGAAATCAATTGTTAAAAGTGGGGGTGCATAAAATAAAATTATAGCCAAAAGCACTTGGAATTACAGAATGTTTGGACAGTTTCTACACACTCTGTGTCCAGAAAAGAAAACACTGCTCGAACACAAGAAAAATTAAATAAAAAGCTTAATCACGTTACCTTGTCTGTTGTCTTTTATGAAACATGTATAAATGAAGGATTGTTGCCTCTGTGTGTGTGTGTGTGTGTGTGTGTATATATATATAAAAGTGGATATTCAGGTTTTCAGCAGAGAATGCTGACAATGTTTCTTGCTTGAATGCAATCTTATCTTCACTGTGTTCAAACATAAAACAGACTGTTGCTGCTGTGTCCACTTTTATATTTACATACTCTCTATCCCTGATATTAAGCACTTTTACCCCTAAATATAACATGCCATAAAACTATATTTTTATCATATATATATATATATATATATATATATATATATATATATATATATAGGACTTGAATGTCAAATAGCTCAGTTCTTTTTAATTTAAATATAAAATTTTCAGCATCCTCTCCCCTTTGTGTGCATGTGTAGTCATATCAACATAAAAATCACTAATGGACAAAACCTGTCATACAAATCTTTTTTCCATTTTGTCATAGTTTTCTGTAAAATCTATAAATTATAAATGAGATATTTGTTAATTACTTCAATACATTTATCTTTCCTTGATGACCGGATCTGTGTTGCTGCAGAACTTCAAATTGGAAGATGAGTCATTTGAATTTATTTTTTATCTATTCATTATTGTAGCTCTAGTTTGTTTTTTAATTGTTTCACCTCAAGCAAGGCAACAAAGCCACTAGGATGCAAGAGGTTACTGAGTGTTAACCAATATGAGAAAAAAAAACACACACACTATTAAGGAGACAGGACAATAAAAATATGAGAATTAAGAAGACAGAAGATAACAATTGACATTGCATTTAAATTTTTGAAGAGAACTGTTAGCATCTCGCCATTTCAACTGTAAAATGATGAGACTTTGCTGGCAATCTAGAACTGTGCTTAAATTCATAAAGTCTTGGTACCATAGTGGAAAGTTCATCAAAACAAATTACCATGAAAGTATTTATAGAAAAGGCACAAGGAAGCTATGTTACGGCAGTAGGAAAGTGACTGAAGCCAGGTCAGGACCAATAATATTGCAGATTCTTCTTTGAATTTTATCAAGAATCTCTAAATATATAGCAGAAGCACCAAACCAGATGTGGCAGCAATATTCAACGAATAGACAAATGGTAGACTTATAAATATGTAAGATAGATTCTGGTGAGAAAAATTGTTTAGCACAACATAATGAGCCAACTTTTTAGCTCCAGGCTTAGCAATTGATTCAATATACTCTTTCCATCTCATGTTATATGAAAATGTTAGTCTGAGAAGACATAATGAGTCACTCTCCAGGAGGTTAGCATCAGCCATGCTGATGGAAGCTAAAAAGGTTCTCTCAGGTGATTAAAAGAGAACCATTTTCTTCTAGAGCTGTTAAAATTAACAAGCCATTTCTTGCCCTGGTTAACAACAGATTGTAGGTCATTTTTTAGATTAGCTGCCAATTTGACCTTATTGAACTGATCAGACTTACTATTAAGACCAGAGTAATTAGTTGTCATCAGCATAGATACTGAGTTGAGTACTACTGACATCAGGAAGGTCGTTTACAACATAGATCTAAGGATAGAACCTTGAGAAATGCCTGTATTTATGCAAAAAGATTTAGAAGTATGCCCATTCAAAACCACTTTCATTTCAGGAATTGACTGGATAACCCGTTTTGTTTGTCATAAATGATCTTTGTTGTATTTTTTTGTTTTCTTTCCCCTTTACCTTGACTGAAAATAATTTGACATTTCCTTATTTTGTTTTTGTCAGAGAGGAAGAGGAGCCATTCAGATGATCGGCCTCGGAAAAGTGAAAAGAGTGAACGTAGCAGTCGAAGTTGGGAATTCTCTGAAAGAGAAAGTCGGAGACGGGAACGAGAGTGGGAAGAAACACCCAGAAGCGAACGCTTTGATGAGCTTGCAACACCGGACCTTCGACCTACAGGTATGAACTTCAAGTTTTTATGAAGGATGCAAAGTTTCTTCTTTGTAGTTGGTACTCAGAGAATTCAACTCTCAGTTAAAAGGACATGTTAAATAGAAGAGAAATATGAGACAAACAGTTGGCAAACTAATTGATGAGTTTGAGCAAATGGATGGCAGAACAAACACATTGAAAGGACAAAGATAGTAAAGAGACAAGAGTTAATTTGAACAACAGAAGATAGGAAATTGAGGAGAGCCATGATCAAACATGTCTTGGAATGACCTGTCATATTAAAGAATAATATTTGTAGATTTTTTTTTCATTTTTATTATATGTTCACCTAATACAAGACCCAAGAGTCACTCAAGGTAGACTGATGAGTTAGAAGCCATTGTCAAAATGCAAGATAAATAGCACAAACAGAATTAATAAAGTTTGCAGTGAAAAGAAAAAAGGTCAAAAAAAGATGAAACGGCAACAATCATGCAAGCAAGCAATCAATTAATATAGTTAAAGCAAATCAAACAGGTAAGAAGGCAAAAGAGTTGGTGTTTGTACACAAAAGCAAATTCGGTCAAGTGAACACAGTAGGTCTATCTAGTAGTTAAGGCAGATCTGGACTGAGCCATGTCAGAATGCAAGTTGTCTCATTTTATTTGCTAAGAAAAATATCCTATTTGCATTATTTCTGTTATTCAGACTGTTATCCTTGTCTTCATTGCCATATTCACAACATTTTCACTGTTGTACATTCTGGCCTTCTTCAGGTGATTGGAATTTCAAACTGAACCCTTTATTTCACCCACTGGGGTAAATTGTTCTAGTTCCACGTGCCATGCCTCTTCCGGATGGATATCTCAGTTATTTCCCTTTAACTCAACTCTCCAAGTTTTGATTCACCACTGCTGTTGCCGGGTACTGAACTCACAACCCTTTGGGTCTAGTCACTGGATCTAACCAATGTCTTTATCCACAGGGCCTTGAGCAGCCAAAACATTGTGAATATAGCAATGAAGATGAGGATAACAGTCCAAATAATGTAAATAAAGCAAGTTATCATAATACCTCATCTTGGAGATATAGACAAAAAATATCCAATCATGCATTTTGTATATTTCTGACTATAAGAGTGGGAAAGGGACTGTATGGTTGAAAATAATTCCTCGCCCACAAGGCCAGGTAAATGATTTTGAAGTTTCTCAAGGCTGGAAAGTGAGGATGGAGCAGATACAGCCACAATACACCATTTTTGATCTGGTCTGACTCTTGTAAAGATAACGTATGGGAGAATGAGTCAGGTTCTTTCTGGAATGATAGAATGAGCCAACTCTGGTCTGAACAGTGGGGATAAAATTATACTAGCTTTGTTTTTTTGAAAGCTACAAGCCAGCTTAGTTTTAAAAGAGTTACAGCTTATTTTGTTGCAACTGAATCCTGGGAATGATTGGTGAATGAAATATCAGGGGAAACAGTTAAAGAAAAAATTGTGCAGCCTTAAACAATGAGGTTTACAAGAGACATGACTTGTGAATGAGATATAGTTTCATATGTTCCATAGGTACTTGAGGTTAGGGTTCAGAACCAGTTAAAAACAAAATGATTTTTGAATGATTATTTTCAATGCAGGAAATCATTCTGGAGAGTGAAATGATTTTCTTTTCTCCTAAATACACCCAGATGTGCTACAGATGTCATTATTTACAACCAGATGTGCAAAAGATGTCATTATTTACTCATTAGGCTCAACGTTGCTTAACTTCAGTGATCATATGAGAACTGGTGTTTCAACATGATACCGTCGTAAACCTTGAGCTGTAACAGCTCAATAAGAGGAGAGATCTTGGAAGTGACAACATAAACTGTCGTATCATCTGCATAGGATTTTATTAGTGATTTGAAAATTTCCCAAGGTGGATAGTTAATAAAAAGCAGAAAGATGATGGGACATATGGGGAGGGCCTTGGAGACACTGACATCAGTCTCTCAAGATAATAGATAGATTTGTATATCAAAATCTTTTTTGTTTTTAACAAACAAGAATGCAAATTGGACAAGCAAATATTTTGTATTGAGAACAAAATAATGCTCTGTCTAAAAAGTTAAAAATTATGGGATGTGACATTTGCTTTAATATATATTATATGCAAGAAACCCAGGTCATATCAAGCAATTGTGGGAGTTTTGATAACAAGAATGATCAAAATATATATAAGAATAAATGTGATATCTGTTAAGGATTTCAATACATTTATCTGATGATGAAAGTGGGGATGTCTCTGAAAGACTTCAAGTTGGAAGATAAGTCATTTAAAATTTCATTTTTTTTATGGCATGTGAATGAAACATACTTGTAGGTTATTTTTTATTTAACTCAATGTTCACCCAAGCCACTCCCCCACCCCCATTGAGTTTTCAGAGTTTGGTTAGAAGAGAGATCAGATGATGTTTGTTTATTGATTGACTGCTAAATAAAAAGCTTAAAAAGAAAAAAGAAAATTGATCAAATCTTTTGCATTTGCACAGATACTCCCTTAACAAAGGCTGCCTGGGATGATGATGATAGTGGTTCTTGTACTCCTCTACGAAAGTCCAGTTGGGATTTAAATTCTGTCAGTGGCACTCCTGCTCGAGAGTCTGACTTCAGCGAGAGAAGTGAACGATCATTGTACAGAGAAAGTAGCCGAAGTCGAAGCAGAAGGTAAGTATTTTTATATAAATTTTGTATAAATTCACTTTCATTGTACATTTAGGTTTTATTTCAGTTCTAATCATTGCTTTTTAGAACAAACATTGTGGAGGAGTAAAAATAGTTAAAATAAAAGTGGTTCATGGGTAAAACCACTCTTTTGACACTGATTTTTTTGTTTTTTTTTCTTTTGAGCATGAAGATCCATGTTTGCCAATTATTTTGTCAGGATTATCTCCCTTGAAATTTGTTGACATCTTTCTTTTGAAGGACTCTTATTTAATCAGGTCAAACAAGATTGCTCTTGAATTCTTGTTACTGCTAGCTTAATTAGCTCTTGACAAATGGCTTCATCACTACTGTGTCTTCATTACCAGATGTTGTTTAAGCATTTTGTTAATCTTTTCTAAATATGTACTGATGGTAATTTTTTTTTTTTTTTGCATTCAATAAAACTGTCAGATTTTTTTTTCCAATTTTGCTACCGGTATATTCATGTTATACTGGATTGTCTCCAACTTGTTACAGTTGATGCACCTAGTTCTATGGAATTTGACGGGTTGTAGGGTTCTGTGTATTTTAGATGTGCATGCATGTGTGTTCACATCTGATAAACAAAGAAGAAGTATATAAAAACTTGGGTTTCTACTACAGACTATGTTGTGAGATAAGAAAAAAGTATCTAGCTTTCTTCAACGTAGAACATTGCTAGGTTGTTAACAGAACTCTTCTACGATAAAGACTACAGCTTCTATAGGTTGTGTTAGGAGTAGTATCTGTGAGAGTAAAATAGTAGTCACCATGACATTCTCCCCCACCAACTAAGAACAATGCTTGGTGTTATTAAGATTAGTGTGGGGAAAATTGTGAAAATGGCCTACCTTGGAAATGCCCACGAATCTGTGCATTGTGCAAACTCTGGCTGCTCAACCGTAAAAAGAACCAAAATGGCGGTGCCCATGTTTTATGCCAGGCGGTCTTGGACAGTTAATGCGAAATCTCGTTGTCTCATCATTTGCATGCAAATTATGGTCGGTCCTCGGCTGTATAAAGCAGGCGCATTTTTGTTTCTGGGGACTGTTTTTTTTTTTTTTTCTCGTGAGAAGGTTGGACATGTGACACTATTTTGTCGTTTACCCTCCTCACTTTTACTATCTGCTACTATCAGTTGAGTCATTGCTTTACAACAACAATTAGGTTAAATTGTTTTATTCAAAATAATCTTGTAAGTACTGGGGTCTTTGTTTGATATCTGTAAAAGAACATACAACTGGAGAAGAAGGCTGGGTTATGTCTTCACTTTGTTCAGGCAAAAGGTTTGCTTGAACTTAAGGTATTTCCATTATTGGGTGCATCTGGTCAGTGTTGGCATTCTGTTTGTCTTGCTCGGACACCAGGTTGAAGATGTTAGTAAATTTTTGATCTGCTAACCTGTAGTTTCATGTCCATTTTGTAGACGTACATGTACATAATTAGGTTTAGCCTCGAGTAGCTCAACCTCATCTATCAGCGATACAAACTTACTTTGGCGCACATGATGCCTCATCAAAACATTTCCAGGTTGAGACAACCATGAAGAGAGCAAATGCCCAATTGCTGTCCTTTGTTGATGATGAAACGTTCTCTCATGTAGGGTTTCATCAGACTTTTGAATTTACTTCTTCAGAAACTACCTGCAATTTAATGGCAGCCATTCCCCTTAATTTGTCAAAACCTGTTCTACTGGTTAGAATAAATGTCAAAACAGTAAATGCAATACTTAATACTGGCAGCTCCCAGTCACTAGTGAAAAGGTTAATGAAGTTATCCCTATGGCAGCTACCAATTTACAGTCTAAAGTATCAGGACTTTACATAACAGATGTTATCATTGATGATCACACATAAGTAGATCCAAAAAACTTGGGTTTAGACCTACAGACTTTTGCATAGTGTCTGACCATATTGCAGGATTTGCATATAGCCTCCCTGGCTGGGTACTGTATATGATAGTGTTTTCTGAACCCATAGAAGAAACACTTAGCCCTTAAAGTGGCTTTGATGGTTTGGTCAGAAGAGGTACTGTTCGTAATATTATCAGAGGCAGCTGCATTAATGGTATAGTCGAACTTTGTAAGTGTCAGACTCTGTTTTAGCTACCTTCAAAAAATGTCCCTGTTCAAATGCTATTTCCAAGTCTAAGGTTTTGTTCTCCAATAGACATGGGATTATATCCTGTAAATAAAGGCATCTCTAAGGTGTTCGTTTTTGCACTTCTTGGTAGTATAAGACCGAAAATTGCAGTCTTTAGTGAAAAGTCTTGGGTTTTCAAGGTACTGATCCATGTTTTTGTTTAGTTCTTGTTTGCCATTGGAGAGCAAATGTTGTGCAATTACCTGGTTCTTAGGCTTAACGTAGAGCTTTCAAGAGGTTGATTATTTAATATGTTTGTAAATTGCTAGGGACAGAAAGTTAATAAGTACATGTAATCTGGTTGTACTATCAGGGTTGATAGTGTCAATAAAGTTACTGAAAGTTTTGAACCAATGGCGCCATAATAATTAAATAAATTATAGTGAACTAAGAAGAAAGCGTTTAGCTTTATTCAACATAGAACATTGCTAGGTTGTTAACGGAACTCTTCTATGATAAAGACTACAGCTTTTATAGGTTGTGTTAGTAGTAGTATCTATAAGTGGAGGTGGGGTTGAGAGTAGAATAGTAATCACCACAACATTCTGTTTATTCTTTTTTATGTTGACTAGTGAAACAACGTTCTCAATGTCTCTTGGATATGTGCGTTTTGGTTCAGAAGCAAGTTAGGATAAGTAAGCATAATAATGGTTATGCTCAAGTTAGCTTTGTGCCAAGTTGTAATGACCAAATTACTTTATTAGTATGGCTGCCAAAACACATCCAAATGCTGTCATTAGAAAGTGGAAAAGGGAAAGATTTCTGGAAGTGGGTTCATAAAAAAACCCCCAAAATAAGGGAATCAAAAACCCTTTCCAGTTCCTTTATTATTTGCATCATAGGAAAAATTTTTTATTTTTTTATTTATTTTTTTTTTTTATTCGCTATTTTATTTAATTTTCCCACAGCTCAACTAAAATCAGTGGCAACCCAAATTTTCACATGTAAATTACAAGTTGTCATTATTTGCAAAGTTAAAAGGAAATGGAATGAATATGGAAGAAATGAATTTCAACACAGATATTTTCTTGTATTTTTGTAGAAAGTAATAAGTGATTAACAAAAGAGAAAATACACTAACAAGTATTTACCTGAAAAAGAAGGAAAGGCATTAAAAAATTAGGTATTAGGAAGTGTGTGTTTGAGAGAGAAAATGTCAGTCAGTTGTGACACTATTTAGCTATGGTAATTGGCTAGCTAATTAACCATAGAAATTAAAAACAGGAAAGACTTAAGGCAAGAAAGAACTATATTGAAAGATAGACTGATCGACGTTAAAAAAAGATGATTTTATTTTATTTACAAAGAAAGATACTTTTCGCACAAGACAGAAAATCCGTAAGAAAAAGCGAGATATGAGATTCTGTCAAAACTGATTAATGTCACAATAAGGGAGTGACGCGCCAAGACAAACAGAATTCAGAAAGAAAAACGAAGCCAACCAACACATGGTGGCCATTAAAAAATTTCAGCTTGAGACCACCGCGGTACAGGAAGAGAGAATCGATATTAGTTATCTTTCAGAGATATCATTTAATTTTAATTCCTGGGTCCAACGAAGGGAACCATCTGGTGTGTGTTAGAATTCTGGCATGAGGAAGAAAATCGTATTATTATTGCTTATTCAAACTGTTGATGGCAGACACAGCGTCGTTGAAAATGGGCATTTGGTGATAAGAGGATTTTAAGGCATGAGAAAAATAAAGAATTTGATTCTCAGGCAAAATACGGACCTTCCAGCTAAAAGTTGATTTTGCAGAAGAAACCAGGTGTCAGGTTTTGACAAGTGATTAATGAGTCGGTAGAGAGACCCGACTAAGTGAATTTTGGGTGTCTCCGAAAGAAAGATGTGATAAGAATTATTTGGCAATTTGGGATTTGTAAATGTTTTGGCCGAAGGAAAAAAAAAAGGATTTTGTAAACAATTTTCTGGATAATAATTTCAAAAGGGCAGTCTAGCCACACCCATACTGCCAAGAGATCATTGGTCAAGTGGTAGCATGGGTGATAAGCGGAGGTGAATGTATGAGAAAGGCGTGGAAGTTGTTAACACCCACTGAGGGGATTGGTATGAGATACCAATATGAGAAAGGAAGAGTCTAGGGGAATAACTCTCCTCGAACCTTCACTCATGGATGAGGGAGAAACCCCCGAAATGGAAAGTGATTAATCTTCCAAAAATAGGAAGTAATTAATTTTCCTGGCCTAAGAACAAAGAGAATTCTTGCTGGGAATCAAGAATTATTGGGAACCCAAACCACGCCAGGCCCCCACACCAGGTTTTGGTCGGTATCTATATAAACGAACGTCTCGAGGCAGCTGATCAGTTTGGAGTTAGTTGGTTCCTGGAGTTCCAGCAGTTGATTTGCAGTTGCAGTCAGGCAGTTGCCTTGCAGAAGAAATTCCACGTCCTTCCGACTTAGCCTTCCTACTAAAAAAATGTGTCATGAATCCATAGAAACGGGCTGGGAGAGAAACACACTCCTGTATTCAACAGATGGATAAAGATCATTTGTTATTTCTCAACATATTTGAACCTCTTGAGTTTGTTTTATTGCTTCTTTTACTTACACTTGTGCGATATCACCTTTACCCTGGATTCAGCTTGCACTACGGCCCGACCCCTGATTGATTTCGTCTACTTAAGATCAAAGTCACAACATGGGTAGGTTAGACTTGAGATCAAAGTAGTTACTTCGGTAACCAGACGTTGGAAGTGAGCTGGGAATGACAAAGCTGGTATCAAACCGGGAATGACCAGATTGAACGGGACACAGGCTGGTGACAGCAACAAAGAGTTGACCCCAAAACACTGGTGGTAGAAACCTTACAGCTTCGCACCACAACTGGGTGTTGACCACGGGCGAACAGCGCAGTGTCACATATTGGCATCGCGACCAGAGGACTTCACATATTGGCGCTGCGGCTGCGGCTGTGACTGCGAACACCAGTGGGTGTCACACAGTCATGTGGGGGGAAAGATTATTATCCTCTACAAAACTATTCTTTCTACTGCAAACAAAGTAAATCCTGCTACAAGATGGCTTCCAAACAAAATGGTTGCTTCTCTCTCTAAATATTATGTGATCTTTCTATTTCAGAATTGTCCAATCAGAACACAGAACTTGCAATATATTTGTGTTGTTTGATATGTTACATACTTTCAGATTGGATAATGCTGTTTCTTATTGATGAACTTTCAGAATAATGGATATTCTTCAATCACAAATAATTTGAATATTTAGGTGTTATTCACTGATTATTTTTTGATTAGATTGTGTCTAAGGGGCCTAAATTATTTTTCATAAGGAACTAAAGATGAATTTTTAAATATAAATGGAAATTTTTTTTTCTTTTTCAGATCAAGAGATTTAGAAACTCCTCTTCCAACGCCGACCTACAAATATAATGAATGGATGAGTGAACGTGATAGAAAGCAATTGTATAGAGAATCCAGTCGAGGAGGAGGTGAGTTTATGGATCAATAAAGAATGAATGATTGGTCACAACTTTGATTCACTTTCAGATTGATATTATGAAAGTATAGTGATTAGCTTTGTTTCATATTCATCATCATTATCATCCTTCGACCCTCCCGTGATTTGTCAGAACTCCATTAACAACCCTTTTCAACACTGACCAGTCCTGCATTGCCATCTCCAGATTACCCTGTGTCCTGAGCCATGGTGTCTGGGAAAGTCAGCTTTTGTGAGAAGTCACCTCCAGAAGGATGCTATAGAAGTAAGGATGAGACAATCTCCCGTCAGTTAAGTGGCAGTGACTGGCAAACTGCAATTGCTTTTGACAGTACATAGATGGATAACCGTTTGGGAATGATCATCACCCTTGACTTCCCTGTGGTTGGTCGGAACTCTATTAACAATCCCTTTCCGCACTGTTTGGTCCTGCACACAGATCCCCAATGGCCGACCCTGAGTCCCAAGCTATGGTGTCTGAGAAAGTCGATTTTCATGAAAAGACATCTCCAGAAGGATGCCATAGAAGTAAGGATGAGACAACCTCCCTGTCTGCTCAGTGGCAATAGCTGGCAAACTGAAATCGTTTTTGTTTGAGCTTAAGAGAGATTGGTCTCAGTTCTCCCTAAATTATGTTAAACATTGCATGGGATCTCCAACTAATGTTCTTGATTTTTCTAAGCAGATTTGTATATGTTCCACCCAATCTCCTTTCAAAACAAACAGATAATGTTCAAGTTTCTGATCAATAAGACTAGTTCAATCAATGTTCGAAATGTTTCAACTTTTAAAGTCGATGGAAGATTCAAGCACCAAATCTTATGAAGTTGTTACATATATCCCATACAAGAGCTTTGTGGATGTTGAAGTCTTTTTGGGAATCTGTTATGTGAGATCCAAGATATTTGAAGTCCTCAACTCTTTTGATGAATGTATTATTGAGTGACTTCAACTCGAATGCTTCAGGGGAGATTGTGATATATTCTTACTCACATTGCAATAGAGATTAACCTGGTTCACTGCTTGCTCAAGTGATTGTAGCAAGGATTCTAAATCCTTGATATATTGAGAAATTAATGCAAGATCATCAGCAAAGTCAAGATAAGTCAGATATTGTAGAGGGTACCAACTACTCTGGCAAGGTTTCAAAAGTAGTTGTTTTTTTTCTCCATGTTTTCGAGAGAAATACATATATATAAAGAGAAAAGCAGTAAGTGTGTCACCTTGTAGAACTCCTGCTTTAACTTCAAAGGAATCAGTCTTGCCATCAGGCCATACAATGGTGGCAGTGGTGTTTCTGTATGGAGCTCTAATTGTCTCAACAATTCTTTTTTATATTAGACAGATCAACAACAAGAGTTCTGTAATGAATATAAAGAAACCACATTTCATATAGTTTTTAATGTCAGGTAATTAAATAACATTGTTGTGCAATGGGGTGAGTGACCTGGAATAAGAAATCGGAGACACAAGTTCAAATTGCAGTTGGTTTTGTTACATTCACTTATGCATAAATACCTTTGGGAAAGGCATGAATCCATCTCTTCTCCCCACAGCTATGGGTTCAATAACAGGACAGACTGGGCCCTATAGCCTTGTGTGGCAACCAGTGTACTTCAGAAAGAAACAGCAACCTACTGCAGGAAAATCTTCTGCTTGGTCAGTTACAAATCAAAAGAGACATGGTCACCCAAGCATGTATCACGTATGGCACATAACTGACTGAATTGAATAACAAAATGGAAAAAAAGACTCCTGCGTTACATCCTTCAAAAAGACGTCTTCAGACTAAATAAGTTTAGTAAGGTAATTTGATGAGTAGAATCACTTGAGGTCAATTAAAATTAATTTTAAGGATTATTAATAACAATAATCGGAGCCTAAATTTGTCAGAATATATGCATTTTATGCATTTCCAGTTTAGTGCTGATTCTTGTATAATTTGATGAGTATTGCAGGGTGTCAATTCAAATTAATTTTGTGAATGGAGTCTTAGATATGTGAAATGAAATGCAACAAATATTCATTACAATTTTACATAAAAAACATGTAATTACAGGGATGCTTAACATTAAATTTTTGGTGTATTAGGTATCTAGATACATAGTCTAGCTGATGTCATTCAACCTGCTCTTTGTTTGGCTAAAAACAGTGGCAACAATATTTTTCACAATTAAATGACAAGCATAAGGTAATGGAATGAATTTCAGTCAGGTGATATTTTATATTTTTTTATTCTATGTAACTGATAAACCTGCAGAAGGTTTGCACAGAAGATGGCCTACTAGATGACCCAGGGTAGAGTTAAAATAGTCAATTGTTTAGTGTTCAGCATAATAAAGTTTTGGCTACTGATTGTACTTTTTGGAAGCATGACTTTATGGAACCAATATTTCACTGTCTTTGTATCTTATTAATTCTTTTAATTCTCTGTACACAGAAATAATTTTCTCAACATCCCTCTTCATATATATCTGTTTCTATCTCCCTCTACATATATCTGATGTCAGGGGCTACCCTGACATGTAAACACATGATTGACCCCAGCTGTGCCTGGCATGTACATGCATGGGAAGAACTGTGTGGCAAGTAGATGTATAAACACCCACTCCAGAGTGAAGAGAATCTTCTTTCACATGAGAATGTTGAATTCAGAGAAGACTCCAAGGTGACACCCACTGTCTGATAGTAATTGATGAAATCAAGAGTTGAATAAAATGCAATGTTACGTATTCTCATTTCTAATATACAATGATAAGATAGATGGACATGAATGGCCAGAGATACAGATATACATGAATGGCATGAGATATAGACCTACCATATTTCCTGTCATATAATATATATTTTCCAAGGAAGATTTTGCTTAAAAATTCATCTTGATCCTTATAAGAATCAGAATTTGCAGTAGATCCATGGATTGTTGTGATAGTTATTCACAGACCCTTATGTATAAGAATGATCCCTTGGCACACCCAAATGGAGATGAGTATTATCCAGCAAAGGAAAAGAAGTTTTTCACTTTCTTCACATTTTTTAAAAAAATTCTAGACATTTCTATAATACTGATATAGAAGTTAAAGATTTTGAAAATAAGGCAAAAAATGGTTGGTTCTTAAAAACGGTCTTTAATTGCACTATTTATTTATTTTTGCTTACAGCCACATCACATTGAAATACCAGTTTTCATGTGTTCACCAAAGTTAAGCAATGTCAAGCCTGGTCAATACTTTGATGGGTGACCAGGTACTGCAAGCTTGGATATGCAGGTGGTATAATTGATGATGGCTTAGAATTGTTAATTGGAGAGCTGAGTTCCAATTCCAATTGGATTTGTTATATTGGCTTACACACAAATACCCTTGGGAAAGGTATGAATTTATCTCTCCTCCACTCAGCTATGGATTAATTAGTAAGACTTGTATCAGTAAATTCGTATTGTCTCCAAAAAAAAAAAGAAATTCTTAGAATCTGAAAATATTTTCTGGCTTTAAATAACCTGCAAAGGGTTGATAAGTCATAAAAAATGAAATGAATCAATCAATCAATGTTTTTTTTTTTGATGTTGAGTAATATTGCTTCTAATTGTCTTTATGATGAATGATATCTTGTAAAAGAATTTAAAACTCCAAAATTTCTGCAAATTTTAATTTCCTGTCAAGAATCTTTGCCACAATATAGTAAGTATTTTTGGTAGAATAAAAGTAAAATTGCTAGACTGGTGCTTCTGCTATTTATTTAAAGATTCTTCACAAAATCCAAAGAAGATTCTGTAATGTTATCAGTCCTGACCTGGCATCTTGGCTTCAGTCACTTTCCTCACTACCATAATGCAGATTCCCTGTACCTTTTCTATAAATATTGTCATGGTAATTATTTGATATCTCAACTTTACACATTTAAGTGCAGTATTAGATTGGCTGTTAGGTCTCCTCATTTTGCAGTTGAAATTGTAGATGTAACTATAACTTCTGTGTTACCACTTTTTTCTCTTGCACTTTTTGCTTATGGAACTCTCTTTCAGCTTCTTGCTTTGATCAACTTTGATCATTAAAAATTTAAATGCAATGTCAATTGTTTTCTTCTGTCTACTTAATTTTTCTTCTTTTATTGTTTTCTCTTGATGTTTTTCTTTTTCTGATATTCTTTCTCACTCAGTAACTCCTTGCATCTTAGTGACTTTATTGGCTTAATTTAATTTTGCATTAGTTTATTTCTTAAATGTATGGAGAATGAATTAGTACCTCATACATGGAGAATCCTCATGATTTTGAACTTTTTAAAAATCTTTGCTCTCTGAATGTCTGAATGATCTTTGGGGAAGGCAAAAAACTGCATGCAATTGCAATGTCCGCTTTTTTTTTTTTTTTTTTTTTTTGCATTTTAGACAAATTGGATTTGAGATTTGAGACTGAAGAAGACAAACAAGACTGGGAAGAGGAGCAGAAACGTCTTGACCGTGAATGGTATGGAATGGATGAGGGTTATGATGATGAGCACAATCCATTCTCGGGCATGTCCAGTGAATACACGCAGAAGAAGGAAGAAGAAATGGAACAAAAGAAAAAAAAGAGAATGTCTGCACGACAGAGGCAAATCAACAAAGTAAGTTTTGACCCTCTCTTAATTATTTACATTATCTAACCTGGTGGTGGCATAATGGATAGTGGCTCAGATTGAGGAATCTGAGAGCTGAGTTCAAATTCCAGTTGGATCCATTACATTCACTTATGTACTAATACACTCAGAAAAGGTATGAATCCAACTCCCCCTATGCTATGGGTAAATAGTAGGAGAGATTGGGTTCTGTAGCCTTGGGTGGTGACTAGTCTAGGAGAAGGATAACTTTGAATTCAAAACTCTGTTGCCCTAGTGAAGCACATACAGGAAAGGATCATTTGCAATGACTTGATGATCCTAACTATGACTGACTCCTTTTGTGGACATGGTAGAGTATCCGGTTGTGGCTCGGATTGAGGTATGAATCTATTTCTTCTTTCCCCAGCTATGGATAAATAACAAGACAGACTGGGTTCTATAGCTTTAGGTAGCAACCAGTCTAGAAGAAAAACTCTAAATTCAAACCAGTTGCTGTACATGTGGTGCCTGTACGACTCTAATGAGTTACAGGACTCGTGATTGTGATTGATCAATTATCTAATATACCTGATCTCAAAAGCCATTAACAAAGATTTTTAATTTTGCACTTTGCACAATTTCATATATAAATTCTACTGAAAAGGATATGAAAATTTGCATAGCTAAAAAGACTGGGCTGCCTTGAACAAAATGGATGTAATCTAGAAATCTGATCTACAAGACAACCTCAAGTGGAGATTCTTTTGAGCCACTGAAGAGGGAGTTTTAATGTATAGTGCCCCTGCTTGGACATTACCTAAAACCCAAGAATCTAAGCTTGATGGAACCTGCATTCAGGTACTAAGAACTATATTCAACATCTCTTGGAGACAAAATCACAGCTCTATGTACCCATATTTTTAAAATCTTACATGAACACAGAATGCACTTTTCAGGACACTGCTGGTGAGCAAAACAAGAACTTGCAAGTGATTTACAGCTATGGAAACCTAACCATGGCACAAGATGGGCTGCATGCTTAGCAGTCACCTACACTGACCAGCTACATTAGGACACAGAATATCATCCTAATGACCTTCTGACCTTGATGCATCAATGTCCAAGCTAGCTCAACTGAATGATATAAATAACTTAGAGATATGAATTGCTCTACTTTCAAACAGGATAGGTTTGTAAGCTTTCAATGTGACCGTCACCTGAGCTTTCCACCGTTCTTTGATCCTGACAGTGTTCCCCAAAAGCTGGGAAAGAGCACAATTCACGATGAAAGAACACTAACCTTGTTTTCCATATCACATATAAATGTTTCATTTAGGGCTTAGCCTGATTGTCCAAGTGGGTAGGTAGGTGATACTTAAGGAAACTTCTGCTCTGTCAGCTCTTTCCCTTACCAACTCGTTGCTCATCTACTCATCCACATGTGCTGGCTGGCAATATGAAATGGAGGTCTTGGAACCACAACAGTGCCAAGAGCAAACTCAGTCTCAAGCATGATTGTTAATATAGACAAGCACCTGGATGTACTGTATTTCCAGTTTTGTTGCCGCTTGATCTCCAAAAATTCCTTTACTTGCCATTCCCCTTCAGTTAAAATGAATGCTGCTTAGAAGGCCAAACTTCAAAAGGTACTACCTGCTGTTCCATCAAACAGAAACACTTGAGATTGTGATAAAACTATATGTTCCATTTCTATATGGATGTCAATCGTATCATTGCAGGTTTCTGGGGTATGCAAGTCAAAATATTTGGGAGTCTATTATAATAAAATTATTTATAACTAGTTAAGTATTGTTTAGGTATCTCAACAAAAAGTGATATCTAAAGTTTAAAATGCATTTTTAAAAATGCAAAATCTTTCTTGAAGCTTTAATTTTTAATTTCAAGCTAATAGATTACATCTAATACTCCTGATAAGCAAAATACTTTGCTGTATTTCATACTGAAAGTTGATTGGAATCTATTTTTTTGTACTTTTAGAGAAAAAAAATTTTGGGAACCACTGTCTTAAGCAATACAGAGTAAACATTACCTCCTCCTCTTTTTTTAACAGTAAAATTTATATCAAGAAGCACTTTTCTTCAATAACACTGTTGATCTTTCAAATGGCTGACATTAATTTCATTGTTTCTCAAAGAAACCCCAAATACCAGGTGCTGTAAGCTTAAATGTGCAAGTGTTGTAATGGGCTTATAACCATATCACATTGAAACATTGGTTCCTGTACAATCACCAAAGTTAAGCAATGTTGAGCCTGGTTAGTATCTAGATAGGTGACTGCTTGGGACTACCAGGTGCTGTAAGCTTAGATGCGCAGGTGTTGTAATGGGCATATGACCATATTACATTGAAACATTGGTTCCCATACAATTTCCGGTTAAGCAACATTTAGCCTGGCCAGTACCTTGATGAGTGACTGCCTGGGACTACCAGGTGCTGTAAGCTTAGATGTGCAGGTGTTGTAATGGTCATATGACCATATCACATTGAAACATTGGTTCCCATACAATTTCCGATTAAGCAACATTTAGCCTGGTCAGTACCTTGATGAGTGACTGCTTGGGAATACCAGGTGTTGTAATGGATAATAGCTTGAAATTGGAAAGCCAATTACTGATTCCAGTCAGGTTGATTATATTCACTTACATGCAAATACCCTTGGGAAAGGTATGAATCCACCTTTTTCCTCCAGCTATGGGTTAATTAGTAAGACTTATATCATTAAACTGTTATTATCTCCAAAATAAATAAATTCTTACAATCTAAAAACATTTTCTGCCTTTAAATAACCTGCAAAGGATTGATAAGCTGTAAAAAAATGAATCAATCAATCATCTAAATCTTCTTGTTCCTTTGTTAGTAGTCTATGGTTAAATTGGTTAAGCAATGTCATGCCCAGTCAATACTTAGATGGGGTAACATTAGGTACTTTAAGCAACCTCCTACAATCCAAAATATGTTTCAGCTTTAATTAACTGATAAATGGTTGATATGCTGTAGAAAACAAAACAATCAATCACTCCTCTGTTAGCATATATGTTATGCTCTGCCATTACCTCAGATAAATAAGGGACTGTTCCATTTTCATTGCAAGGAAAGACTGAATAAAAAAAAAAAAAAAGAGAGAAAAACTTGGATAATGTTTGAAAAGATAAATGATTGAAGACAAAGGAAGAAAGAAAAAACTCTGAAAGTAATTTCCTTTTTTTTTTTCCCCCTCTTCCTTACTTTCAGGATATTGAGCTTTGGGAGACAAACCGGATGCTGAGAAGTGGAGTGGTCAGCAAAATCAGTTATGATGATGATTTTGAGGAAGATAATGAAGCCCGAGTGCATCTCTTGGTTCATAATACTGTTCCGCCGTTCTTGGATGGTCGAATTGTATTCACAAAGCAACCAGAACCTGTTATACCTATCAAAGTAAGTAGTCTGTCCTCATTCTTTTGCAATTTTGCTTGGCAATTTTTCTTACACCTTTTTACTGTTATTGTTCCTATTTTTATTTGTTTCATATTTTGCATTATTATCATACACTAGATTTGAAAGAGCATCTCCTGAAACCTCATAATTATCATTCATTCTGAGTCTATTGCTGGACAAAGGTCTTTCTAAACTCCTCCCAGGACAACTATTCTCTGCTGTATCTTATGAGCAGTGTTCCCTCCCTCCTATTTTTCTCCTGTATTTACTGTCCAGGTTGTGTTGATGACACTGTTTCTGGAGATGAATTCAAATTACACTTAAAAGAATTAATAAATTAACCTCTTTTTCTTCTTGATTGGATTATGCAGTCTATATTATAATGATCTGTTATTTATATGTCTGTGTGTTTGCTGTTGTAAAACAGCAAAGACAACACTTCCAAGAGCAAATATTGTTAGTGCAATACTATTAAAATGTCCTAACTTTAAGTATAAAGTGATTTCCAGTTCAATTAGGCTACCAGTTTCTGAGTACATTTAATGAAATAGAAGTTCACTGAAAAAAAATTATCCAATGAAGAAAACTTTAGGTCTATTAATTACCAATTACATAGTTGTTTCCTTTAATATCTGTCTATATTTCTGAGATGAGGGATTGTAATTATTTACATTATTTGGACATGTTCACGATGTTTTGGCCATTGTCGCTCTGGCCTTCTTCAAGTGATTGGAATTCCAAACTGAACCTTTTATTTTGTCCACTGGGGTATACTGTTCTTGTTCCACGTGCCATGCCTCTTCCGGATGTCACAGTTATCTCCCTTTAACTCAACTCTCCAAGTTTTTGTTCACCACTACTGTAGCCAGGTATTGAACTCTCAACTCTTTGGGTCAAGTCACTGGATCCAACCAATGCTTTTATCCACTAATAAGAAAATAGAAGGGATAAGGAAGATTCTTCAATTCATCTGCACTTTCTTTAGTCAGCCATAGTGGTGTAGCAATGACAGTAATTTATTTAGTGATAATTCGCATTTGTAAATATATATAAATTCTAGAAATAATGACTTAACATTAAGTACATGCAGCTGAACATTAACAGCAGAATTACATCAAAGAATCCAAGCATTAGAAATGCAATGCTGCGGAAGCATCCTTGGCATCTCCTATGTAGACCACATCACAAATGTAGTTTGAGGTACCATTAGTCAAGAAACAGGCCTGTTGTAAGTCATCATGTCCATTGTCAAGAAGAGAAAATTGAAATTTTCTTGCATTTCCTATCTTTGCAACCATCACATCTATTTCAACATTTTTTTTTCACACTTCTCCACCTGTGGAACTCCTTTCCTTGATTACTACAATCTTCAAAAATTTAATTGCAACATCAATTGCCATCTTTGTCTTGAACCCCTGTTCATATTTTGTCCTCTCTTCAACTCTCCCTATTCTTAGTCTTCTCTTTCATTCCCTGTAACCCCCCCATATACTAGTGGCATTTCAAACTTGCTTGGGGTGAAATGATTAAAAACAAAAATTTATGGAGATGTCACAAGAGCCAATAATCTTTCCTCTACCATCCTACACAGTGCCACAAAAGAAGAAGAGGCAGATGGAGGAAAAACATGGGCTGATGACTGGACTGGAAGATCATTTATGGAGACTTTGGCATTGGAATGCAGTTGAGACACATATAGGTTGCTGATCAGGTGCTCAGATGTGTAGTGGCCCTTTGACCATGGGACTGATGATGATAGGCCTCTGAAAGTGACATTTAAACAAGTTTACAAAAATTGAAAGGATTTTGCAATATTTTTTCAGCTAGACTGTTTGCATGTATTCGGGACTGATGTGTGGTCATAGCATTTGTTATAATATAAATGAATTATTTACCATTTAATCATATTTGTTGTTTTAGGATGCAACATCTGACATGGCTGTTGTGTCGAGAAAAGGCTGTCTGGTGGTGAGAGCCCACCGTGAACAAAAAGAACGGAGAAAAGCCCAAGTGAAACACTGGGAACTCGCAGGGACAAACATTGGTGAAATCATGGGCATCAAGAAAGAGGAAGAAAAGGTATTTTACTTTGAATTCTGTTTCTCAATTGATAATAAGGTTTAACAGGTAAAAAACAAATGTCAACTGACAGTTTCATAACATTAAGCAATTTAAATGCCTGGCAGGATGGACCTATCTGCTATATGGGTAAACATAATGAACCCTGAATTAAGTCTCTCTTTTACCCTTTGTTCTTGTTACATGTTTGTCATTCTATAAATTCTTGTTACTTAAGTATGTAATCTTACTTATTATAAAATGCAGATTGTGTGTGTCTGTGTCTGTACATTTATATATTGGATTGGATTTCCTACATTTTTCAACCGATTTCAACAAAACTTCACAGGACTGCATAAAATTACCTTGTGGTGGTTCTGACAGCACCAAAAATTGGAAAAACAATGGTTTTTGCACGAAATCAATTTGAAAACACGATCGAGACATTACTGTCGCAAGAATGAAAGGGGGACAATTCATATCGAGTTATACTTATTATAAAACCCAGGTTGTGTGTGTGTGTTTGTTCATTTATATATGGGATCGGATTTCCTACATTTTTCAACCGATTTCAACAAAACTTCACTTTTTTTTTGCCAGGTAGTGTTTCTTATTGCCTTGCACACTTTTTTCTTTATTTTTACATTCAGAATGCTTTAAAAATTCCATTTACAAGACAATTGTTTATAATAAAATTCTATTCAATTGGTAGACTCATAACGATTGAAAACAATGTTTTTGTTTGAGTTTGGGTTTGACCAATTCATAAAAAAAACCAAAACAAAAAAAACTAATTAAGACATGCGTGTCTGTCAACCTTAAACAATAATCTTTGTCAATTTTATTTTTCAGTCTTTATGATGGTCGATACTTGATCTATCTCTTACTGTTACATCCCCGGGCAACGCCGGGCTCTACTGCTAGTATATATATAATGTGTATATGTGTGGGGAAAACAATATATAGATTTTTATATACTAGAATAATTCTTGGAAAATCTGTGATACATTTTGCTTTTTATGGCTTCATCAGACTAAAGTTATGTTTACGTTGATATGATTACACATGTGCATAAAGGAGAGGGGACACTGAAAGTAAAAATAGTATATAGTCTCACTAATTTTATTTAGTTTCTTTTTTTACAGGTTTCCATCATTTTGGTTATTAAATGTTCCACATAGCAATAACACTGGTCAACAAAATTAAACTTTTTTTTAATCATCAGAGTTGAAAGTTAATTGTCAATTTTTCATGATGATTACAAATCTGAAGTCAGTTTTTCTCTATCAGGTCACATTTTTATGTTACTGATACCTGTAGTTTTCACATTTATGTACCTAATTCATGTACTTATAAGTTATAATAAATACAAGATGTGACATTTTTGTGGCCATTATTGTGTAGAAAATCAAAATTATTGTGTGCAAAATAAAGCTATAATATTTGCTATTGAAATACAAGTTAAAATCTTTGGGATTTAGACTTTCTCTGGTACTTATTCTTAGGTTCATCCCTGTATAACATCCAGCAGCAGCTAGCCAGCATGGCTTTATACCAAAATCCTCGATATCGTTGTTCCATTGATGCTCTATCTTGATGAAAGTGTTCCCCTTGCTCATCAGACACTGATCCAAAGTTCTCTGTAAAAACAAAAAAAACCCCAAAAAAGTCCAGATGTGAATCAAGGAAATGGATTTTCAGTGACATCCAACAGCCCATTGCTGCAAAAGACATTTTACACCATTTTTAAAATCTAGGGATCCCTTGTTACCCAGAAAATTTTCACAGATCTTCTTAAAGGATTCCCAGGTTTTAAGTTCAGTCTCATTCAGGATTTTGATGAAGTTGTCCTTGAAGAGTTTGTTTATCTACGGATCTACTAAGACGCCTTCTTTATTTTTGCCTTGGTGCTTTTTGGAAACTTGGCCATCATGTATTCAAAACATTCTGATCTTTTCCTGGCAAGTATCTTCACATATTGTTTGATGAGACCAAGCTTTATGTGAAGAGGGGGAAGGGCAAAATTTTCTGGCTGTTAGAGACACCTGGATTATATGATTTTTGCTGTGGCCACTCTGATTGCATGTAGTGCTTGGCAGTTGCACAAAGGCATAAAAAGCAGCAATATTTCTTGAATCCTGACTGCATTCCTATCGATATTCCAATTAAATTTCCACATATATTTCCATTATATTCTAAGTACTTTATGGTATTGAGGAGTACCTGCATGTTCTCATATACCCCTCCTTCATGAGCACTGAATGTCATATAGGAATTGATGGTTTCTTATTGTCGTTTTGTTGTAGTGGCACTGCTTTAAGACTTCTCTTGGATGAATCTAAAAATAAGTGCCATTTCGATGGAACATATTCTTGGCATGATGTTATTACAGAAACAAAGTTGTCCATCCACAGAGAAGAAAGACATCAGATCCTTATTTCTCTTTCTGAAATGATGAATACAAACATCGTCCTTTTCTTTGAGACAAGATGCTAAAAGTTCAGCTTTATCCTTTGTCAATACCAAGTTTCTAATGAACTCTCCTTTCTGTGGTTTGTCTTCATTTTCAATAATAAAAATTGCATCCATTTTAATTGTTTCCTCACCATCAGTAGTTTCCTCGCAAAGTAGCTCTTTTTCAGACATTTGAAGGCCATACTGGAATACGAAGATCATCATTTGTAGTACTGGTCTTCTTGCCGATTCTAAGTTGGGATACATGATCTTATGCTTGGTCTTAACTATTAACAGACATACATTAGCCATACAGAAATAAATCTTTGAAATGACTTTTGGTTCTTGCTATATCATAGGTATTATAAACGGCATTGCTCTTTTCCTTTTATTAAGCAAATCTCTTAGTCCATTGCAACAAACTGAGCAGATGAAATGTGGTGCCCACCTCTTATCTTGATCCTCAAGAGGGCATCCAAAGTATAACTAATAGATCTTCTTGATTTCAATTGTGATGACACATTGTTGAGCTTTGCTGGTAAATGAACTACAGATATAACAAAATATATCAGGACTGTTCTTACAATGCATTGATGTCTTGAATAGAGTTTGATGATGGTGATGATTATGATGATGAGTGGACACTGGACAAGTGACTAGTACTGGACAACTGAAAGGAAAAATAAAATTATGGAGATACTGTGATGACGTAGTCCACATGTCGTTCACTGCACAACCTGTGGTGACATCCAAGGTCGGCTGTGTCTGCATATACACCCGACTCATTATGCTTACAGGTTTGTCTCCTTGGCCATGATTGTATTCAACAAAAAATAATGACAAATGCTTTTCAGGACACTGGTTGGGAAATAGCAACAAAACAATTTCTCACTTAACTGTAGTATTCTTTCTTCAACTGGTCAAGGGGGTGAACTGCTATCTTACTAAATTCTAGTCACAGAAGTTGCTTTACATATATCCATTGATCCTGTGTGTCAGTGGATCATACATAAATGGCTGTACAATGAATCTCAGGATTTTCAACCCTACACAAACAGGAAGGGTGTCCTGGGCATGATGATAAACTACATTCGCGTCCTGGGTATGATGATAATCTACATCCCACAGCAAGGCCTCTGATAATACGTTTTTGAAAAAATAATGCTGCCAGCTATACGCCTTTGAAAAATAATATTACCAGCTATACGTTTTTTGGAAAAATAATATCAGCTATACATTTTTGAGGAAAAAATATTAACAGAAATAGATTTTTGACAAAACAAAAATATTACCCCCCCCAAAAAAGTTGTTGGCATTAAATGACCCATTGAGGTTGATATGCCATAAAACAAACTAAACCAAACAGGAAGTAGGAGTTATCAATACAATTGGGTTGTGTTTTATGGGGATCACAAGTTGTTATCTCTGCAAAGTGTCAAAATACCTTGCTTAACGAATTACATGAAGATCACCCAGGTATTTCACGGATGAAGTCCCTTGCTCGTTGTCATATCTGATGGCCTAATTTGGATTCAGACCTTGAACTGTGTGTAAGAAGTTGGGTTATATGCCAGGATAAGACTAATATATCCCAGACGAGCATGTTACACCCATGGGAATGGTCAGGAAGGTCGTGGTTTTAAGTGCATATAGATTATGCAGGCTTGATCAATGGTAAATGGATTCTTGTGATAGTGGATGCTCATAGTAAATATATAGATGCACATGTTGTTTCATCACCATCAGCAGTGGTAAAAGAATGGATGTTGTGATGCACATTTGCCACACATGGGAGCCCTCATGTGATTGTGTCGCACAATGCCTGCAGATTCTCTAGTGAAGAACTTTCCAAATTCTGCACCTTGAATGGCATTAAGCATGTTTGATGTTCGCCATACCACCTATTGTCAAATGGACTAGTTGAATATGCTGTACAAACCATCAAGAGTATGTTAAAAAAGTGCTCCTGGTGTTCTCAAAACTTGACTACTGCATGTCTTGGCTTGCTACCATCTTTCCCCACAAACTGGTCAGTCACCAGCTATGTTGTTACTGAGTCAATAACCCAGATCTCGGCTTGACCTGCTTTATCCGGACTTATCTGCCAAAGTCACCGGTAAAATAGATAACACTAAAATGTTGATGGACAGGAAGTGACAGGAAAACAGACTCTATTTGGGAGATGCTGTTAATGTTATGAACTTTCAAGGAAAACCAAAATGGATGTCTGGGGTTCTAGAGGGGCAACTTGGCTCATTGTCTTTTCTAGTATGGCTGGAGGAAAAGGCATGTGGGTTATATTTGCATGAATATTCCAACAGAATACATGTCCTGGAAGAGCTAACCAACCAAGAAGAACACTGAAGAGATACTTAGCATTGACTACACAGTGTCATGTGCCCTACAGAGATCGACTGAGGGAGGAAAATCAGTAACCCAAAACGGCTGTTAGAACATGTTTTCAGAAATGCCAGGAAGCAGAGAGATGTAAGTGAGTGCAAGAAATTGCACATGGGCATAAAACTAGACCCCACAGGAAAGTGGTGCAGTGCCTGACTCTTAGCGAGGGAACTTTCTGAAAAGGAATTGCCAGATGATAGAATTATAGAAGACTCAGACATGGAAGATGATGATGATGATGATGATGTCATAACTATGATAGGAAGTGAAACAATTCTTGTAACAACCCCCCCCCCAACATCTCCTTCTCAGAGTTCTTTTGAAACACCCATGAACCTTACTACCTACATAATGGTTTGTGAAAGATATATTGCTTAATTAAAATTTGACTAATTGGCGAGGGATGTTTTAACAGCAAACTAATGAAACGAAAGCACCATTTCTGCTATTGTTCAGACACAGAAGTATGGTGTCGGCCATATTGTTTATTTTTGAATAAAAGAGCTGGAGATTGCTTCAGCGGACAGAAGACTTAGGTCAAAACTGCGTTGGCATTGTTACTACAGACCCTCCCCCACCAAGTTGTGACATATACATTAGCTGTTTTAGAAGTCCTCCCAAATTAATGTTTTTTTTATATATATATATATATATATATATATATATATATATATATATAGTGTCAGATGAAAACACTAGAAAGCAAGACAGATTATAAAAGAATTGTATATAAACAAACACAAATATTGAAAGGTTTGGTAACTGTGGAAAAAGATGGCAGAAATAAAAATATAAATCATATATAAACCTGTCATTTCTCCTTGAGTTCAGAAAGCCATAAATTATACACACAAACTCTGCTCAACAAGTCAAATGCACATGAAGCCTGCTTAACCAATAAAAAACAAACAACATAAACCTAAATTACTTTTCCATATCTTATTCTCTAATAATCAATATGGTGTAATGATTAGCAGAACAAAAGGATCATTTCATTCAATCCTTGTGTTTCTTTGGAAGAATATTAATTTTTTTCTTTTATTCTATTTTATACTCTTCATAATCTTTATTTAAATATATATAAAGAACATTGTCAGGCAAATTAATGATAGGGGAACATTTTTTTGTCTCACTTTTTGTCCTTTAGGACCTCATTGAACTAAAGTGATATTTTTGATGATGGAATTATATATATGCAGGAAGTTGAGGAAAAATATAAAAATGCAAACATTGGTTATAATTATTCAGAGACAATAAATGCTGAAAATGTTGGAATGCTGAAATTAAAATGTTTTTCTTTTTCTTTCAGGATGAGAAAGTGAATGAAAGTGGAGATGTAGATTATAAAGCTGACCACAAATTTGCTGACCTTATGCCAGTTGCAAATGAGGCTGTCAGTGAATTTGCCAAACGAAGAACAATTTCTCAGCAGAGGCAGTTTTTGCCTATTTATGCTGTGCGCAATGAGGTGAGTTTAAAAACAAAATCGCTCCCTGCCATTTAATGCAGAATCAGGTTTGAGCACATTTTTTTTTGTCTTAGATGAAATACCATTTGTGTTTCGTCAATGTTAATCAGCTGTTTACATGTATCTTTATCTGTATACTTGGAAGGAAAATAAAATTTTCGGTTTTTGGCTATCGTGTGATATAGTAACACACAAACCAGTACACCATCTGTGTCCAAGTTTCAAACAATGACACATGCTTCAATGTAATGAAAGAGTTCAGTGCAAGTGCTCCTTTTGTTCAATTAGACTCCACCCCATGGAATCTCACCATAGTTATTTTATCAGGGAGGTTATTTCTTGATGTTATCAGCCTGAGGAGGCAATCCTAATATTAAGATACTGGTGGGAAGTGTCTGAAAACTGTACCACAGTTTCTGAATGAAATTGGATAGAAAAAGGCCATTTGGAAGCCACTGATGTTTGTACTAATACAACAACATAAGTTATTTTTTGACTGAGGCTTTCAGCGTATTGGCCTTGTTCATCTACTAATGATACCAGATTGTGAGCTCTCTCTTAGAAACTGTATCTAAGGTCTGCTCAGTATAATCATACTTTTTTATAAAACCCAGGTTGTGTGTGTGTCTGTACGTTTATATATTGGATCGGATTTCCTACATTTTTCAACCGATTTCAACAAAACTTTACAGGACTACGTAAAATTACATTACGGGGGTTCTGACAGCACCAAAAATTGGAAAAACACAATTGTTTTTGCACAAAATCAATTTGAAAACACGATTAAGAGGCATTGCTGTCACAAGAATGAAAGGAGGACAACTCATCGAGTTATACTTATAATAAAAACCCAGGATGTTTGTGTGTGTGTGTGTGTGTCTCTCTGTGTGTGTGTGTGTGTGTGTGTGTGTTCATTTATATATGGATTTGGATTTCCTACATTTTTCAACCGATTTCAACAAAACTTCACTTTTTTTGGCAGGTAGTGTTTTATTGTCTTGCACACTTTTTTTTTATTTTTACATTCAGAATGCTTTAAAAATTCCATTTACAAGGCAATTGTTTATAATAAAATTCTATTCAATCGGTAGACTCATAACGATTGAAAACAATGTTTTTGTTTGAGTTTGACAATAATATTTATCAATTTTATTTTTCAGTCTTTATGATGGTTGATACTTGATCTATCTCTTACTGTTACATCCCCGGGCAATACTAGGCTCTACTGCTAGTTTCATAATAAATCATAGGTGTCTGCAACAGGGAATGGCTGGTCACTCTACACTGGCGTGTAAAACCTTTGGGCCTTCTTGATAAATCAATTATTTTTTTTTAATTTTACCCCCCAAAATGAGAGTGATTAGTAGTATGCTTTTCTTAGTACATTCTGTGAAGAGCAGAAAACAAGTTACTGCATTTTTGTTAATGCTGTATGGTGGATGATATAGCATCCTAAGCATAGTGAAACAGAAAAAAAAGGACATGCTAAAATACTGGACCAGCAGTGATAATTTCCCCTTTCAGCTCCTTAAGATACAAAGGATTTCTTTTTTCAAAAAAGTGATCTTTATTATTACAGAAAGTTCAAAAAAGCATCATGTTAGTAATTAGTGTTTCTATTTTTGATTTGAATAATTGCCTCAGTTCGATGTGGCATTGAATGGAACAAAGTTTAGATTTTCTCATTAGGAATTCTTTCCTATTCTTCTTGGCAGCAATCTCAAACATCTTGGATATTGCATGGTTTTCATTGGAGCACTTATTTGTTCAGTTCCAACCACAATAATTCAATTAACTTTCAATTTAGAACTGAGTCCCTATTGTGTGATATGCATATAACCCCTTTTCTGCTATCATCTCTGATCTTGATCCCCATAAAGCATGTGTACATGATAGTATCTCTGTAATAGTCCTTAAGAAGTGTGCTCCTGAATTGGTTCCTGTTCTCTTTAAACTGAATGCCCCACTGCCTTTTCCTTCTCTGCTCGTTGGAAATCCTAATTTTTTGTTCCAGTCTTTAAGAATTCAGGTGAAGTACTTGACTCTTCCAACTATTGGCCTATTAACCTTCTATCTCTTTTGGGTAATCTACTAGAGGCTCTAATCAATGCTGAATTAGCCAAGCATCTCACAATGTTGGACCTTCTTTGGGACAAGGTTTTCTTTGCACTTAATAGTAATAGTGAAATTCTTTTGTGTGTTTTGAACCCTGTTTCTAGAAATTTCCAGCTCCCTGATTATTTTTCATTGAGTCATCTTCCCCTTCAAAGTCACAACCTTCATTTTTGTTTTAGCAGAAATTTTAGCCATGATATTAATGAAAAAAAAGCAAGCTTATGTTCAGCTTTAATGATTTGACAAAGCACCTTACATTCATGTTGATAAGATGCAATAGTTCCTATTTAGAAATGTGCATATTATCATGACTTTATCAGCTCAGATCTTTTATTGGTACCATAGTTTTGCATGACTTTTTTTTTTAGTTATAAGTTGCATATCTTCTGTTAGATGGCACCTACAAAAAACTGCTACAACTTATTTTCCAATCCACAGACACTACTGATAAAAGCATATTGCTAAACAATCTTCTTAATAAAAGTGTATAATCATTTCATATAGTTGGTCCAAAACTTTTGCATGCAAAGATAGACTTCATCACCTACCAAGACTGATGGATGCCTACTGTTTTTTTATTTAAATATCTGCCCAGTCTGTTTATCTACATGCATGTATGTTTATAATTGTATGTTATATAAGGCAAATGTTGTTAAAGACAACAGACATTTGGTGTCAATTAATTTTATTGATTGACTTTTCCAAATTACAAATAATTCTTCTCAGATGAGGAAAAAAATCCTGTCAGAAATTATCCAAAGTTCATTTTGTAAGAATTATTGGCCAAGCTTTTGACATCAGGATAGGTACAGACAGATGGTATGTTTTGTAGAACTGATGAGTGTAGTGAGGTAGGATGTGTTTTATTTTATTTATATACATCTAAGGATGCTGGCTCTTAAGTTATAATTGTTTGATTAATAGATGGTTGTTGGTTCTTTGTATGTTGGTTCTTCAAGAATTAGAAGTCTGTTTTTACTATTTTGATTTTGCTTGCATTTTGGTATTGTTTTTGAATAGTTGTCTAAAGTTACTTTTACTGATGGCACTCTGATCTGATAGGTGAGTCTCCATGAGAGTGTGGTTGTAGTGTATCCTATGTAAGATGTTTTGTGTTTTTTATTTACAGGGAAACATTCTCCAAATGGGCAAGTATATTCATGCACAACATGGTCTTATATAGGTGGTTAGAAGTTTGGGATATATTATTTTTAATAACTAGGTTACTAGAGTTTCATTTTTTTGTAGTAAATAGTGAATTTGATGTATTTGTTTTTATCGACTGATTTTATCTATGTATGGTGTTTTTTTATTGTCGTTTCATCTTTTTTTTGTAATTGTGGTGCATTTGATTTTGGTAATATATATTAATAGCGTTCTTGTCAAGATTATGTTTATGACTGTGGTTTTTATTATTAAAATTGTTGTTTAAATTAAATTTGATTTGCTTGTTGATTATGTAATTAGGGACCCATTATTGATACATGTTTGTTTTATATTATTTTATTTTTTAAGGAATTTTATTTTAGATGAGGAAATTAGTTTGACTCTTTGGATTAGGTTATTAATGACAGTAGATTTATATTTTTCAATGTATTCACTATTATAGTTTAGAAGGTAAGAGTTAGAACTAGTAGACTTTTTGTACCAAGATGTGGTAAAATTATTGCTGTTTAATAACATTTGCCTTAGAGGACATTTGCTACCTAAATACACACAATTTAAATTGTATGTTTATTTATATACATGAAAGGGAGATAAAATTGCAACAATCTGAAGGACAATGCTAATTTTGGCATGGATATCATATTTCCACTTGAGTGGGTATTCTGATAAAATTTCCACTCTGCAGCTATCTTGTGTTATAGTAACACTCATACCAGTGCACAGTCTGTACCTGAGCTTTAAACAGTAATGCATGCAACAATAAATGCTAGTATGGTAAGAGTAAGAGGCAAGTAGGTGCCATGCCAAATGTGTTCTTGTTCAATTGGAGCTCTTTTTATAGGGTTTGGATTGTGGGCTTTCAAGTGGTTAAATGGTCATTTCAGAGAATTGTCTTCAGTGGTCAGATGAATATCCCTACAATCATAGAACAGGTGGTCCTGGACAACGGCGTAGTACAGGTGTTCATTAAGATTGGTACATTGTTAGAGTACAGTAGTACACCACATGACCTCTACAGCAGAGATCAGAGCAAAATTGGGTTTCATGTTGATCAGTAAGAACCATTGGTTCTGCCTCTTGCCAGACTTTTACCTATACCACCACCACCATCTTTCAGTGTGTAATTGCCAAATGATCACCAGAGGGTTTTCAGTAGTGTTCAGCAGTAAGAATAGTTTCTGCCTTCATGCAGTTGGTTGTTTGCATGTTTGAAGTAGACCTAGGGAGCAACATCTTCCCACAATGCACATTCTCAATCTCAGGTGTGGTTGCTGTAATCTACAACTCTCACTCACTTTTAGCACTTATGGAGAGAACATTGACCAATACACTGTTTTGCCCAGAACATTGTTTGACTTGTTCTGCAATTCTATTACTATGAAGTAATAATAGTTATAGGAGAGCTAATTGAATGAGACAGGCATAGTCCCATCATGTCCTTATGCATGTTCTAATTGGAGATCAGTCTGGTCATTATTAAATTATTGAATATCTTACAGAATCTGATGCCCATGCTATTCAACATGTTCGACAATTTCTATGACTGGTATAATGACTAGAACTATCTCCAACTGATCATGATGGGACAATGCCTGACTCATTCAATTAGCTCTCCTACAACTATTATTATTTTCTCGACAATGTGCATGAGGCATGGAATAATATATTGTGGGATGATATGAATGTGAGAATATAGGCTTGTGTTAAAGCCCCAAATGGATATACAGTGTATTAATAGGGGGATCTGAGTACTATTGATATACACCTTACTTTGAAACCTGTCTATGAATTGTTCTGCATATGTGATCATTTACTGGAATCCAGTTATATCACCTGTACACTTTATATTTAATATATATACATATATATATAATAATGATAATAATAATAATAATATTCTGGATGTTATAATTTTATCATCAGTGTGTGTGTGTAATTTGTAAGTTCTGTTTCTTACATATATGAGTGCTCTATTTTAAATTCTTTTCAAAGAAACATATTTTTTTTCAAAAGTAACATTTTTATTTTATTTGCTCATTAATAGTACTGTTTGATGCTTTATGATTTTTCAAAATGGGTGACTATTTTAACAGATCTCTGGAATGTGATTAAAAATCATCTATTTTAAAAAATGAAATGGTGCTGTAAAGAGGTAAATAAAACTAAAATGGCCATTTTATGTTTCACTAAATATGACAGACAAGGAAAATTTGATTAATTTTTTATTGAGTTTTTAAGTTCTTAAATTTTTCTGTTTGGTGGGGTTATGGGAGTGTAAAAATGGTCCATAGTGTCTATTGTCCCAAGCACTTTTAGGCAATTCTTTAGTTATTTTCAAGGGGTTTGTTGTTAATTTCTTTTCTCGATTATCTTTTAAGATGTAATTGTGTGATGTGTATTGTATGATAGTAGTTTCTATTCAGAGCCTTGCGAATGTGGTTGGAATTCAAGATGGAGTCCTATTTTTAAAAAAAAAAAAAATTAGTAAATTGTTTTCATTGTTAAATAAAATCAGATTAAAATTACATATTTGATAAATTTGTTTGTGAAAAGCTTTGCTAACTTCTTAAATTTTTTTCCTCCAGCTTTTGAATATTGTACGCGATAACAATGTTGTTGTAATTGTGGGAGAAACAGGATCTGGGAAGACCACACAACTTACACAGGTGAGAAATGTTTTCATTCAACTCTTAACCCTGCACACTTTATATTTAAAAAAGTAAAAAGTTACCCACAAATTTTTAAAGTATTTGTAATTCCAAGTTGGCAACTTTTTGCTTGTGTTCCCTCCCACCACTCTCCTGATTCAGTGGGGGTGTGTAGCATGCGGTTTGGCACAGTTGTAATTCAGTTGTAATTGGAGGCAGATGTCACTCTCTCTTCTTTGAAGTGTCCTGTCTGCCCACCTAACAAAGGTAACTTTTCATGATTTATATATAAAAAATATTTGAAATGCCAATCTTTATTCTATCACAGTTTCTACCAGAAGCTGTTCTTTTTGACAAATATCACTTTTTCCAGAGATTGAATTTTTATATATATATATATATATATATATATATTGTTGCAGCATATTTTCGTTTTAAGCATGTCTGATTAAACAATTTAGGCATGTGTTTGTTTATTTTTAATAAGATGCTTTTGTAATCACATATAAGCTTTGTTGAATCATGATTAAAGAGTTCCAGTAAGGTACCATGGTTGTATTTATTCATTTTATTTTTCTGAGTATTTTTAATATATTAACAATATCATTTTCAGAGTTATGGTGGCTAGGGCACTTAGTTGAGTGTCTGAAAGTAGTAATTCTGTTAGGAAAGGTTATATTAGGGAAAAAAAACCTGGGTGTAGATTAATATTTGGATAATATTCAATGGCGGCACTCTTGAGGATTTTCCTTCCAAGTGAGTTATTTTCTTTTTTATGAGTGTAGCATTTTTATAATCAAAATTGTGGTTGAATTTATTTCTCCCAAGTCAACATGCATAATTATATCAAGAAATCAAAAGAAAATGGTTGAATCCATCAACACAGCAATAAAAACAATATTTCTACACTTGAAAGTACTTGACGTAATCTTCAGTTGACAATATGAATACAATAGCATTTTCTAAATTCTTTTAGTTGCCAAGGACATTTTGTTTGTTGTTAATAGTTATTTTGTTTTCAATAAATTCATTTCTTTTTTGCCTTGAAAAAGTCCAAATTGGACGAAATGTGTCGGCTAATAACACAGTTTTCCTATTGTCTTTTACCTTTATACATATTGTCTTTTTCTACAGGTTAACCCTGAGAAATATTTCATATATGTATATATCTTTACCCATGCTGTCAAAAATTTGTTATTGAATTGTATCAGTTTTCAACTTGCTCAGACAACAATTTTAATTCGAAAGATTTAATTGGCCTAGCATTCGAGAAATCTTATTTACAAAAAAATGCATCCCTGTCCCTGACAATGATTGGACATGTGTCCTTCCCTTTGTTTGAGCCAGTGTGCTTTACCACTTGGCCATGGAGAACAAAGCAACAAGTAAGGCTCTATTTGAAGAGGATGTTCTACCTTTAAAAATGGGAAATAGAACTTTGTTTGCTGTGATGTTCTCTGGAACCAAGTGGTGAAGTATGCTGGATTAAATGGTGGGTTCCCATATAAATTGAATATTAAAAAAAAAAAATTCTTTTCTCTTTTTCTAAGATTATGTTTGGCAGATAGAAATGACTTTAATATCAATCTCTTTTGCAGTATCTTCATGAAGATGGTTATTCCAATTATGGAATGGTTGGCTGCACTCAGCCACGTCGTGTGGCCGCAATGTCTGTGGCCAAACGAGTATCAGAAGAGATGGGTGTTAAACTTGGTGAAGAGGTTGGTTATGCCATTCGATTTGAAGATTGTACAACTGAGGTAAGGAGTTTAATTCACAATGTTTCAGAATTTTTTTTAACTTTCTTAAGTAGATTTTTCTCATCTGAAAAAGTACACTAAACAGTTGTTAGTTCTCTCAAGCTACAAAATCTTTTAGTATTTACACTATTTACATTGTATGGACTATTGTCCTCATCCTTATTACCATTATTTTCACAACATTTTGGCCGTTGTATGCTTTGGCCTTCTGCAAGTGATATTCATTGGAATTTCTAACCTGACACTTTATTCAGAATGCCAGGGTGTACAACTACCAGACTGTACACTGGAAAAAGGCTGTAGAATACATTGGCTGAAATGTTTTTGACAGCATAATTAAAATAAAGAATGGGTGATCATGACTTTTCCAAATTATACAGAGTATGGCATAAATATTCTTACAAAAGAAATGCTCAAAACTTCTGAAAAATCATTTATATCAGAATGCAACTTTAACACAAAATTTTGACATCAGAGCTTCAATATTGTGGTGCAGAGTAGAACAGGCTTCACCCTCATGAACTGCCCACAACCAATAGTTAAGAGTGTTGATACCTGGCAATGAAGGAGGCCTGTCCTTGGGGATGTGGCCAGGACAATTGTCTCTCCCCCACTGCTGGGTTACATGGCACCCGGTTTAGGAGACTTGGGTGGCAGCCAGTCTAGAAGAAGGAAAAAACTCTGAATTCAAACCAGTCAGGAGAGGGTTTGGATCCATCAGGCTATCTTGCCCAAACCTCACCACTTGTGGCTGCAATACATGTGATGACCCTATGACCCTCATGTGTTACGAGACTTGTGATAAATGATATAAAAATGGTCATTTTTCAAGGTTTATTTTAAAAAAAATTTGATTTGGGTGATATTGTGTTTAGGGTGATTCAATTATGAATGTTACAAATTGTCATAAGGTCTACATTATATTAAATCTTTAAGGAGAAAAACAAAAATGTTTCCAGATTGTATTAAAAGTTGTAATTTACTTTAATTCTTGTATTTTAACAAGAAATTTCTCTCCATTGCCTTTTCTCTTGTTTTTTTTTTTTTTTTTTCAGAATACTTTAATCAAATACATGACAGATGGTATTCTTCTTCGAGAGTCTCTCAGAGAATCTGACTTGGACAACTACAGTGCCATTATCATGGATGAGGCACACGAACGGTCGCTCAACACGGATGTTTTATTTGGCTTACTCAGAGATGTAAGTTTTTTTTTTTCTGTTTTAAAATTTTAGAAGCAATTTTATCATACCATAAAAAAAAAAATTGGCTAAATTTTTGTCCATATCAGAAAAAGAAAATGGTAGCTTACAGTTATATTCCTTGTGTTGCATGCTGCTACTTGTGGGAATCACCACTTGTTGGGGTTGGAGAATGTTTTTAGTAAATGTTTAATGGCTCCTGGTACATTTGTCCAAAACCAATTTTGTAAAAATAAGGAAAAAAAAAAATATGAGGATGCCTCACCACTATTTATATAAGAATAATTTTATAATTACAATATTCTAAAAAAACTAATACAATTAGAATTAATGCAATATTTATTATTTACCAATTTATAAAGAAATAAATATGAAAACAATTTTTTAATCATAAATTTATAAACATTGATTAAATTATTAAAATATATGAACCAACTCTAAGGAAATCCTTATTATTTACCATTTTATAAAGTTTGAATAAATCGGCAGTTAGCCAATGTTTTGTCAACCATTTCAATAAACAATCTAAAAAATAAATAGGGTAAATAACCAATCTAATGAATAAATAATTTTTATTATTTTTGTTGTAAATTTTCAAAAACAAAGTAAGTGTATAAATTCACTTTTGTAATATGTTTAGGTTTTATTCCAATTCTCATCATTGCTTTTTAAAACAATAAACATGAAGGTAGTTAAAAACATTGTCAGCGGGGAGGGGGGATGTCCTTTTGACACTGTGTTATTGCAGCTATGTTTGTCCATCTTTGCAAAAAGATTTTTGTCATTTGTACATTTTGCGAAAAAAATGAAAAAAAAATTCTTTGTTGACTCTTGACAAATGTCATATTTGACTTCAGAGATCGAGATGTCAAGGCTGTGAATAATAGTTATTTAAAGAATAAGTTTCATAAACAGATTAAAAAAAAAACAAAACCATCAATATTTTGTTTCCATTTTTAAAGGTTGTGTCAAGACGCCAAGACTTAAAGTTGATTGTAACTTCTGCAACAATGGATGCTTCTAAATTTTCCACCTTCTTTGGAAATGTCCCTATTTTCAAAATTCCTGGACGCACGTTCCCTGTGGATGTATTATTCAGCAAGAACCCTGTAGAGGATTATGTTGATTCTTCTGTAAAACAAGCTCTGCAGACGCATCTACAGCAGGCCGAAGGTAAGCAGGGAGAATTGGGTTCTTTTTGTTTGAAGATAGCAAGAATTCATAAATGATTGTTGCGATATGTCTGACATTTCTTTTACTAATATTCACTCAATACAAGGCCCAAGAGCCACTCGAGTAGAGTGTTATTGAATAGGCTTTTTATACGAACAAAGTAATTGTAGATTTCAAGGATATGTTGTGGCGAGGGATATTTCTGACATTTTTTTTACTAATGTTCACCTAATACAATGCTGAAGAGCAACTCCAAGTTGAGCATTACTGTGTGGTGCCAGAGGAGCATATAAAAAAAGTTTTAATTATTGATATTGTAAAGGAAATTCTTGGAAATATGCAGGAAAGATAATGGTCAACTTTAGATATGAAGAGGTCAAGATTTAATTAGTGAATAACATTTCCAAGTTCAATTGTAGACGTTAGAAGTATAGTGTGGAAGTAAACTTTAGAAGGAACTGGAAATCCAATCCTTAACATATTTTGTGACTTGTGACTTTCTGAATTTTACATCGTTTTCATGAAAATGGCACATTCGACTTATATTATGATTTTCCCAGACACTATAGCTTGAGACGCAGGGTTGGACATTGGGGATCTGGGGATAGCAATACAGGACTGAACAGTATGGAAAGAGATTGTCAATGGAGTTCTGACCAACCATAGAGAGGTCAAAGGATGATGATGAAGCGTAGAAGATAGCAGGAGGAGTCAGGTTCTTCATATTATAATTTGCTTATAAATTATTATAATTATAAACTGCCACCAAGTGGACAGGGAAATAATTTCATCCTTACTCCTATGGCATCCTCCTAGAAGTGTCTTCTCATAAAAACCAACTTCCCCAGACAACATAGATTGGTACTCAGGGTGGACACTGGGGATCTGGGGACAGCAATACAGGGCTGAACAGTATGGAAAGAGATTGTCAATGGAGTTCCGACCAACCATAGGGAGGTCAAAGGATGATGATGATGTATTATGCAAATTGATATTTAGGTTAGATCATATCCAAGAAAAAAATTTAATGAACCAAGCAAAAGGTATCCCAATGTCAACTAAAAACTAAAATTTTTACAGATTAAAATTAGTATTTTCTCTATTGTGATTTCTAGTCTTATGATCAGCTAGCTTGATTTTTATATACAGTAATTTTTTCTGCTATAGCTAAAGTGCCCTTGTAATGTTATAAACATTAAACTTTTTCCTGAACATGTTCTGTTGAAATGGAAGATGTGTGTCTAATGTGCTGTGTGTTTGCTATGCTATTGAATAAGGAAATTTTCCAGTTAAATCAGGATAACTGTTTAACTTTTATCTGAAGATGATTTCAGATTAGAATCTAAAATTGTTTCCAGGATTTTAGTTGGTATTTTATTTTTTTTAGGGAAATAAGAAAAAAAATCCCCAATTTTTTTATAACCTTTTCTTTGCTGTAATTACAAAGTTTGTATTTTTCAGGAGATATTTTGATATTTATGCCTGGGCAGGAAGATATTGAAGTGACATGTGACCTCATCACAGGTAAGTTTAAATAAATGGGGAATTTTTTACTGATTGACTTCCATATTTAACAAGCTTGTCTCACTAGATGAGTATTTCTCAAGTGGTGTACCTGGGCACATTAGTGCACCATGAAAGAGACTCAGGTGTGACTGAATTTAACAGAAGAATAATTTGTGAATTATTTTAATACTATCGGGTGGCAATTAAGCTAGGGCTCTTGATAGGGCCTTGTTCAGGGGTTTCAGAGTCCCTAAGTCTTTGCATATGCTCAGCAATTGGAAGCTCTCCTGGCTGCTGTTTCACCTGGGTTTTCATTTGCACGGGATTTTCTTTTCCTTGCTGCAGCTTTGGCTGTTTTGATTACAATTTGGTCCTCTGTTGGCAGAGATTTCTTTTTGTGAGTCATACTGCTGCCGTATGCGATAGGCAAACAATAAACTACAGAAGAACTCAAAATTGATTGCTGCATTAATATCTAAGCTTACCTTTTAAAAGTTCAATCATAATTCTTCTGCTGCCACTTAATTTAAAGACAGTTTGATGCGTGTAGGATCTTACTTTCTATACAAACAATTATTTTTATTTCATGAGTGACTTTTGCTGGTTTTTGCAATTGATTTTGATTATTCCCAAATTTATTTCCATTTGTTATAAAATTTGATATCATGCAAAAAAAATTGTTGCAAAAAATATAATAATAAAATAATTGCCAAATACAATTGCAGTAATGAAAATATTGGAAATCAAAAATTTCACATATGCAGGTCTGAACCAGAATGTTTTTAATTTACTCACAGAGTTAGCCTGATTCCAAAACGGTATGGTATGTTGGGTTACGGCTTCTAGGAGTAAAGTTGAAAAAGTCTGACACACTGACATTCACTTTTATTTATATAGATTAAAAAAAAAAAAAGTCTCTTTTTTAAAATCTAGAGACACTAAGGACATGGCTTCTATTTCTAAAGTCTTTGTCATTTGATATTTTAAACTGAATGCTAAATTCCTTAATATTTAAGGAATGGATAATCATTTCCTTTTTGCCTTCTTCAAAGGATTTAAATCAATCATTTTTGGCCTTTATAAAAAAGTAAATTCCTCATAAATTCCTTTTAATGAAAACTGTGCCACTAATCCTCTTTGGGGAATGCTAAACCAAAAATGACAACCATTAATGATAATTTTCTTCTTTGCCAAAGCACATCAAGTAGAGGTTTCATGCAAGAATACTTAAATATACAATGTAATGTCTTAAAAAGAAATGCTTATTTCAGGAGACTTCTTTATTATTTTCCTATTTAAAAATTTCATGACTAAATTTTTTCTTATTAATGTGATACTGTTTGGCGCTGGTAAAAGAAAGAAAGGTTTAATGAATAGAACGATGGACAGACCAAGAGAATGGAGATTTCTCTTTTCAAAAGAAGCTTAATTCTCAAAAATCAGAAGAATTACTTAAGGAAAGGCGATATTATTACAAGAAGTTATGTGGCGATCTTTAAGCTGACAACTGATTAATGACTCAGCTCCAAAGTGCTGATTATGAAAACAAATAAATAGGACGGATAAGATTTGATCGGTAACCAAAACTTAAGAATAGAGTTTCTTTGTAGTTGGAGTGCAACGGCCCTGACAGGGTTGGGGGAATGGCTGACCAGAGAACCATCTGGTAAATATCTTATTTTGAACAAGGCCAGGATGGGAAAATCTGCATTTCATTTGAAATGATAATTTTTTTTAATTAATGACCATAAGTTAAGTCATGCCAAGAAGTCAAGAGGCAGATCAGTCGAATGGTAGCCAAGGTAGCAGGCACAGGCAAAGGTGGAGGATTGCCCATGCACATTGGGTATTATTGGTGTGAGATGCCAGCAAGAGATTGCTACCTGTGGCTGCTACCCATAGGAAAAGGGGATCTTCTGATTTGGAAATACAATTAATTTTCAAGAGTCAGACAAAAAAAGGGGTTTTGTTGGAAAATAGGGGAGTCACTGAGTCTCTTAACCATGTCATGCTTCACGCCAGTTTTAGGTGAATGTCAATAAATGCAAGGGATCGAAGTGGCCAAAAGCAGTTATTGCAGACGCTGAGATGAGAGACAACCACGTTGCCTGATATCACGTGACTGCCTGCCTAAAGAGAACCTATGACATAAGCTTTGTGCCAGCTGAAGTGTCACATTCAACTTCAGAAGCAGGTTGGGTTGATAATTGTCTGCATGAAGAATTGATAAATTCTAACGTCAAGATTAACCAAGCACTGAAAAAAAGAAAGTATATAAAAGCATTTAATTTTATTCAAGTTATTTTTTTCATTTGTGTCTACAGTCTGCCTGGACCAACTCAATACGACGATTCTTGATGACGACGATTCCATCTCATTTGTTGATGTTTCTCTTTTTTTTTTTTTTTTGTTTAGAACGTCTTGGCCAACTTGATGATGCTCCTCCATTAGCCATACTTCCCATTTATTCTCAACTTCCGAGTGACCTCCAAGCTAAAATCTTCCAAAGGGCACCTGATGGTATCCGTAAATGTGTAGTTGCTACAAATATTGCTGAGACTTCCCTGACAGGTATGTAAATTTAATAAAATACAAACTTATTCTTTAATATTTACTACTTCACAGAATATTTTGTGCATGTGTGTATCTGTATACAGACACACACACTTTTTTTATTTATGAGTTGTAATATTCCGCGCAAGAGGCTATCAATGCTTGCTAGGCATCGATTAATGCGTTGATAGGATGTTAGGATGGTTGTTGATTGTCCCTTGGGTGATGGTAGCCTCCTATTCCCTTTTGCTGCTAAACTGCTGATTAAGATTAACTGGATGTCAGGAGGGGACCTAACTCTTGTGTCTCTAGTGGTTATCTCCCTTCTGTTGCTGGGATATTACAATGCTTTTTTTTTTTTTTTTTTTTTTTTTGAGAGGGGTTTAGCAATTGAGTCTTTTGGGTGGCCGTCTTGCTCGACCTGTACGCCTGAGGTTGGGAGCATGTTGTGCCTGGGTGTCTTTAGATTTTGGTGGTGTTGTAGTGTGTTTGTAGTTTTTTTATAATGACTGTGTCACCCACTTTGAGATCATTGGGTTTCACGTATGTTTTCCTGTCAGCGTATCGTTTTATAGTTGTCTTGGCTTGTGTGTCATGCTCCCTGATGCTGGGGTCTCCAGCTATGGGTATGATCAAGTGTGGCAGTCGTTTTTTTTTTGGTCCGGCCACAGCCATTCTAAAGCCAAATCTTCGGATGAGCTACTTTCCAAGCCATCTTCGGACTTTCCAAAGCTGTGAGAATCAAGCAAATCAAAATTGGAATCATCAGAATGAAGATCTTCTTCATCACCCTGCAATGTGAGATTCTGAGTGGAAGAAATAGTTATGGTCTGGTTTAGAGAAGAATCAAGGTCTTGGTCAGATGAAGTGTTGGACATTTTCGAACGGCTGGCATCAGTTCTAGAGGTTTTGTTATGAATTTTCTTGCATGACTGTCTAAGGTGTAGCATTTTCTGGATGGAGTTGAGGGGAGACATGACTTGTGGCTCTGGCACAGACGGTTGTGGACAAGGTGCCGACTTACATTTTGTTGACATCTGTTGGACATTTGAAGAGGAGTACAATGGATTTTGAAAATCTGTTGAAGCAACTGTTGTTGGACGTTTCTTAACTTTTTGATAAAACTTGAGAGCGTCTTCATAAACATCATTTTGAGGACGCAAATATATTGCATTTTGTGACAATCGCTTGCTTTGTTGGAAACTGCTAGAAGCAGTTAGCGGATAAGTTGATGAAGGAGTGACAGGAAAATTCTGTTGACAACATTTAAGCTTCAATTCATTTATTTCATGTGACATTCTCTTCATTTCTGTGCACAGCATTTCTTGCATTTGGATGAAGCGTCCCTCCAAAGACAAATGGGATTTTCGTCGTTCGTTATCCAAAAGAGATGATAACTGGTGAATATTGGTGTGGCGGTCATCAATTCTTGTTTATAAAGAGCGTTTTCAGCTTCAAGTTTCTGGACTGTGGAATTGATTTTGTGGAGAGTTTGTGATTGTTCATCAAGTTGCCCTTTTTATTTGGTTGGGAAGCCCCAAAATAAAGATGAACTCCTGTTTGCTGGAGTATCCATTTCAATTGAGGTGGCAAGTTCGAGCTCCAGCTGTGTGGAACACGTATTCTGTATCACTACCGCTGCTATGGGGTTCCGTTGGTCGTTTTCAATGCGGTTCACCGAGCGTCGATTGGTCTGTGTTCGTGGGGGGCGATTTGTTTTCGGTTGTCTGTTTCTGTCGTTTAATCTTCTGAAACAGACGAATGTGAAGTGTCCCCACTTTCTGCAGTATGTGCACTGGGTATGAAGTGCAGGGCAAGATGTCAGTCCCCACTCATGAGGGTATTTTCCGTTGCAATTCCTGCACTGGTATCGCTGGGGATAGTTGCTTGGTCAGCGCTGTTCATCCGCGACTTTGTTTATTGGGGTGGTTGTAGCAGTAGCGGTGTTGTTGTCTTCCAGTCGCATTGTTTGTAGGTGTGACGCTATCGTCTCCGTTGTCCTTGCGTAGTTTATTAAGTCATGTAGTGACATATCTGAGTTCATGAGTCCCTTCTGGCGGACTTTTTCCGACAGGCAGCCGGTAATTAGTTGGGACTTCACCTCGGAATCCATGTCGGAAAAACGGTACATAGCTGCAGCTTCCTTTAGTTTGCGGTAGAAGTCTTCGATGCCTGGGCTATTTTGTTTAATTTTTCGGAACACGAATCGGTTGTATTCCGTGTTGTTTTCAGGGTTGAAGTGGTTGTGCACCGCTGAGACAAGCTTGTTGAAATGTGTTTCATTTTTTTCCACTGTGACTTGCTCCTGTGGTATTTCGTCGATGATGTCATTCGTAGCCTCGCCAACAAACGTTAGTAGGATTGCTTTTTGCCGTTTGTCATCCTCAATGTTATGTGCGACAAAATAGTTTTTCAGTCTTTTTACATATTTTGTCCATCTTGCTGCTTTGGCTGTTGACTCACAATCAAATTCGGGGTAGTGTGGTACGGCGGCCATATTGGTTATATATCGAACACATGTTGAATTTTTGTTTCTTTTTTTTTTTTTTTTTTAAGTGTGTTGATGTTCTGTTTTTGTGAGGGTAACGACTCAGTCCTTGTCGCCAATGTAATATTCTGCGCAAGAGGCTATCGATGCTTGCTAGGCATCGATTAATGCGTTGATAGGATGTTAGGATGGTTGTTGATTGTCCCTCGGGTGATGGTAGCCTCCTATTCCCTTTTGCTGCTAAACTGCTGATTAAGATTAACCGGATGTCCGGAGGGGACCTAACTCTTGTGTCTCTAGGGGTTATCTCCCTTCTGTTGCTGGAATATTACATGAGTGAGAACAAAAAAAGTAATCAGGTGGACAGTAGATAGTGATTGACATTGCATTTACATTTTTTTTAGATGAGTGTTAACTGGAAATGGAAACACTGCTTTCCTGATCAAATTGAACTCATTTGTGGGGATTTGTTTTGTGAGGTGTGGATGTGATGCTTGGGGACCCTTCACAAAAAGCAATTTTTTAGTTTTTATTTTTGCTTTTGTAGCATTCACATCTGCCAACATGTAGAATGAATCAGAAAGAGATCGAATTTGAAGCAGAGTATAGCCTTCGCACACACAGGGGGTCCTTGATTTATAGCTGAGTTCTGTTTGTACGATATGTCATAACGTGATTTTCTATGTAAGTTGGAATGGACCTGTGAATTTCCATGAATAAGTATTTATGTCATTCATCTATGATAATACAAATGATTTGCTAATCTGTTAGCCATTATCAAGAATGTTTTTCGGTTTAACTAAATATGAAGAATGAAGATTATATTATGTATTGTTAATATTATAACTTCCTATTATAAGGTTATTGTATTTCCTATATGTGATGGTTAGGCTATTACAATAATACCTATATAGTTACTATAAAGACTGACTTCAATACAACTACTCTCAACCATGGAACTCTTTATAGTATTGGATGAGTTCATAGAGTCAAAGGTTGTGTACTCTTTACTCCACAACAGTTAAAAAAAGGTGAGGCATGATTTTTATAAAAAAATTTTTATTAAGATTGTTATGAACGCGTGTGTGGTTGCAGTCTCATAACTACCAAATGAAATGCCTTGAACGAGTTTTCATTCACGGTCCGTAAATGAATATGTGTGTGTGTGTGGCACATGGAGAAATGGGTGATGCGATACAGAAAAGAGTAATTTGCTACTCACGGTTGGATTGAAATTACCATTTATTCACAGGAGAACATTACAACATATATTTAGGTATGTACAAATCACGGTCCCAAGTTACTGGGTTGTGTGTCACAACCGTTGGGACAGGAGAATATATAGTGTCCTACTTGTCTGGTAGCCATGTTCCAATCTGCTCCCTTTTTTGCGCATACCACCTCTCAAAGTTCTGTTGATCACATGACTCGCGTGGTTTTGACAGGAGCAAAAGGGAGGTACTCTGTTTGAAACAGGAAAGAGTTATTTCCTTTGTAATATATTTTTTTATCCATCCTAACAAAGATGAAAAGAAAAAAAACATTTTATGATTAAGTTTTGCTTGCCTCAAAATATCCTCCTTTAGCCTTGATTACTGCAGCATGAATTTTTGGCATTCATTGCAAACGTTTCTCAGAGTATAAGTTTGATAATAGATTACATTTTTTTCAATGACTCTAAGAGCTATTTTTTTTTTTTTTTACTCTTCTGTCAAGTTCATCCCATGCTAATTCTGGTGGTGGTTCAAACTTTTTAAATGTAATATATATATATATATTACATTTGTCAGCTGTCAATATACCTCATAACACCCTTGAGCGCTTAGCTTTGGAGCAGGTAGAATGGAGATCAACATATTTTAGTGGACTCAGCAGTTTTCAATCAGCTTCTCTGAATTGTCTTCAAGAAGCGAGAGCAAGATCTAAAAGCTCAGCCAATCTAACAGTGATCTCATTTCACAATTCTTACTCTTGTTCCATATGCGGCTTCCTTTGTAAATCAGTAGCGGGTCTTAAGTGCCACTTAAGATTATCGCATAAAATTTCATAACTGAATCAATAAGCTGTCAGATCATCATACGTCAAAGCCGACGGGAGAGTCCATTATTATTATATATATATGATGGGGATGTCACCATGTTGTGTCTGTGTTCATAATTAATATTGAATATTGTCTGTACTTGGGTGAATGCAAGAAGGATTTAATAAAAACAAAAACTTATCAGTCATCTTCAATGAAACATGTATAAAAGAGGGATTGCTGCCCAAATACACAATAATACTTAATTATATAATATATAATTAGACATTGACTATCATGGGTATTGTAGGTTTTTGAATGTTTTCTATGTATGTTTCTTCTTTAGATAAATATACATAGAAAACACATTCCAAAACCTACAATATCCATATCATTTCATCCTCAATGCAAGAAGAAAGGTATACAAAATATACAACCGCAACAAAAATAACATCATGAGTAATAATAAATTATATGAGAATAGATACATAATGCTACTGACCAACTCTATCACGTTCAGAACAACCTATCCCATCTAAATAATATCGAAATAATCAAAAAACACTTTCAAAACCATTGTGGATATGACCAGATCCTCAAACACTAATAACAATAATATTTCTGAAGCATGCATATATAAAATAAGGTGCCGAAATTGTTCCTCACAATACATTGGATAAACATGCAGAAATTTAAAAACACGCCTATGAGCACAAAAGGGACCTTATAAATAACAATTTAACAAATGCATTAGTCATACATAGAAATAAATTCAACTACAATTTTGATTTTATAAATGCTACACTCAAAAAACGAAAATAATTCACTCAAGCAAAATCCTCAAGAGTGCTGTCATTGAATATTATCCAAATATTAATCTGTGCTCAGGTTTTTTCCAAATATCACCATTCTTAATAAAATCACTACTCTCCCCAGCCAATGTACACAACATAAAGTAATTGATGTAATTTTAAAATTGACCATATACAATAGCATTTCTAAATTCTTCTAGTTGCTAATGACATTTTGTTTCTTGTTTATAGATACTTTGTTTCAATGTATTCATTTCGTTTTTTTACCTTGAAAAAGTCCACATTGGACTAAATGCATCAGCTAAAACTACAGTTTTCCTATTGTCTTTTTTCTTTTATATATATATATATATATATATATATATATATATATATACAGTTTTAATTATCCTTATTGCCATATCCATGATTTTTCAGCTGTTTTATACTCTGGCCTTCTTTAGGTGACATATGTTGGTGTTTCAAACTGAACCCTTAACCAATACTTTCAATAAAAACTTTGGTTGTGTAACCTGAAAAGTAACTTGACCCAAAGAGTTGAGAGTTCAATACCTGGCCACAGCAAATGGAACGAAAACTTGGTGAGTTGAGTTACTAAAAAGGGAATTAACTGAAACTGAAATATCCAGAAAGGACATAGCACATCAAATGAGAAAAATCTAAACCTGTGGACTAAATTGGTTTGAAATTATCACCTGAAGTAGGCTAGAGTATACAATGGCTGAAATGTTAATATAGCAATAAAGATGATGTAAACAGCTACAATATCTCAGAAATATAGACAGATTTCTATCTATCTATCTATCTATCTATATATATATATATATATATATATATATATATACATAAATAAGTTTTTTGTGGTACAGAATTTAATAATTGAGGTGAAATGTGGAGTGGGACCTAGATAAAATTATAAATCGGTCACCACTAAAATTTTCCACACATTCCCTTCTATTTATTAAACGTTCAGCAATAGCAGAACCAGAACTGTTAGTCAGTTGGCCATTCCTGGGGGACGGATTCAAAATCCTTGGGGGTAAATGCTGTTTTATTCTCAAATCCAAACACTGGGACATCCTCCCTATGTAGTCGTGTCCACAACTACACTTGTATTGGTAAATCACTGAATTAACAAGGTTCTAGAGTCCTTGTATATCAGATCCCATGAGCCTTCCCTTTGTAAACAGAGGGAATGCTTGCTGGGTCTGAATATTATTGGACTCTAGTCTCTTGAAATTCATAATCCCACCCCCTTGATTACATTCGTTAATTAAAAATTAATTTACATGCTTTTTTTAAATTCCCAGAATAAATAAACTTGATAAGTCCTGGGACGAAACCGGTTGTTTTTATTTTAGCTTTTGCTTTTAAAAATGCCTTATAAATATTGTCTTTTCCTATCTAATATATATATATATATATATATATATATATATATATATATATAATATATAGTAATTTTCTAAGGTAATTGATTGAAATGTATCAATTCAACAGATTTTTCTCACATTAAACATTATTTTTGGTGAATATTCATATTTGATGAGATGCTCCATTTATTTATTAAACAGTGTGTTTGTTTATTTTTGTCCACCATCCTGAATATTCAAGAATTGTTATGGAAGAAAAATATATGCTCTCTGGCCAATGAGAACATATTTTTCATCAATAAGATTTTGGTTGTTGAAAATAAATAAATATACTGTTTAATAATAAGTGAAGCATCAACTTAAATATGAGTATCCACTAAAAATAACATTTAAAGTGAGATATATTTATATATATATATATATATATATATATATATATACACACAGAAAATAAAGAAAAGAATATTCCTTTCTTTATTTTCTGTACTTTTTTTTTTTTTTTTTAATTTTAATCATTGATCTTCATTCATTTGGCAGAATTCTCTTTCATTCATTGCTTCTTTTCTTTCTCTATTTTTTCTGTATTACTTTCTGTGTTTGGCGGGTGGATCTGCATTGCAACTGCATTTATTAAGCTGGGGGTGGTGGCGTACTCCTGTAATCCAGCTGCTTTGGAGGCTTGTTTGAGTGGACGGTTTGAGAGTGGGGTTCCTGGTCTGCGTTCCATTATGGCGATCGTAGCCCGGTATCTACATGGTTAGTTGGAGAGAGCTCAAACTGACCAGGTTGACTAAGGAGGGGCGATTTGGTCCAGGGTGGAAACGCAGCAGACATGTTCTACCAGCTCTACCTCTTTCTTAATAGCGTCAAGCTATTTTGGCGTTTACTTTGTCTCTCGCAAGATGGCGGAAAGACCGTTCAATATAAAACTGATCCCCGAATTCAGTGGTGATACTAGTAGACAGTCTGTGGTTGAATGGATCGAAAAGGTGGAATTGGTCTGCGAATTATGCGAGATATCGAAGATTGATCGGATTCTTCCTCTGCGATTGAATGGCGGTGCCCTTGCTGTGTATAGGCAGCTGAGTAAAGAACAGAAAAGCGACATTAAGCAAATAAAGCACGCTCTACTAACCGCGTTTGGAAGTGACTGGTTAAGTGCCTCGACCAATTCCAGGCACGGCGTCTGCGACCTGGCGAGACAATAGGCGATATTTGGCAGAATTAAAGAAGCTCGCCATTCTAATCGCACCGCTTCCTGAAGAATGGATGACATGTGCCTTCGTTTCTGGATTGCCCAGTCATGTTAAGCAGATACTCCGCGCATCATCCAGAATGGAAGACCTGACGCTCAATCAATTGTTGACCAGAGCCCGTGCTGTCATGATCGGCGAAAAAGAGGCTGATGAACCAGTGGCGCGGTTATTCAACCAATTGAAGTCAAAGAAGGTCCGACCCCAGCCATTCGTCACCATGGTGTTGCCACCTGCTATTGGTGCTCTGGGCGAATCATTTTGCCAGAGACTGCCGCTATCAACGCCAAGAAATGCGCAGCCCGAATCTAGAAAACATCGTCTCGATCTGATGCTTTCAATGTCAGAAAGTAGGACATATTGCCTCTAAGTGCCGGGAAATGGAATGGGGACACGATGTCAGCGCTGGTCTCTTCCCGCACCGAGCATGAAAGAGGCGCTCCTGTGATTAAGGTACACATCAATGGAATAACGCACCCGAAGTTAATAGATTCGGGCTGCTCTCGGTCACTCACCAACGGTTCGATTTGCCGACAGTGGAGCAGACAAAAGATGGACGTACTAACGGCTGATGGAAAGGCTCTCAGAAGCTGGGAAGTTGGAAACATCAAACTCAGTATTAACAATGGTGACCCTGTCACAGTCAGTGTGTTGATGCGTGGACAGCGCGCATTATTAGGTTCGATCTGCTCCTTGGGATGGACATTATTAAGGAGCTGGGCGGGCGACGCATTACAGAGGCAGGCGAAGTCAAGTTTTTGTGATCCGCCCATCTGTGCTACTTTGAAGATCAACGAGCCCGACTTTAAGCGCAGAGTTCGACCAAAGGATCGAAGACATGGACAGCATTTTGGAAATGGTCGGAAAATAACCCACTAGAAAAGCTCCAGAACCGAGTGTCAGAATATTCGGTGCCCAAACACATCAAGGAAGAATACCAGTGCGAATTGCAGGTGTGGCTGGATAACAGATGGCTGACTCCGTATCCCGAGGAAGAGCTTGGTCCTCCAAGAGGCCTCATCCCGTTGATGGCCGTGGTATAAAAGAAACAAGTCCGTCGCAGGAGTCGCTATAAGAGTATATTAATATGCAAATTACGGAGCATCCTATCCCGGCTGTCGACGAATGGAAAAAATAGGTTCTGCCGATAAAAGCAGTTGGTTTGTCGACTCGGGAGGAAAAATTCGGGCAGTTTTGGCTACAGCGTTCGTGAGTTATTTTCCTGACGTGTTACAAGTGATTTTCTTTCTTTGTGTTGTGAAAGCCACAAATTTGCTTTGAGAACGCTTACACTTCACTTTCTTAGTCTTTTTACCTTCTTTTTTTTCCACTTGTTCCTTTTATTCTTTTCTTTTTTTTTCATCATTTCCAAGATTTATTTATTATTTTTTTCTTCATATTTCCATTTTATATTTTAACGAATTTTTCTATTACTTTTGTCCACATTCTACCTTCTTTTTATTCTTCCTTTCCTGTTTTTTCTTCATTTTTTCCAACCTTTTTTCTTTTCATTCCTGCCTTTTGTTCTTTCTTTCTTTTTTTTGTTCTTTCTTTCTTTCTTTCTTTTTTTTGTTCTTTCTTTCTTTCTTTCTTTTTTTTGTTCTTTCTTTCTTTTTTTTGTTCTTTCTTTCTTTTTTTTCTTTCTTTCTTCTTTTTTTTCTTTCTTTCTTTCTTTTTTTTTGGTCTTTCTTTCTTTTTTTTTTGGTCTTTCTTTTTTTTTGGTCTTTTTTTTTGGTTTTTTTCTTTTTGGTTTTTTTTTTTGGTCTTTCTTTCTTTTTTGTCTTTTTTTTTTTGGTCTTTTTTTTTGGTCTTTTTTCTTTTTTTTGGTTCTTCTTTCTTTTTCTTTTTTCTTTCTTTCTTTTTGGTCTTTCTTTCTTTTTTGGTCTTTCTTTCTTTTTGGTCTTTCTTTCTTTTGGTTTTTTCTTTTTTGGTCTTTTTTCTTTTTTTTTCTTTCTTTTTTGAATCTTTTTTCTTTTTTCTTTCTTTCTTTTTTTGGTCTTTCTTTTTTTGGGTCTTTTCTTTCTTTTTTGGTCTTTCTTTCTTTTTGGTCTTTCTTTCTTTTTGGTCTTTCTTTCTTTTGGTCTTTTTTTCTTTTGGTCTTTTTATTTTTTCTTTTTTTTTGGTCTTTCTTTCTTTTTTGGTCTTTCTTTCTTTTGGTCTTTCTTTCTTTTTTGGTCTTTCTTTTCTTTTTTCATCTTTCTTTCTTTTTTGGTCTTTCTTTCTTTTTGGTCTTTTCTTTTTGTCTTTCTTTTTTTTTTAGTCTTTTCTTTTTGGTCTTTTTTTGGTCTTTCTTTCTTTTTGGTCTTTCTTTCTTTTGGTCTTTCTTTCTTTTTGGTCTTTCTTTCTTTCTTGGTCTTTCTTTCTTTCTTGGTCTTTCTTTCTTTCTTGGTCTTTCTTTCTTTCTTGGTCTTTCTTTCTTTCTTGGTCTTTCTTTCTTTCTTGGTCTTTCTTTCTTTCTTGGTCTTTCTTTCTTTCTTGGTCTTTCTTTCTTTTTTCTTTCTCTGGTCTTTCTTTCTTTTTTGGTCTCTTTCTTTCTTTTTGGTCTTTCTTTCTTTTTGGTCTTTCTTTCTTTTTGGTCTTTCTTTCTTTTTGGTCTTTCTTTCTTTTTGGTCTTTCTTTCTTTTTGGTCTTTCTTTCTTTTTGGTCTTTCTTTCTTTTTGGTCTTTCTTTCTTTTTGGTCTTTCTTTCTTTCTTTTTTTTTGGTCTTTCTTTCTTTTTTTTCTTGGTCTTTCTTTCTTTTTTTTTGGTCTTTCTTTCTTTTTGGTCTTTCTTTCTTTTTGGTCTTTCTTTCTTTTTGGTCTTTCTTTTTTCTTTTTTCTTTCTCTTTTTTCTTTCTTTTTGGTCTTTCTTTCTTTTTTCTTTCTTTCTTTCTTTTTTCTTGGTCTTTCTTTCTTTTTGGTCTTTCTTTCTTTTTGGTCTTTCTTTCTTTTTTCTTTCTTTCTTTCTTTTTTCTTGGTCTTTCTTTCTTTTTGGTCTTTCTTTCTTTTTTGGTCTTTCTTTCTTTCTTGGTCTTTCTTTTTCTTTTTTCTTTCTTTCTTGGTCTTTCTTTCTTTCTTGGTCTTTCTTTCTTTCTTGGTCTTTCTTTCTTTCTTGGTCTTTCTTTCTTTCTTGGTCTTTCTTTCTTTCTTGGTCTTTCTTTCTTTTTGGTCTTTCTTTCTTTTTTGGTCTCTTTCTTTCTTTTTTCTTAGTCTTTCTTTCTTTTTGGTCTTTCTTTCTTTTTTGGTCTTTCTTTCTTTTTGGTCTTTCTTTCTTTTTGGTCTTTCTTTCTTTTTGGTCTTTCTTTTTCTTGGTCTTTTTTCTTTCTTTCTTTCTTTTGGTCTTTCTTTCTTTTTGGTCTTTCTTTCTTTTTTGGTCTTTCTTTTCTTTTTTCTTTCTTTCTTGGTCTTTCTTTCTTTCTTGGTCTTTCTTTCTTTCTTGGTCTTTCTTTCTTTCTTGGTCTTTCTTTCTTTCTTGGTCTTTCTTTCTTTCTTGGTTTTCTTTTTGGTCTTTCTTTCTTTTTTGGTTCTTTCTTTCTTTTTGGTCTTTCTTTCTTTTTGGTCTTTCTTTTCTTGGTCTTTTCTTTCTTTTCTTTCTTTTCTTGGTCTTTCTTTCTTTCTTGGTCTTTCTTTCTTTCTTTTGGTCTTTCTTTTTGGTCTTTCTTTTGGTCTTTCTTGGTTTTTTTTTGGTCTTTCTTTCTTGGTCTTTCTTCTTTCTTTCTTGGTCTTTCTCTTTTTGGTCTTTCTTTCTCTTTTTTCTCTTTCTTTCTTTCTTTTTCTTTCTTTCTTTCTTTTTTTCTTTCTTTCTTTCTTTCTTTCTTTTTTTTGTTCTTTTCTTTTTTTTTTTTCTTTTTTCTTTCTTCTTTTTTTTTTTTTTTTGTTTTTTCTTTCTTTTTTGTTTTTTTTTCTTTTTCTTTTTTTTTTTTTTTTTTTTTTTTTTTTTTTTTTTTTTTTTTTTTTTTTCTTGTTTTTCTTTTTTTTTTTTTTTCTTTTTTTTTTGTTTTTTTTTTTTTTTTTTCCTTTCTATCTGTATCCTTCATTATGCCTTGCATTTTTCTTTTCATTCCTGCTTTTTTTTCTTCATTCTTTCCTACCTTTTTTCTCCATTCTATCTTTTTTAGTTTCAATCAATGATCGTTCATTTGGTAGAATTCTCTATATTTCATTCATTGTTTGCTTTCATTCTTTCTCTATTTTTATGAATTACTTTCTTTTTCTTTCTAACTTCTTTCTTTTCTCCCTGATTCCTTCATTATTTCTTTCCTTTTTATCTTTCATTCCTTGTTTCTTATTTCATTCCCAGACTTATCATCACAATTGTTCATTCTGCAGATTATTGGTCTCTCATGTCAACAATTAATCGCCATTCTTTTCATATTTTGTGAGAAAAAAAAACGTTAGCAAATTTATCACTAAAACTTTGAATTTGAAGCAAAAAAAAAAAAAACAGAATTGTTATGAAAATAGTAACAACAAATAAATAAGATAAACATGATTTTCTTTCAGCAGAAAAAAAATGCAGGCGTTTTTTTTTCTTTCTCAGCTTGATCCAATAAAATACTTGAAATCAGATAAGCATTTAAAATTGTTGAAAGAAATAAGTCATGGGCGGGGGTTGGTTTGTGTCTCATTTGAAACCACATTGGTTTATGTACACAGCTGTCCAAAAAAAATGGGTCAAACAGATTTCATTCATTTTTTTTTAACATGGAGATTGATGCACCAATGATAAAAAAGATCACCCAAAAATCTGTTAGATTAAATATTTAACTGGAAGCAATCTTCTTTGAAAATATTCTATTGAATTAATCAATTGTAAAAAAATGTCATATGCTTGTGATGGTGATATTCCACAAATATATTTTTACAAAAATATGTTTACTTGCTGTATTTGTGAAAATTTCATAGTATTTGAATTTTTTGATGTATCAAAATATTAATGAATAAATTTAATGAATAAATATTTAATAAAGAAATTTAATGACTAAATTGGCTCATTATAAGTTCCATGGCTAGAAAATGCCCATCAAAATTCCCCCAATTGCATCACCAAATATTTGAGCTTAACAACTTTAAGCAAATATTATAACCTTATGAATTAGAAACCCTATTCAGATAATCGTTTGATTGCTTTCCACATAGACATGGGCATATTTGATGAATTGAACAAGATTTTGCTTCATGCATTTGTGTGTAACTCTCTTTGTGTAGTAAGTCTGAACCTGTCAGCATGTTTGTTTTGTTTTTTTAAATAAAATTAAAACAAAATATACCTTAAATAACAGTTTGCAAATTATAAATAATCTGTAATCCTCACCTCTATCAATCTCTTCTTCCCCATCTCTGTCTTTTCAGTTCCTAGCTTGTTGAGTAACATCGACCTTATGGGTCATCAAGCTTTCTTTTTTCTCCTCAGCTGGGGTTGGTGTGTCGTCTCCATAGGATTAATTCATGTTTCCCAAAATCTTACAATTTTGAGATTGACATTGAAGTCTACTGTGGTACAAATGTGTACGTTGTGTATTGCAGTGAAGAAATGAATAATTCTTGATTTATAGCTGTGTTGTTTTTCTTGACAGCATTTTTTTGATTTAATAAAACTGTAAATTCATGGAATTTAAATTTTTTAATATATCATAATAATTAATGAATAAATTAGCTGATTACAAGTTACTTCCAGTACCGTGGAAATTTCTCTATTTGAATTGGCAAACATAAAATTTTGTTAGTGATATTAGATAATCATAAAAGTAAAACCTTTAAAAAAAACTGATCATCCATCCAGCTTTTGGGTTGTCTCCTTTTCTGGAACACACATGGACAGATAGGTGTTGTGGGACCTCAACCAGTGTCCTTATAATGAGTAGTCAGTGATGGTCAGTCATTGAGGAAAGCATCATTGAGCAGTGTGGAATCAGCAGTTGCCTAGATGGTCAGTGAATGTCAGGGTCCTCTTTCTGTGGACGGAATTTAATAAGATAGCGGTTCACCTTCTCAAAGCTGAAGGAACACAATACCATAATCAAGTGGGAAATCGTATTGTTTGCTATTAGGTTGTCCCAAAAGTTCGTAAACACTTGTGAAAAATTAAATTTTTATGCAACACAATCCAGCACAATCGAGACAAGCGATGGGTTCAGAAAGGGCAAGAGACACCATCGGTTCCAAAACAAGATCGATTCGGCAAGAAAGTCATGTTGTGCGTTTGGTGGAATTTTGAAGGAATCATGCATTTTGAGTTGGTTCCGAATGGTCGTGACATCAGTGCTGAACTTTACTGTCAGCAACTGGAGTGGGTCTATAAAAAGTTGAAGCAAAAGTACCCGGCTCTGATCAACTGAAAGCGCGCTTTGATGCAGCAGGACAATGCCAAGCCACACACCGCCAGGAAGACCAAAGACAAGTTTGAAGAGCTGGACGGCGTTGAGGTTCTGCCACATCCAGCCTACAGTCCTGACTGTGCTCCATCATATTACGGCCTTTTCCGCTCAATGCAACACTTTCTGAAGGGCCGCTGATTCGACTTGTTTGATGAAGTCGAGGAAGCGTGTCAAGAATTCTTTGATTTGAAGCCGGCTGAATGGTACTTTCACCAGATCCGAAAGCTTGCAGTTCGATGGTAGAAAGTCTTGGAAAATGATGGTCTTTATTTTGTGGAATAATTTTTGTTGTTTTTGTTATTACTTGGCGAGTAAAATTTCAGTTTTTTGCAAGTGTTTACGAACTTTTGGGACAACCTAATATTTCCCAATCAGAGTGTCTTGAAAAATATTTGTTACTATTCTTTGTTGAATTTGATCACAGCCAAGGAGACAAACTTGTGAACATAGCTAGTCGGGTGTATATAGAAATACAACTAACCTTGAATATCATCACAGTTATGCAATGTTGGATGTGCAGAACTCATCATCACAGGTGGAAGCAAGATTGCCTGTCATGCATGTGTTTGTGTGTCACTCCAGCTGTGACACTGGTAAATGGAAAGAAAGGGTTAAAATTAAAATATAACTTGGAATAACATGAAAAGGGTTAAAGAATGGAACGATAATCTAAGTGAAGAAGCAAAATTGCTTTTATTTTTCAAAGTCTATTTTTTAAGCAGAGACGGCTTGAAGATTTTTTGGATATTCAGGACAGTAAATGAAAATAAACATATTGTTTAATAAATAAAAGGAGCGTCTACTCAAATACATGTCTCTACTAAAAATGACGTTTGAGTAATAAAAATCTATCTGATTAATAAATAAAAACATCCATCTCTTTCTTTACAAATTGCTTTCTTTATGTTAGGATACAAAAAAAATGTCTATTTCAAGAGTCGGAGAAAAATCTATGTTTACAGGCACTATTCATCTTTGCTTGGTCATCAACGCACTCTGTAGCTGAGAGGTCAAAAGCATGTCAACTCTAATGATCTAGAGGAACACAGGTTCAAATCCTGCCGAAGAGAGCATATTTTTTCTCTTATAAGATTCCTCAAATATTCATGCTGGTAGATGAAAATAAATATACTGTTTAATAAATAAACAGTGTGTCTACTCAAATACAAGTATCCACTAAAATATTGTCTAAATAAATAATAAATATATATATATATATATATATATATATATATATATATATATATATATATATATTCATATTCACTACACCCTAATACCCTTGGGAAAGGTATGAATCCTCTCCCTCCAGCTATGGGTAAAGTAGCAGGACAGACTGGGTTCTATAGCCTTGGATAGCAACTGATCTAGGAGAAGGACAACTCTGAATTCAAAACCTGCAGAGGGTCATTTGGGAACCTTGTGGCATTCGTGCACCAGGTCTGTATTCGTCCCTTTAAAAGTGTGGATGGTCCTGCACGTTTTTCTTCACCACTATAATCAAATCTCATGTGCTGGTGTCAGGCTTCTGGAAACTGATTTGCTTGACCCTCATACGTTGAATCTCTGGATGGGAGTTGTTTATTATTATATATATATATATATATATATATATATATATATATATATATATATATATATATATATATGGTTCAGCACATTGCTTACGGTCAAATCACGCTGAAAACACCGGTTCTGCTCGATCACGAAAGTTAAGCATCGTAGAGCCAGGTCAGTACTTAGATGGGGGACCGCTTGGGAACACCTGGTACTGTAAGCCCCCAAAGTCCAACCCTTACCTCACAGTCGGTGGGGGGTGTAACAGTAGTGTCAGAGCTATGCCGCCGGAACTTCGTTCCTGGTAGGGCCACCAAAGCGGACAGGTCTGACACACACGCCCCGCTAACAAGGGTTCTGGTGAAAATCCAAGAAGCGTCTGCATTGGTAACCGGCGGCTTCTGGTCGTTCCTGTCTCTGCGTCTGTGGGAACCCCGCGGCAAGCAAGAACGTTATCCGAGTAGGCCTGGGTACCCTACTTCTGTAATTTATCCCAAGAATCTTCTACTCATAACAGGAAGAAGCCGGCTCAATCTGCCCAGGGTGAATGCCACATCAGTACAGTCAGTAGTAGTACATTAGATCTAATGAATGACAATTTCCCCTGGATGAACAGAGGTCCAAATCCTTATTTTTCTCTAAGATCTCTTGAATATTCAGGCAGGTAGATGAAAATAAATAAATATACTGTATAATAAATAAATGGAATGTCTACTCAAATATGATTATTCCCTTAAAGTGATAAAAATACATGTGAGACAAAGTGTGTATATGTATATATCTGTATGAGTTTATCTTTTTAATAAAATGTTGTTTTATTAGATTTTCTTTTGTTATTTGCTGTGTTCATATTCTCTAAAGTAATTTCTTTTTCTCTTGGTTTTAGTTGATGGTATTATGTTTGTCATTGATTCTGGGTATTGTAAACTGAAAGTTTTCAATCCCAAAATTGGTATGGATGCTCTCCAAGTGTTTCCAATCAGTCAGGTAAGATTGAGTCTACTTTATTTTTTTTTTCCAAAACTGGATTTAGCATCTGATCTGGTGCTTCTGGTATATATCTAGAGATTCTTGATAAAATACAAATCTGCAATGTTATCAGTCCTGATCTGGCATCTTGGCTTCAGTCACTTTTCCACCGCCATAATGGTAGCTTCCCCAGTGCCTTTTCTCTAAATATTTTCATGGTAATTGTTCTAATGATCTTTCCTCTTTGGTAGCTCGACTTAAAAAAATTAAAAACAGCACTAGATTGGCAGCTAGGTCTCATCGTTTTACAGTTGAAATGGGAGGATGTAACCGTAAGTTCTATGCTAACAGTTTCTTCTATCACACTTCTCACTTGTGGAACTCTTTTCTGGCTTTCCAGCCAACTTTGATCTTCAAAAATGTAAATGCAATGTCACTTGTCATCTGCCTCCTTAAATCGTCTTCTTTCATTGTCTTCTCTCTTTAATAATGAATTTTCTCACATTCTTTTCACTCTTGGTAACCCTTTGTGTTTTAGGGGCCCCCATCACCTTGCTTGGGGGTGAAATGATTTTAAAAAAAAAAATAAAAGAAGGGACAAAATGAATGAACTTAATGTAGATTAATTTCTCTCTGAATTTCTGTGATTATTGTCCTCATCTTTGTTATCAGAACATTTCGGTCATTGTGCTCTCCAGCCTTCCTCAGGTGCTTGTCAATGGAGATAACAAGAACTAGATGAGATATCCCTAGATATAGTCAGCAGAACAAAGAAAAAATATCCATAGATTAAATAAAGTGTTCAGTTTGAAATTCTCTGAATGTTGCCTGGCTTACAGCTGCATCACATAGAACCATCAGTTTCTGTCCAGTCACCAAAGTTAAGCAATGTCAAGCCTGGTCAGTTCCTGGATGGGTGAATACTTAGGTATACCAGGTACTGTAACCTTGGATGTGTGGGTGATTTAATGGATAATGGCTTGGAATTGTTAATTGAATAGCAGGGTTTCAATTCCATTTGGGTCCATTATATTCACTTATGTGCAAATACCCTTGTGTAATGATGCATTTCTGCACAAGCTGTGATGAGATCCAAGGTCGGCTGTATGTGAAGACACTGGCACTTGCTATATTCCATCAATTTGTCTCAATTATGGCTATGAACACAGTCAGCAAAGAAATAACAACAAATGTTTTTCAAGATACTTATTGGGTCAGGAAGAAGCAATAAAAAAAAAAATGGATTTCTCACTTAATCGGCAATCTCTTCCTTTTGACTAAGTTCTGGCCACAGGAAACAGGTCCTTGTTTCACTGACCACTCATTATATGGATACTCACCACCTCTTTCCGTCCACTTGTGTTCCACCAACTGGCAAGGGGGACTGCCCAGACAGGTTTTCAGTGTAAGTTTTTCAAAGGTCCTTACTTTTTTGACTATATCTAAAATCACTAACAAAACTTTGTTCATTCAAAGGTGGGCTGGAGACAGTATTCCTGAAAAATCCTGGTCATTAAATTGACTTAAAAGGAAAGAGAATCTATCTATTGATTCATCTCCTAAGGAAGCGTGAAAAATCATATTGCTACACTTGGGAAAGGTATGAGTCCACTTCTTCTTCCCCAGATAGGGTAAAACTTGTATCGCTAAAATCATGATCTCCCCACACAAAATTCTTACAATGTAATAATATTATATCTGGCTTTAAATAACCTGCAAGGGGTTGATAAGCCATAAAAATGAAAAAAAAAAAAATGAAATACTGATTAGATACACAAGCATGTCTTTTAGATTTATTTACATTCTCTGAAATATAAATGTATAGAAATTACCCTAGCCACAGGTAAGGCATCAGTTTATATATCGATTTTAATATAGAATTGATCCCCCACTTTATATCCACACTATAATTTCTTGTTTGTTGATAAGCCGTAGAAAATGAGTCAATCAATGAAATACTGATTAGCTACACAGGTTGTCTTTTAGATTTATTTACATTCTCTGAAATAGAAATGTAGAGAAACTACCGTGACTATATTGATTATAATCTTATATTGATCCCCCACTTTATATCCACGTCATAATTTCTTGTTTATCAAATTCTGATTAGGTATGAATCCACCACTTCTCCCCCATCTATGGGTTAATTAGTAAGACTTGTATCACTAAATCATTATTATCTTCAAACTACTGTTCACCTGATTACTCTCTTCTCTTTCTGCTCATCATTAATGTTTCTGTTCCTAATTCTTCCACTCCTTGTAACCCCTTGTGTTTTAGTGGCATTACTGCCTTACTTGGGGGTGGATTCCAATTAAAAAAAAAATATCCTTACAATCTAAAACTATTTTCTGGCTTTAAATAACCTGCAAAGAGTAGCTAAACCGTAGGAAATGAATCAATCAATGAAATACTGATTAACTACACAGACATGACTTTTAGATTTATTTACATTCTCTGGAATAGAAATGTATAGAAACTACCATGGCCACAAAGTGAGAGATCAGTTTACATATTGATTGTGATATAGAATTGATCCCCCACTTTATATCCACATCATAATTTCTTGCCTGTCAAATTCTGATTAGGTATGAATCCACCTATGAGTTAATTAGCAAAACTTGTATCACTAAACCATTATTATCACCCCCCCCACCAAAAAAAAATTTCTTACAATGTAAAAATATTTTCTGGCTTTAAATAACCTTCAAAGGGTTGATAAAATGTGTAAAATGAATGAATCAATCAAACATTAACGTCACCTGGATTGACAAGCCCTTGATAAAAGTAGGTGAGCACAATGGCTGAAAGATAGTGATAATAGCAAGAAAGATGCGGACAATAGTCTGCATGTAAATAATGTTGATTAACTTATGATTAATTCATGAAGATAAATATAACCAAAGAAAGAAAGAAAGAAACTAAAAAGTACTTAAGTTTTTACTGTAATTTGCATTTTTTTAACTTTCTCTCCAGACACTGTTTCTATCTGATTGCCATTTGCAAAGGCAGGGAAACTGTTGATTCACTTTGGAGATAAATTCCTCTGTTGTTGGCTTTTGACCACAGTTATTATAAATATTAATGAGTCTGATTTTAAAGATTAAATTGCAGAGCGATATATTAAATCCATTAAGCAATGTCTTCTTAGTGCAGCCCCAGGGTCAGGACAAAATTAAATCTTGTCTGAGGATGGAATTATGTGGAAACCAAATGAACAAACGTAAATTTGGGAATGGCATAAAGAAATTTTTTTGTTTTAATTATTTTTTTTCTTTTTTGAAGAGGGTGTCTCTAAAAACACATTTGTCATTGCTCTTGTATAAAAGCAGCCTAATAGATAACACACAGGGAGACAGAATCAACAGTATGATTTAAAATATGAATATTTATTAGGGCATTGAGAACTGTCCCTAACCTCAGTCATATATTATGAACAATTTAGGCTTTGTACCTAGGTAAAAATAATTAAAAGGCTGATGAATCCCTTGTCATTAATAACAAGTAGAAGCTTTATGTGTACCACTTGGGAATAATAGACTTAATAAATACAAGGTTATATAAAAAAGGAATTTTTTTTTAATTGAAAAACAACTGGAAACAAAAATAAAATAGTGTGTGTGTGTATGTATATATATATATATATATATATATATATATATTTTTATCATACAAGATTATAATAAAAACATTTTACTTTGTTATACAAAAACTTTCATGTTTCAATATTATGACTGTACTTCCTTAGGTGATGGTTGGTAACTGGTGAAAAAAATGATTTTTTAGGGAAATTTAAAAACAAAATGTTACCTCTTTTCCAAAAGTTAAAAGTGGGGCATAAGGTCAGAATTAAAAATATACTTGTCGGTATGTCTCGATTAACCAATTGAAAGTTAGATCTATGCTAAATAGAAAAATATGATCGGAGAGTAGAGCTGGGTGAGTTATCTTTTCATGTCACGATAAACTGGTGCTTAGGCATGTAATCATTGTGGAGAATTTGACAGCGACAAATATATCATGGATGTAGCCAAATATGATGTTCCATTTGTTGAAGTGGTGGTGGAGGTTAATCAGATGTAAAGTTATCAGAAACAAATTTAAGATTTTTTTTTATATATTTAGGAAGGGGCCTGTTAGTAAAATTGAAAATGTGGAACATCTATAGATGATGCTAATAATACTAAATAGACAGCAAAACCTAGCAATATTAAAGTTGAATAAACCAAATAAAATAATTACTCATAGAGGGTGGACCATTATATACTAATAAAATGATGGCTATGAAATTGTAATATGTAAAAGTTTTTATTAAAAATTTAAAAAAATATATTTTAAGGTAAGGGATAGACTGTGCTGGCATCTTGCCATTAATTCACTTCTTTGGTTTAACAGACCCTTTTTGTTAGCAACATTGGTTATATGGAATTTTTCCTGTAAATACAGGAAACCTAGATCATGTAAAGATTTACAAGTTCTAGTTTTTTTTAAATATATATATATAGTCTTAAGATGTGCTATATTTATGGGATAAAGTGCTCAATATCAGAGATAGAGCATGTGTAAATATAAAAGTGAACATAAAAGTCAACACTTAGAGGTGACAGTCTGTTTCATGCTAGATGCAATCATCAGGCCACTGTGTGCTACAGTTCTAAAATTTGAGGCTACACTTAGTTATTTTTTTAAATTGGTCCCAAAAGTAGTTGTTTTGTACTTTAAATAAGAGAAAATTATTATACATAGTTAAAAAAGGGAGACATCATTTTTTTATTAGAAATTTGATGATGGAAAAAAAGGATTTTACAATTATATTCTGCTCTCATCAAAATATCCTCCTTCAGTTTTGATTACTGCAGCATAAAATTTTTGGCATTTGTTGCAAAAGTTTCTCATAGTATAAGTTTGATAATTGATTCCATTCTTTTTTCAATGACTCTAAGAGCTCTTTTTCATCTTTTTTTCACTCTTCTGTCAAGTTTATTCCATGCTAATTCTGGGGGTGGCTTCAAACTTTT